GTTCATAACGGAAATAAGTTCAAGGAAGTTCAAATTCAATCTTCTACATAATTTTTTTAATTCTTGCCTCAACATCATTGTGCTAGAGAGTTTCAAATTATGGAAAATTTTTAAATGACCACCCTTTATGAAAACGATGAAGCACATGAAAAGAGTTTGTTACTTAGAGGGAGAAAAGTTCAATCTGAAGCTTTATTATCTGAAATGATGATTAATGACTGTCACGAATTCGCTATCATCGACAGCTGGTAACCTCAGGAAAAGCGTTTTTCCTTCTTATTTTCTTCACCAGCCACAAAACATCAACGTTAAGCGAACAACGAAAGGAGAATTCAATAAAAATCGTTTTTCATTTTCTTTCCTTTATGTTCCCCGTCTTTCGTCAATGGGCTTTTCATGAACGATTTTAAGTGGCGAAAGATTCTGCAAGAAGGAAAAGTAATTCATTAAATATGTTGCTCGCGGTCACGTTGCTCGTTACAGCAATATGTTGAAAATTGGGATTTAAAATTGTTATCGTTTCTTTGACTTGATGAAGTTCACCCACAATTTTGTCTGTCTGATTTCTTCTCTATGCTCAAAAGAGCCTGAATTAAAGATGTTCAGCATGGATGTGAATAATGAATGTGACGGGTCAATCAATCGTGTGAATGATTAAGAATGCTTGTCATGTCTCAATTTTTTTCTACTACATTCAACTTAAAAGACTTTTCCCTTCTTTCCTTCAAAAGCATTCTGCAAACATGAGTCAGTGATTAATTTTTATTGGAAAATTGACATGTTTCAAGTCTCAAAGAGTTTTTTCTCTTGATTTGGCATCCCGTGTTTGTAATAAAATGGTACATTAACATATATGGGACGAATCAAATATGTTCACATTTATTGCGAATGTTTTCCTTAATATTCCCTCATCATGGCAAATGTGAGGAATCGATTGGAACACATACATATTAATGGAGGCTGTTGGGGATATTAGGGGATAGAAAAGAATCTCTGATGTGATGAACAATAAAAATTAATAATAATCATACTTCAATTTCTGAACTAAGTAAATTCTCCAGGCGAGGATACATTGAGCCCGCTTCTTATACTTGATTTCCACACCGACATATTTTCCATAGAAATGTCATAAACAAAATATTCTCTGTTCACTATATATAGAGTGTAAAGGGACGAAGAAGAAGAAATATCGATTTGGTATCGCAATGGATTTCATTGAGTGCGCAATAAGCATGCGTGAATGGAAAAAGGAAACCAATTCGCTCCTTTCATGTTGTTATGATAATAATTCATATCATTTTAAACAATTATGCGGCAATAAGTGATGAGAATAAATTAAATAATGAAAAAATATTGTCATCTGTTAAACTTCATCTTTAAACATTCAAGACAAATGCTGCCAGTTGAAGATTTTAATTTTTATCTCATTTCGCTAAAAATTTCCCCTTACAAGGCGAATTCAGATTTCCAGAAAATCCATCACACAGGAAATTACAGAACATGAATAAATTGCATTTTCCTTTTAGCCTTCAGTCTGCTTTACGAGTCGCATGCTTCAAGACGCTTTTTAAAAAATGCGGAAATTCGCGAGTGAAAATTACCATCTGCTAAGATTCTGAAAGAAAAAAGTGAATAAAAATTAATTGTTGTCATAATTGTGTAAATATTTGATCGGCAAACAAATGATAATTTCCGTTTTCGATAAACTTCTTGTTAATGCTTCTTTAAATAAAAGAAGAAAATTCTCGATGGAAATTTCTTATCATTTCAATGGAAAGAAAACACCAGTGGAACATTTCAGTTTATTCTTACAAAAAATAACAATAAAAAACAAGGAAAAATCGACAAGGAGAATTTTTCGAGAACGTTGTTTTGTTTTGTGTTTTCAGCAATTTAATTTATTGTCACTTCAAATGAAAATGTTGTTTCTCTTATCGCTTCGTTTCCCATGTTCCTTGAATATCTTTGAACTCCCCGAAAGTGATCGGAACGGGATAAAAAATGCGGGGAATGTTTTTGTTATTCATCTTCTTTTATTGAAATCATCCAATAACGATGGCAAACGATACATTTACAAGAGAAAGGCTTTTCTAAAGATCTAGATGCAAACGTAAAATTTAGTGGGTGTGAGTTAACGCGAGATTCGAAGGGTTGTCATGAGTACGAATAGCAACCAAAAAAAAGAAATAAAAGTCTGTTCTAATTTTTCTTCCGCATTCTTCAAAAGAAAAGAAAATTATGCTGCTCGAAATGATTTTGTTTTCCATTGTGTACGAGCATTACAAGGAGAAAAATATCGTAGGTGAATAAATGAGATGATGTGGGGAGTTGGAAAAGGTGAAGTTTTTCTATTAAATTAAGTGACATCCCGTGACAAGACAGAATACTCACGGAAGAAACCTTGCCAGGCTAAAAGAGGAAAAAAGAAAAGAAATTCCAACTGTTGCAGAATGTTAAAAATCATCCTTGATCTTTGTGACATGTTGCGAAAGCAAACGAGGGAAAAGTTTCGGAGAAGAATAACTTTCCAAACACATTTCGAGTTTTCACATTTTACATCAAATTTAAGCACTTTAGAAATATCTCAAACACCTATTACTGGGTTTTGTATGTTGGTTGAAAATGAGAATCCAACAATAATCTAATTTTACAAGTTTTACGAGAAATGTAAGAATTCATTCATGCAAAATGATGAAGAATAATAAAGAGTGAAAGTTCCAAGATGGAATGTTTGATTACATCATCTATTTCCGACTGCAACATAGAAAAGCTTAAAAAATAAGACGAGAATCTCGTTAAAACTCACTTTCAACTTGTGTTGAAAACATTTTCCGTTAAAACCATCAATCAAACTTCAACATCATCTTTCGTGAAGAATCCTTTTAAATAAGATATTGTCTTCAGTCCCTTAAAGTTGAGTAAACGAAGTCACGATGAATATTCTTTTTTCGCTGATAACTCAAGTGTGACATTAAAGATTCATATTTTAATTTGAGCTTCGTTTCAAAGCTTAGAATATAACAACTGGAAAGCTTTTGAGTCTTTCGTGGTATCTACCCTTACAGTCATTTAGAATGAAAAAGAAAAACAAGCATGAAACATGAGAAATTGAAAATATAAATGAAAAAGTGTCCTACTGAGCTATTTCTTCATTTTTCATTGCTTCCAACACAAGCATTGTTTAGAATGATTGCTAACGTACAATCTTTTGCTATATTCGTTGTTCGTTTGCTTGTCGTGCATAGACACACATCTTTGATGATAAACATTATGATTTTTGTTTCATATGTACACATTTTACAAGGCAACGTGATTTTTTCCGGAAGCTTTCATTTTGAGACTGAGCGGGGGAGTGTGTGTAAGAAATGTAAACATGAGGGAGTTCTGAAATCATTTTTTTTTGTTAGGAAATTCTCATGCTCAACTTTAAAGGCATTTTTTCGTTCATTGTTTAATGCATTTTTGGGAGCGGAAGTTTTATCCTTAAATCCTCCTCCTTCTGAGCGATTGTACAAACGATCCAAAATGTAGCCGACTCCAAATCCCATAAAAGTTGTGATTTATTACATTTAAATTACCATATCCTACATCATTTTTCATCAAACAATTTTTCGTATCAACTGTTCATATTTTGGGAGACGGTTGTGATTTTTACGTTCTCTCTCATCATCATCATATGCAAATATGCCGTGTTAGATGGTGAACAAAGTACATTTCTCCCTAGATGATTGTTTGATTTTGATTTTTAATATTCAGTACGATCCTTGTTTGTTTTCGATACTTTAAATTTGCTAGAATGGACAGAAAACTAAACAAAGTAAACCAATAAACCCTTATCGTACGTCACAGAATCTATCGAAATGAACCTCATAAAACAAATGATGTTTGGAAAAGCATTAATTTTTAAATCATTTACGAAGCTAGAAGTTGTGGGTTTTGTGAAAAAAGCTTTTACACAATAAAAATGCCAATCAAAACCATAAAACTTTTGTCGAATATCTGACACAGTCAGCATTCAACATTCACGTCATTTCGACATTTCTCAATCAGACGAGGGTCAATGAATCATATTCTTAAATTAAAAAGGGCATTTTTTGAGCATGGAAAAACTTCGTCTACAAATTTAATAGAAAATCAATTTTTTGACGTTACAACAAGAACTTAAAAATTGATTCAATCGAGTTTGATGAAAATCGAAAGCTTTTTGTGTCAATTCTTCAATCTTCAATCCCAAACGTTATAAGACATGTCGTCGCTTAAGACCTAATCGAGGAAAACTTTATTCTCTTAAGAAGCAACAAAGTTTTTAATGAAAGATGAAAATCCTTCGAATAGTCATAAATATCAACACTGTCACCAAGTAAAAGTTGGAAAAGGAAAATGAAACGTAAAAACTTTAAGGACAAACAGACATAAATTTTCACCGATTTCGCCTTAATATGAGATGGAAAAAGTTTTATTTTCCTTTCTTAATTTTTTTTCTTCTCGTATGTTTGCCTTTACATTTACCAATCTTTCGACTGGCAATAACTCTTTTTACGGGGAAGATTCATATTGATTTCACAACGCTGTCATTATTAGGGTTACAATTTCTCAAAGTTTTTTAACTTTCATAAGGAGACAACGCAAAAGAAACTTTTTCATTCCTTTTTTTGGGAGAAACGAGAAAAGCTTAACTAAAAGTGATTCTTCGATAAAGCTTTAAGAGCAATGAAATTTTTATGACAAAATTCAATGTAAGGAAATTAAGAAGTTTTGGAATTCTAAAGGAAAAGATTCGCACATCCTTGTAATTCCTTTTAAATTATTTATTTTATTATGAAATTTAGTTTGAAATGATAAATATCAGTTTCCATCATTCTGTGACATTGTCATGATGATGCCACAACTTTTTAATTATTAAAAGTAATTGAAAACGGAAATTTCAATAAATCTGTTGAATTTTAAGTTTTTAAATGAATTCAATGATTTTTTTCTCAGATTCCCTGAGCAATGAAATTGATTTAAAAGTATCTGCGATGGAAATAAAAACTTTTGAAAAGTTTGCAATTAAGACAAACAACTAAGCGAAAAAATTTATATAAAGTTTGAAAAGGAAAAAAAATTCTACGTAACGAAAAAGAAAAACAATTTCATTTGTTGGAGGTGTAAATAAAAAATTAGTCAAAATTCTTGTGATTGTGGAAAATCGTGTGTGGTTACCAGAGGAAGCGGTGAAAATGCACGGATATCCGGTGATGCAAGTCGTCCAATATAGTGTACCAACGTGCACTTGGGGACCGCCTCCTGACATTCTTCATCGACCACCTTCTGTTGGTTAGTAATCGACTTTTTATAATTTATGAAGTTCAGCATTCATTGAAACTTTAACTTTTCGAAAATCAAAAAAACTTTTCTTTTCCCTTACAAACAGCAGCCAATATTGAATAAATCTTTCTCTTACCTCATAAAAGCCCATACAACTTGTAAATATGAACAAACTTTTTCAATTTAAATGTTACCGACATCAAAATAATTAAAATTTTAATGCCAAAGATAAATGTTTATTTACTTAAAGCTTCAATTCTCTTTTTTTAAATGCCTTAGCAAAGCTTAAAAACCAACACAAAAATAATTATAGAAGTCTAAATTAAGTTCTTTGATGTGAAGTTTAATCTCATTTAATTCCAATTTAGAATGTTTGAGTTGTAACATGAATAAGTAACGACATTGAATTAAAATTTTCGACTTTTACAACGAACATATTCTATATTTGGACAATAAGGAAAACATGTTACCAAAACTCTTGTCTTGTTAAATATAAATTGTAACCAAAGAAGCTGCCCGATTATTTAAATATTTATTAGCAACTTGGGAATGTTTTTTCCCTTTGAATCAGAGTGTAGTATTTACATAAAATGAAATCACTTCAACTTTTCTTAATTAAAACTACAGAGAAAAGTAGTTGCCTATAGAAAACGTACACCTACGCTTTACCATTTCATTTGAGAATGAATTAAAAAGTCGTAAAATAAATTTCAGTGTTCATCCATTAAATATTTAACAGCCTTCCATTCTGGCTAATACTACACGAGAAACTATGTTCAACTTTTTTTGTTCCTTGGTTATCGTGCGTTTAGACCCAAGAAGAACATGTAAAGAGTACATTGAACGGAGATATACGACAAATAATGGATAAGTAGAAGTACTCTTGTGGACAACATTATAAAATTAAATTTTATGTCTACTACAACCGAACTTTATGCGGAGGTTGCGAATAAAGTAAACCTGGATTCATAACCATAATAACATGACCAGATAGAAGTTCTGCTTGTTTTATGTACTTCATGAGACATTAAAAGCGACTGAGTTGCAACATTTACGGTGACTAAGCATGTTCGGTATATCAGTGAATATTTTTCACTCGTAAAAGAACAAAAAAAAAATTCTCGTTCTTTTCATGATATAATTTGCGGTTCGTAAAGCAAAATTGACTGGGGCAAAATTTCTGTCGCAAACATTTTTTTATCATTCCTGTCGTTCAGTAAATTTACAGATTATTCAGCTCAAACGCAATTGCACAATTTCAACAGATTTAATTAATTCTAAAAGAATTAATGGATCAATAATTTAAAAGTTATTTGCTTTAGTTCATGAACTTGTAAGTCCCAAAAACAGTCGTCATTATCATAAGGAAACTTAATTAAATACTTCATAAACACATGGTCCAAACTTATTTCATTCGTATGAAGTTCACTGAAACAACAGTAACACTTATCAATTCTTTGGTCATTAGAGTCAGTCTCAATAACCTTACACATTGCCATCAAATTTCCTACGAAACTTGATAAAACTTAAGCAGTTTCGTAAGGAAAATACAAAACATGTTTTCGTGTTATCTTTACATCAGTCCTTTGCGTAATTTAATTTTATAAACTCTGCTTGTATTCGTTTTCAACAGCAGTTCATTCAAATTAATTACTTTTCAAGAGTTTTACTGCAACATTTCTATTCGTAAATTGAGTTTAATTTTCTTCAACAGAACTACATTGTACTATTCAACTGAGCTTTCCTTTCTTGAATAAAAAGAGAATAAAATAAAAAAGGAAAGAAGTTTGATGTTTTATAGATAAAGTTTTAACACAAATATATAATGTTCTTCTCTCACTTCTTTCAACTTGCGTGAAACGACTTGAAAGTTTAACTAACTCTAATTTCTTTCTTTTTATTATTGCAGTTCCCCATCAACCCGGAGTTCGGAAATATGTAATCTGGTGTCTCATATGCGGCGGTGTTTTATGTTTATTAGGAGTTATGTTCTTGGCTGTCTATTTTCTTCTACGATCTTACACCAGCACCGTCGGCTATTTTGAGACCGTTCCGCCCTTTGTTCCGGCTACTTTGGTGAGTTTCACACTACATTTTACTTTACTTTTTTTTTGGCAAACCATAAAAGGAAAAAATCACAGACAAGAAAGTTTCTCTCTTTTTAAAGCGACCAGATAAAAGCAAAAAAAAAAAATACTAGGTAGAAGTTTGAGCACTTAACTTAATTTTACAACCCATTAGTTGAATGAGAATCTCGTTTATTTTTTTTGCTGATTCTGTTTTGGTTGCTACGCTATAAATAGATACTGAGAACAGAAAACTGTGCTTTCATGTAACAATAACATGGTTTTGTCAGTACAAAAACGAAAAACAGTTATTGAAAGTCATATGAAAATTAACTTAAGATGTTTCTTGTACTTATCGAGGTTCAAGAATAATTAAGTGATTGTAAACATTTAATCGCTAAGAAAAGCTTTTTAATTATCTGTAAAACGTTAAAAGGGCTCTTTTTCGTCGTAAGAATCAATTCAATTTCATTGAATGATAATAAACGAAAGATTATATTTGTGAAATTTATTTGATGACAAATTTACAAAGCTCTTTCAAAAGTTGGATGTTGTTTGTCTATTCTATTTAATTATATTGTGAAGAGATAAAACAACAATCTTGTTTTCATTTGATTAAAATGTTCAGAATTGTCAACTACTCCTGAAAAGACGTTTTAAAAAAACAAATTATTCCTGCTAAAATTATTTTCGTTTCATTTTGTGAATCATTCATTTTATTTCATTTTTAATTTTAATAAAATCAAAAAACTTTATTTCTGTATTGAATTATCTAACGGAGGTTTCAACTTATTTTTCAATACATATCTTAAAACTTAAAAAATATTTGAACATATCAAATGTTATTAATTTTATTCACTGCGCAGATGAAGATTTATTGAAAAAATTTGTGATGAAATTTCTACTGAAACCGGCTATAAACTTGATTACTAAATCCTCCTTGATTGTAGCCTTGGTTATAAGGATATACCTGGTTATAACCTCTGCCGTAACCGTTATGAAATCCACCAGAATAACCTCGATTATAGTTATTGTAATATCCATTATTCAAACCACTTTGTTGTCCAGCATACCCTTGCTGACCACATCCCTGACTACCGTAAGCTTGTTGCCCACATCCCTGACTTCCGTAGGATTTTTGACCACATCCCTGAGTTCCGTAGGTTTGTTGTCCAACTCCAAATCTATGCGATCCAAAGTTCAAGCCGGAATACTGCGGAAATGAATGTGCCACTACTGCTGTTAACATCATTAGGAAAATCGCGAATTTCATTTTTACTTGTACAAAAATATTTCGAATGTTTCTTTAATGACTGCTACTTCAATATTGATAACTCCAAACGAAATACGAAATGTATTTATATGTTTTAATTTTAATATTCCTTTAAAAGATAAGACACAAAGCATATTAAATTTTTTTGGGTTTTCCCAATTTATTCTCATAATCAAATTCAATTTTAAGAAATGTTTACGAATAAGACATTTTGAGTTGATAAGACGTAAAAACCGATGATTAATAGTCTGGTGGTCTTAAAGGACCTGGTGGACATATTATGAGTGGTTTCGTTTTAAACTCTGGAAGGTGAGGATAACTTCCGGCTGAGCCCGGGGGTCCAGGTAGTCCTGGAGGGCCTGAGTGAATTACTGGAAGTCCAGGGGGACCTGGTGGGCCTCTGTGGCTTGTAGGGGGGGTTGGATGTTCCACTATATTGCTTGAATCTTCGTCGACAGGCACTGACAAAGTTTGGGTTGCTACAAATATCAATCCAACTAAGATGATTAATTTGTTCATTTTTTTTTGTCTAGAAAACGTTCTTGGAAAAACGAATGGCGAAGTATTCCGAAAGTTCCAATTCGTAGAATGACTATTTTCTGTAACAAGCTTCAAATATTTATACAAAATTATTAAAAGAGAAAGAATAAATTTGCGTGTTCATTCTCAAAGTTTTGTCAATTTTATATAAATAAATGCTTCATATGTACATACTTATGTATGACACTTAAATGTTTCAAACTTATGCAAACAATTTTTTTTTATTAATGCTGAAGTTAATGGGTCGAAGGTTATCGGAAAACATTTAAAAGATTTTTTACTATCTTCAAACAGAATTGATAATTTTAAGTTTAAATAGAAACTAAATTTTCATTACAATTTTAAATCAGTTTTAATTGATCGTGATCATGGTCCTACTGATCCAGGCATTCCTGGTGTGCCAGGTGTTCCTGGCCTGCCTGGCGATCCTGGTGTGCCTGGTGACCCAGGACTTCCTGGTGACCCTGACGTACCTGTTCTGCCCGATGAACCTGATCTGCCTGATGAACCCGATCTACCCGGTGAACCTGGTGTGCCCGGTGATCCTGATCTGCCTGAAGATCCTGGTCTACCTGGTAACCCAGGACTACCTGGTGATCCTAATGATCTTTGTGTTCCTTGTCTGCCTGGCGATCCTGGTGTGCCTGGTGACCCAGGACTTCCTGGTGACCCTGACGTACCTGATCTGCCTGATGAACCTGATCTGCCTGGCGATCCTGGTGTGCCTGGTGATCCAGGACTGCCTGGTGACCCTGGCGTACCTGATTTGCGTGATGTTCCTGGTCTGCCTGGCATTCCTGGTGTGCCAGGTGTTCCTGGTCTGCCTGGCGATCCTGGTGTGCCTGGTGAACCTGGTGTGCCCGGTGAACCGGGTGTGCCTGACGATCCTGATCTGCCTGGACCTACCGCATTNCGGTGATCCTGATCTGCCTAAAGATCCTGGTCTACCTGGTAACCCAGGACTACCTGGTGATCCTAATGATCTTTGTGTTCCTTGTCTGCCTGGCGACCCAGGACTTCCTGGTGACCCTGACGTACCTGATCTGCCTGATGAACCTGATCTGCCTGGCGATCCTGGTGTGCCTGGTGACCCTGGAGTACCTGATTTGCGTGATGTTCCTGGTCTGCCTGGCATTCCTGGTGTGCCAGGTGTTCCTGGTCTGCCTGGCGATCCTGGTGTGCCTGGTGTGCCCGGTGAACCGGGTGTGCCTGACGATCCTGATCTGCCTGGACCTACCGCATTTTCTTCGAACGGTGACCTTCGGTTTCTTATTGGTTCATGCAATTCAGTGAAATCTGATGAGTCAATATTGTCGCTCAGGCTAGAAGCAATTAATGCCAACACAAATATAATTATTACGAATTTCATTTTCACTTGTGTTGACGGTTGAAAATGATTTGATAATGATGACTTTTGAAGTATTGGAAGTAGTATTTATACTTTTTTAGACCCGAATCAAAGCGGAAAGAGCACCGAAATATTTTGCGAAACATAATAAGAAAGAACACAGAAAATGAATAAATTGTTTTCAATTCGGGTCGTAAAGTTTATCATGTTTCCAGATAATTGTAATTAATAATAAATCATGAGTCAGCTTAGAAAATAAAACGTCTCATAAATAAAAACAACAGAAGTTCGTAATGCAATCCAAATTAAATTAACGAAGATACTAATTTCATCAAGAAAGGTTGATGATAAAAAGAATGTGGCACTAGCAAAGATTGACTTTTGTTTTCTTTTCTTCTCCGCTTTATTTCTTCTGCATCCCTTAGACCGAGCAAATAAAATAAAATAATTTTCCTTTTCTTATCGTCACGAAAACAATTCTCAAAGGAAGGAACAAAATATTTTCTTCTTTTTTTTTCAACGATGATGTTGCCTTAGCAAAACGTAACTCAATTGTTGCCACCATAAAATTGTCCCCTCTCGACCGAGTCGATGATGAAATTTTCCGGCCTCATGCTGAATCGATCTGTCGTTGTGAAAGGTTTTCTTTACTGCTCGAAGAATATTTTCTACACTTCAACCAAGCTCTATAATGATCGTAAAAACTGTTGATTAATCGAAAAACCTTTACTCCTGAAGAGATGGAAGAAAAATGTTTATAAATTGCTCAATAAATGCGTGCGGCCACCCTTTCAATTTATATTTCCAGACATGTGAATACAAGTTGTTGTTTCTGCTCCTTCCTTCTTTTTTTTCTTGCTTACAAACGTGTTGGTTCTTTGAATGTGCTACAAAGCACATCATGTACATCGAAGGCAAAATCCAACAATTTCCTTCTTTCATTAATTCGAGAAGATGAGAAAATTTTCATCGCAAACGGCAAAGTGAAAGATTGGCATTGAGGGAGACGAAGAAATGAAAGACATTTTGCTACTAAACATCCTGTTGAGAAGACGCTTCCTTCTTGATAAAATAACAAATCTATCTTTAATAAGCTTTGATGCTATTCAAACGATTCACTTCCCTCTTTCTTTTTATCCTTCTTTTAATCTTCTTTCCTACGATTGGAAAATTTTCCGATTCCAGCAAAATGCTATCTTTATAAAAAATAACTTTTTACTTCAGAGAATTTTGTAGATGGAAATTCAAGGGAGCGTAATAGTTTGAGTTGATGATGATGAAAGAAGAATCGCTGAAGTTATTTAGGTAAAACTGCTAAACGTGAAGAATCTCAAACAAATGCATAGTTCAGGCATTTTATAGCAAGTAGGATAAGAGTTTGAAAGTAAAAAGGAACGAAGTAGATAAAACTCAGTTGATGAACCTTTGGGAAAACAAATTTAATGAATTAAATTGTTTTTCTTTCTCAAAAAGAAAGTAAATAAAATTATTTAAGAGAGTTAAAAATGAAACACATCAATCTATGTTAAAACGTAAGAAAAGTAAAAAAAAGCTTCTTGTTTACTTTGATAAGGAAAAAGGAAATCAAATAAAGTTAAAACACTGTTTATCTGATGAAATCTTATTTTCGATTCACATAACGGTAGCTTAGCATTCACATTACATTAGATAATCTTAAGTCTGTATAACATTCAACAAGTAATCCCTTCAACTATAAAAATATTCTCCCTCTTCAACCTCAACACTAGCTGAAATGAAAGGGAGTGAAATAAAGTCGAATACTTAAACGAAGATGAATGGATAGAAGTTTGTTTCATCATCACGTGAAATTTTATGTGAATTCGAGGGATTTCGTAAGAAAATTTGCTGCAATTTATTTTTCTCTTTCAAAAGCATGATTTCATTTCATGCCATGCAAACGTTGGAGCTGCACAATTGGCGAAGACAGTCAAAAGGAAGTGTTTATATCTGTCTATGATCTGAATACATGCTATGTCGTTAAGAGTAATCTTATGCAGTTAAACACGAAAAATAAGGGAAAATATAAGGAAAATTGGAATGGTATTCATGGAAGCCCCTGATTTGAACATTTACAAGAGAATTTTTTATCGGAACGAATTTGGAAAAATAAATGGTAACAAAATCCCTATTTGTATCAAGAAAATTTCCATATAAATGCTTTAGTTTTGCAGTTTTTTCTCGTCGTCTTTCTTCTCTTCTCCAATAGATTTTTTTTTGCTTTCATTTTATAAGAAATCGATCGAAAGCGAAGCTGAGTTAAGCTTCGGAAATGAAAAAAATAATCCCAACTAGACGAAAGAAATTTTCTTCTTATTTATTAAGGAAAATTACAAACAGTATGAAAGTCTTCAACGTCAAAGCCCGAAAATGTTTGATTTAGAAAGTAAACCCACTAATGACTTGAAATTCAAAAATAAACCCCGTGATTCTTTGGCGTAAAAAGTTTTTCTTGCAACGCGTAAAGGGGATCATTAAAATCCTATTTAAATAATTTTTGATGTTCTTTCCCCTCTGTCGAACACAACATGAAACGGAATTAGAAAATGCTTTGATTTTGACGATTATTACTCTATAAACAAAATTACATAACATTTTGAAGAGCACGTAGAAAAAATATTGAATTTCCATAAAAGCAAAAGCTCGAATCAATATTTGAACATCGTCATCGTTTCTCTTCCCCTAAAGCTGTAACAGTCTTCTGACGCGACCCATAAAAGTTTCGCGCGATGTGAGAATGTGTAGCTAAGAGAACGAGCGCCATAAATTTAATCTGGTGAAGCCCTTTTATAGCACTTTCTATATTTTATCTCTGTCTTAATTACATTCGACCCAATCTTTCTTTAAGAAAATCGACCAAAGGAGTTCGAAAACGCCTTGTTGAAAGGAAAAATTATTCCGATAGTATTTTTGGCAATTAGTTTAATGTGAATTAAAAATACCCATAAATTCAACCCCAGCGAGAGCTGCAAATATTTGTTCATCCGATTAGATAACAATGAGAGTTGTCGCTTCCCTCCGAGTAATGAATTTATGAATAGAAAATTTCACAAAAAAATTATGAATATTTAATTCATTATGATGAGCATGTTAAGCTAAACTTATTGTATTTAGATTTTATTAAATAAAATACGAAATGTGCATTACCTGGTTGGTTTACAAAGAAAGAAACTCATAAAATTCTCTTCCTGATAATCTCACATGAGTTATCAATTTTAACAAGCTTACCAAAAATTTTATTCAAGCTTGCGGCAGAATATATTCATCCGCGCAAATGTTTAAAAGCTTTGCCATTAATTGGCTTAAATTCCTTTCAACCTCGTCATGTACGTAATAGAATGTAACATTAATTGACTAAGACTAAAGTCAGGGATTTTTACATCAAAACTTTTTTTTCCGTCTTTTATGATGTTTTTCCCCCGCAGAGCTTTTGTGTGACGCATTCATAAATTTTTCCAATTATATGTAAATTTAATTCATATGAACATGAAAGCTTAACAAAACATAATTTTTGTGATCGTGAAGGCACCCGTGCCATAACCAACTTAAACCTTAAAATGAGTATGCTGTGCTGAAGATAATTAATTAATTCTCACCGCCTAAAAGCCAGAAGATAAATAAAAAATTACCAGAGAAAGCTCATGAATAAATCTGCTTGTGTGACTTTTACGGCGCTGAATATTTCTTTATTATCATGAAACAAATTGATTTACATCAAAAGGAAATCCTTTAGCGATTTATTTTCAATTGATATTAAGTTACATGAATATTTTATGATATTCAGCATAAAATTGTTTATGTTTTAACCTTGAGGTGATTTATTATGATATTTGCCATAATTTTTTTTGGATAAAATTAAAAATTGAACCACTGCTTGAAGCATTTCGCTTAAATATATTTAAGCAAATATAAAAATTCTTCTTGAAGAGGAAACTGAACTTTGAACCTTTTTTATTTCCATATGATTGAAATTGTAAACATAAAAGTCAAGGAAATTCGACCTTTATTTATTTAGGTTCTAATTATACATGCATTAGGTTAAAATATTATGACAGCTGCTGCCGAATGAAATAAAACCAAAAGAAAAATGTAAACAGCTTGACCATAAAATATTTTCCCCCCTTGTTGCATGAGTACAGCACAAATCCGTTCATTTATTAAACAAGGCAATACGTCGTACATTATTTCAGGTTCCTTAATAACAACATTGTTGTGGCTTTGAAAGTGTTCTCTTCTCGATCACATACAAAGAACATTTATAATCACTGTTGCGTGTGATGCTTGCATTTCACGTCGCTTTCAGCCTCCCTTGACGACCCTTAATATTTCACGACAAAAACGACGTGGGTGGAGAAAACGAACATGGGAAACAAAAACTATTTTCCATCTTTAATCGCTTACTACTTCTCCTCCCATCAAATAATTTAATTAGAAATTTTCCTTCATCTCTACCCGTCCTTTCTTAAGACGTTCATGGCTTCAACAGATTTAATTATAATTTTTCTCATTAAAAATTATGGCACATGGGGAGTTTGCTCAACGTCTTCTTTGGAAAATATATTTCAGAACGAGACACTTGTGAGCTGTTAAGTGAAATCCGGATTTCGTTCCTCTTTATATCCACCCACACACTCCTGGTCCCTTAAGGAAAAAGCAACAAATGAAAGCAAAAGCAAGCGCATGGAATGCTGGGGACGTTGAATGAAAAGGTCGTGCAAGTGTAATAAAAATCAGATGATATTTATTAATAAGTTCCCATTTCTCCATTTTTATTGCCTCATTCGCATAAATTCCATCGCATTGATAAGCATGAAGAATGTAATTTACTGTCAGCAGAGTTGAATTTAAATTAGCCAAGTGACATTTTGAAGTTCGTTCCTTTCTCACGAACTAAATCCCAAGAGTTTTCTGATTTACGTCGTTATTCATATTTCTCTCATTTCATGTTGATTTCATTTCAGTAGAAGTGAATTCTGAATTGAAATTTGTTTTAAGAAGAATTTTAAGTTGTCATGACGAGATATTATTGAGATTATTTGATATTGTCGTCAATGACAATTTCCTTTGATATTTAATATGATATCTCCAGTATTCTAACTGTCTAGGACGCTTGCAGAGATATTTGATTTCAATAGTTCATATTTGATGGAAATTTAAATTACTAACCCAAAGCTGAAAGCTAATGAAATGCGATAGTGAAAGCAACCTTGTTAATGTTTCAATGTTCAATATTCAGTTTATTTCTCTACATTCTACAAAATATAAAATGCATTCATGAAATGCTACAATTTCACAAGTTCTTTACTTAACGACATCCTCTGTCAATAGCAGCTTGGACAATTGCAACCGAGTTTTTCTTTCTCCAGTTATTGAAGTTTATGTCAATACAAGTGTTGTTTAGCAAGTCGATTTTCTGAACATTCTTGTAACCAATCAAATTGAATCCGATTTTCGTGAGTTTGTTATTATCAAGTGTTACAATTTTGAGAACGTGATTATTTTTAAAGAAGTTTGCTTCCAACACTTCTAAGCTATTGTTTGCCGCCTTAAATCTTTGGAACAATGGAGCGTGGTTCAACAAGTACTCGGGAAGTGTTCTGAGTTTATTCTTATCGATATAAAAGTCAACCAATAAACCAAGATCGTAAAGTGCATCTTCGGGGACTTCTTCAATTTCATTTTCAAAAAGATTCACTTGTTCAAGCTTTGGCATTCCCGCAAAATCGTCGCGCTTGATATGTTTCAAGTGACTACTTGTCACGAGATATCTTTTGATGCCTGGGAAGAAAACTTGAGCATCAAAATGCGGCAAGTGAGTCACTCTGCTATTCTTTATCCAAACATATTCGACTTCTAAGTTTGTTTGACCGCTAGTGTGCGTACCGAGAATATTTGCTATTCTGTAGTTTGGAGAATCGATGACAATATTTTCAACTTCGCATCCATACAAACCACTAAAAAGGAATGTGAAAAAGTCAATAAGAAAAAATCCCATTTGAAGTTCCCAAGTGAACTAACTCATAGTTACGAATGAATACACAATTCAAAGGAATATCCGTCCAAGAGACGTAGACCTTGGTGCGCATTTGATCTTTAATCCAATCCGCAAGTTTCAGTACGTTCGTATAGACTGAATATTTACTGACATCACAACGACCACCATCAATAACTGTCGCTGATACAATGCCTTGAATGTACCACACATTGCCGACTTTGTAATAAAATCCACCACCAGAGTCACCTAAAGTAAGAAATTACATCGACATAAATTACTTTTATATTTTGCAAAAAAAAATTGAACTCAATTACCATGACATGGTCCAACATTTTGTCCTGGCCAACCAGCACAGAATGTCCTTGGTGAAGAAATCTTGGCAAACTCAATGTAGTGCAAGAAACATTCTTCGTTTGTGACTGCACGAACACCAACTTGCTTCGGAATGCTTTCATGATCATTTTGACTTGGTCCGGATGTCTCAGATTTACCCCATCCGACAACAGTTCCCATTGGATGAATCAATACACTGTTGAAGTTGGGAAGGCAAATTGGCTGAACAGTTGTTGTGAATTGAACTGGATATTCCATGGTAGCAACTGCAATGTCAGCATCAAAGTTTTCCGTATTGTATTTCCAATCAGGATGGATAACAACTTCCACTAGTTTTCTTTTCTGTTCTGTGTTTTCAAAATATCTCAAGTCATACTTCCCAGCAGCAATGTAAGAATTTGTTGCATCGTGACTTGGAGCAAAGTTCCCTTTCGACCAAAAGCAATGCGCAGCTGATAAAGAAAGTAAAATTGAGAATTTGTTTATTTCTTTCAAACATACTTATCAATATAAAAAGACGTAGAAAAATATTTATTTCGAATGTTTTGATGGCTCACACAATTAGTTGACATCAGAATTGTGTGACATGAAAAATGACAAACATTAAATCTTTGTTTTTGAATGATTCTTAAATCAAGTTCTCCTTCTTTTAATGGTTTATCCCCGAAATGAAAAGTATGGAAACCAGAATGTTTCATATATTTACATATTATTTAACAACTTACCAGTTAACACATGCTGACTACTGATCAATGTTGATCCACAAAAGAATTCGTCTGATGTTGAATCGTGCAAAGTACATAGCCAAGGCCATTGGCCTCTCTTTGCGTATTGACCACCAAATATTAGTTCACTGGAATATTTTATTGTTCCACATTCTTCACCAACGCAAAATAAAAAACAACTAATGAAAACAACAAGTAAAGAAAGATTCTTGGAATTCATTATGAAGTCTCAAATAAATTTTTTATGATAAGAAGTAATAAACGACACTTCTTGAACGTTCTGCGGCGTCTCGAGACTGAGCGCAAAATATATTCAAAGAGACCAGTTTCTGTCCAATCTTATAGAAAACCGGATATTTCTTGATTTTGTTTCTCTGCTTCTTTTGTGCTTCAATTCATGCTACCATCGTGTGAGTTCAAGTCTATGGACACATGAATTGAGAGTCAACCATTTGAAAACTTCACTCATGAATTCAACTTATAAAAGCATTTTTAATGAATAAATGCATTGAAAGTTATGATTTGTGGCTCTAAACTGTGAGAGTCTATCAACACTCAAAAAATTATTTAACTCTCTGGCGCTCTGCCAATTGACTTAAGTTTCAACTCTTAAACTTATGACTCAATGAGTTTGTGTTTGTTCAAAACCTGCTCCACAACTTGATGGAAAAACCAAGTGAAGAGAAAAAATAAATATTTTTTTACGAAGGCTATTGACAATATCAAAATATTTTTTATTTGTTTATCAATTGGGAAAAACAAATTTGAATGTGAAATGAATTTATAATCGCGGAAAATTTTTCTTATTAATTTCTGTTTCAAATTGTCAATCGATATTAATATTAATATTTAATTTTCTTTTGAAAGTTTCCATCCTGAATCATTCTCAAGATTCTAAAATTAACATCTTTCTTCTATTTATCTTTTGTCTTCACATATCTATCTAAGAATGAACGATTCATCGAAAACAAATAAACAAACAAAACGATACATTCGATGCTTGCTTACGTCTCTCGTTCTTTTATTCAGTGATTCCCTGAGAGTTTGTTTTTATGTTTTTTTAAACCGGTTGAAGAGTAATTCGCTCGTTTCTCAGCTTGGAGTATTTATAAGCAAGTAGCCTCGGTTTATTCTGAGCTTATTATTTCCAAGCATTAGAAGTATCGAGTGTTAAATTTTCCAGCTCTAAAAGTTCTTAAGTTTTTTTATTCCTCAATTCGAATATTATGGCAGCACATAAAATGTTGCTTTGCGTGTTAATGTCATTGTTTGTGTTAACAACAGCACAAGAGTGTGGAAAATTCACTGGGAATATTGACGATAAGGATTCAAAACTACCGTGGATGGTACAGTTGCGTGAGAGAATGTCTTCCGATGTTATTTGCACCGGCACGTTGATATCAAATCGTCACGTACTTATTGGTATGACATTGACCTCTGGGGTGCTTATCTTTTGTGCTTATATTCATATTTTTATTTATGTAGATGCCCATTGCGTGTGGCCAAAATCTTACTTTGTTGCTTTGAAGCTTATTTCCAATGTTTACGTCACCATCGGTAATGATGCTTTTGACTTGATGGATATTAAAATAAACTCAGACTGGAAGTTTAACAACCCCAACTATGATGGTGACATCGCAATCGCAGTGTTATTTAATCCCGTTACGTTCTCTGATACGGTGCAACCAATTTGCCTGCCTGAACAAAATGCGGGCACGCTGATAAGACCTGACGGACTTGTAGTAAGATTTGGTAAAATTTGACCAATAAGTCAAACGATCATTGATAAAGAATTGTTTTTGAGTTAGACTGGAATTAATAACATCGACAACACGAATGTAAGACGAAGAGTGACAGTTGAGAAAAACGATGTTTGCTTCCAACATTTCCCGACTCGCGTTCAAAAGGCTTCGCCAAGAACATTCTGCGTAAAGTGGCAAGGCGAAGACTTAGAAATCGCGAATGGATTCTCGGGAAGTTATTTGCATAATTCTGATGATGTTTGGTTGATTCAAGGCATTGAAACTGAAACTTTCGTTCAAAAGAATGATTGCGATATTCAGAAACATTCAATATTCACAAATGTCGCACATTATATTGATTGGATTCAAAATATTGTGAAAAGAGACACTGAACAAGTTTGGAAAGACATTGAACTCAAATGTACTTTTAAGAGAAATTTTGAGTAAGTTTTCGAAAACTTTAGAATTAAACTTGTTCTTTAATTATGATAATTTTCAGGGGTCTTTATGGATGTGAGGTTGAAAATTTAATTATAAACTCACCAAATGTTCGAATTGCGTCTATTTCTGGTCTTCATGAAGACAACATGGATAATAGCGCTGTTGAATATGTTTGGATTAAAGATAGTCAAACTTCACATTTGCCTCGTTTCGATGCTGGAATTTTCTTCCCACATTTGATTAAATATCTTATCACAAACAGTGGACTGAAATTTATAAGCCGTGATGATTTCTCGGGAATGCCAAAATTGGAGACTTTAGATTTGTCCCACAATGAACTTAAAGAAATCCCCGAAGATACGCTTTACGACTTGAATGAACTTGTTGATTTGTACATTGAAAATAATCAGTTTAAGAATCTTCCTGAAAATCTATTGAGTCACGCGCCAGCGTTCCAGAGATTCAAGGCCACAAACAACACGCTTGAGATTTTGCCCGCGAACTTTTTCAAGGCCAATCACGCCTTAAAAATTTTGTCACTTGACAATAACAAATTACATAAAATCTTTGTCGACTTCAGGCCATTCAGAAACTTGAAAAAAATCGATTTGCTTAACAATCGTTGTATCAGTACAAACTTCAATGACTGGAGAAGATACAAATCCGTGTTGATTGTTCAAAAGGAAATCGAATCGGCTTGTGTATAAGAATATCAAGCATTCGTTTGACATAAAATATCTTGTAACTGTGCATCTTTAAATGGCAAAAAAGCTTTGTAATTAATCTTTTTCATGATGAATAAATATTTCTATGCAAAGTATCATTTTCTTTACAAACAAAATTCATTATAATTCTCAACATCCTCTTAAATACTTTGATGTACATGTTTTCTTTCACAATTCAAGGAAAATTCTTTTCTCGTTACACAACTTACCTTGTTAACATCTCAAACAACCAAAAAAGTGTATTTATTGTAACAAGATTCCATGGAAATAAAAGAGAAAAAAGATTTTTACTTGTTTTTCTTTTCTATTTTGAGTTTTTCGATACTTTTCAAAGTAATTTAATAACGAGGAAGAAAACAGATTTTATTCGATATAATAATATTCGATAAAAATAAATGTACTTATGATAAAGTTATTTTATTGTAAATATTTTATAAAAATTCCTTTTTCTGCAATCTGTAGGGGGAAAACTAGTTTTAAGAGACAACCGGGGATTTTATTTCATTTTATTCTTTTTCGGAGAAGAAGAATTATTGTTCACAATCCAATAAATAGGAATGGAATATATATTTTCATATCTCCATTATAAATGATTCGAGAAATAAGCAATGCTTGAATAAGAAATGCAAGAAAGACTCTTGTAAGTGGATTTGATTATCTACTTTCAAAATCGAAATCTAATAAGAAGAAAGTTTATGAAATTCAATATATCACTGTATTTGTAGGAATAAATTGCCCTAGAGGTAGTTTGGGAATTTCACCAAAGTGTGCAGGATAAATTCTTGAATATAAATAAAATGTGCATTTGAATTTGTCGGGGTTACAATTTAGCCACGACTGGACTTGCTGTCTAATAAGAACATAAACTAACATGAAGACAGATAGTCGTGTGACTGCATTTAAATAACTCAATTACACATGAGTCAAATGAGGATAATTTCACTTGACAATGCCAGCTGATGCTCATATCTCATTGTGAACAATTAAAGAACATGCAAGTTTCATCGCTCAGTGTGATTCAACTAGACATAAAGCGTTGAATACATGCATATTTAATACAGAATTAATCCTAGTACGTTTAGAAAGGAGAAAGGCCGTTATCTATGTTGTTTTTAGTTGAAGTGAGGGTGACAATGTTTGGTAGATTAAAGACTGCTTTGAATATGTACATCATAATAGAATGAAAATTATTGGAGGCCAAGTTGAAAGCCCGAGGGATTTGCATACACTATAAGGATTAATTTAACACAAATATGAACAAAAGAAGAATTTTATGTGAAGCGTGTAAAGCAATGTTCAAGATAAAATTTCACATTCGACACAATGCAGTAAGCAGAACAATGAAAACTGTTCAGCTACGAAATCTTTCGAGATGAAGTTGTCTCATCATCTCTTTTATACTTAAATAAATTAAACGGAGGGTTTGTGATCTAGCAAATTCGAAACAATTGGAAAAGATTGCAAGCAAGAAAAAGGATCTGAAGTAATTGCATTTATGTACAAATATATGCTTTCTTTTTATGTTTCTACATGTTTAACACGAACTCTCGAACACTTCAGATAATCTGAATCGTGACGTTCCGTTAAAAGTGTTTCAGATTGAAGAAAAAAAATTTCGATAGAATTCAAACTATAAAACAATTTCAAGGTAAAACTTTTTATTGATATTTTGTAGCATTAAACTGAATCAATTAAGGAAGTTAAAAATTCACGAAAGACATTCAATAAACAAGAAAATTTCACGAAAAACAATATTTACTTTCCGATGAAAAACTTTATTTGAATCTAAAATAATTCAGTCACAAAATAACTTCGAATAAGCGGAAACATTTTCTTAAGCACACAACGTGAATTTGTAATGAAAACATAGCCAAGGGCTGTTCGTAATAAATTTTGTAAATCTTAAGAACTTCCCTTGTGAGTTTCCAAATCAGTTATGACAATAGAAAATATTCTCTGCTGGTAACTAATCCTGCACTTATTCCCCCCAGCTGTCTTGAATGTACTCACTTTTTGCATATATATTTTTCATGACAGAGTTCACATTTTAAGACTTGAGGATTTTCTGAGCGATAGGCGATAGAAGTTTCCCTTTTTTTATTCCCTTCTGATGATTTCAAGGAAAATGTGAAAAACAAACCCTTCATTGAAGTATCGGATAGGAACATCAGTGCGGGGGTGGCACTGAGTGGTGATAATAAGAGCGAGAGGGTGTCAGATTACAGCATCATAAAAACGACGTGAATTTGAATCGAAATCTGTTTTTATTTTCCAATTGAAGTCAATTTTCTTGTTATTACTATGAGATACCCTTCGGATTTCTTGAGAAATTTCTTTTGCAATGTTTTCATATCATTCAATATTTACAAGAAATTGAAATGTGCTGTTTCAGTTACTGCTGATGCTTCTCACTCACAACAGCTTTTCATTGCTTTCCTCCTTTTTTTGCGATGTCATAAAAATAAAAACGTAAACGGAGACCATGACGTGACGGTTTTACTTTTCCTCTCGTTGCATTTTATGACTTTGCATGATTTTCTCGTTATTTCCGTCGTCTCTGCTCGTTTTCCCTTGAGAAATAAAGAAATTTATTATTTCATTTATTGGATTTTTCTGTTTATTTTTAATGTTCTGTGATCACTTTATGTCTGCCCTCACTTTGCTAGCACAAAACTCGTAAAGAGTTTCATGAAAAATCTTAGAGTTAATCAAATGAAAGCTTTTTATAATCAAAAATTTATATTTTTATGATTCTTGTTTCCTTCCTTGTAAAACAATTGGTGGAGAGTTTCTTGAAAGCTTTTAAATGTCTTGGACTTTAACGTGATAAATTAAGAATAAAAATAAAGTCAGAAGCTTTGCAATTCGAAGATTGTTTAATTGGGAATGTTTCGTTTCTCCACACTAAGTTAATTTGAATCGAATAATTTGCTATCTGTTAGCCAAGTTCTTTTGAAAAAGTTGATGAAAAGTAAAATGAATTTAGCACAGTTTTCTCAATTATTTTTATTTTTCGAATAAACGTCTATTTAAGTACATGAAAATAAAAGGAAAACATCGGAAAAACACTTCACTTCATTAAACCGACATTCATCAAATGAAAGAAGAAATTTACTTTTAATATCTTTCTACATTTCTACATTTAAAACTTAAAAGACTCTCTCACCACTTCTCCGTTTGTAAGTTCTTTCAATTAGAAAATTAAATTCCGTCATTAAAACCCACGAGCGACTTACTGCTCGACAAAGTCGGGATTACCTTCCAAAAATTTAATTAAAAAGCTGATGGAAACACTTCTCTGCTGTCTTTGTTAATTCGCCACATCAATTCAAAACCTAAGAAAGAGCTTTGCATCTTTTGTAAAGTTATTAAGATTGAAGAAAGCGAGGAGGAAAATCATAAACATTATGAGAATAAACAGCTCCAGAACCGACACTTTTGCTGACTATAAGGAGGCTATGTTGAGGGAGTTGCCAGCCCAGCATATTACAATTTTCAGCGAACGTCAATTCTCATCATAATCATAACTTTCATGCAAGCACGTAACGTTCAGTATTTCTTTCATACCATGAAAGAAGTAAATTAAAATGTTTTCATGCAAAATACGAACGTTGAGCGATAAAATTTTTGCAGACTTCGTGCTACATTGGGATGAAGGCAGTTGATAAAAATAAACTCAACAGCAAGAGGGGTTGAGAATGAATAGTTGATATCATTTCTTATACAACAAGAACAAGAAAGAGAAAAAAATCCAATCAAGAAGCTAAATTGTGTCTGAGTGCACGTTAGGTTACGATCTTTAAAGTAATTGAAGATAGTTGAAGGAAAAGTCGTCCGTCATTGCAATTTCTTTAAGCGTGAAACTTCGAATAAATAAATTATGAAGCACTTAATGAAAAGAAAGAAGCTAATATTTAAGAGACACATGAAAACCAACCCAAATTGAGTTCAATCACCCCAAAATAAGATCTAATGTAATTGATGGGAGAGAAAATATTTCACTAACTTCAATTCTATGTGATGATAATAAATTTATACGATTTGCAAAGGGAAAATTTCCTTCGAGGGTTGACGCATCATAAACCCATAAATGTGAAACTACAGACAATTATGCACTTGAATAGATCAAGAAATCTCTTTTAAATTTGTTCTTTTTCTGCCAGAATTTCTAATTTTGACTCGTCACTATTCTTATTCGTTTCTCCTTTCCAATTCTTCGGGGTTGATTCACCCCGACCGCTAACCAGTAAGTAGAAGAAAATTTCTCTACCGTCTCGGGGTTTTGTTCGTCGTATGAGTCGAGTATTTTCCTACACGACAATTTTCTTCATTTCATTTGGAATTTAAATTATTTTTCTGCTTCCTTTCGCCTTAAGTTTCGTCTTTATGTTCCGATGAAGATCGTAGAGGCGAATGAAAGGAAAATCAAGTAAACAATTTTCTTTATCAAATTTTGTTGAACCCTATTCGGGTTTCTTAAATGGAAAATGAAAAACGAAAGGTTTTTGCCAAATGAAAATTGAGAAAACACGAGCAGAATGAAAATATTTTTTCATAAAGTTATTTCATAAGCTTTGAATTAGCGATGAGTGTTATCATTTCATTAGATTTCTAGGTAGATTCAACATCAAAACATAAGGATTGCGATTTTGTCTCTAAAATTTAATTGAAGATTTTACCTTGGATCTTGATATTCATTTAATAACGCGTACATTTTTAATTAAAAACATCAACGCTGTCTCTTATCAAAATTTTGAATGCAACCGTCCTGAATAAACAAGACCTGAAAAAATAAAAAAAGCAAACTTATCTTGGTAGAGTAAAAAATAAATATTTTCTCTCGTCTGAATACAGAAAAAGTTAAAATACTTTTTTTCTCTTATTCACATTGTTAATTTTGCTTCAACAAGATTACTCTGTAAGGTGGAAAAATCAACAGAAGGAAGAAAAATGTAATTTAAAGCAAACACAACGAAAACGAGGCTGAAGGAAGTCTCGAATAAAAAGTGCAATGTAATTTTTTCCTTCTTCGTCTTCATCATCAAAATTAAAGTTTTTGTAATAGTATGAAGAGAAGAAAGCTTTCGATATCGCTTGGGTAGGTTAAAATGTAATTATTTGAAGTGAAAGATGTCTGGGAAGTTTTATTTATTCAGTCTCAATGTTCATCCTCAAATGATGTAATCATGACTATTTGTGATCTCATTTTCTATCGATGTTCCTTCAGAATTCCTGAACACACAACTTGGTCATGTCTAGGGTTGTCAAGTCAGGCCTGACGTCATGGTGAAAACCCTACTCATGTCACTTAAATTAAAAATCCGTTTTGTCATCATTTTATGAGATTAAATTACAAGAGATTTTTATGATCGTAACTCATATGACAATTAAGGCAATTTTTTTTATTACCCATGCTGCAATTTATGTTAAATGATTGCGTGGAAATTAATTATTAAAACTATGTCTCGTCGACACGAAGTTGATATTCCCTTTAGTGAATCATTTTGAATTAAGAATTCTCTATGCTCACCTCCTATCAAGCAGACGCTTAAGCGTAAATTGGATTAATTAACGTTGTCATCAACTTTCTACTTTATTTTCCGTTCATCCCGCAACAATAACAAGTAGAAACCACTAGAACAGCAATCACGTAATGGGAATTAGATTAAAAGAAAATTCCACAGAATTGCGTGTTGAGTATCGTGGATGAACAAATCTAAATTGAACACCACACAATCACGCTAAATTAAGGAGTTTTTCTTTTGTTTAGCAAACGAATGTTCAGTTTGATTCTCATCAATTTAGTTGATTTTTTGATTGGAGAGTTTTACGATTAAATTCTAATGGGTTATTCATTCAATCATTTTATGTTTTCTACAAAGCAAAAGAACTTTCAATTAAGTCAAAAACATTTATTCCATTTAAAACAGCATCTTCCGTCCCATGATGTAAATTTAATTTCCTGACAAAGAATTCGCAACTTCTTTCAGTCAGCCTCTGCAGCATGAAACTTTTATCAGATGCTCATGACATCGCATCATGATGTTTGCAAATTGAAAGTAATACTCGTTCCATCTTCATGCCAGTCTACTAGTGTTTCTCAAAATCCCTATTTTTAGGGAATAGGGAAAAAGAAATCGTCAAATTTCTACTAGAAATCGCTTAATTTTTCCTATAAAGATGGATTGTTTAGTGTTTTCTATGTCAGAACATTACGTTAATGCAGTTTTTTCTTTTAAAAAAAGTCGATATCTAGTAGAAAATCATCGATCCCTGATCCCTGTTTTTCAAAAAACAGGGATTTTGAGAAACACTACAGTCTACGAAATGAAAAATAAAATAAAGAAGAGAAAATAAAAATGAAACTAAGTCGGTGAAGAGGGGGAAAGAAGATAAAAAAAATTAATGTTGAACTGAATGAGAAATGCATTTTCCAGGGTGGTGGGAAATTGAAGTGTCGGAAATAATGAAATTTAAATTGTGAATGATGCTGACGTTCCTGAATTAAATAGATACATTATACTTGAAATGGAACTTGAGACTACACTCGGTGGTTGTAATAGAATATTTCCACTCTTCACCTTCTTCCTTACCCAGGATGAGTAAATAAGATAAGAACTTTGAATGGATAGAACTTTGAATTAGATTTTGGCAACGTTCATCAATGCGTGAAAATTGTTAAATGTTGAATGATTTCGAACATTTATTTGACAGTTAAGTGGTGTATCAATAGAGAGATAGTAGATAGGTAAATAAAGTAACAAATCTTTCAATTTGTTCTACAATTTCTCAGTCAATCGAAGAATTCAAATATTTCGTGTAGTGATGTATTTGATTTTAAACTCAAAAAGGAAATTGTTTGAATTTATCTTCAACTTATGTACATTGAAAGAATCTATCGTAAAGGTTTCTGAACTTTCAACGAATCTTTCGAACGTATACATGAACTTTATAAAAAAACTCTTTGAAATCCTTTCTTTGTTTTGTTGGAATGAAAAGGTTCTAAATATGTGCTCGAAATTGTCATTTAATCTGATTTATTGTTTACCTTTTACTTTAAAAGAGAAAATCTCCTTCTACCAAAAAAAAATCATAAAACTTTACAAACTCTTCGAGTATTATTTTCACATTTTCCCTTTCAACCATCGTCCCTTGTGAAGGCCACTAGAAATATGAAATACAATAAGAGGGGAAATAGTAGAAAAACAGAAATAATTGGAACAAGGCAAAGAAAAAACGAAAGAAAGAAAAATTCAGAATTATGAAGTGGAAAATTCAGATTCATATTTCTCGATATCATCCGCAAAAAGATTGTTAACAATCTCGGAGGGAGCAACCTTTTTTTTCCTTGCCAACTCTAGTCGCAGTACCTCAATTGTTATAGGTAAAATTGTGGGATTATTATTTCTAAAGATTGAGTTTTATTTAAGCAAACTCTCAAAGTTCTCCTTTCCCTCCTTACGTGCTTTGTGTTTTATGCTGAATTGCTTGAAACATCATAAATTACGGGAATTATAGTCAAACATGTTTCGGACTGCAACGTATGAACATAAACAAAATGAAGCTTTTCTGTTTCACGTTAGAAAATGATTTTACATTATCTACGAACGACAAATTTTACGAATAATTAAGCAGATTTGAGCTGAAGCACTTTTTTGTCCCGCAATCGACACTAATTGCTTCTGCATGAATGCACTTTGATGTTATGAAAAGGCTTCCCACGTCTGCAGTCTCTAACCAAGTGTTTTCTCTCCTTTATTTTCACTGTCGTAGCGACATGAGCGAAAACGTTTAACTTTTATCAAAGCTCTGAAACTTCTAATAGAAGCAAAGTACTTGACTTAAATGCATTCTACATGAAGTAGATCGTCAAATTGAAAATGCTTTTAGTATGAACGAGATACAAAAACTAAAAATAAAACTCTTGTCTTGGTAGTTAGCAAAGCAATGTTCTGCTATTAAAAGGATTTTTATTTCCTTAATTATGCCTTTCGCATAGTTGCATACTTTAAGCCAGTGCAAGTGCTGGCGAAGCATTGCGCTAATTAAAATTCTCTTCTTATTAAATCTCATAAATTCTCCGTCGTTCTTCAACAAATCCGCGTTTTATGAGAGCCGTTAAAGTCCCTCAACTTGAACAGCAGATGAAAATTAAAAACGATTTTCAAGAAATTTCATTTATGTAAAGAAGTTATTCGACCGAAAAAAAATTGAGTTCCAAAGAGCTTTCCATGCCAATGTGGGCAAGAATCCAGACGTGTTTTTATCGTGACAGAAGCGGGAACAAAGTTTTCCTTTCCTTTTTGAAGATTTATCAAACAAGTCTCTAAATGTGTTTTCTGTGTTGATACAAAATGGGAATTGAAAGTTGATAAAAAGTGCTTTCGACTGCTTTTTTCCTCTAAAAAAGTAAATATATCTAAGGTAGGATTTTTATGGAAAAAGGTGAAGTGGAACTCGAAAGATTTCAACTCAATTGAAATTTATTTATTTGAACAAAATTTTTTTGTAATTTGTTTTGCTTTTTCACTCACTATTTTCATAACATTTCGTTGCTGTTCAATTCATGAAACCAATCCACTGTTTTATTGTTATCAATTCTTATTTATACCATCGGATTACTCTGCCATTTTCCTAACACACATCCATCCACCAACGCAACGCAATCCCCATGACAGAAAAGCTTCTATCTATCAAAGAAATCTCATTTTCCGCAACGAGACAACATGTGTGAATCGATTTGTGTTGCCGCTTCGCTTTCGCATTTGGAAAATGTAATGACATTAGCGTTCCTTCTTACTAATGCCTGATGAAGAGAAAATAGCAAAAAATGACGATGAATCAACAGAACAAATCAACAAAAGCAAAAATAACAAATCGATTTTAGGTTCAGTTCAAATGTCTTCGAAACATTCTCCTCGTTGCGTTTTCGTTCGAATCGAATTTCGTTTATCGATTTCACTTTTTTTTCTCTTGTTTTATCTCTTCCATGTTATTAAAAATTCAACCTTCTACGCTATCGATATGCAATTTGCAATTCACAAATCACCATTAAACATTTCTTTGTGATGAGATACCTTCGATATTTATCTAGAACGCTATGAACGAGAACTGACAAAGAATGTGGAATTCATTCATTCAAAAATTGAATTTCAATCGCAAATATTTGCGGTCGGTAGAAGTGCCTGCATTTACATTTCATCTCATAAGTATTTCTTCCCAGATATCTGAAGTAAGAAAAAAATGCAAAAAAGGTAAAATGAAAAATAGAATAACTTAAATTGGGGCAATTTTAAGTATCGTTACGAAAAGTGTTTTCCATTTCAATTCGTTCGTTGACATTCTCAAATGGGGTCACAATTTACACTCTTTGTTCATTTCGGGAGCACTACTGAAAAATGAGGTTTTCTGGGCTTGCATAAAACATTTTTTTTCAATTCCTTTTTGCTTTGTGGAAGAGAAGAGCGGAAAAGAAACAAAACATAAAGAAAAATCTTATTAAGTTTTCTCGCTCCTTCGCTCAACACAATTGCGTTCCACGATTTGAATACAGAAGTAGGTTCACGTTCAAAGAATTTTTTTGCTGTGGCTCAACTTTAAGCAACACAATCAACAGTCGAAACATTCCACGCACATTGTGGTTTCGTCATAGTGATTGGTGAATTTCTAAAAATGTTTCTCAAGACATTGTCAACAACTTTCGAGCGTGTCATCGGTTTTCTTTTTACAAATTTCTCTTACATTGTAAACGGCTTTTGCAGTATTCAAGCTCATCGTCCTATCACTTGAACTTCTCTGTTGCTTCAAGAAATGGTGTATGAATAATGTGAAAACATGTAGCAAAAGAATTCTAATAATGATTTCAAATAAATTTCCCCCGACTTCTCTTTCTATTCTTGTGTTATATTTGACACCATTTCCAGATCATCCCAGAAAGCATTCTTTTACATTCATTTATCGCTTTTCCACATCGAAAATTTATGCTCGCGCTTACATTATGTATAAATTTCCATAATTTTTCAAATGTTAAATAGATTAGAATTTTCTTTTCTCTTTTCGTCTCCGATGTTCTCGATTTTCGGGGCTAAAAGCTTCTCATTTTTTTCTTCTTTATCGCTCTGTCTCTCTCACTCCTTTTTGATGACGACATTCAAATTATCCGCGCGCCGCTATGTAATCTGCTGCTTTCTGCTGGTTATTAATGCTTTATGATGATAACATGATTCGTGTAGTAATCGTTGCTTCCGTTTTAACCCAAAGTGAGAAGCTAATCCCCTGTTAAATTTATTGAAGCATCAGGCAGGGAAAGAAAAGAATGAAATAAAAATCGATCGCGATCTGATGACAAAAGGCGAGCGATGGGATGAGAAACTTGACGGAACTCATTGAAAAGAAAGAAAATCACACAAAAAGAAGGATGAACAGCGCATCAAGGCGTAATTAATTTGATTTCCGAGATGAGCTTTGACATCGAAAACGAAGACATTGAACATGAAAATAATTTCCACACTTTCGAAACCTTCTTTTCTTTTTTTCTCAATGCTCACTTCTTCATTGTCAGTCCATTTAATGATGAATTAATTGAAATTCGTTTCGTTCAACTTCCGCATGACTTGAAATCAAATCAAACAGAAGTGAGAAAGGATTCCTTTCTTCTCTTCTTTTCTTTTCCTTTTTTCTTTTTGCCTTTTCTTGTTGGCACGAAAAGTCAGAAAAAAATTGAAAAGAATTGAATTCGGTGAATTGAAGAGATGAAAACTTGTGTTAAATTCGACATCCTACTTTTTCAATCTTTAAGTTTCAATGCGTCACTTTTGTTGAATTCAGGAAAACTTTTAAATTAGGTTACTTTGCGATGTTCAAAACTTAAAGCTCACCACCCAGATACGGAAATGAATGAACACGAGGAAACAGAAACTAAGTAATCGAACCAATTGGCCTCGAGCGAGAAATTCGAGAACTCTTGTAAATTGTAATCGCTAATGGATGGTCTTAGGAAAATACTGGAGGTAAACAAAAACGAAAGACGTTTACATTTCTTAAAACAACACGAACTGCTTTTCAGCCAAAAAACAAAAACCTTTCATGAGCTTAGCTGCTGAAAGCGTTATTAAGGAAGTAAGCAAGAAGCGAATAGATCTGATTCTCCCTCGTAATTCTTTTTCAATTTCTTCCAAGTTGAAGAAAATATTTGTTTACTTTGCCTCGTCTCCCTCTCTTTTTGATTCGACAAAGTTTTCTATCAAAATGCTGTTGTATCAGTTCCTTTCCTTATAACCTTCATCCTTGTATTTCAAATCAACTGCACATAGATTCCCGATAGTCATCCTTTTTCCAAACAAAAATTGAATTATTTTCTGCCTTTACATGGTAATGCAAAAACAAAGAGAGATTTGAATTCATGAAATTACTTACAGTCGGCATGTGGAAATGAGAATGATGAACCGAAAATGTAATCGAAATCTAAAAAGATGCTTTGGGTGTCTATGAATATATCACAAGCTGAGCGGATATGTACAGAAAATATGATGAAAGGAATTGATGGAAATGAAGTCAGGGATTTATCTGAAACATTGGCGTTAGCGACGATGTGCATACATAGACTCCATACATATATCTTCTCGTTTTCTTTTCAAATTTGCGAAGTCAGTGAAAGCGATTTAGGATGGCAAAAGAGAAAGAGATTACTGAGGAGAATAACAAAGATTGGTTTATTTAAATTTTTTCCAACCTTCGTTGCTATCTTATTATCGGTTTTTCTCAAACGTCTATCAGGGAAATGGAATCCAGCTTGTTTTGTGCTGATCTAGCGTAAAAAAAAACCAGCATGACACAATGACTGACAATTTTTAGTAATTTTCCCTCAATTTCCGGTTTTATTCTTCATCTGAAGCATCTCGAGATTGAAATACGAATCGACAAAATGTAGGAAAAGAAAATTTTGAAGATTATTCTACAAAAGAATGTTCAAAAATCTGCTGATGATTTTTCGACAATTTCAATAAGCAGTAGAATTTTTATTGATTCAAATCGACGTTCCTCACAGCCTTGCCTGCTTTTGCAAAAGCAGAAGAAAATGAAGAAGCCAAACACGTTTAAATGAAACGAAAGCGTAATAAATTTTATGTGATTTTCATAGCATCATAGATTATGGAAATAAATGCCTACATAAAATGGAAACGCTCGAGCTTTGCTTCAAGTCAAAAGTGTTTTGGCATGACTTGAGGAAAAGTTTCTTTGAAAATTTTGGACATAAAATGTTAAATGTGATTTGAAGTAATCACAAATGCCGCACTTGAAACTTTGAAGTGCTGTTGATCCCCAGAAATAAATGAAAAATTTTCGGTGCATGAAGTTCCCCAAAAAAATTTATTTTTAAGTTTGATTGGACGGGGGAGGGAAAATAATATAAAAGCATTTTTTCATTCTTTTCTAATTTAATATTCAGGCCAAAGAATTTTCCCAGAAACGTTATAACATATTTCAATTAAGGGCTGGGTTTAAAAATACTGACAATGTCGGCATCTTCAGTTGATAAGGAACAATTTGTTGTTACAAAAATTACGCATGAGGCCATAATAGCCATATCATGTTTCTATAATAGCTTGATAAAGTTTTCCTTTTTCTATTTGGACGATGGACCAAAGCGGAACTTTGATAAGAAAAAGAAAGAATCTTTTGAAAAACTTTTTACATAATTTAATTTTGAGCAGAAAATTTATCATGCAGCAAAAAAATATGAAAATTTCTAAAAGATTTTCTTTGTAAAATATCATGAGCTATTAAGAAGATATTCTTCATCTCAATTTGTTTTTTAAGGATGAATCCTTTCTCTGATGATCTTACAAGCTTTTTGTTTATTATATCGTAGAACAAAAGAACAAGAAAGATGACGAAAAAATAGGAAGAAAGTTAAATGATAAAATTATTTTCCTTCTTTCCTCAGTGATTTCATTTTAAAAAGATTACAGATTTATTTTTTGTTGCCGATTTTCTTACTCACGATAGCACTGAGGATAGTTTATCTTGCACAATATAACTTGACTTCTTACTGTAGCGCAGTTGAAGACTTGAATCGAATAAGAAAGAAAAAACATAAACAGTGGAGTTCTTTTGAAGAGTTTACATCCCACTCTTTGCTCTGTATCATGTTCAATCACCCAATGTTTTCATGAAACAAGCATCGGCGAGGAAAAAGTTTTTCCATCAAAAGAATATTTCACTTTTTTCCTTCTCTTTTTCTTTTGCGTCTTGAAAAGCTTCATCTCATCACGGAACAGAATAAAAAAAAAGAAAAGTTTTTCATCTTAATACGTCTTTCGTTGCGCTCCAAAAGGAAAATAAAAAACAATGAGCATCATTTATAAAATTTTATGTGAGCTGTTACAAGCTTTAATGACGTCATAAAAATGAAAGGAGAAAAAAAATAAAGAAAGAGAATTCGACGAGTCGTTAGTGTAACGAATGTTGTGTTGCTTTCTGAGAGTTAAAGTCAATGATCAGGTCGATTTACAATTCATCTTAATGATGCTGATCGGGGATAAAAGTTAATGTTTTATGTTTTAAATGGGGGACACTGTCGGAAACAATCTGCTTCTTGTTCATGATAACAATTCAACTCATAACAAAACAACGGTCAACAATTGCCGACTTAACTCTTTTCTCACCCCTTATTAAAGCTTTCGAAAGTTTTCAAGAAATAATAACTTTTCTTCATCATCTCTTTCCCTTCGTCTTCCTGTAATCTGAGGCGGTTCTTAAGTATTCAAATGGAGATTTGGACAAAAGAAACAAAATCTTTTTCTTTTCAGAACAAGAACCCTTTTTCCAACTCACTCGCACCGAATGGATCACTTAAGCATCCCCTTATCGACAAGTCAATTTATCTGCTTGTTTGGGTATTTGGACTAAAGAACTTTTTAACTTCCCTCTGGCGAGGGCATAAGAAGATTTGAAGGGCAAATTTTCCCAACTTTATTTATGCATGTTGTAATGAGATAAGACTCATAAAAGTCGAAGAATATCAAAAGAAACACTTTCCATATCCTTCGTATTTTCTTATTGATCACATTTCTATTTTCTATGGACATTCATTTCTTACTACTATAAAAATTTATACGACACTTCCTTTGGGACATTTGTCATTTGTGAAATTGCTTAACTTTCTGCTCTCCCGTCACAATAAAACAAAAAAGAAAACTTTCTGCTTTCAAACGGCCAACAACGACGATGTTAAGAGATAATTTTTCTTTTTCTTTGGGCAATAATTTTGTCGTGAAAAAATGTCAAAAATAATGAGAAGAGTTTATTCAGAGGGGTTGCTTCATTAGTCTCGGCTCACGACTTGGAAAATTCTATTTTTGAATTTTTGATTGAAGCACTCGAATGTGAATTTGAAGTTGTTTAAAAGTTGTGAAAAGAATTTTTCTGTCCAAAGCCCGTGAAAATGTTTGAAATCTCATTAAATTACCAAGACTTCCAAATTAAATTGCGACCCAGATTCGACAGACTTTTCATTTCCATCTTCTTCCTCCGGAAAAATTATTCCATGAAAGTAAAATACAAATAATGAGGAAAATCATAACAATATTTCTCCCATTCTTGTATTTAAGCATAAACGTTATTTGTTTCATCTTGGCACAATCTGAAAGTCAGAAGATATTTCATTTTATATTTTAAAGATTGTTTCATTTCCAACAATCTATTTTTTCCTCATTTTATTTTTATTATTCATGAAAGCTTTTATATTATAAATAGTATGTAAAACCAATTGTTTTTAATGTATATATTTAGACAAGCTATTTTTCTAGGGTTTTTGATTGTTTTAACAGCACATTAAAAATACTTCATGGTATAAAACAAAATTCCTTGAAACATTTTCAACTGTAGGCTTAATTAAAGAAATTCTTCATTTAAAATTTATTAAACTTTATATAGAGGAAGCATGAATATTAACATGCCACTCCATTGACGAGTTTATCAACTAGTAAACCATAACAGAGAACCGTTGAGACAGAAAATTATGTCTCTGATTGCTTTTCAAGAGTTGGCAATGGCATGAATTTCGAGCTTCTTATCGCTAATGTCTTTTTATTAAATAATGGCACTAAAGCTGTTGATTATTTGTGTTCTTCTTTTATTCCTCGAATGAGTGAAGAAAAAAGCTTTTTAGATTAAACCAATCTGCTTCTCCTTTTTTTTTCTATTCATACAACATAAAAGCTAAACGAGTGAACGACAAAAGACGAATCTCGCTGCTTGTTTGCTGATGCTGTTCATACAAGAAACGAAAAATAAACTAATTTGGTTGTTTTGAGAGACGAAGAAGAATGAACAAAATAACAACAAACAAACAAAGGCATTATAATAATGCATAATGACATAAGAAAGGATAAAACATGATGTTTGTACTCGACGGAAATGTTCTGCAAACATAAATAAGTAGCAAATGTTTGACAGAAGAATTTTATCTTTGAATGGCTTTTTGCTTCCTTGGAATTTCTTCCATAGTGTTCTCATATATTTCTTCGTCATCGACCAGAAAGCTTTTGACTAACATCAAGCCATCTGTAAGAGGTTGATCCAATCTTAATGTCGAACTATAAATTTTCTCTCATATCGCACATAAAGCTTTCAAGTCGCTTAATAACTCAAGTTTAGTGTCAATTTCTCTTCTTTTCATCTAAAACATGTCATTGAAACCGTTTAATGACTTTTGTCTAAGCAAGCCTCACATGAGGGAGATAAATGACGGTACCACACGACTAAAAGCTTCCCTCAATTAAAGTCTTCACTTTCCCTCGCATATATTTACAGAGGAACCGAAAACCTTTAGAAATCTCCCACACAATGAGTTCATTCCGTCGACTCATTATTTTAATGTTACATAAATACGATTTGATGAATGAGGAAAACTTCCACTCTCTTTCACTCGCTTCAATTTTCCTTCTTTTTCATTTTCATCAGTATGGAAAATAAACGAGACTTTTATGATGTTCTGTAATGAGTGTGCATCTTGTAGATGAACAACGCATGAGATGGTGAAATTAATTAGGCTTTTGCCACTTCAGCTTGTTGATTCATTTTATATTTTTATAACCTTTACTTGAATGTTAATATTGCCAGAAAAGTTCACATTTCCTTTAGCTTTCTGAAGCCATTTGGGCAACGAGCCATAATTCAAATATTTGAAAAGTTAACGCACTTTTCTGGTTAACTGAACTGTACTGAAAACGAATTTATTAAATGTTCAATATTGCCAAGACACTCAAATGGCGTAGAGCGGCACAGACTGACAGAAAAGAGAAAGAAAAAAAGCTGACAGAAAGTCAACAATGAAGAGAATTTCCCCATTTAAAAATCAACAAAAGGCTTGAAAGGAATGAAAGAGCTTTTACACTCCACGGGTTGAAGAGACGATAAGAATATGAGGGGATTATTTGAAAATGTGGTTCTTGTGAGCTAAGAAGACTTGAAACGTGTGTGAAAAATATATTTTGTCTCCTACCATTAAATTATAAAAGAAAAAGTTTCGTACAAAATGTAACTTTTTGTTGAAATGTCAAACTTAAAAGTTCTACTGAACTACTGAACTACGAAAATGCTTGAGTGACATTGTTGGAAAGATATTTACATGTTTATATATGAAAAAGCCTTTAAATGAAAATAGAGAAAGCCTTCGTGTCTAGTCACTGTTTTTTCCTTTCTTTTGTTATGTTGATTTTTTGAAAGAAGGTTTGCCAAAAGCTTATTCTTCTGTCACTAATGTCTTTTATTCTGATGTGACAGCCATGACGACAATATTTAATGTAAATTTTTTTCATTCTCTTGTTTTACAGTTACTGTTGACGGGCCTTTGCATAATGAGCTTGGCAAGAAGACGAAATCGTTACAGCTATTTGGTAAGTGTTGAAAAAAGAAAAGCTTTGAAAAGGGAAATGAAATCCCACTCAAATTACATCACACTTTTCATCTCATCAAACTCGTTTGTATGCTGAGTGACCCCAAGTAAAGACGGGCATTATATCACTTCATTCAATGCTAGTTTCTTAACATATTTACATCCAACAGGCATTGAAGACATAAAGAACCTAAAGCATAAAAAAATAAATCTTGAGTCATCAGTTACTTCGACCATAACTAAAATGCAAAACTGTTGAAAGCATGAAGCATTCAAGGCTTTGAATATATTTGTTTTAATAAAGCAAGTAGTAGAATATGTATTCATAAGGAAATCCTTTTCGTTTACGACCGATTAAGGCTTAAGATATATGAATTATTCCACGACAAGATGAGATAAATGCTTGCTCATAAAATTAAAATATTTTTTCCTTTTTGTAACAATTGATATCGTGCTCGACATCCCGCTTTGAAATCTTTTCGTAAATGAATACATAAACCTTTTCACATCGTAAGGCAATGAAATCTTCTACTTAATACATGAGAACATGTAGCAAAGCGGCATCGTCAAGTGATTTATGCCTTTGGCATTATTTTTCTACATTCCTTTCTCATGTTGCCTGTTTTTCTTTTCTCTTATTCTCGTATTTCGAGAGAAACCATCACACAGTTTCTTTCCTACTCTACATTGCTGAGGTGGAAGGATAATTACAGCATAATAGCAAAATTAAATCATCACTCATTTCACTACTTTATTTATTCGAACATTCGCATTCCTTATCAGCCCACAAAACTCACTCACGCAAATAACTTGAGTTCATTGTTGCGTAAGCATTTCAGAATCGTGATTATATTTACGATTAAACCAAATCGATTACGAAAAGATTTCAATAATTCAAATTGAACCCTTATCTTGATAAGATCGTCTGTTCATCCTCAAGTTGTCTATTTTCTATTACTAAAATTTCTTACATCGACGCTACTGATGAAATAAAAAGAAAATGTGAAGAATTTTCATTAATAAAATAAACAATCAAACCACTAAGAATGTTTGACAATTAATCTTTAATTAAATTTTTCTTTCTCTATCTCATTCCAAAAAAGATAAAACTATCTGGAGCTTGTAGTTTAGCATCAGCGCTTACTTGTGCCTTGGTTACTGTGACAACAACTGTCATCCATATGAGTCGATTACAAGCTTTGCGTGAATGTCAATACACACAAAAGACAAGAACTTGTACGTGTTCATCTGCACTCTCGGAAATGTCAGGCGACGATATGGATGATGGTGTTGGCGTACGATTTGTGTTTGATGCAACAGCTGATTGCAGTGTGGTACATGGCGCTCTTTATTCTTGTTTGCGAGCAGTATTTGGACTTTCTGTTGCTGGTGTTTTTGTAGCTGTTTTCAGCTGCATGCTTGTCTACCAGTTATTGAGGTAAATAATTCAAAAAAATGAAAATTATTCATTTAACGTTTTTCTTATTCTCTTCTCAAATGTTTAGTCATGAAAGGAAAAAAATGTATTGGGAACAGTTAGAACTACGCTGCCGATCATTGTATTCTGGAGCTCCACCAATGCCACCACCAGGGCCTGCGATAATTGGAACACCTCGTGGTGCTACTTGTCGTTGCTGTGAACAATGTCATGCACATCGTGGGGCAATACCTTCTTCATTTCCATGGGATGGTGATAGCCGCTTTTGGGCAGGTCAAGGTGGAAATTTTTACTCGCCCAACCCTGGCGGTGATGAAGGGAACAGAATGGGCACATCAAGAAGCGGCCAAAGGAATCGTTCTTGGAATTGGCCAAGAATGCCTTGGCAGCGACACGAACCATCACCAACAACAACACAAACACAACCTCCGCCATCACAAAGGTTTCGCGGGCCAATTTCAAGCTCCGATTCTCAATATGGATTTTCTAATGGGACAACAAACATAGCTGATGCTTCTTCGTCATCACCGCAACATGGCTACAGTGTGATAGGTGGACCTTATGGAGTTTGGGGCCCTCCACCTCCTTATTCCGATCCTAACAGTCCTGCAAGACGTGGTGGACGTTATCAATATGTTCATCCCAATCCATGTCATCCAATGCTCGACCAACACATTCCACCCAACCAACCACCGATTCTTGAATGTCATCAACATAATTTGTCAACAACTGAAAGTCACTCTGAACAATTTTGTCCACAAAGTTCGGGTCATCAACAAGCACGAAATCTCATTAAAAGACAAGCACAATTTAAGTCGAAGGAGAACTACGAGAATGCACCATCGGATAGTGATGGGGGACGATTTTCAAATACACTCCCAGTTCGTAAGACAAAGAAACGTGTTGATGTTGCTACTAATAAGAGTATTGGTTCAAATCAACCACAACAAAGAGTAAATGTTCAGAATGTTTTCAATAACTTGCAGACAGAGTCGAATAATCAGTCGGAAGCTTCGGAAAATGAATACAATGAACCAACAGATCCAAGTACTGAACCTACGTCAGCCAATCCCACGCCTCAACACGCAAGAAATCGAAGAATCAAATTGGGCATTGAAAATACTGGCTTTCAGCCGATTGAAAATGCCGATCGTGTGGAGTTGATTAACGGAAATGCTGAGTCTGAAGTTTATTTTGCAGATGTAAGCAGCTGTTGCAATATTTCCGTGAAAAACGACAATTATTATGAAGATGCAAATCAGCGGCTAACGAAAGAAGGGAAAACCGATGCGGATGATTATTTGTCGCAAAGATTCGGAAAGAAAGAATCATCGATAAGAAGTCGACTTCCGTTTCCTCAGAATATTTCGGAAGACTTTCAAGAAAAGTCTTCAAAGTCTATCGTGCCTGCTCCGAGAACATCAATGATTTCAAAAGAGATTTCTCGACAAAGCATGTGTTCGATTGATTCGGGAGAAAAAACTGACTTCACTGACCTTTCACCTGCCACTCCAACAGTGAACTTTCAACCATATCCAAGCAAAGCAATCGATAACTACAATCACCAGCAAGATAATTTTGTGGCTACATTTCCTTACAATGAGACAAGCCAAGAAGCTCATCGAAGGGCAACAAAGAATCTTCATGACATCTTCATATCTAACGATGCTCAATACGAAACAATCAAAGATTCAAATCAATTTGAAACGACGCCTTTGACGTTGAATTACGAACTCAATCATGACATTTCATCGTCATCAATATCTTCAAGTAGCTACAGCAACAATAAATCATCACCCATCCACTACTCTAACAATGGTACGCCTACAAATAACAAAACAAAAAACGTCAATGCGTCACCCTCGAAACGACAAAATCTCGGCACAAACATCAGTGCAATTATTCAAAATCTTAGCTCTGATCTCTATCCAGAGAGTAATAGTAATACACAGAGTCCCCAACATAAGTATAAACAAGACTGTAATAATGATGTAATTAATAGTAATATAGTGGTTAGTAGTAGTTGTAATAGTGAGAAGCAAAAAGAGTGGTCGGAGCTCAATGGCAATGACCATCGAATGTGAGACGAAATTTATGTTTAGCTGCTAATGTCTTAAGTAGCCATGTTTTTTATTTTATCTAAATAACATTAAGAATTAAGGAACTTAACGTTGTAGAAGTATCAAAGAGAAAGCAGCAGATATTAATGAGATATGATTAAAGAGAATAAGAAGGATTGTTTATTTAATTAAAGCTCGTCTTGTTCCGCGTCGGAAGCAGCTAGAGATAAAACAAGTGATGAATTAGAAAGAAGTCCAAGTATCCCCTGGTGATCACTAATAAATTTCAGGCCATTGACATTCAATTATGAAATTCTATTTAATGATATGATGATGATAAATGTAAGTTTGACTAAATAAATGATAATTAAAAAAATAATTTTACATTTTAGGGAAAATCATTGAATGTCAATAGCCTGAAATTTATTTTTTTAAGTGACAAAGCTTTGTAAAATGCTCAACCAAATGGGCAAACACAAATGATAAATCAACTTTTAATTAGTTCATAATTTAGTTAAAATTTAATAAGCGTTAAAAAGTTTATTTCTTGCTTCATCTGCTGGAAAACTGTTTCTGTGTACAGTCAAACGTGACACATCTACACGCTTGCTTTATTAAGCTTCACGAAGTGAAAGCTTAAATCATGAACATAAAAGCGATAAATTCGTTCTTTTTATTTCTCATTTCGCAGACAATTTATGTAAATTACACATTCAGATGTTTTATGTTGTTATTCTTTCTCAAAATGTTCTCGACACTCAACTTATTTAAGTAAGTTGCTGAAAGAGTAGAAGAATCCTTTCATTGTAAGCATTCTTCTCATTTTCATTGAAAAACATGATCATAAATAAAACTTTCATGACTGTAACGCCGAACAAAATCTATTTATGGAAACTGTTCATTAATTTTGATAAGAGAAAATAATTTTTTTCCAAGCTTTATGTTCAGCTATGCTTAGAACAGCAACTTTTGTCTTCCCTCTCACCCACTACATGGGCGAAAATTTATTTGTTCCACTTTTTTTCTTTCTTTCTTTGTATTCTTACCTTAAAATATCTTAGCATTAATGAAAACGCTTTCAATGATTCAATTTAATTACATTATTCTCTGTTTCTCTGTTCACTAAGAAATGCAAATTAATTAATAAATTACCATTTCGTTCCGGGACAGAAAATGCTTTAAATTTCGTATCCCCTCAGATTTTCTTGACGCTCTACCCTCGAGCGTACGGTGAAGTCGTAAGGAGATTAAGGGAAAAGCAATTAGGAAGTTACAGTTCGGAAGATGGAACAAAAAAATTATCATTATCGTAAAAGCGTTTTCATAGCTCTCGACTTTCTTTTCTCGTCGAGGTTTTTTTCTACTTCTTCCTTCATCTAGCATTAAATTTATGATAATTCTTTTGGCAAGATATCTCATGAAAAAACGATGGAAGAGAATCTGCATTTCCCTAGGCTGAGTGACTTAATGTCCTGCTGTTGTGAAATATCACGAATGACAAAGAAAAAACCTCCAGTGACGTTTTTCAAATCATATTTATTTCTCGAGATTATGTTGAAGAATTAATGATATAAACATTTGACAAATCATTTTTTAAAAGAAATTCTGACTTTAATTCTCATGGAAAGCGCAGATGAATCTTGAATGATCCTTTTACCAATGCATCTCTTTTAATTTTATTAAAAATCTCCATTAAATTGTAAGAAGAATCAGGCTAGCCAACTTATAGATCGTATAATCAAATTTAGTTCATTCTTATAAGAAGTTTCCATTTTCGTAGACTATGTAGAGAAAAACTTGTATTTTATATATTTTTTTAATTTTATTAATGCGATAAGCGAAGAAAGATTTGAGTATCTATAGAGCATAAATGATACTAAAAGAGAAAAAAATAAAAATTAATTAGACGACGCATAGAGACAATACAGAGAGAAATTCATTCATATTCCTAATTAAACAGAGAAAATATCTTTTGTCTGATTGCTGTATTAGCAAATATGATGACGACGACGACGACGACGACCATCATGATGATGATGATGATAATGGTAAACAGAAAATTTAATGGAGCAAGAAATGTTAGAAAAATCTCTGATATTAGAGAAGCTTCAAAACTTTATCGTCTTTAAATATCTGAAAGAAAAGCCAGAATCTTCCAGGTCATTGACATTCACTGTATTATTAAATAAAATAATTTTATGATGAAGAAACATTTAAAATAAAATTCAGGAAGAATAAAATATTGTGAATGTCAACCATCAGGATGAAAAAACGGAAAATTTATTTCGTCTTTCAAAATAATAAAAGAAAAATTTAGAAAATTCTTTTCCACATCTTTAATTCGCTTTATAAGTTGAAAAGAGTGTAAATCAATCCTCTTTTATTACACACCGGCAGCAATTCTGTCCATTCGGAAACTGTAAACAAAGAAACATAAAAAGTTTCCGGCAGGCTGCTCTCATTAGACAACAAAATAACTTTGTTTACAAATCTTCTTCCTTCACTTTTTCTTTTTCGCGTAAAAGAATAAGAATGAGAATAAAGAAATAAAAATTAAGAAGCGAAAATAAATGACAAAAGTTATATTTAAAAGAAGAAATAAAAAGTTGAGGTGTTTTATGATTGTTTGGGATTTACTTTACAGCATCTTTAGTAGAGTGACAACAAGAACAAGAAAGCGAAAATAAAAGAAACCCTCGAGGCGTTTGTGGTCGTTCCGGAAGGTTCGCCTTTACTTGGCTTTATTCTGTCATTTTCACCTCCCCCAGTTTCAATTTCGTTTTCGAGATCAATGTTTTGTTCCTGTGTCATCTCGTCTAATGACAACACAATGGCATCATTTAATGTCCTTAGGAGCGGATATGTTTTAGTTGACGATTTTGGAAAGTTTAACTTTACTTGAGGCTTTGTTCGGAAGTCACTGAAGCGATCGTCATTGATATCTTCTTTGCAATCTCCTTGGAAATCGTCAGTGTCAATACTCCACACCATCACACCACCCAAACCCTTCTTAATAGCATAACGAACTTTATTGGCAATTGATCTGGTTGAATCATAAGTCACAACACGTGTTTCTGTCGGCGCTTTCAATCTCGCAATCGCCTCAGATGACTCAACGTCCCAATTTGATTTCCACTCTGACGAAACATTACTCAATGAAGAGCAAATCTAAAAGATGAAATAGAAAATTCATAGTCATTGTAAAGAATAAATAAAAGTAGAAAGATCGAATCAACCTCATTGTAGCCCATAAAGCCATTTTCTCTTGTGTAAGGTCCTTGGAATCCTTGTTCGTCCGAGTCATCACCAATGTTACCGTCTTTATGTGTGATAAAAGTTCTTCCGTAAAAAGGCAATCCCATCATCAATTTGTGTGCTGGCGCGCCAAGTTTAAGGAAATAGTCGATTGAGAATTCTACATTCAATTCACCATCGTTTTCAAGCGGAGCATTGAAGCCAATTTTCTTATCCCACGCTCCAAAATAATCATAACACATGATGTGCATTGTATCCAAATAAGGCGCCAATCTATGAACGCTGTAAGCCATATCAATTGTCTTTTTTGACGCACCAAACGCCGAACTCAGATGTAGATTATGACGCTTGAATTCTTGTGAAAGTTCTTTGACTAATAAGACAAATGTTTCTTTATCTTGGGGCTTGCCGCCTCGGTCTGTTGGATATTCCCAATCAAGATCCAAGCCTGAATAATTTAAAATAAGATATCAACACATTTTGTACACATTTAAGTTTATTACCATCGAAGTTATGTTGTCGAATAAACTCTGATGATTGCTTAACAAAACGTTGTCGTTTGTCGGGATGACCAGCAAGCTCTGAGTAGTTGAAGCTTCCTTCATTCCATCCACCAATAGCCAGCAGCACTTTCAAGTGACGATGAGATTTTTTATAATCAGTTAATCTCTTATAGCCACCTTTGCCACCGCCATCTTCCAAGTCTTGCCAAGGATCTGCAATTAATTAAATGGAAGGAAAAGTGTTTATCGATTTTGTAAAAGGTTTCAACACTTTTAAACTTTGACACAAACAAAACGTCTCGAATGGGAAATTTTCATTCAAGCAGAATGTTGTTTTTACTGTCTCTTTGCTCTCATTTCATCCAACCCTTAAGTGCATAATAATTTCTTTATTGTGTTTGATAACGACTTCTTTTATTCTCTTGCAGTTTTGTGCAAGCAAAATCATTTTTTAAATTTCCTTGTGCAACATTTGCCTTTAGGATCTTTATTTCCTTTATTTTTCTTCTCTGTTCATTTCATATTCTTTTCCTCAGAATCAACAAAGAAAATTTTCTTTTTCTTGTTTTTTATGCTTCTGTTGTAGAAAGAATGTAACAACATTTTTCATGTTTAACAGAAAACTTAATTTTAAAATGAGATAAGATAAGAGCTTAAAGAAGACTATGAGAGTTAACACTTGAGGTTAATAAAACATCTGAATGATGTTGTGATGTAGTTATAGAGTGATGGATTGACTTATGCTTCTTAATACGAATTGAACATTTCCATCATGTGATAAGTTAATAGCGAAAGTGTAAACATCAACCAGATTTATTCGGAGATTATCGTGTTCAAACTTTAAAGGTTCAAACATGCATGTATTAAGATGGGATTTTCTGACATTAGAAATCGAAATTTGCCGAAGAATGTTGTGGTAAATATGAAAACTTCAAAGCAAAGCCGACGAAGTTAAACTTTTCTTCAATGGGTGTGATGAACGGATAGATAAATAAATATGGCATGTCGTATCATGGAGACAAGAAAACCACAGAGACAAGCCCTATTTATATTAAGTAAGTAACCCAACATTCTAACAAGAACGCTAATCTAAAACAGAATTACCGCAATTTGCCGAACCTTGAGCGATGCGAGACTTTTGTGTCAACATTTACGCAACAGGGAAAAGGAATGAAAGGATGGGAACAAGAACAAATGTCTGTATCAGATGGATTTCTGTTTGCTTACCACCATCTCATTTCTTTGTTCATTCGCGTCATATGGTAAACGAAAAGAAAAGTGACAATCATAACAAAATGTTTATCACAGAGGCAGTGAAGCTTAAGCGGCAAATTAGTTGTGATTGGAATCTGTCAGTTTTTCATTAAGAAAATTCTTTATTTTCCAACTTAGAAAAGCGAGAAAAACTTTTCAATTTTCTTTCAGCTTCAATGCTTGAAATGTGGGAAAATTGAAAACACTTGAACAACGAACGAAGCTTTTCATAATGTCACGAAGAGACGAGATTTCGAAAGTTTATCTCAAAAACAATTTCTGTCTTATTCGAGCAAACCCTTCTCCTTACACCACCCAAATCTTCTGAATTCGCTTTGCTCACGTTCACAGAGACATCGAGAAAATTTCAATTTGTCAGATATTTTCAGTGCGATAGTAATGTCAGCAATAAATTTTATTAAACAATTAGTGACAAAATGCCAAGAAGTTCTTATCTTATCAAAGACGGTGCTCTTCTTCTATTTATGACGTCGTCTTTTGAGTATATCTATCGTTTAAACTGACAAGGATTAAACAATGTTGAGTTTTGAGTTTTGTTTTAATTATTTCCAAGCAACGTGAATACTCAAAATTTTGCTACAAACTTTCAACTACTTTTCTGCCATTCACAACTTTGAAACGATTTTTGTGGAAAATTCGTGTAGTCTGGCATCAAGTTATGATCTTGAATGAAGTTTTTACTTTTTACGTTTATCTCTAACGAATTAATCTTTTGAATATTCTTCAGAATCTTTTCAACTCAATTGTCTCGACTTAAAATGCCTTTACTACAATAATCCTTTTTTTATAACGCAATTTTCCTTGTTTTCACACTGCAATGCAGTGAGAATTAAGGTCTCGAAATTTATTTTTTGTTTCCAGTATGAATTTGCAATTAAAAATTTACATCTTGATGAATCTTTCAAAAGAAACTTTCCATCTCATTACCATTTCAAATGAACCAAGAAGAAAGGGTTGAGGTAAAAGATTTATCCGACCCGTCGTCGTCATAACCGTACACCTTATCAGCGAAACATTTTCTTAATTATTTTCCCTTCGCCCGTTTCGTTTTTCTCAAAAGCTTTTTTCATAATTTGATAATGAAAGAATTAAACATTTAAATTTCACCATTTCATTCATTGTGCTCTTGTGGGAATGAAGGAAACTTTTCCTTGCGACGACCAGCTGCATGAATGAAAATATAATACAGAGGAATAAAAAGAAAAGTATCTGTAACTTTACATCTTTCTCATCTTGTCTTGTTTTCATTATATTTTATTTTATTTTTTTATTCAAAAGAAAATTCTTCTCTTTAATTTCTTTGTCCCTCATGAAAATTAAAAACTCAACTTTTTCACTTTTTGCTGTAATTTTCAGTACGTAGATTTTGCTTTTTAATTTCAAGATAACATGAATGAAGGTAGATGATTAATATATAAGCCAAACAAGATGTAAAAGCTTGATAATAAGTAATTCAGGTAAAAATATTTATTATTAAAAGTTTTGCAACTTACACAACGCGATGAGTTTTTTGTAAAATTTTCAGGTGAAAAATAAAAATAAAAACTTTTCAACAATGAAAAGAATCTTTTTGAAAGCTTTCAAACATAAAAAATGGAAATTCGAATCTTTCAACTGTACCGATGAGAGTTGGAACGAGAAAAAACTTCTGTTTCTACATCAATAGTCACAAAAATATTCAATAAAATCAATTCGACATGAAGTTGGTGAGCAGACCGCAAATATTCTAACGAAATTTATTTTAGGAATTTTCGAATTATTTTTCCCCTTCTACTTTAATGGAAAGAGGAAAGGAATTCAGAAAATCGTAACTTTCCTCTACTCTCGCTTTGGTGTTACTTATGCAAGTCATCAAAAGTTGAATTGCTTCTTTTTTTCCTTGGCTTGACAACAGAATGAATTCTAATGAAAAGAAAATCAATCTGGTACAAATGCAGGAGCTGAGAGATGTTTTGCATATTAAATGAAAATCACCTGTCATGTCACTAACGTTGCTGTCACATCAACATCACCTTACTGAAAACATACACATTTCAATCTCATCCCACGAATCTGAAATCCAATTCACTCTCATGTTACTTTATGTTGACGATCCCGAGAAAAAAAAAGAAATGGAATTGGAATCGCACAACAACTGAAATGTTCCATCGATTGGAAATTTTATTCATCACGTCGTGATTTCTCATGAAAAACTCTTTTTTTCTGCCTCATTGTTTGTTTGCATTTTATGGGACTTTTCCGATTGAAGTGTTGCTAATATTTGTCTCTAAAAGGAATTAAACTTTCATTGTAAATTCGGCTTAACGGAACTGGGAAATATTTCCTACTGCAATGGGAGTTTTATTACTTTGTTCTTTGCTTTTCTATTCATCAACTTTGATAGGATTTCTATTAAAAATACTGCACGAGAAAAATGTATTCAGCAATCATCATGGAAAAATTATTCATCATGAAGTGAATAGAAATCAATTTTTGAAATATCGATGGAAAAAATGAAAATATTTGAATAAAAAAAGCATTCTCGTTAATTGGATTATAATGCTTTCGCGTGATCGATTACAACTTCAATTTTCAATGTTCATTTTCTTCTCTTCTTGAAAATTTAATCAATTTAAATACAAAAATTTGACACTACCAAATAAGCTTTAAAAAATCCTTCAAGTTGAAGCATTAAATATTTCAGAATTTTTAATATTTCTTTTACTTCTTGAAAAGCTTTTTCGTAACATAAACAGTTATCGCTTCAAAAAACTTGTCATTTCAACCAGATTCCAATTTAAGCTTCCTTTTCTGACAATGCTCATGTTAACAGAACGTGATTCAAATTTATGATACGAACTTGTTAACCGCTTAAGTTCTTCCGCCCAAAAAAAAGCTCAAAAACAAAAGGATGTGAAAACAAAATCCTTTTGAAAAATCGCTTGGAAAATCTGCCATCACAAATGGTATTACTTGAATGTTGTGAATTTTTTTTTTTTTGCTTTTGAACAGGAAAAGAAAATTTTCGTTGAAAAAGGGAGAAAAAGCGAAAGCAAAATCTTTCTCATCAGGATTGTAATTGGGCTGGAGATGAGAAAATCCCTTCAGTAATTTCATAGTGCAAGTAGAAGAGACAGAAGCGGGGGTTGATTTGAGATGGAATGTGGCAAGGAAGGAATGTACCAGCACCGATTACGACGCACCATTTCTACATGTTCTGGAATTATGGAAAACAAGATAAAAGGAATTAATTTTGCGGAAAAACAGAAAAAGGAAAAGCTTTCTCCCCGCGCTCGGATTATAATAACACAAGAGCAATGAAAACGAAAACTTTGGAATCGTTTTCAGAGTTTATTTTGCCTTCTCCTTCTATTCCTTCAGTTCAAATGAAGTCACTGAAAGCAACCGCAGAACGAACTCGTGGAACCGTGTCACGAGTCAATGATTAGCAAACTTTTTTTAACACAAATGCGATTTCTCATGGAAAAAACTGCGAATTTAGCTTTCACGTGGAGCGTGGCGGCAGAAAAAATATAATTTTCCAAATTTTCTGCCGTCTTCCTTCCGGCAACAAATTTTTTGTCTTTAAGGTTTTACGTTAACTGCTTATCGATTTTCAGTCATCGCCGGGTGTTTCCTCAGACTCAAACTCATTAAATTCCGGACAGGAGCAAATAATGATCATAGGAACAAAAGCAAACTGTAGGAAAGAGAAAAATTCCATTCTTCCTTCTATTCATGCCTACAACAACTCAAATTTATATCCAAAGGAAACGAAAGATATTCGTTTTACGCTAGTCACTGTAGAGCTTGTGAGAACGAAATTAACACACGAGAATTATCAAAGATAATTAATAATTTTTCCTATGAAATTATGGATGATTTTGATAATTTAATTTGGCATCCAATTAATGAGATTTACTACCGTTTCTCACTGTTTCAACACAATCTTGTCATTGAACGTCGTCGTTCAGATCACGTTGAGTTTGAAACAATTTTCGTTTGACGAAAAACGATCTCATTATGGGCTAAGTCACTACATAGCTATGTAAACGGTAGGAAGGCATGATTTATGGTTTTTTGCGAAGGATAATGATGAATCATTTAACCCTGGCATAAACTTTAGATGAGTTCATTAAAAACATCAAAACTTTACAGCCACACTTGTGGTGCTTTATGACTCATTTACAACTGAGAAGGCAGAATTTTCTAAACATTTAATATGTTAATGGAAGAACTGAAGAAAAAATCAATTAAAATATTTAAAGTCATTGTCATCAAACTTGTGAATTAACTAAAATTCTTTTAAAAATTAAAATTTGTTGACTATCAATAGTGAGTTTTTGTTTACATGTGATGTGGGATAAAATTTAATTAGAAAGCATTTACAAATTATGATTGTTTGTTTGTTTTTGTATACAATACATGTTCTAACTGTTTAAAATGTAAACGTAATTTGTGAATGGTTCATCAACATTTTAAATGAGATTGTATGACAAATAATTTATTGTATTCTTTCATTACATTAGAGATTGTTGATTAGGGAATTGTTTCTTAATGTTCCATTGAAAGCATAAAGTTGATGTTTGACATCACATTAAGTTTTAAGTTTCGTAAACAAAATGTTTGCAAGCAGGAAATTATTTAGAATGTCAATAAATTTTCTAGTGTTTTGTGATTCATTCATATCCAGACGCAACAAAAATATTATTTGAATGTTACAGATACGTCAACATTTACTTACTTGGAGCTATGAATAACCATGAGGCGCAGCGAAGAACAACAGCCAAATCCGTAAATAACTCGATTTGTTTACACTACCTTGCATAAACAATGCTCTGAGTTTCAGGCATATGAGAATGTTTGGTTAGTGATTACTGGCCGATTGATATGTGATGGAAACTGACTTAACGTGACGTAAAAAGCAAACAATGTGAAAGCGATTGAATTAGATTCTCTCCCTCATGCACTTTCGTGTTGTTTTTCTTCCGATCATGGTCGAGAGTTGATTGATTTCCTTTTTCGTAAGATGGACAAAATGAAGAAGAAGTGAGAATGTAAGGAGAGATTCAAGAAAATAAATATCCGAAGAAGATTAAATCGAAGAAGTTTTTCAAGAAGGGTGAATTTAATTAGATTAATCCATTCTAATCTTTGAAAGATCCACAAGAAAATCTAAGCTACGGTAGAAGAGTCGGGAAACGAGACAAAAACATTTATCATAACACGCTCCATCTCCTGATTTTAATCCAATGGAATTGAATCAACACGATGATCGATTATCAGAGAGATTGAAAAGCTTTTTTTATTCTTTCTCTTCTTTTAAGGAAATCAGATTGTTCGAATGAATGTAAAGCAGTTTCGTTTTGTCTCATAGTCGACGATGGGGAGCAGACAAAAGATAAAAGTATGGCTTAAGTTCCCTTGTGTGGAAAACTTCTGGATAAAGTATTTGATGGAAATGTTTACAAAATGAAACTTAATCCGATGTGGATTGAAAAAAATAGAAAATCTCGATCATAAATGAGTGTCGATTCATCATATCGAATAAGAATTAATCAAGATATGAACAGGTGTTGCCTTTTATTTTTATTCATCCACAAATGATGACATAAACAGAAAAGCACGTTCGAGAAGCTTATTCGAAGTTTTTAAATGATTCTCCTCGATTTGTTTGGAGATTACTAAAAATAATGATACGTTTAGTAATTGTTGCTTTACTGCACAATCAATTAATATTCGTTAAACGTAAATGCTCGGAAAACATAGATTTGCTTTAAATTCATCAATCTAATGCATCATCACGAGAAGGGACGTCTTTGAAAAGTAATTCACTTTATTGTTTAACTTTTCTTTCAACATTCCCAACATTTCTCTTTCTCCATTCAATTCACGCACCATCGCCATTCGAATCCTAATTATTCATGTCTCGTAACTGCCTCTTTTTCATCACCATTTCTCTCCCCCTCTCTATTCAAACTCGAAACATCGACAAATGATTTTCAGAAATTGGAAAATTCTAATGCCGCAATTATTGAAATGTTTCAACTTTCCCTCTAACCGACAAAATTTATTTCCAGATCGGCAGAGTCGACGACGGTGAAAATGCTAATTGGGGATAATTTTTATTCGCAACTTGAGACGATTTTCGGTGACGTTTGGTACGTGCGATGAGCATTAATGTCATTAAGACGACGAATTAATTGTAAAAGTCAAATAATCACTTGTTACATGATTGAAAATCGCTTTCGCTCAACAAACAAATATTGTTTCATGACGCCAACAACTTTACGGTCGTTTCAAACTTTTCCTATTCAAATAAACTCCGAACTTTCAGATTTCCACTCGTTAATTAACATCTGATGATGTTGATGATTACACATCTCAACTGTTCATTCATAGTTCAAAAGGATCTTGTTCCGGGAATGTGTAAATTGGATTCTTTTGTGTGCTTGAAATTTTGATGAGATTGTGGAAGTCAAATAAAAGAAATTCAGTTCCTCAAAACTCAAAATCCTTTATTTGCATAACTTTTGCTTCTTCCGCTTGAACTCAATTCAGTTTTGGTGTCGAGATTACGAGATTGTTCATGAAAAACTTCTCATCTAATCAAATTTACATCAACATCAAATCCAGAAGCGTCCAAAACAATCGTTACCGTTTTCGTTGAAAAGTTTAATCAAGAAGATTTTGATTTTCATGATACAATTTAGGAGTGGAAAAGTTTTAATTTGAAAATTCAAACATGAAATTGTAAAGAAAGATTTTTTACTATTTGATCAAATAAATTATTAATTTTTTATGTTATCAAAGTTAATCATAAAATTAATGAAACCTTTCCAGTTAAGTATTTACAGCCATCCATTATGAAATGAATCTTGTTCTTAAATGATTATTTGTGAATTAACTAAATTTAAGACGTTATTGCTTAAATGTAAGTCCATTCATGGAACTTTGAATATCTAACATGATGTTGATTTAAGATGAAACGCAATTGAACAAAGAACATCAATCTTTAGACACATCTTTTGAGGTGTTAAAGTCATTCAAGGCTACCAAGTAGAGTGTTGAAGAAACAAATTTTAAATTTTACATGTATTGTGTGAGCTTTGTAAGTCAAGAATCTATAAATTTGTATGCTTCCCTTTTTTGTTCTTCAGTCGACACGTAAATCTTCTCGACAGAAAATCAGGAATTGCGTTAAGAATAAAATGTTAAAATTTGTGTTAATTATTTGCTTCACTTTTTTGTACATTGCCAAAGCATCAGATGACCAGGAGCATAATTGTGTGATTGAATTCTTAAAGAAACACAATCTTCTTAATTTTGATGTCCATCCTTATTATAATGTCAAAATATGGACGAAAAATTGTGATCAAATCAACAGAAAACTAGTGAAGAACTTTTTCGATGAAAATTTTGATTACCTCGATGAAGAATCATCAGTTGATAACAAAACTTACAGAGCATGTTTGAAAAAAGATTTCGAACGTCTTAAAATGGATGAAAAATTCATGAAGCTGAAAGCATTCGAGAATGAAGTGCAAGCAGAAAAGTTAGAAAAAATTCGAGACGATTTTCTTATAAATATCAAATTTGTTTGTTCCAAGAGATTTATTGAGGTTGCTTCACAACGCTTCAAAGATTATGTTTCGGATGAAGGTGGACCAAGTAAAGCTGTGATAAACCATCCTGCACTAAAGAAAATCAAAGCAAACTTAATTTGCATGAATCGTTATGCAGTTGAGAACAAAATTCTTGATCCGTCGACTTATAACCTCGACTTGAAGCTCATCAATCAAACTGAAGATGACTGTAAGTACATCGTGTACGATGTTACATCTCTAATAATGGATGAATGGTACATCAGAAGAGTTTCTGACGATGATGCGATTCAAAGATGCTTCATCGGAATTTTATTAGAAACGAACGCAATAGACTTGTACATCAAGAACTCTCTTCTCAGTCAATTGCAATTGAGTCAAGAGCAGAAAGACATTGAACGTGAGAACTTTATCAAAGCATCTTCAATTGTACATGAGATGTCATATAAATGTATTTTAAATGATTTTGAGAAAATATAAAAAGTTTTTTTTGAAACATTGAAAAATTTGTCATTGAAAGAGAAGAAGTGAAGGGAAGTCGCTGAGTTTTGTCACATTCGTTGGGTTCACATTTTATCTTCCAGAATTATTCACAGTTATAGCAAAAGAAAGTTTGAGAAGAAACAACATTCACGTGTTTCCATTATCATAAAGAGAAAGTTGTTGATGAAACTATCAACCCATATCATGTATCGAAGTCGAATCAAGGATGAGAAATAACATACGCTCCGGTCTTAATGACAGATCCCAATACAAGATAGCAAATAAACGATTGTGTATGTTATTTGAGCTGTAAAAACATTCGATCTATGTCACTCTTAACATCAGAATCATTAAGGAAACTGTAAAAGCATAAGAAACATTACGAAAATGAAGAAAAAGTTTGATGTACAATTCGATTTGATGATTACTAGAATGACATTAATCCCAAAGCTTTAATGTATCGAAAAATTATGGAATTTTCCACATTGCCACTTCAATGAATATTTTCGCCGTAAATTTTCTTCTCGTTTTCTTTAGAAAAATTACTAATAAAAGCTTCTGGAAAAATGAAAACTTGTGAGAAAGGAAACCCAAAAATTAAATGAACCGAACAGAGAAATAAATGATACAGATATTCATTTCATTGAATGACTTTGAGTCTTCTTTAGCCACATGTCTTTGTTGTTTTATCAAATATTTTCCAGTTTAGAACTCATCATGAAATCGAACAGAGCTGAAGAATTTTGAGATAACAGCACAGGCTTGAAATTGGGTTATAAAATTTCATCTCCCAACACAAAGATTTGAGTGATACAAGTTGAAGAAATATTTCTTCTGGAGCATAGAAGAATTCAAATATAAAGACATGACATGATTAAAGATATAAAACTTTGTAATCTATTGAAAAAATTAGTTTGAATCCCCAATTGTTAGTAGAATGAATGAGTTGAACATTTAAATGAATTGTTTGAAATGAAAAGTTTGACAAACACTTTTGTTAGAGTTCCGGGAATTTACAAAATTGAATTTCTGATTTCTTGTGAATTTTGATAATGGCTTTGTGACAAAAATTCATCAAGAATCTTCATTATGGTTTTAAACTTTCAATCAATTAGATACCTTCAAAATGTGATTATAATTATAGTTTGAGTCAAAGTAAGGGAATTGATGAAATCGCTTGATATTAAACGATTCTTAATGTCAAAATGTAATGGAATGAATGACGATGGCTTGTCTTAAATTTTTTCAAGAATGCGAATAAATTCATCAAAACTTTTACTTAATATTGTGAAACTCTACACAAGGAATTTGAGGAAAAAAATCTTCCCATGTTTTAAAAAAGCTGCTTTAAAAAAGTAAACGCCTCCTTTAGTTGCATATTAATTGGAAACTTTTTATGCGGACGAAAACCTGAAGGAAAAAACGCTCCCTCATCAACTCGCTTTCTAAGATTACGTTTAAAAAAAGCTTCAAGAATATAAATTTAAGTGATTAGGGATGTTTTTAAATCGCAATTAATCACGCCGCAGTCACATGAATGAGTTGAGAATATTTATCTGGTGAATTTTGTATTTAAAAAAAATTGTGTGGGTGATTTGAAACCGGCAGGTTTTTGTTATCACACAGTTGCGCGTGGGAAGCTAAATTTGCCAAAATACGTTCTGATATCACCAAACGGGAGCTCTTAAAAACAAATCAATTTTAAGCCGTTTTCGATTATGCAAAACACGTAAAAGGGAAAACAAACAATAATTCGCATTTGCCATCAGCAATTTTTTACGTGAAATGTTACAAAAAAGAAAAGTTTTGCCATTTACTGGAAAACCAGAATTTAAGCCCACAAAGCAATATCCGTCGATTGTATGCTCTGCTTTCTCGTTGTCTGTAATTTATGCTACTACCATTTAATAAGTATTGGAATCTGATTCGATTTTGATTATCACCGTCAACCGAATCATTATGAGAGTTCTTCATTGACTTTTCTAATCGAAAAAGTTTCTTTTTCATTTTGATCGAACCATGCAATTTTATTTGATAGATTTTATCCGAGTAGAATTATTAAGCAGCTAAAATGGCCAACATTGTGACAGAAAACATTTCGGCTCTGCGACATTTGTGAAATTGATTCAGGACAAAGTCGAATTGACATTAGAAAATGTTTGGAAGTCTCAAACCATTCGTTATGCGTTGTTTGCTTTATGCTTGACTTGAATTTGTAAACAGGTGGCCTCTAAGCTTTCCGATAAAACTTTATTCATTACAACTGATGAATATTTAGGACGTGTTTACAAATGTTCATAGTTGTCAGACCTTTTTAAAGTAAACAAAACTTAATCACATCACTCGTTGGAAACTTCAATAACATACTCAATTAAAGTTTTCCTACAGTTTTCATATCCATCATAAATGTTTTGGCTCTGCTTGATAAACTTTTTACTTTACACGATAATAAATCTGCATAAAAATGTGTCACAACAATTTCTTCAACAAGTTTACATAATCAATGCATAAAAACCCAAGCAATTTATTTATAATTTCAAGTAATTAAATATTAAGTTATACAAGAAACCATTTTTATGATTTTCATTATTAACATTTCAACTCTCAAGTTTCTTTCGTTTTCGTTTATAACTTATCTCCTTATGTTGTTATTAATCTTCGACTTTAACAAACAACTCAAGCCACGAAAAGATCTTTTTACAATAGAATTCGTGACCAATTTAAATCCAGTTCTTCTCTTCTCTCAAGCTGTTTATTTATTTTTTGTTATTTTTGCTAGACTTTATATAAAATTACAAATAATACATGTTGTTGTTATGAAAACTGTGTAATGAAACTATTAAACATTGAAAAACCTTTTTTTTTTCTTCAGTGGAGAATCACGATGGCAAACACAATTGCGAGGAATGATTAAAAGCGAATAACTCCTGATGATTCAAGTTGTGGCTACCTAGCAACTGTCGATTCATACGCAAACCAAAACCTAACAATTGATTCAATTTATTAAATGTGAATATAAAAAAATCATTTTTCATATTGTTAATGATGTTGAACGATGAAGAAAGCTCTCATCTGAGAATGACCACATACTGGAATTCAGAAAATTAATACATTTATTGAACACTTTGATCAAAAAGCTTCATGTTCATTCTCATCTGTTGTTCAAATTTAAATTCACCTTTTGTGTAGTTTTCTCTTCACTTGCTGGTGAATTTAATGGTTTGTGAAAATCCACATGATATCCGTAATAACATTTAGAAATTCCTGTTTATAATTGAAAATAATTTAATTTATTTTATTAATGAAGTGTTTGACTTTTCTATCTATCCATGCGGATATTCCCCAAGTTGCAGCTTCATTAATTTAAATCATCAAAATAATTGCTATGAGGTTTCTCTGACTTTTTTTTGGTAATTTTTAGTTGACCTGTTGAGCATTTAATTTAAATTTATGTATTGTGGATTGTTGCAAACATAAAAAAGGAATGCTTTCGAATGTTTCTCCGATTGTATCATTTTAATGTCTCTTTACGACATTATGATTGTCAATTTTTTTTTTGAGAACCTTCTTTTTAATGGTTTTCGGAAAGTGAGAGATTTTTCCGTCAATTTAACTCAACATAAATTGCACCGACGTCAAAAGAGATTTAATCGGATGACTTTTTCATTTAAATTATCTTAACTAATCAAATGATGTGATATACTAACTTGTTGCGTTTCTGCTTGAATTAACAGAGAATTATGATAGCAGTGAAAAGAGGTGGTAAGGAAGTCGAGTAATTGATAGCATGTCTTGTTTAACTGTCATCGTTACTCGATCTTTATTGATTTAATCATTAAGATATTCTCCTAAATGTTTAATATTCAAACTTTCAAGACCTTCTTAAGAAGATGGAGAAGAAACGTTTAATGTTTGTCAATTTTTCATGAAATTTTATTGATAAAAATTCCCAAAGCGAAGATAAGCTGTGTTAGAAAATCGGTAATTAATTCGGTTTTACGACAGATCCCTAGCGTGACATCGTTCTTTCCTCGTCTCTATCTCTGCAACTCGTCTCAAAATGAAATTTTGAGAAAAATATCAAATTTCATAAACCGTCTTCGCAAAATTTTTATGATTGATATAAAATTCATAATACCACAGTTCTCGTGACGGAGCTGAAGATTAGTTCCAGTTCAAGTCTTTTAATGGTCCCCACGGCATGAAGCGACACTGTCGACATGAATTAATCTTTTCTTAACGTTAGAACATTGAAATATCTTATCTCATATAAAAAATAAATGACATTTCATTAACACCCTTTATTCCAATCAAATTCCCAAAAGAGTTTCTCAAATTATCTTCCCAGTTAGTGAATAAAAAAGCACGCTGTGCCTACGATGACTTGATCTATTTGCCTTATTACAAACCGTCCGTTGGACATCAGACGTTCTGTTATCGGATTATCCATCAGTTTCTCATTCAAATTTCAACTTCTAGCAAAAGTAAGAGTACTCAACAGCATGACTTCGTGCGCTTTAACGCGAAGAGTTTTTTAATTTTAATTCTTCTTTTGATTCTTCTCAAACTTTACAAATCTTATCAAACAAATACAATCATCTGTTTTCAAACTTTATTAAAAACAATCTGAAATCAATCACTAGTTATGATGTTTTCACACTAAAAACACTCAATCTCATTCTTAATTTTAATCTCTTTATTTGTACTCCTTCAGGTAACATAAACGACTGATTTGATTTTCTAAATAAATAACAAAAAATCTCAATTTTCTTCTCAACAATGAAATTTCTTCTTATACCTTCAAATTCTCCATTAATCTTAGAGCAATCTAAAGAAATTAAATTTTATTCTGCAGATAATATAAAAAATAAAGTCTGCTAAAGAAGTTTGTAATGCTCGAGAAACGAGATCTCTATTTAATTTATAATCATCTTTAGAAGATTCAGGTTGTTGAATATTCTCATTTCGCCTTGCTTTGGATATAATTTATAATCAAATGAAAATATAAGCTTCTGATCGTTGCTAACATTTTTCAACTTTAGTTCCCTTCGGAAGTCAACGAAGCGAACAGAACATGCATGGAATGATAAATAAATTGACAGCAAATTGATACAGTTTCATGTTACAGAGAGTCGAAGCAATAAATAAAATTAGTTGTGAATCCATCAGAACAGAAAGAATATCCTTCTTTAGATAGATAGACATTTAGCAACAAAAAAAAACTTTCACGACGATTTATTGTGTGGATAAAGTTGCAATAAATTTTTAATGCATTTTTCCATGTTTTGAACAAAGTGAAAATTTTTCTCGACTGTTTGCAACGACATTGGGTTAGAGCAGATGGATTCGGAACCAGCAAAATAATCGCATTCCAATGTGCCGCAGAAAATGAAAAATGTGTTTTCCGTTAAGATCCTAGCAAATATCCCCGAAAAATTGCAGCTTTATCGTTGAGAAATGGATCAGATTATTTGTCGCAAAGAACGATTGAAAAGTTTAAGTTGCATTAAGCAAGTTTAGTTTTGACTTGTTTTTCACTTTTTGACTTTGCTTTCTCGTTTATGTTGTGTTGTTTGTTCTAAAGGAAATGTCTGTTGTTTGAAAAAGTTCAATTTAAATGAAGTTTGCTTGAGAGTTTTTCTTCCTCTCAAGGAATAATTTTTCCACTTCTTCATCTCTTATCCGAGAGATAAAATTCAAATGCAAAGCGGCACCAGGTGATAAAGTCAAGAGAAACATTTTCACTTAATAAGTAGTCAAACTCTGAGAACGTATGCATCCAACTAATGTTTTGTGAATTTTTGAAAATTTCTTTGAGAAAGATTTCAAGAATTTCCATGCCCCTTAAAGTTATGTCACCAGCTGCACATGAACTATCGAATAAAATTTTCATTGGAAAACTTGAGTTGAATATTTAAATACGAAAATTGAAAACTAAAGAAAAAAGAATGTCAGGTTTTTCATTCATGCATAATGAATATTCGGAAAAGCCTTGTCAAATGTGTTATTGGCTTTAAGTGTGTTATGAAAAGTTTTAACTGCAAAGCAAATTAAATGACAACTTTTAAAGAAACTTTTAAATTAAAACTTTATTTACAACAAAATAATTCCTACGTGATGAATCTTAAGAAGAAAAGAAGAAATATAAGAAACTTGAAAACTACAAGCTTCATAAATACTTAGAAAAAAAGTACATTTAATAATTCTCTGCGGGATTCCTTAATTGGATCTGACTAAAAAGACATTTAATTCTGTAACTTTAACTTAAATTAGAGACAAGAATTCTGATGCAATGCGGAAATGTTGCTGGTGGTTGACCAGATGAGTAAAATTATTTAGCAACATGACAACATGACTTCAATAGTGAAATAAACTTAAAATAATAAATACTTAATAGAATATTTGATATTTAAAGATATTTATGTATTCAGCCAATTTTTAATTAAAATAATTGTTCAATAGACATCGACTCTGTTATCAGCAGGTGGAGCTTGGCATAACTTAGAGCCGATAACTCCCAAACTAATGAAAAGCAGGATAAGAGATGACAATGCTGAACTGATGCCAGTAGAAACGTCATGAATGGGCGTTCCCTTTATTGGTTTCACGATAAGTAAAACCAGAAGACCGCAACAGTTCATTAAAGCGAAAAACGTCACTAAAATGAAGCCTGAAAAACAAACTCATTAATTTACACGGATAAAAGTCTCGTTTGAAATATTTAATGCGTTACCTGAGATGTAATTCCTGTTGGGAAACCAATCGCTGTATCGGAATTTGAATCCCAGAAAGCTTAAGGCAACAGTAGCAAATCCTGATAGAATGCCAATGTCGAGAAACAGTGACCGACCAGTCTACCGAATAAATAAAAATTAAAATAAACTTTCTATCATCATGTGAAATGCTTTAAATTTACAGCATCTAAAAAGCAATATAACTCACATAAAGTGCGGTGATACTCGACATGCTGGTCATGTAAATGAACAATCCTGAATTGATGACGCCACAAAACATTAATAACAATGAAATGAAGCCAATCGTTGCAATAGCATGTTTGTGCGATTCTAAATTCTTATTCCATGGCTTTTCAATGCTTTCATTGTTAGTCGATGTTGTCGTTGTTGTTTCGTTGTAGATTGAGGCAGCTGCTGCTGTTGTTGTGTTCAATCGTGGTTGAATAACAGCTGTTGTCCTTTGCTCAAGATTTAATGTCGTCGACGAAGCCATTCGCATTTTTTGATCATATTGTAGACGTTGTGGAGTGAAATCGCCATTGGCCACGAGTCGTGGATTGCTGGCATGATGGGCTCTCACTCGGTATGGTGAATTCCGTTGTGAAAGTGGTGTGGAATGTTGCCGAATAAATGGCGACTGTTTTTGTGGAGTCATCAAATGTTCGTGAAGCTTCTGAGTAGCGAGATTTTTCTTTGGTGTTGAAGGTAAAGGTTCAGAATATTTCTGCTGCAAATGATGCTTCTGCGGAGTTCGTTGAGGTGACGTCCGACGATTCATTGTAACCGAATATGTGGGAGGCACAGGCTTGTCAAAATCTCCATTAAGACATGTTTCTTCTTCATCAGTTGGAATGACAGCATAACGATGAGCTTTTCCATTATGCATTTGAATGATTTCATGATTATCATCAACAATTTCTTCATTTTCTTCAGTGGGAACAACAGCATATCGTTGTTGATTCTTTTGGTCAAAAAGTATAAATGATTTACTTCCAAAATCAGTAGAGAAAGCTGGAATCATGCCACCTTCATTCTTAGGCGATGAAATTGGCGGTAAACTCGTAAACTGGTCAGAATAATTAAAAGGTAATTCATCGCCGTCGTTTTCAAACTGGTCCAAATTTTCTTGACTTTTGCTGATGTATCTGGAAGCAGTTTGGGCTGGAAGAACCGCATATCGACCTTGCTTACTGCTATTAAGATCTTCCACTGGTACTAAAGCATAGCGGCCACTTGTTGATTGATTTTTGACATCAGAAATTGATCCATAACGGCTACCAGTTGGGTATGGTGGAACTTTGGGTGGGTCAACATTTCCTTCAACAACTCTATTAGAAATCGGCTTTGGCCCGGGTCTGGGTGGCAGCGAAAGTTGTTGTGTTTGATGCAATTGATGGTGACTGCAATTTAAATTCAAACCACTATTCATTCTTTGTATTCCACTTCTGAGCGACCGATTAGTGGACGCAACGGAATGAAACGAACGAATCGACTCGCTTCGATGCACTCGAGCTGGGGAACTCTTAACAATAGTTGGGGTTGTTTGAAGTGGTCGATTATAAGTCGCTTCATCCTGGCAAAATGCTGGATTCGTGTACATTTTATTTCTCACTTATTTGCAAAAATTATTGTTAGAAATAAGCAATATGAAAGTATTAAAAGTAAGCACATTTAGCCGTTAAGTTCTTATTGGAATTCGTTGCACAATCGTCACCCTTTGTTTGATATTTTTTAACGGTTTCCGTACGCGACTTTTCTCTCTTATTTTTTATTTCTATTATTTATTTTTCTTATCAAAATAATTTATTAGACACCAAATCCAAACTGTAGTTAGCGACTTTTCACTTTAAAATTAATATAAATTGTTCACAACACTTGAAGAAATTGTTCCTTCCGATCGAACTGTTTGACTGCATCTGGCGCTTTAAATTTTATATTAAGGAAGGGAAGAACGTTCTTGTTGTGTTGTACATAAAACACCCGTCCGTACATAGGCATGATCGGCATATCCCTCTGAGCATACAATATATGCAGACACACACACACAACTTAACAGACTTTAGCACGTGTTGTTTCAACTTCTTTTCAACACAAACACAATCAAAATTTATGCTTTCCGCAACGATTCTGAAGTCAAATTTTATTACCTTTTGTAAGCCATCATCATGAAGATTCCATTTAAAATTATTAGAAGAAGAGAACATTAGAATTTAAATTTCATTTGTGAGATGCTGGTTCGAGAAGATGCACATTTATCATTGAGATAACAGTCGAGAAAATTGAACATCTAATTTTCAAGTGAAAAACAGAAATCATTATCGTTTCAACGGCCGTTAATGTTTATTATTTATTATTGCATCTGATCACTTATACAAACATATAAGAGACTTAAAGAAAGACATTTAAAAGGCAACTGTGCGAGGGGGGAAGTTTAAAACGGAATCATAGGATAGGAAACATTATTTAACGACATATGAAACATATTTACCAACTCATAGAATATTTTTTAACTTAAAGTCTTAATAAGAATCAAAATTTTCTTGAATTATTTCACGCATTTATTTAAATGGCCCATTCTGTGACGAAAATATTATTGGGGCGCTTCTACGTCCCTTCATGTTTTTTATTTAAACAATGAGCTGCTGATTTTCTTTACTTTCCAGGTCTAAGCTATCTAGAAATTCTTTTATTAAACAAATTAATAATAAAGTACAGAATATCTAATATACTTACAATAATAAACGAAATATCAATCTGAAATAAAATTTTAAATGTAACAGAAGTTTTAGAATAAATCTAATGAGAATCTTAAAGTAAAGTTAACTTATAATTAGGTCATTAAGAATCAATAAATTGCTTTTCAATCTTCAATTAACTGCGTCCTCTGTGTCATCATCATCATCATCAATGCAATGTTCAGCTGTTATGAAGAACTTCATTGAGTTTTTTCAAGTTGACAACAACTGATGAATTCTTTGTTGCAATGGAGAGTCATAGAAACATCTGGAAAAACGACATTACATCTTAATAAAGTGTAAAATGCAATTCAAAAATGCACACAAATAATTAATTCTATTTCAATTTTCTTACAAAGCTTTATCTGCTTTCCTTTTAATTAAAATTGTTCTTGTTAGTAAAATTTAGTATCAAGAAAATGTAATAAAAATTTATGAAGATTTTGTTTTCAGAAGACTCCATGACGCCTGTCGTCATTAAATTTAAAAGTATGCAAATATATAAAGAACATGTGTACGTCATCACATCATGTGTTTGTATTTTCAGGTGCCACACGTCTTTTTCTTCAGGTTCACGAGAACAATTGCGATAATGATGATGCAGACTGATAAGTTATAATAAAAACTATAAAACCGATCACTCGTCTGATATTCATTGCAGTTTATTTCGATAACGTTATTGAAAATGATAAAAGTGCTTGTCATTTGTTTCACGATCTGTCTTGTTGGCAATGGTAAAGAGTTTTAATTTCAAATCAAGAGTACAGTATAAGCATAAACTTATTTTATTTAGTCCTTGGCAGGCCTCAGGAGCTGGGACGTAGGAGAAGAGGTAAACATGAGAAATTATTTTAAAAAAAGCGAAATGTTAATGATTTTTTTTTTGTTAAAATGTAGGACGTCGGGGTGGGTATTGGGATGACTACCGAAGATGGGATTCTATTCCAGAAGGTCCATGGCCACCACAATTTCCACCGGTGACTGCTGCACCTGTTATACCAACTGCAGCTCCAATCATTCCAACTGCAGCTCCAATTATACCAACTGCAGCTCCAATTATACCAACTGCAGCTCCAATTATACCAACTGCAGCTCCAATCATACCAACTGCAGCTCCTGTTATACCAACTGCAGCTCCAATCATACCAACTGCAGCTCCAATAATACCAACTGCAGCTCCTGTTATACCAACTGCAGCTCCAATCATTCCAACTGCAGCTCCAATCATACCAACTGCAGCTCCAATTATACCAACTGCAGCTCCTGTTATACCAACTGCAGCTCCAATAGTACCAACTGCAGCTCCTGTTGTACCAACTGCAGCTCCTAGTGGTGATATTGGTATGTTAGCAAATTTATACAAAAAGTTTTAAAGACTTAAATGTTTCATTTAATAATTTTTAGCTTCGTTGCTTCAACAACTTTTTGCAATAATTGCTGCACTGAGAGACCAAGGAGTTAATTTGAACATAACATAATCGGCCTTTAGCTTTTCAGTGGAACTTGAAAATCTGTAAAAGATATGATAACTAAATAAAAGAAATAAATTTTTGTAAAGATTGCACGAATGTGAAAATATTAAATTTTTTACCATCCAATAAAGAAAAGTTTTAAATCTTTAATCTGAAAAAATTATTTGTTTGCTTTTTAAAACAAAGACAAATGCTTTAAAGTTGATGAGCACTTTGGTAGTTAAAAATGTCTACGAAGTTATATTGTTGTTTAGGAAGTCGTTATTTTCATAAAACGTTCTTTGTCTGGAACGTGATCATGATCATGGGAAAAGCAAACAATATCAATCAAACTTAATTTTATTTAAGTTAATAGAATTTGATATTCTAACTGAAAACAGCTGGAGCTAAACTAAGATCAACTTTGACAATTGAATAAATAATTAGTTCGTGATGAATATTTATCTGTTTAATAATTTGATGAATTTTAATAAGCTTCGCAGAGTTGATTTCATGTCTTAGAATTGAGGCTTGAAAAGGAAAACAGAATTGAAAAATCCTTAAAAATGAGAGCGTAAAATTTTAGTTAAAAGCTTTATTTCAATTGATGCATTCTTGGAATTATTTGCATTATCCCAAAACATTTTTTCATGAGATGTCATCAAGACTGTAGAAAATTGCAAAGCAAAAAGATTGGATGATCAATTTAAATAAATCCAAATCCACTTTGATAATTGCAGCAAATGATTTTCAAATCAAGATAAAATTTCGAAACAATTTTCTCTCCAACTAACTTTATTAATGATGTTCCACAAAGCAAACTCAAATCATTTTACGTAAAAAGTTTCCATCCACATTATGTTTTTCTTTTGTTGAATGTTGGCATTACATTTAGATAGTTATATATGGAGAATAATTATTCAGTTCTGACTGTTGGTGCTTCTTTTTCTTCGTTCCATTCTAACTTTATTCGATTTGAACGACTAACTTTCTACAAAAATTAATAAATTTCAAGATGAAAAAGGAAGGCACAAGGATTGGTCATTAAAATTGTTGTGCTTACACAAACTTTGTATAACCTGTAGAAAAAGAAGAAAAAAGTGTCCGTTCTGGTAAAAGCCTCGCGACGGTCCGTCATGAAAAACATGGAGATTTTTACAGTAGCATAAATATTTCAAAAGAAGAGAAGCATAAATTTGCTGCCGTTCCTATGATAACTCTAGGGCCAACAAACACAAATAAATCATTCGAACGAAGCACGCTGTAAGGACAACAAACAAACTCCAGAATAGTTTCAACAACATAAATCGCAGGAAGTGCTTTTTTGTGCGGCTGATTATTTAAAATTATTGCACACCTGCGAGTGACATTCAGCTCAGTTACTTATCAGTGATTTCTGTTTTGCAGCTTAATAAAATATATTTAAAACTTTTCGACGTCCATTATTGCTGTTGGTCATAAAAAGAAATGAACTCAGTTGAGTAGGTTTTTGGGTTTTTAAAAGCAAATATGGAAAAGCATTCGCATGAGACAAGAATTTCTAGCTTTCAGCTTTATTTTTGTGTAAAGCAAATTGCACATATGGGAATGAATATTATTTTTAGCATAAATCTCTCATCATCATCAAGTTCCATTTCAGTGACTTTCTGCAAATATCACCAAACATCTGTCAACTTTCTTCCTTTTTTTCCGGCTCGGGTCCATTAATCATTCATATTGAATATTCATCATTCAACGAAGTGTAGATTTTACCTTAATCCATTAACGCGCTTCAATCGCCATTTGTCCATCATCCTTCTCATGAATAAAACGTTAATGCTGTGAAAAAATCTGCATTATTAAATATTCAGTGAGTTTAAAAATTATCCAAAAAAGCCTAAGTTATCGGCTGAAAATGTTGAAAAGCATAAACGTAAGCTTAAAATAAAGTTTAAATGAAAAAGCTCATTTTATGCTGTGTCTTCATAACTGAAATTGTTGCAAGTTTGTCGTAAAATAAAACAGAATTTTTCTTTTAATCTAAGCTCCGAATTATATTTTAAATATGGCAGATGATGATGAAGCTAAAATGTATTTCACTTGACAAACCTTTTGTTTCATAAACCCACAAAGTAAATAATTATTCTGCCCTCTCACCTATAAAATCAAAGGAAAACCAACAAAATGAATTCCACTGGTGTAGCACTGAAATTAATTTAATTAAAGAAATCACGACAAAATTGTTTTTTGTTAAAATTGAAGAAATATTTTTGTTCTTTATTTATAACAATTTAAAAAATGTTAAACATAATCTAATAAGAAATAAAAAATTAATCCAAGATAAAGTTGAATCAGTTCGTTTATCAATTGCACGCTTTAAACTTCCCTAGACCAAAATAATCAAAAATTAAATTTGAACTTAATGCGATGCAATAGTTTTATGATAAATTAAGCAATAATAAAATAAAAACAGGAAATGATTCACGATTTCCGCGATAACGAAGCAGCATGGTTAATCATGTTTATATTTTTATGCTTATTAGCATCAACATATTTAATTAACTCGTTTTTTTGAAATTTATGAAGAAATTTTCCCAAAATTTTCATGAGCAGCTTCAGACAAGTGCTTGAGCTTGCACTTCGTTTATTTAAAATGAAATTTATGTAAAATTCATATGAACTTTTTTCAGAGATGAATTTTTCGCAAGCGTGGAATTTTCATTTGTGCCTCTTATGACGTTAATTGAGTTCATTTAAATGATGTTGCATGAAATTTGCAAAATTTGTCAGCTTTTTGATATTCATTTAAATGCCATAGCTTTGATTCTCCAATTCTCTACACGAATAAATTAAAATTTATTGTTGATGTTGTTGAAAATGAAGCTGTAAAGTCGCATAAAACAGACGTGAAACATTATCACCAACTGCGTCAGAATCGTATTGAGATGAGATTTTTTCTGATAATAAATTAAATCTTGGCAAGTTCTGCTGCATTAATTAAATCTCAGAATTTAAACAAGTTTAATTATCATGTCAACATTTAAATGTTTTTTTCTGTATTTCAACATCAATTAGATCATGAAACATCTACACATAAAAAAATCAACGCTGTTGTCCATGCTCGCTCAAAAAATAATCAAATTATAAATTAAATAAAAATTTATGTTCTCGTACTGGAAAATATGCGGAATGATGAAAGTGAACTGAATTTCATTACATAACTTCATTTACATAGTAATTTTTCATTCTCGCACACCAAGCAGCTCATGCAATAATGAAATATCCTTCCAAATTAACTTCGCTTCCCATGGTGATTCAATTTGTTCTGTTGCATAGTCCGGAAAACGATTGCGACAACCACTGGCCAGATGACGGTGAATGAAAACCAGTACGGCGAAATGTCTTCAAATGGCCACCATTTCGGATATTTGTGAGCTTTCACGATCTACAATTGGATTTTGTTTTGATCTTCTTAAGTTTAAATTCATTTATTTAAAATCTTATTAAATTACTACAGTGGAGAAGTACAAAAAAGTAAATAAATTTGATTTAAAAAGGTAAAAAAAAGAACCAACTAAACAGGCATTTTGTTTAAATGGCGTAGATGAAAAGCTTTAAAATGTTTTCATGCTTCTTTTTAATCTGAGTGAATGAATATAAAAGTTTAACAAGTTCAAGTGCGAAATTTCTGTAGAAAGAAACGAAAAGAAAAAATAATAAAATATTAACAAGATGAGAAAAAAAGGAGAAAATAAAAATTCAATTACGGACTGGGATTCAGGATGTGTCAGTGAATATAAAAAGTAAAAAATGAAATTAAAATAAAAGTTAAAAGAAAGCAATAGGAACAGATATCTAACGTGATTGATTAGAAGAGGAAGAAAGTTGTCAGTTTGGAAAAATTAATTTTCAATTTGCTCGCTTTCTTCTTTTACTTGATGATGTCGATGGCAGCTGATAGTATCGAGAATGATAAATTTACTTTCATTTCAATCAACCGAGGGAAGGATGTGAATGTTTAAGACAAAAGAAAATGAAGTAAAAGTAAGAAACGAATGATAATGATGAGAAAAATATTGAAGCAAAACACCTGTTTGTTAGTTTATCTGAACTTCCTCAAGAGAAAGCTTTCAGTTGAACTATTGACATTCAAGGAAAATTATTCAAAACATTCTTAAGTTGAATTAATTTATGAATACAGATTGAAGCTTATGAAAGTTTAATTTGCTTTCGAATCTTTTTTAATACTTAACATTCACAATATCTTGAATGTCCTTAGCCTGAACTTTTTACGTCCTGGAAATCTAATGAAGAAGACAAATTACCTTTTGTTCCAATACATTCATCCGATTGTTGACTTGCTGCAAATCGACTTTCATCTTATCGGTAATTTGAACCAGATGCGTCAACATTGATGGATCGATCTTTAATGTGTTTGTCACTTCTGTCATGGGTAGATTCTAAATATGATTAAGAAGAGAAAGTGAATCGAATTAGAATGAAATTAGATTGAATTAAATTTAATTGCATACCTTTTTATGAATTCCGCCATTTTGCTGTGAGTAATTAAGTTTTCGATCGCGTTGTCTTGTCATGTGGTCAACAATTGGCACGACTGGAATCTCGTCCTACAATTTCAGCATACATTGAATAAATTTCAATTATTTAATATTGAAAATCAAATTAAATTTACTCACCTCAACTGTGTCAATATATTCATCATCATCTGATGTGTCTGTGGCACTGTGATTAAATCCATTCACGTAACCATTTGGAATGACGTCATTTCTCATCGGACTTGTTTCTCTCGAATGTAATGGTGAATTGGGATTTGAACGAGCTTTCTCAATTGCTGCAGGTGCAACAAGTTGCAAGTCTTCGAGACTAACGCTGCATTCATCTATGCTGCCATAAAAATCGGCAACGTTCTCGGTGTAACTCATCGTTTCAACAATTTTTCGAAGTTCATCCACGTACGATTCCATCGCCTTCTCTTTTGGCATCTCACCTAAACGTTTCCAAGCATCATATTTCGCCCTATGCACAACGTGTGATAAAACATCTCTTATTAATGTGATGAAACAGAAGATATGTACCGTCATCAAATTCTCACCTTCCAACGATATCCCAAAACGCTGGCCTTCTTCCTTTGCAACTCCCTTCTGTGCTTTGCTTGAAGTACGCATAAAATCTCAACATCATGTCATGGCTGGGTTGATATGAACCTTTAGGGGACAACATGAGAAGTAAGAAAATTATTTTCTGTCAGTTAAATTCTCTTATCTTCGAACAAAATTCTTTTAATATCAAAGATGATTTCTCTTTATAAAATATAAATAAATAAATATTACTAGCACGTGCGAAATTTCTGCATTAATATGCACTTTACTAATACTGAAAGGAACGAATGAAAGAAACCAAAAAAATAAAACCATTAACCCACATTGCATGTACTGCGCTTTAAAATATGAAATATTCGTGGAATCAACACGTTGTTCCGTTCGTAGGTATTATTTTGGAACTTAAAAAATATAAATTCATGATGCAACAAGTTTCATATGGTGGTGATGAAGATTTACATTGAGTTCATTTGTTAACATTGCTTTCTTTCTTATCCATCGACAAAATATCTCCGATTGCATCATAAAGAGCTGAAGATGAATGCAGGGACGAATAAAAAACTTTATATTTAAATCCCACAAAACTTATTCGATTATATCATTTCAAAGAAAAACATTTTTTATATTTCTTTTGAATGAATGTCTCTTTCTCTCTCTCTGTATCCCTCTTCAAAAGTGAAATCGAAAGTCAAAGAAACCACACATGCTTGAGAAAAAAAGTGTTTTCAACGTAGATTCGATCAGAGGAACAAAAAACGCAGCGTAAGACGCAAACAAAGCGATTGCTGAATTCAAACAGGTAATAACAAATTAGACTTCGAACTAGTCTAACAACATTCATAATTTTATTTACAATTAAAGTTTTAGTTGCCTCAATAAAAGATTTATTAAACATTGCCCAATTCAACTTGAGGTTTCGGTTTGCGATGAAATTTCTCACTTGATGTTTCCAATGTCAATTATGAAATTGCAGTCAAGAGTTTATTAAATCGCCTGACCTTAAAACCATTTACATACCAGCTTACAAAGTATGTTGAATCAATCAATATTTACTTAAAACTTCAACAAGAATTCGAGATCCATTTTCATTTCATATCGTAGAAATTTTCAACGAAAAACATTTAGAAATTTAATTAATGGAAAATGCTTTGTAATTGAAGAGGAAGAAAAAAAACTCAAATATTGACATTCATAATTGATGAACTTTAGTCAAGAGAAATTCATGATAAAAAAATTATAATTTCATTTCAGGGAGCAGCAATTAAGGAACAGCAAATGAAGAGAACGATCGGTCTTCGGTGAAACCATGTATATTAAACTTTTCCCTAATTTACTGTAATTTTCTTCAATTATTTTTTTTACTCCCAATTAACAATGGACGCCAGCCATAAGCAACGTTGATGCTGAAGCAACCCATTGTAGATAGCAAAAAAGAAACTTATTCTTCCGTCCTCAATCACGTTCTATAATCGAAGTTTATGCTCGCTTCATTGAGTCATTCCAAGCTAAACACCATTATTTATAGATAAACTTTGGAGTAAGTAACATGTGAAACTTTTTTCTCTGCTTTCAGCATCGAATTATTATTTTTTGGATTGAAATTAATTATCAATGCTTTGTAATGAAAGAAAAGAAAAGTTTATAAAATATCGATTCTAAATAATTACATTGGTTGAGCATTTACAGCAATTAAATAACTGAATAGCAAAAAAAATGAATGACTGTGAAGTTTAAATTGACGCAAGTAGAATTATGTAATTGTTTAAATAAACTCATTACGAGTGACGGAACTTCTGTCATGTGTTTGTGATTTTGGATCCTTAAATTTCACGCCTCGCAGATTTTTTTTCTCCAACTTGTCTCACGGGTAGAAGTTTACAAACAAAAACATTTTTAACACATGTGAAATGGACGAATTTTTGCTGATATGTATAATTAAACTCAAAAGCTACCGCTTCATAGCTGTTTCGTTTCTTTTTTTGAAAGTGAAAAGGTTTGTTGACAGGTGTAAATGGACATTTAACCACATCACCAAGATTAAAAGCTTTTTCTGTTTTCATGCTAAGCAAATAGAGAATGGCAGTTCTTTTGTGAACGCTCGAGTGATTCCAAGTAACGAAATTAAGGTGATTCTTCCTCTATTGTGTATGAAACTTTATCTTTTTATTATTACACTGTCCTAAATTCTTTAAACAAAAATGCGAATGGGAAAACCTTGTCATTGTTCTTATTCGTAAATAGGTAAACATAAAATGAAATGCAGCTTTAAAGAAAGTTGGGCAAAGAACAAAAAGCTTCATTTTCTACTTTAGATGTCAATTCGTTTATGTTTTGTTGGATGAGAGAAACGCGTTTTAAATGACGGAGAAATTATTTTTTCATTCAAACCAACTTGTAATATTTTATTTTATAATCTTTCATTTTCTCATTTATAAATGGCAACGTAAATTTCTTCATGAATATCGCTAAATTGCTTTATTGAGCGAAAAATTATGAGATAAGTACCTAAGGAAAAACTTTTTCCCTTTATGCAATGAAAACGAAATCTAGCAGTAAGAATTGTGATTCCATTTGAATTGGAAAAAAATTTAAAATCAAATTATGAGTTCCACTTTGCCAGAAGTTGTGCAATTTTAAGAATTTTATTTGAAATGTCTGAAGTTTACTATCTCAGATTATTAAAATAAATTTCCAGGTGGTAATCGCTTGGGAGTTTGATGACTTTCCTCAAGTTGTAATGGTCATTAAAATTGCTAATAACCCTCTTTACCAGTGACTTTGAAGAGATGGTAGACGAAAGAAAATAATCATTATGATTAATCGAGGCTATGGCAGAAAATAAGTTTCGCGCGTGTCGAGTCTCATGAATTTAAATTACGGGGAAGTCGAAGTTTAAAGTCTCATCGGACTCACAAATCTTTTTCATTTGACAATAAAAAGAAAACAAATAAAATTTTAAATTCACATAGACAACAGTAAATGACTTCAACGTCCGAAATTTCCTTTTACACCTTCAGCCACACATGTGTTGTCCTTGAAAAGAGCCGAAGTATAACTTAGATGTAAATAAATACGACAATGGAATGTAGAGTGAAAAGAAATTTCTTGTTGAAATGTCTTTTAAACATTAAAGTAGCTTTCATTTGCCCTCAATATTTTGAAATACAAAAATTTTGACCTTCATTGCGATGTTGTTTTATTACTGATTAGATACTACATAAAGCTGCTAAAGCCGGTCCTTTCAGTTGATAAAAATTAATGCGACGAAAATACAAAGATTTAGATAATAATAATTTACTATAATATATTCTATAATGCACTATAATGTATGCAGAAAGGTAGAGGGCGTATTATTTATGATCGAAACTTAAATTGTACAATCGATAACGGGTTTATTTTTAAGGTGGACCAAAATCAATAAGCCTAAATAAGTAGATGTTGTACCTTTCTCTTATGAACATTTAAACATTAACCGCACGAGTTTCACAATATGACATAACTGAATAAAATTTAAAACTCATTTATGGATCATATGGTCCTATGTAACAGTATACAACATAAAATTTGAATATTATGAAAGTTGTGGATGTAAACTTTTTTTCTTGGTTTTACTTTATTATTTACTAATTTTAAAGATATTTACGACAAGTAGACACCCGTCAGCAAATAACTATGTTCACTGCTTCGCATTCATTGACATTCTTTTGACCCGAATCCGCTTTTAATTATAAGCACCAAAATGTTCTATTTTTTATTTCTTACCGTTTTTAGGTAATCCACGGATTACATTAACAGCAGCTTTAAACTTTTGTTCTGTTGACATTTCGGTGTTTTCTTTCCAAGAGTTAGGGTATATTAGAATAGCAACTTTAAGCTACTTATTTAAGTTTCTGCCTACCAAATTTTATACATAAAATGCAAATTAATGTTTTTTTCAATTTTTTTTCACTTTTAAGTTTATAGTCAATTAATGCTGTCTTTGGATAGCAGAAACAGTTGAGTTGCAATGTTTACGGTTGAAACGATACACACAACTGTTTAATTAAAGTGGAAAAATCAATTCACACAAAAGAATCAAAAAAACTTGTTTTCTTAAAAGTCTCCACAATCGGATGATAACTTTGGTGTATAGTTGCGTACCCACTTTGGAGACTTTGCTGCACGCTTTTTTGTTTTGATTTTGATTGCAGAAGTCAATGAAATATATTTTGGATTAAAATGTCTTTTGGGCAAAAAATATTAGAGAAATATGGCTTTAGAAAAGGAAATGGCCTAGGAAAGCATGAAAACGGAATAATAGAACCAATTAAAGCTACTTTTAAGGTAAGTTAATTATTTACAATCATTTTTACATGTCATATTTATTCTTATATGATTTTATCAGTTTGATAACAGTGGATTGGGTGATGAAGGGCCAGTTCGAGAAGATCATTGGTGGGAACGTGTTTTTAACGAGGCATCAAATAATGTGAATGTTGAAAAATCACAATCTGGAAAAGTAAAATTTTTGAAAGATTTTCCATAACAAATGATGATTAAAATGTTTCTCATATAGATTGCAGTTAAGCTTCATGACAAAGATGGAGTTGAAATCACAAACAAAAGTTTTTCCTTGAAGAAATTGAAAGATTCTAATACGAAATTACAGTACGGAAGCTTTTTAAAATCAGCAACTCTGCTAGCAAATGTCGGTAAAGAAGAGGAAATTGAAGGACATTTCAGTACTAATGACATTGAAATAAAACCGGTCCAAGTGCTCACAGATGAGGAATTATTTAAAGCTTGTGGTGGTCGGACGGCACATAAAGGAGCAAGACATGGTCTTAAGCTTTCTGGAAAATTGCAAAGAATTGCCGATCAAGAAAAAGCTCTCCTGGAAAAAATGAAAGAAAAACATTTAAAACATGAAGTTTTCAGAGAACCTCTCGCTAAGAAGCAGAAACAGAATCCATTGGCAAAATTAAACAGCTCAAAAGAGGAAACTAGTGATGACAGTTCGCTCCCAATCGACACCGAGTCTGATTATGTTTTAAAATCTAAAAAGCGAAAGAAACGTGACAAGAAGGAAGAACTTCAGTTGGTCACTCAAATCAATAGTATTGGTTTAAATGAAGAGGAAAAGCAATTTTTCATTGCCGAATCAGAACATCCTACAGAACGTGAAGAAGATGAATCTCGCGATGGGACACCGATGCGTAAGAAAAAGAAAGCAAAGCGAGTCTACAATAAACTTTCGTCTATTCAAGAAGGCGATCAATCTTCTGAAGAAATTGTTTTAAAAAAGAAAAAGAGAAAAGGAAAACGAAAACTTGATGAAGATGATGAAATGAATTGTTCTAAAATTCCTTCAAATGAAGTTCTTAATTCAAAAAGAGTGAAATTAAACGATTCTTATGAAGCTTCTTCATCTGATGGTGTCGACATTGCAGATAAAATTAACCACGAGCAAGAACTGAAACATTCTAAGAAAACTAAAAACAAAAGTAAAAAATCTAAGAAAAGGCACAAGAAAAATCTTAAAACGACGATTTTAAGTCTTGCTGAAAACCTTTAGCAATTTTTTAATCTTTTTCTATATTTACAGGATTTATTGATGAATTTTTTTATAATGAAATAATAAAAATTGAACTTGCATTAAAGTCTGTCTTGAAGAATGGAATATGAATAATAGCAATATTGAGTAGAATATTAATCATCTACGTGAATTTGACTTGTTAATTACTAAGAACAGATTGCTGTTGAAAAAAGTGAATAAATATTGGAACATTTGAAAGAACTTTCGTTGTTAAATTTCATTTGCTTCATTCACTTGTAAATTCAATTTTCTGTATCATTTTATGCAAGAAAATTGAATCTTAACATTTTATTTACATTTCTAAGTAGAATCACAGTCCAAGATAAAGTTTGACGCTTTACCAAGTCTAGTTTGTCACTTAGAAAACTTTTCTTTGGAACTGAACATTGCGTTGAAAAGTTCATTATAAAGTTGTACGCTTCCTTTAAGTTTTCTTTTGCCATATAATGTTGAGTTATCATCCCGCGAAGTGAACAACGATCTTTTATTGATACAAAAGAAAATAATGGATGGTGTTGACGTTTAATTTTGAGTCGATCGGCAACAAATCCCGTCAAGTAAACATCTTCGAGATGAAACATTGGCGTTGACAAACTTCCTTTGTATAATTTATTGACAGTCTCAAAGCTCATCAAATAAGCCGTTCCAGAAAGAAAATCAGGAAAAACTTCTCCGTTGAATGAATAATTTGGAACATACCACTTGCTTCTCACGTCTCTTATAGGTTTTGCCGAGCAAAACTTAAATCCTAATAAAAGATTTTTGCCTTCACTTAAGCGATTTCGAGCACTTCTGGCGTTAATCGACAATTTATCATTGACAGAAACTGTTGCGTTGTAAACAGGAACCGTTCCACCAAGCAGCACGTGAATGAGATTCGGAACATTTACAAAAGTGTCGTCATCACATTTCATGATGTATTTGACTGAAAAATAATTATTTATTTGTAAAATGGGAATTGAAGCAATCGAATTCATTTCTACCTTTGTCAACACAATTAATATTCGCCCATTTAAGCATTAGAATCGTTTTGATTGTTAAATTGTTGTAACTGTCCAAGAAATTCTCTTGAATTATGTCACCTGAAAAGTAATCGATAAGTTCCGATTGCGGGTAATGGAATTTCCTTCTCACCATAAAGTTCGTGTTCGTAGTTAATCTGATATTGAAGTTCATCAAAGGATCGTTCGTTAGTTGGAACACCCAACAAGAAAACAACGCGAATATTAAAATTACTTCGATTTAATTGATGATCAGAAGTTGTGGAATTCTATCAAAGAGAAATCAACTTTAATTTATTCATTTAGTCATAAAAAAGTTCAAATATTCACCTCAGCATATCTTTCCCAATGTTTATTGTTGGGTTTGAGATAAAATTTGTCGTATTTCCCATGCAGTTTCTCGAACACGGGATAATTGAAGTTCGTGCTGTTTCCCCACGTCTCTCTGATAGTTTGACGAGCTTCAAAATTTCTCAATGAAGAGCAGACAACGATGAGAAGGAAAATAGGAATGTCTTCATTGACAAGCTTTCACCGGCTCGATTAAAGTTGTGTTTTCATTGGGACAAACGTAATCTATCGTCTGACGGGAAGTGTTCCTGGACCATCCCACAATCATTCGTTGCGAATATACTTTGACATTACTATATATCAAGATATGAATCGATAAAAGCACCAAGAAAACAGTAACAATGAAGGGAATTTTATTCATTTTGTTAGCATTTAAAAGCCCACTGCGAAGTTCAAATTTTTTAAAAAAATTCTTCATGTTAGTTGTCGTTAAGCTTGTCGTCATTTAACTTTACCCAATTCAATTAGTTCTTATTATAACTAAGCACAGCACGAGCATAAAACTTTTTTTATCATCTTCAGAAACAATTTTCCCGCGACAATGAAACAAATGAAAAATATTTTTAAAATTTTGCACTCCCTGAAATTCGTAGTCTGTATTGTACTGGAATGTTTATGCCTTCTCATAGGGTCTTCAGGTTATCAGCAATGTGTAAGACAAGCATGTTGAATTCGTGTGCGTTGAGCGATGATAAGATGATTTCCCTTTTGTTGTAATGCCAAAGTTAGATCTCTTGGTGAGTTTATTTCTCCACTAGAACTAATTTCACTTCTCCAGAAAATTATCCAATTGTACAGACATGCTTGGAATTCGTTTCGTTATTAAAATGAACAATTTCGCTTTTTTATTTATTCTTAATTCAGTTGCATTAAATAAATGAATTGAGACTACAAATTTTTGAACCTTAGAAAGTTCTAATGAAAACAAATTGATATGGGTAAATATGTTAGATTACAACTTTGATTATTATTTTTAATTTTTAATGGAATTGAAGCATTCACAAGATCTTTCTTGTTATGAAAAAAAAATTTTATCTTAGAATCATTCATGCTACAGACGAAATAATATTTTTTGTTTGGATATTGTCTTCATTATGATCTGTTGTCAGAAGTTCAATCTAGTTTTAAAACAGAGCCTTGACTTAACTTCGCTTTACTTGACTCGAGTTGACAAGCCGACATGCATAATGACTCGATTTAAAAATATTTTTTGACTTTTCTTATTCGAGTGACTTGACTTGAAACAAAAGCCAAACAAGTCAAAGTGCTGTTTAAAACTTGTCTTCATTATGCGAATAAATTTCGTCAATTAACTTTACTAATCAATATAAAAATAAAATTATTTAAAAATTTAAAAAAACTTTCTATGAAATGTAATTTGATATTCGAACAATTATCAAATTTCTAATAGGTAGGTATCTACGTGAATTTCATCAATCAGATTGCTGTTGGGAAAAGTGAATAAATATTGGAAATTTGAAAGAACTTTCGTTGTTAAATCTCATTCGCTTCATTCACTTGTAAATTCAATTTTTGTATCATTTTATGCAAGAAAATTCAAGCTTCACATTTTATTTACAATTCTAAGTGGAATCACAGCCCAAGATAAAGTTTGATGACTTAAAACTTCAACGTTTCACTACAAGTTGTCTTTCATATTTAATCGTTGCGAATTTTCATTTACATCCTTTACGCTTTACCAAGTCTAGTTTGTCACTTAGAAAACTTTTCTTTGGAACTGAACATTGCGTTGAAAAGTTCATTATAAAGTTGTACGCTTCCTTTAAGTTTTCTTTTGCCATATAATGTTGAGTTATCATCCCGCGAAGTGAACAACGATCTTTTATTGATACAAAAGAAAATAATGGATGGTGTTGACGTTTAATTTTGAGTCGATCGGCAACAAATCCCGTCAAGTAAACATCTTCGAGATGAAACATTGGCGTTGACAAACTTCCTTTGTATAATTTATTGACAGTCTCAAAGCTCATCAAATAAGCCGTTCCAGAAAGAAAATCAGGAAAAACTTCTCCGTTGAATGAATAATTTGGAACATACCACTTGCTTCTCACGTCTCTTATAGGTTTTGCCGAGCAAAACTTAAATCCTAATAAAAGATTTTTGCCTTCACTTAAGCGATTTCGAGCACTTCTGGCGTTAATCGACAATTTATCATTGACAGAAACTGTTGCGTTGTAAACAGGAACCGTTCCACCAAGCAGCACGTGAATGAGATTCGGAACATTTACAAAAGTGTCGTCATCACATTTCATGATGTATTTGACTGAAAAATAATTATTTATTTGTAAAATGGGAATTGAAGCAATCGAATTCAATTCTACCTTTTTCAACACAATTAATATTCGCCCATTTAAGCATTAGAACCGTCTTGATTGTTAAATTGTTGTAACTGTCCAAGAAATTCTCTTGAATTATGTCACCTGAAAAGTAATCGATAAGTTCCGATTGCGGGTAATGGAATTTCCTTCTCACCATAAAGTTCGTGTTCGTAGTTAATCTGATATTGAAGTTCATCAAAGGATCGTTCGTTAGTTGGAACACCCAACAAGAAAACAACGCGAATATTAAAATTACTTCGATTTAATTGATGATCAGAAGTTGTGGAATTCTATCAAAGAAAAATCAACTTTAATTTATTAATTTAGTCATAAAAAAGTTCAAATATTCACCTCAGCATATCTTTCCCAATGTTTATTGTTGGGTTTGAGATAAAATTTGTCGTATTTCCCATGCAGTTTCTCGAACACGGGATAATTGAAGTTCGTGCTGTTTCCCCACGTCTCTCTGATAGTTTGACGAGCTTCAAAATTTCTCAATGAAGAGCAGACAACGATGAGAAGGAAAATAGGAATGTCTTCATGACAAGCTTTCACCGGCTCGATTAAAGTTGTGTTTTCATTAGGACGAGCGTAATCTATCGTCTGACGGGAAGTGTTCCTGGACCATCCCACAATCATTCGTTGCGAATATACTTTGACATTACTATATATCAAGATATGAATCGATAAAAGCACCAAGAAAACAGTAACAATGAAGAGAATTTTATTCATTTTGTTAGCATTTAAAAGCCCACTGCGATATTCAATTTTTTTAAAAAATTTCTCCATGTTAGTCGTCGTTAAACTTGTCGTCATTTAACGTTACTCAATTTGACATATTCTTGTCATAACTTTCTCGCGAAAATTGTTTCCGAAGATGACAGCCGTCGAAGTTCGAGATGTACATCAAATGTAAGTTTTAACGTGTAAAAAGTAGTAAAAGTGTTATGTTTGTGCTTTGTTTAATTATACTATACTTTTAAGGTGATTTCGACATAAAATTTTTATATTCTTATCAGTCTTTTACTGATATCATTACTATGAAGCAAATGAAAATCCTCCCGACTTATTTTTAATTCTGATTTTATTTTACTTTTTGTATTGGAATTTTTATCTATTCTCATAGGGACGTCTTGTTCGACTTGTCTCATGGGTCTTCTTGTTATCAGCAATGTGTAAGACAAGCATGTTGAATATACATTCGTGTGCGTTAAGCGATGATAAGATGATTTCCCTTTTGCAGTAATACCAAAGTTAGATCATTTGGAGAATTTCTTTTGTACAAACATGTTTGGAATGCGTTTCGTTATTAAAATGAACAATTTTGCTTTTTTATTTATTTATTTTTAATTCAGTTGCATTAAATAAATGAATTGAGACTACAAATTTTTGAACCTTTGAAAGTTCTAATGAAAACAATTTGATATGCGTGTCTTTCTATGTTAGATTACAACTTTGATTATTATTTTTAATTTTTAATGGAATTGAAGCATTCACAAGATCTTTCTTGTTATAAAAAAAAAATTTATCTTAAAATCATTCATGCTATAGACGAAATAATATTTTTTGTTTGGATATTGTCTTCATTATGATCTTTAAAAAGACGTTCAATCTAGTTTTAAATTAGAGCCTTGACTTAACTTCGCTTCACTTGACTTGACTTGAGCTGACTAGCCGACCTGCGTGTTTTCAATGAGTCGATTTAAAAATATTTTTTGACTTTTCTTATTCGAGTGACTTGACTTGAAGCAAAAGCAAAATAGTTAAAGCTCTGTTTAAAACTTGTCTTCATTATGCGAATAAATTTCGTCAATTAATTTTATTAATCAATATAAAAATAAAATTATTTAAAAATTTAAAAAAACTTTCTATGAAATGTAATTTGAGATTCGAACAATTTCCAAATTTCTGTTAATTAAAATTTGCTTTTATATTGAGCTTATTTAGTCAATTATTTTTTAGCAACTACAAGGCAGCATACCCAATTTTATTAGTAATTTTATTTTTCGAATGACTTCTTGTTATAAAAATAATTAAAATTATTTGGAATTAGGAGTAAATTCTAGTCTGGAAATTCTCGTTTTAAACATCGGGCTTCGAGTGGCATTTTTTGTTCACTTTCTTCGATATGACTTTAATCACTATCATCGGATTTTAGACTCTCACTTCGATAATTCATTATTGGTAGTCCAAATTGAGCCATATTTGATCGCAACTTAAGTTTTAGGCTAATTTGAATGACAATTATAATCTCAATTTTTCAGTTTTTGGGATGAAGGAAAGCTGAATATGCCAAATAACTTCAACGTTAAAAACTTTCCTTAAATTTTTGTTTAAAAATCATTACAATTTTGACACTCTCAAAATAAAAAATAATAAAATCAATTTTGTTTCAATAATTTCACTTTCACAGCCTAATTATGTTCTTCTCATGGTTGCATCATATGGACGGTAAAATTAGTTATTTCGTTCATATTTTAAACATTTTAACTTTCATTACAAATTTACTTTGTCAGATCCGAGCAATTTTATATTTCATTTACATCCTTTGCGGTTTATCAACTCCAACTTCCTGCCCAGATAACTTTTCTTCGGAACTGAACATTGCGTCGAAAAGTTCATTATAAAGCTGTAAGCTTCTTCCACAGTCATTGGTGTCATCTTATGTTGAGTTATCATCCCACGAAGTGAACAACGATCTTTTATTGATACAAAAGAAAATAATGGATGGGGTTGACGTTTAATTTTGAGTCGATTGGCAACAAATCCCGTCAAGTAAACATCTTCGAGATGAAACATTGGCGTTGACAAACTTCCTTTGTATAATTTCTTGGCAGTCTCAAAGTTCATTAGATAAGCCGTTCCCGAGAGGTAATCAGGATAAATTTCTCCGTTGAATGAATAATTTGGAGCATACCACTTGCTTCTCACGTCTCTTACTGGTTTCGCCGAGCAAAACTTAAATCCTAATAAAAGATTTTTGCCTTCACTTAAACGATTTCGAGCACTTCTGGCGTTAATCGACAATTTATCATTGACAGAAACTGTTGCGTTGTAAACAGGAACCGTTCCACCAAGCAGCACGTGAATGAGATTCGGAACATTTACAAAAGTGTCGTCATCACATTTCATGATGTATTTGACTGAAAAATAATTATTTATTTGTAAAATGGGAATTGAAGCAATCGAATTCAATTCTACCTTTTTCAACACAATTAATATTTGCCCATTTAAGCATTAGAACCGTCTTGATTGTTAAATTGTTGTAACTGTCCAAGAAATTCTCTTGAATTATGTCACCTGAAAAGTAATCGATAAGTTCCGATTGCGGGTAATGGAATTTCCTTCTCACCATAAAGTTCGTGTTCGTAGTTAATCTGATATTGAAGTTCATCAAAGGATCGTTCGTTAGTTGGAACACCCAACAAGAAAACAACGCGAATATTAAAATTACTTCGATTTAATTGATGATCAGAAGTTGTGGAATTCTATCAAAGAAAAATCAACTTTAATTTATTAATTTAGTCATAAAAAAGTTCAAATATTCACCTCAGCATATCTTTCCCAATGTTTATTGTTGGGTTTGAGATAAAATTTGTCGTATTTCCCATGCAGTTTCTCGAACACGGGATAATTGAAGTTCGTGCTGTTTCCCCACGTCTCTCTGATAGTTTGACGAGCTTCAAAATTTATCAATGAAGAGCAGACAACGATGAGAAGGAAAATAGGAATGTCTTCATGACAAGCTTTCACCGGCTCGATTAAAGTTGTGTTTTCATTAGGACGAGCGTAATCTATCGTCTGACGGGAAGTGTTCCTGGACCATCCCACAATCATTCGTTGCGAATATACTTTGACATTACTATATATCAAGATATGAATCGATAAAAGCACCAAGAAAACAGTAACAATGAAGAGAATTTTATTCATTTTGTTAGCATTTAAAAATTTGAAACTACGGGGTTTAACATTGTACACCTCTTTGACTAGAGAACTTTCTTCGTTATCACTCAACTCATCATCGTCCTCTAACATTGATCGTTTCGACATGTTTTTCAATTTGAACAATTTAAAGTGATATAATTTCATCCACTTATTGATTATTTTTAGATCTATTCACAGCATTTCATTATTTATCGATTTATTCGAAAAGTTGACAAGGATTTTGAATACAAAGCGTGCTATTCACAGAGATTGCTTAAAAACTATCGAGTGCCACTAGACATACAATGGAAATTTTAACGATTTATATCCATGGATGAACATGGAATGCTTAATTATATTGTTTATTCCATTCAGAGTCTTTTGTTTCGTTATCAATGTTGTAATTGGATATGACAAAATACTTGGATGCTTTAAAACAATGTTCACTGTAATTGGGAGGGGAAATTTGGAGACTTATGTCGGGAGTTGTCTCATTACAATTCTGTATTTAGGTTTTAAATTATTATTCAGACGAGGGTGTGCAGGAACGTCAAATGTTTTCCCTTTGTAATTCCTTGCTTAAACTCTTTTTGAATAGAATGTTTTTTGCAATTCAATCCCAAATTTATTATAGAATGGAATATTTCTTTGCATGAAGCTCATTCATCAAGCCATTAAAAAGTTAAAGCATTTTTAATGAACATGCGAATTAGTCACATATATGCGAATGCCCATTCTATACATGCGAATTTTCAGTAGTGTCACCCTGTCTAGATTTCTTATCTCCCTATATGTAGCTTTATGAAGCTAGATTGTGGAAGTTCAAGAAAGTTATCAAGATTTATGTTTACCAGTGAACAGCATAGTTTTGAATAATAGTTTTGAATTGATAACTTCAACCCTTTAAGGCTGAAAGTTTCAGCTTAATGGCAAAGGCTAAACTTTAAAAACCAAAACAAACTGTTCAGGTTTTTCCTCAATTAATTTTGTCAAAGGACAGTCTGTGTTAAATAATAAACAATCATGGGTGGATTCTTTTCAACACACACTGCTGTTGAAAAAACATTTCGCAAGAACCAAGAATATATCAGCGAGATGAATAAACTTAAGGTGAGTATTTTAAAAAAATCAATAAACGGATTTAAGTGAAAATCAATAATTTCCAATTTATTAGATGGAACGATGGATTCAAATGCAATACCAAATAAAGCAAAGAGAAAAAGCATTAGAGATAGCAAGGAATCGAGAGTTGTTTATTTGGATGTTTGGATTTTATGTCGTAGCTGCATCTGGGATTGTTTCAAAGTTTGTTAAATTTTATTTATGTTTATGGCAAATATTTGAAACCTGATATGTTGGGGGTTTAGATTTGCTCGAGTGAAACGCCCAGCAGTGTTGACTCCTCTTATTCCTCTATCGTTCATCACACTTTATGTTGGTGATTTGGGTTACGGGTCAAAACTTCAGAGAATTCATGCGGAAGCTGAGATGATTATGGAACATGAACATGAACTTCTTAATTTCCCAATGGGACTCCCAACAGTTGCAAGCATTGATGCTGCTAGAGTTGAATTGGACGAAGAGAGGTGCGTAGTTAAGTTTGAAGAAATTATCGAATTAAATTACTGAATGAAATCTTTTTCAGACGTCTTCATCCTAATCATATTTAAGTTACCAGACAGACCATCCAATGATACGATAACGTTTTAGTTTGGAACGTTCACGAAATATTCACAACAAGGTTCAACATAATTAAACTCGAATAAATTCATACTTTTGTCGTTAATGCTGTTTCTATGTCGAGATACTTTTAATAAGAAAAATTGAAATTACGATTACCAAACGTTTGGAATTTTCAGCACAAATTTATAAATTTATAAATGTTCTTTAACAATAATACTCGTGTCTTGCCGTCATTTATGAACAAAAGAAACATGCGAAAGTTCTTATTGTGAAGTGAAAAAGGTTCTAAATAATTAAGATACTTAAAATGCATTTACATACGTAGAATCAAGAAGCTTTTCATTTTCATTGCAAATCTTTAATTGAATAGCTTTGATATTTTTAATTTTTATCAGTTGTTAATTATTAAAGATTTATTAAAAATATTGCAAACTTTCTTCGATTTTAAATCTTTAAACTTTTATTTGAAACTCAAAAAAATCTTTAATCAGTTTAACAATCAATTTGACTTGAATGTTTTGTGCGATTTTATAACGAAATCAAACTTATGAATGTGATTTATGCAATAAAAATATGAATAGAAAATAATAAACTTTTATAACTCTTCGTTAGTTCCTGACGACTTCTCGGGTTTGGAGAACTTGAACGATCCGATAATGTTAATTTTTTGATTGATTTCTTCGCGCTTCTTATCAGTCATCTTGTTTTTCAAAAGTTTTGTCATTCGTTCGTGTTGGTTGAGAACAAAAACTTCACCTTTCTCAATCACACCGTTCATCAATGTTGTATAAGTTTTTGAAAGTTTTTTATTCTAAGTGAGAAGATTAAGTGATTAGAAACTGTTCGGTAATTAATTCTTTTCCTTTTCCCACCTCTTCCTTCTCCATGTTTTCAATGAATTCTGCAGCTTCTTTTACAATGTCTTTTCTCTTATCAGGTTGATTGACGAATTCCATCGCCATCTCATCCAACTCTTTGGTACATCCAGGAGCCAAAATTGGGATTTCAGTGTTCGCTTTTAAAAATTCATAAAGCCGTGAAATTGTAACCTTTTCAGTTCCTGCATTGATACATAAATTTTTTACCATGCGATGACATCAAAAGATAAAAAAAATCATCAAATTTACCGATTTGAAAGTCGATTGGACTTTTCAAATTGCCATCATTAAATAGTTTTATGAAGGGTAATTCTTGACGTTTTGAAGAGCCAAATCTGTCACCTAAAGGTTTGTTATCAAAAGGAGAATAATCTTTTATTCCCACAGTGCCTATGAGGATCTCTGAATAATCCATTCCACCATTCAATGTAAAATTGTTAAGCATTGCAGCAAACTCTATCCAACTATCGTGAACTTCCCCAAAAGGAAATTGTTGGTCAAATTTCACTAAAGCTACTTTAAATTTTGGTATCACTTTGTCGAATGTCAACTCATCTAAATCGACACATCCCGTGCAGCACGAACAATAATTTATAAATGAAAATACTAAAAATATTACAACTTTATTCATCGTAGCACTGAAAATATGAATGTTTCTCATTCAAGTTTGGAAATTGAATGAAAAGTACACGTAAGTGGTAAACGAATTTAAATCAGTCATCAAGCGATAAAGAATTTTTCAAAAACATTTCCACACCACAATGCAAAAGCTTAACAAACACTAATGAAGCTCTAAAAATCATAATAGATCGTGAAATCAATTATTGATGTGTTGTGTTGTTGGTTCCATCAATTCAAGTTGTTAATTATTTTATTTTACATGTGCACTCTGCAATCATCAGTTAAAAATTGCAAATAAATATTTAATTAGTTGAATTTTGGATCAATGTTGAAGACTCTGAGCTCAGATCCATAAATTCGATAAAAACTTTAACTAATTAAAAATGAAAGTTATTGACATCGTTTTAGCTCAAAGCAAGTCATTACAAAATTTATATTTTTAATTAAAAGAATTAATTATGGTACAACATTCCAAGGCTTGAAACTTCCTTCTACATTTTCCTCGAACTTATAAAGAAAAAGAAAATTAATTTCAAGATAATTTTGAATAAAATTTTACCCACATTTCTCGTGATTTTATCCTGACAAGCCATTCTTATCCTAGCTGCCGTTGCTGGTGATTGAAAAGGAAAATCAGGATCAATATTTTCTTCCAATCTAGCAGCTGCAATTGCTTCCTTAATCGCGAAATATACGGAAGATGCCAGGAAAAGTGGAGGTTCGCCAATAGCTTTTGATGAGTAAACTGCTCGAGGGTTTGGAGCTCCAGTAAGAAGTGACACGTTGAATTCTGCTGGAATATCGGTGAAACCAGGAATCTTGTACATTCCGGGACCACGGGAATATAACGTTCCATCAGGTGAATAAATCAACTCTTCCAAAGTCAAAAGTCCATAACCTTGCATGAAAGCGCCTTCAATTTGGCCAATGTCAATTGCTGGATTAATCGACGATCCAACATCCATGACAATATCTGTCCGAATAACTTGATGATCGCCAGTTAGACAATCAATTTCAACTTCGGAAACACTCGAGCCATAAGTGAAATAATTGAACATTTTTCCAACTTCTTTGCCAATGTCTGGTGTTGCAAAAAATCCTGCGGCTGATAATGCAACTCGATCGAAATATGCATCTTTAACCCATTCATCCCATCCTTTGTTTGGCTGCTTTTCACGGTAAGGTGCTAAGCGATTGTACAATATTTTACAAGCTTCCATGACAGCACCACCATAAATGTCAGTACCAACAGAAGCACCGGTTGATGAAGCGTTTGGAACTTTGTCAGTTGCAGTTTCCTGAATGTGAACTTTCTCAATAGGAATTTTCAAAACTGTTGAAGCAACTTGAATCATTTTAATATGAAGTCCTTGACCCATTTCAACTCCACCATGAGACACCAACACATGACCATCAGTATAAATATGAACCAAAGCACCAGCTTGGTTCAAAAATTTCTCTGAAAATCCGACAGTGAACATCGTGTTGACCAAACTGATCCCTCGCTTCTTCCATCGATTTTGTTCATTAAACTTTCGAACTTCCGATGAACGTTTTTCCATTTCTGAACTCTTTTTAACTTCTTCAAAGCATCGTCTAACATTGCAATTTTCCACAACTTGATTGTAATGAGTTAAGTCGCCATTCTTGTACATGTTAATCGTCATTATTTCCAAGTAATCTTTCTTAAGATATTTTGCAACATCACGAACTAAATGTTCCGAAACCATCATTCCTTGTGGTAAACCGAAACCACGAAATGCTGTGTTGGTGTGAAGATTTGTCTTCAAAACTTTACTTTCAATTCTGATGTTCGGAATTCTATAACAATTAGGCAGCGCATGAACTGCTTTCTTCATGACAAGTCCTGAATAATCCAAGGAATATCCTGCGTTGTTAAATGCTTTCACATCGCAACCAACAATCCTTCCATCATTCATAAAGGCCAATTGATACTTGAACAAGAATGGATGTCTTGTGCCCGTTATCATCATATCTTCATCACGATCCAACATCATTCTAACAGGCTTGCCAAGTTTATAAGCAGCAAATGCAACAGGAAGCGCTGTGACTGAAGATCGAGTTTCTTTACCTCCAAATGCACCACCAACTCGCTTTGTACGAACTGAAATGCGACTAGATGGAATGTTTAAGAAACTAGCAACTCGATTTTGTATATCGCCAGGTTGTTGTGTTGATGAAAATATTTCCAATTCATCGCCATCTCTTGGAATGGCTATCGCAGCTTGAGTTTCAAGATAAAAATGTTCTTGACCTCCCATACGAAATTCTCCACTAACAACGTGATCAGCGGTTTTGAAAGCTTTTTCAACGTCGCCATTAATTAAAGTGCTGGAATGATCTGGAAAAATTGAATTATGTTTGATTGCATCTTCCATTGTGAGAATGACCGGTGAAAGTTCTTCATAATGAACTTTAACTAATCGTGCAGCTCTCTGTGCGATCAATTGATTGTCAGCAACGATTGCACCCAAAGCTTGCCCTTGACTTGTCACAACTTCTCTAATGAAGAACTCTTCGTCTGTGGCCATGGGGCCAGTCAAGTTTTGTTCCACTGTCAAATCTTTAGCTGAGAAAAATGCATGCACACCAGATTGACTTAAAGCTTCTGTCGCATCAATTGAAATGACTTTAGCATGCGCTTTCTCACTTAACACGAGTACAAGATAAAGTTCATTCTCAAACCTTGGAATGTCGTCACAGTAAACTGCTTCACCAGTCGCGTGCTTAAAACCAGATGAATGAATTTTAGGACGATGAATTGGATCGGTTAAAGGTTGATCAGATGAAACTTTCTGTTAAAAACAAAATTAAGTAACAAATTTAAAGTTTATTTTATTAAGCAAACCTCAAAGAGTTGAGAACTTTTTGGTGGAAGTGTGTGAAAACCTTCGGCTCCACTTTTCTCTCTTTCATCAACCAATGTCAGTCCCAAAGTTTTTTCTAAAGCTTGACTGATTGTTAGGAAGCTTTTAAAGAATAAACTGAGAGTTAACGAACGTCGATAAAGAATCATTCCACCAGGTGCATCAGGGGACAAAGGAATTTCATCAATCAAATGTTTGTTGACAATCTCGATTAAATTTCTATCCCAAGTTTTTCCTTTCACTGCTGCAGAAGTTTTCGAAGCTAAAATTGTTCTTGGGGCCATACCACCAAACGCAATTCTCATGTTGTCAATAATATTTGTACCTTCCTTAAAGATGACATTAAAAGCTCCATTAACAATTGCAATGTCATCATCTCGGCGTTTCGCTTGTTTGTAAGCCAAGAAATGTTGATTTTTGAATGTTTTCGGAAGTGAAATGGAAATTAAAACTTCTGAATCTTTTATAATGTTCCTTCGATAACTAGTGAAGAATCCATCAGACATTTTGACATTTCTTCGACCACCGTCAATGCTTTCAACTTCCAAACTAAGAAATGAAATAAGAAAATTGGAAATTATGAATAAAAGTTTTAATTTTTTATTTCTCACTCAACAGCAGCCGCCAAAAAAATTGGATTTAAATCAGAAATTGGTGAAGCTGTCATGATATTCCCGCCAATGGAAGCGACGTTTCGAATTTGTTGTCCGGCAAACCAATGAATCATGTCAACTAACGCTTTGTAAAATCGAGTTTCATGTTCTGGTTTCATTTCAATTTCGTGTTTAAGAACATTTTGCAGTTCCATCAAAGTAACAGCTGATCCAACTTTAACTCCATTCTCGTTGAGAGTAACGCTAGTAAGTTCATCAATTTGTGTTGGGTTCACAAGAAATTTGTAATCGCAATGCTTGAATTTTATTTCAACTCCAACTTCCGTGTTACCAACGACGATCTTTGCATTTGGATTATCCTTCTTAAATTCAAGAAGTTGTTTCAAAGATGTCGGTCGATACCAAACAATGTTTCTGTCGTTCTTAAATGTCAATGTTTGTTGATCATAAATGTTGTTCAATTTCAATTCTGGAGGGAAAATTGGTTCTTGTGATGGGTCGAGGGGAGCGAACTCGTTTTCCTCGAATAATTTGTTATCAACTTCAACTCCACATTGATTTCCATTCAACTTACAACATTTTTCTCCCATTCCACATTCCATTTTATAATCTTCAGTAAATGTTCGGTAACCTTCGATGATCGGTCGATATCCAGTGCATCTGCACAAATTACCTTGGAACGTTGCTTCCAAATCTTTCATATTTGGGTTTGGTATGCTTCTAAGTAAAGCGTACATCGACATAACAATTCCTGGCGTGCAGAATCCACATTGCGATCCATGAGCTTTTGCAATTCTTTCTTGTACAGGATGTAAACGAGTTCTTGTACTTCCTATACCTTCAACAGTTGTAACAGCAACACCATGCAAGCTACAGATTGGCGTCAAACAAGCATTCACAGCGAAATGTTTAACAGTTTTAATCTTCCAATCATATCTTGACAACATCACTGTACAAGCACCACAACCACCTTCATCACATCCTAACTTCGTGCCACACAACCGAAGCTTTTCGCGAAGATAACGAAGAAGAGTGTAATCGGGATCAGGTTCTTTATCAGTTACCTAAATAAATACATACACGAGTATTAAAAGATAAAAAGTTAAATTTATTTAATGAGATAAGTGGATAAATATGAATTGCGTAATTTAAGATTAAGCAACAATTTATTTAGATAAATTTTTTGTTTTTATGAAATTTCCTTAAATTTATGTAACTAAAATTTTCTTTTCTAAAGTTTGAATAATTAAGCAAATTAGTTTATGATTCTGATAAGTTTGATTTTTTTGTAATTTTCTGTATTTAAGAATTTGGAAACTTTTTCTTACTTTCTTTCCGTTCACATAAAAAACAAGTGGAGGATTCATTTCAATATTTCTTCTGACTATTTTGATTTATTTAAAATCAAACACTTTATTTAAGAAATTTTTCACTCAGTAAGAGCTTCGTTATCTGGGGCTTCAAGATTTTTTTATCACCACGAAGAGTCGCAAAATTATACTGAAGAAGGTTGAAGCATTTGCTGATGTTTTATAGGTATTTCTTAATTTCTTCTTATCTTGCCTTAAAAATTTGATAAATTTTCGCATCGATAAGGTTTTAGAGTGTTGAAATGAAAAATATACTAGACGTTTATTTTGCTTAGTCATTTAATTACATATTTAATCGAGTTTTTGCACAATTTTCTTAATTTTCATGAGCATATTAAGGTATTTAAATATCTTTTCAATTCTTTTTCGATTATCTTTAGGAAATTGGATAATCCTATAAGAAATCTTTTTAGTTTAACAAATTAATATCACGAATTTTTATTTCTTGTCAGAATATTGAATAAATAAATAAGTCAATGTTAATATTTAGTTATTTAAATTTTTTTTCAACCCAAACATGTGGTACGAAATTTGAAATTTGAAATATTTTTGCCGCTCTTTTTGAACTCTCCACTTTTAAATTCAGCACTTCAACTTCAGCGCCATCTGAAGTGATTTTTCTTTAAGTCGCCACCAACTTCACTCTTTCTTTTCTCGGAAACTTTCAAGTAAGTATAATGTGAACATTTTAAAAAGTTTTATTTAGCTTGTATTTTAATGAAATTAATAAACCAAACTTAATTTGTAACATTCTTGTTACCTGTGGCAATCGTAAAAGCATGAAGTTTGCAAGTAAAAATAATTATTAAAGTCGATTTTCAAAAATATAAATTTCATCGACATGAGGTTACGTTTGCGTTTGGTGGAAGCATTAAAAATGACGTTTTTTGCAAGTTAAATGTAAACTAACACTATATTTTACTAAAATGATTAAAATATTGAGTGCCATACTGAATTGAATATAAAGATGAATACTTTGTATGATTAATTCAGAATTCAATTATTATTCCAAGCCTCCTAAATTTTTTCTAATATTTATTTTGTTTCTTTTTAGAGTAATCCAGTAAAATGGCTTCTTCGCATCTTAACTGGTTGATCGTGCGTGATCATAACTCATTTTTGATTAAGCAGCGAAATCTTCGCAAACCCTTCAGCAAGGTAATTATTTAAATATTTTAACCCTAAATTTCCAATTTTTTTTTATTTATGATGACTTTTTGTACCATCCAAGATCTCTGAGCTACATCATGAAGAGAACTTATTTGCTACTTCTGATTCTAATTTTATCTAGACACCTTCTTTTGCTTTCAATATTATGTTTATAATTTTAATTGATATTCTCTACATCATAGACTGTTCTTTGTAGGAGGCCAACAACTTGATGAATGTCAGCACATTCCGATATTCAGGATTGGTTCACACAAAATCCCTCGGTGTCGTTCCTTCAGTTGACAAGAAAGGTGTCATCTTAGTCTACAAAAAGGCCAAGAAAGCTGTAAGTATCAAATATTTTCATCTGTTTCTTTACAACGAGGATTGAATGATGAATCACATTCTGAATCACAAAATTCTGATGACCACGTGTCCACTACCTGAAACTGACTTAATCCTTTATGTAAAAAACAAAATTTCAAAACTTTTCTTTGGTAATCAATGAACAAAAATTAATTTTTGTATTTTCTTGTTCCATCAGAATAAGCCGGCTGAAAGTACCGGCCGTATCACCTTCAAATCGGGACAAAAACGTACATTGAAGAAGATTAAGAACGTAATCAAGTCACAGAAGTACCGCCCCGACCTCCAGCAAGCTGCCTTACGTCGTGCAAGCGCAATTTATCGTTCACAGAAGACAAAGCCCACGAAGAAGACAAAAGGAGCTGCCAAGAAAGCTGAGTAACTTCAATCCATAGGTTTTCTTTCCATCGACAGCCAACATTTCTTTGTGAAAACAAAAAATTACAATAAAAGCATAAAAAAACCTGAAAGTTTATGAATTTTGTTAATAATTTTTTTTACAGTTTATCACAAAATATTTTATTTCTCTTAAAAGTTTTATCTAATTGCATATCAAACAACGAGTATTAAATTAATGAAAAAAATTGATTTCCTAATTCACATAGTGAACATAATTTGAATAGAATTATAAAGAAATCATCGAAAAGTGATTCCATACTTTTTTGCGATCATTGGAGAGTGAATGGAAGCAACTGACATCAAGAGTGGAATATCATTGACCGACAAGTTGAGGGCTGTTGTTAAAGTATTTAAAGAACAAAATTCAGTATCGAGAAGAAATGTCGCGAGGGTCTCGGAATGAAGATAAATTTCACGTAATTTTGATTCAATGAATGAAAGACATTGAAATTCTGATGCTCCTGAATTGTACAAAGCTTGAACAGTTTCAAGCATCGTGGCGATAAGTTGAGACATTCCAACAATTCCATTTGCTGTGTTATTAGACGGTAAAAGATTGTTGTTTGATGAAACTAAACGAACATCCCATTTGTCGATGTTTGCAACAATTGCAATATTTTCAGCTTGTGAATGTTCAAGAACCGCGCAATGTGATGAGACGGTGAGGTCGTGTTTCAATTGAAGTTCCCATTTTGAAGGTGGTGATGTTATTCCCTGTGAAAATTCCTGTTTTACAAATTATTCTAATAAATTTAAAGCACTTTTACCTGAAGCACCATATCAGCGATGTAATGATCGGAAGTTGCTGTGAAAAGTGAAGTTGAAAATCCTGGCTTGACAATCTCATCTTTCACCGACGGCGTCCGAACACTTTCCAACATTGGAATTTCAATAAGCTTTGTGCTGTCATCAGCAGACTTCAACTCGGAATCTTCATCTAAAGTTTGAAGACTTTGAAAGTGTGCAGTTGTGTTGAGTTCATTCAAATTTCTTGAATTTAGTGGCAACAAATTATTATCAGTCATTTGATCGCATGAAAATTCAAGATCGGTGGCATTTGAAGGAGTTTGAAGATAGTGAACTTCGTTTCCATTTCTGCAATTCTCACATTCATCTTCAGAGTCAGTTTCATCGAACGATTGAAGAGTGGCAGTTGATGGGAAATCAGAGCGAAGTGTTGTGCTAGTGCTTGGCCCATTATTCAGCTTTAAACCTTTTTCCAACACTTCATAGTCACGAAATTCAAGGTTTTTGCGTTTCATGTAACTTGTAGCAATTTGTGGATACTTCTCGAACTTAAATTTCACCCCCAAATGCTTTTTATGATGTTTGCAAGTCTTTTTAATGGTTCCAGTATCAGAAGTTTCATTTTCCAATCCATCATCATTAAAATTCTTGATTGTTTGCATTGATGGACTCATTTTAAGCCCTACAAGTTTATCGCTGTCACCAATTACAAACACAACTCCATTTTTTCCATCATCAGTCTCTGGAATTGTTTTCAATTTTTCATTTGCTTCTTCTTGCATTTGTTGATGTTTTGCTGTCATTCGTTCTAAATGTTTGACTTGTTCAAGATTAAGACTCTCTTTGTGTGATTCTTTTCCCCAAAACAATTTCATCACTGATTGAGTGCCGCCGAGTGAATTTGCTGTAATCAAATCAGATAAATTGACAAAATTATCTAATTGATTATTGAAATCTGAATCGTCATCAAGATCAATCAGTTCCACAGTTCCATCGCCATCTGGTCGTGTCACTGTGAATTTAATATGATCGCCCATAAGATTCTTCTGATATTTACTGAGAAATTGTTTATCTTTAGCTGTCATTTCAATTCCAGTGTCCATGCTCTTGTTACCAATTCTCAATTCTTGTTTGACAAAACGGGAATCCCGAAATGCCAACACTTTCGGAATATCATTCATGACATTTTTCTTTAAAATTTTCAGTAGCAAACGGTAAGTCTCGGCATCGGCTTCAGAAATGTTTTCAGGCAATTGAAGTGTCTTCGTTTCGTCTTCAATCTCTCGTCCCATGGTACTTAAATCTTTGACTTTTGTTGCCGTCCTAGCAAATCCATTCGTTTTTCTCACACGAATTAAATTATTGCTTTTATTTGAAGTTTGATTATCTTGACGCATGTTCATTTGTTGATTGACGGTCTTGTTAATCTCGTCACGATCAAAAATCTTCGTATAAGAATTTCTACGAATCTCACAACATCTGATGAAATATGTTAACACATTTAGAAGCTTATCGATGGTTTTTGAGGATGCTTCACTCCCACAAATGACAGTTTTACTCAATTTAACTGGATTTGTTATCGCACCATAAAGTTCGCCAAGTTGCGCCCACAAAGCATTGTAAGGATAAACTTTTGAAAGTTCCGAAAGCTTAAAATTCTCTTCCTGTAAAAGTTTATTCAAAACTGGATTCACATTTCCAGTTTTCATGAGATTATCTCGAATATTTGAAGTCACTAATGGTGCAACAGTTCCAACCCATCCAAGATGATGTGTAAGAACAGCAGTCACAAGCGTGCTTATGAAGCTAATTCCAAGAAGAAAAGTTTTTAATTTAATAAATTATCAGAAATTAGAATAAAACTTACAAGTTTGAATCTTTGGTATCGGCAGTGTTGATTAATGACATCAAGTCTTGTATAAATGTGTTGACTAATACTGTTGGACTCTTGACACTTGTGCTTAAAATCAACCACATTGGAGATGTTAAGCGTGGTGCTGAGAATAAATCTACCAACCATTGTGATGCGTTGTGCCATGTTTTAATCATTAACTAAATATTTTGAATTATAAGTTGAGTAAATAAAGTTGAAAGGAAAACTTACAGGTACAAAATTTTGTCGATTGATGTATGCACTTTCAATTGACGATCGAAGTCGATAAAGCATTGATTCAAGCAATGCCATATGTTCAGCACAAAAGCATTGCATTTCTTGTTCCATACATTCAGTCATTGTTATGCAAACTGCAATTGCCAAGCGAGGTCGCTTCGTGCGATGATGAAGTGTTGATGAGTTTGATGACAATGCATCGCCGCTATTTGTTTTCCTTCGGTCAACAACTTCACTATTTCTTCTCAGCTTTGATACGCAACCATCACTTACACCTACGAAATTCGAAGCTCCAGTCACTGTGTAATAATTATTGTCAATTATCGATAAGTTTTCTGTTATAGTCGAAACATTCTCAAATGAGGTTGAAAGATTTTTCATGATGCGACGATTGAAGCGACCATATTCGCAACTGGCAAAATCAGACGACGAATCAATGCTCATTTTTCTGCTTAGATTGTCAATGTCACTATAAATTGAAGCGAGACTAGAGCGAGCTGACGAATATCGATTTTGGTACGGTTCTGAACTGTTGTAACCCGAACTTCCATCGCCCATGCTTTGTGAGATGAATCTGAAGTCATCATTATCGAGGGACAGCGTTGTAGGAACGTCTAATGGATTCGTTCGTAACGAAATATTCTGAGCGCTATCTGAGAAGGAATTCAACGAATTTGTCTCAGATATTGAACTACTAATGTCACTGATATAATCGGACATGTAGTTCGACGAGACTTGTGCGTTGCTTGATGACGAGTGCGTGTTTGTGGAAGATGAAGAAGTTGATGAGTATGGTTGAACAGGCGCAAGAAATACTTGTGAACACAAAATTCGAGCGGGTGGTTGAAGCCAATGAACTTGGAAAGAAGTTCCACGAAAGGCTATCGCAACAGATCCGAACATCATCTCACCGTAAGTCTTAAAGTCGGGATTCGGACGACTGTACTGTGAAATTAAATACAAAAATTTAGAATGTCAAAAAGCATTTTACAATTTTAATTTACTTTGTAAGCCTTTCCATCACAAAACTCCACGTGATTCTTATCCAATTTCAATGGTGATGGTTTATTGACGTTGAGTGCGACATGTTGTGCTTGTTGAGTTGATGTCAGAACTTCAATGGCAGATGAGTCAAATAACAAACGTCTCCCACGCCAATCACATTCTCGAAATAGCAAAATTCTCACCTGATCTTTGCTAAATGGAAATTGACTGAAAAGATGGAAATAACTTGTGATTATTATTTTAAAGTAACATCTCTAAGTGTTAATACAAGCAACAAGTGTTTGTGTGGAACATTCAGAAGATTTTCTTGGCATGTTTACGTTTTTATTAGGTATTATCTTTGTAAAAGTCGTTTATTTACTTTTAATTTCGACTGTCGAATTCAACTTTAATTATTAAAATCAAATTTCGATAAAAAATTTTAGTTTTCACCGTCAAAATAATAAAAAGTCATTTAAGCTTCTGACTTAGTTCTCTGTTAAAATGAATGTTTGAACGCCACATAATCATGATGAAGCGAATGTCATTAATCAAGTCGCTAACGTAAAATGTTCGTCTGACTAGAATAATAAAAAAGGCGCAAACAATTAATAAAAGCGTGTCTGTTGTGAAATTAAGCGATGTTTGAGCTTAACTCGCTCTTTGAGACTTGTTTCGATAATTCCGTTATCATATATTAAATAATTCGTCTCACAAACTTCTCAAAAATCAACCCAAACGACATTCAATCAGTGTCCATGATCCACCATAAGGTTTTTCTCTTTATCTAATCACTGTCAAATTTTTCAAATTTTTTCTGACTCTCGTTGGTGTCAATGCCATTAAACGGATGAATTCACATGATCGAATTCTGATAACAAAGAAAGACAAACAGACGCGACTTGATGTACGCGTATATAATGTTTATAAAAGAACGACGAATTTCGAGAAGTCACAAGACAGAAAAGAAATCTGAATATGTAAATAGAATTGGCACTCAAGCATTTCTCACACGATTTCACACACTTCACGACATCGGTGCTCGGTCATAGACCATCAAATGAAACCGTTTCCGCCCTCAAAAACGTAAATAATTAACCATCTCTCCCTTTTTAATTACTCTTCACACCGAACTGTGTCACATGCTTCTTATTTTTATCTTGATAAACAACAATGAAAAGAAAAATAATCATTTATCATCATTATGCATTAAGCTGTCTAATTCTTGGTGATCTAAATATCTAATCGATTGATAGCATTTGCGATTGAAATTTCACAAGTCTGTCAATGACGAAGAATATCAACATTAAGCAACTTCTGCAGAATGACGTCAGTTAAGGGAAATATTCTAGTTTTCTTTATTTGCTAGGCATCTGGTGTTCTAATGACACGATCAGTTTGTTGCAGGTCTTTACTAACAGACCTCAGATCAGATAATTCTGACTTTCCTATCATATTTAAATGGCCTACTTTATTACATCTCTATAAACAAAATTTCACTTCTTTATTGATGAGAAATTGAATTGTTGTAGATGCTAACACATGTCACGCTATTCTGTCTGCACGAGTTGTTAACGCTTGTACGCGAATTGAAGTAATTTTAAACTGATATCTAATCTTAAAATTCAATATGTATAAGTTCGTTCAGATATTTTTGTTTTCAGAAATGTTGACAAAAAGCTTCGATAAAAAAATTAACGCAAGAAGGAGGGAAAAATGAAATAAAATTCACGTGCAAAGTATTTTTAGCTTGGGCGCTGGCAGTTGTTTTCGTTTTTGTGGACTTCTTCTTATTATTGACATTGCATTTAATTAAAGCCATGAATATCTGATGTCTTAAAATGAAACTTACTTTAATTTACTTAATTCATCGTGATCAAATGATTAAATAACACGCACGAGCCTTCAAACTCTATCACAAATAATTCATCATAAGCTTTCTTCAACTTTTTGAAGTGGCCGCAAATCGCATTGATTTTGTTAAATCAGGAACAGAAAAATCATCGTTTGTTGCACAAGGCAAAGGTTTATCAGTGATAAGAGTGATCGACAAACTTTTAAACGTTATAAAAGCTCAAACATAGGAAAACAGACACTCCAAAGATCTGGTTTCAATGTTCAATAAGACCTCTGGAAGAATTCATTATTTATCAAAGTCACATGACTTTAGTTGCGTCGAATTTTACGAGAAATAACTTGAAGTCAATAGAGTTATGAAAACTATTTGCTGTGCAAAGAAATTTTCCATTCAACAACAAATAAAAAACTTTGTTTGCAGAGAACATAAGAAAACACTGAAGCAGATACTTTCATGATTTAATAACCTTCGTTGTCAAAACTAGGCTGAAATCATTCTAGTCTAGAACAATGATCATGTGAACTGATAGTTTGATAAGATAAGATTCGCAATCTTGACTTAAAAAGACGAGTAAACCTCTAAGCAAATAATTTAAAAATAATCACAGACTGACTGTCTGTTTAAAAGTTTGAAATTACTTTTGCCAAGACTAAGATACAAACAAATATTCATTTAATTATTTACGAGACGTCTTTAAGTAAACTTCCTCAACATCAATTTGTTTTAATATTTCACCAGAGTCCAAACAAACTGTAAATATTAAAAATATCTTCCTGAGGCTTAAATTTTGTTAGACTTCGTCCGACGATCTTTTAAAAGAGAATTTTTACTATAATGACATGATTGTTTGATAAACCCCATTACAATGATGATCACATGATCGTTTCAGAACAAGTTATAACAATATGAAAACAAAATTCTCTTTTTTTCTTGTTTTATTTTAAGTACACACGAACGAGTCATTAAATTTCATCATCATTTGAATAATGTCACTCATTTTAAATTGAGTGATGAAAATCAAAAAAAGTTAATGAAAACTAAGATAATTTCACACTGATATGATAACATTCTTGAGCAGTCAGAGATGTTAACAAATTCCGCATGAGTTTCCGCACTTTAACTCGTCGGAAAATGTGCGAGTCGTCTACAAAGTTAATGCTGGAACGCGTGATAACGTAGCGAGTAGTAAATATTTTCTTATTATATAAATGCGTGGTCATCACGAGTGCGTACTCAAACATCGGCATAGTAAATAAAATTATCTGGCAATATCCGTTGTTTAACTTGCGTCATATTTGTTTAATTTTCTTTACCTCTTTGTAAAAAAAGACTTTTTTAATATATTTTGATGAAAACTGGTCTACGTGTTACTCTTCATGCGACATTTACAAAGGAAATGAACAAAGAACTTTCCTCGAAATTGATTTGATTGAACATTTTATCAATCGGAGTCAAGAAAATTTCTCTGAATTTTTAATTAAGCAAAAAACTTAATTCATGAGAGATGCAAACTTATCAAACATTTAGTTTCGAGAGAGTCGCAAAACTTTCAATTGTTAAAAAATAATGAAATGAATTAATTTAACTAACCTTGAGTATGTGTGTGTTGATGGTTGCTTTACAAGTTTCCTTTTATTGAAAAGTTTATTGAACAATGCCATATCGGCAATCACATTTCCCTTCAGGTTTTATTAAAAATTATCACTAATATCACTATTTTAAAATTTTCTTTGGATTGTGTAATGTTAACTTATTCACTATGATTCATGTCTTTCAAATTCTTTAATCTTTCTTTGTTTATATCGATTATTTATTAAATATTCTTTGTCTGTTTCTTCAGTGATAGTTTTCATAATTTCATATTATTTCACTTCTAACTATCTAAGTACAAGGCACAAACTGATTAAATATTCTTTGATCCCGTGTTTGTATTAATCGAAACAGAATTTCAGAAGTTTTAAACATTGGAAATACCGATAACTAAGAATAAATACAAACAGTGAGAGGTGCGACTGAAACCAACACGATGTTTACTCCACACAAGTTCAGAAGCGAATCTCCTCGATTTTTATTTGTCGGAGGAAAATTTGTTCACTTTTCTAATTGACTGACAACAATAAAAAGAGTGAAATATTTAAATGTCGAGAGATCTGAAAGAAGAATAAAAAAATTAGGGTGAGTAATTGACTTTATTTGAATGCTCCATCGTTGAACATCAATTCATGTGCTTTTAAAAAAATGACGTCGACGATGATGATCTTCATGCTTCATCGACACAAATTAAAAAAAGAGAAACATTCGCGTCGCAATTTTTTTTCACACTTTATGAAGAAGTCTCAAATACAGAAATAATAAAAAAGTTTATTTATTAGTTTCGCACACAAGCAATCGCCATGTGGTAGAGGAAAATAAACTTTTTGGCAGCATCAAAATGTTGCGTCACTCGTTCAAAGTCAAACATTGAAAGTTCACAATTTCGATCTTTTGTAAGTTAATTACAAAATTTTCTGCTTAGTAAAATTTTACCAATAAAATTGACATCATTGATTGATGTTTCCCCAAATCACGTGTTTCTATTTTCATTTTATCGGTCATATGATTTTTGAAGCAATTCATCGTGTCATTGCGAATGTGTTTGTAAGCTTGATCGAGAAAACGTAGAAAACAAATGAATAAGCTCAAATTGGGCTCGTCGTAACACGAGACGAGAACTTTGTTGACTTGAAATTATTCTAATTGTCTTTCCACATTAAATATCAGAATTGAATATCAATTTTCACAAATAATTGAGTTAAATCACATGGCACAAATGGAAATCTAGCCGGTAACTGACACAATTTCTTTAATCGGGTGTTGACAGAAAGATTGCTGTAGTACATTTGTTCACTTCACTTTAAACATCACACAGCAGAATGAAAGTGATAAACGATGAAAAGTTTTTCATAGTCACAAGTTTTTCTTCAACACGCGAAATCAAAAACATTTTTCATTCCCTCAAATCGTTGACACATTCAATGTCAAATTTCGGGAATCTCCTGTTTACTTCTATTTTAAATGACGTGTGTAAAAATTCGTCGAATGTTTCTTTTTTCTGTTTTACTCAAACAAATTTTAATATATTTTGCTCACACAAGATTTGCAAAAGCTTTTACGTAAATCTTTCTTTTTTACCTCAAATCTTTGATGTTGTATGTTGCTATGAAAGCGAGAAAAAAATAAATAAACAATTCAAGAAATTTCAAGAATATTCAGTGGAAAAAAAAGTTTTCTTCTTGCTTTAACACGATTTTAAAAATGCCGAAAATATTTCCTTACGACGCGACGTTTTCGCTTCGATCACTATTCTCGAAGTGAAATGAAACGAAGCAACAACGTTAAGTAGCTTCACAAAATATTTCCTTAGTGTGTGTTTGTTTGTGCATTTATACGAAAAGAGAGAACAATTAAAAAACATTCTCAAAAGCTTCCTGTAAAGTTCACTCTGAGCAGAATAAAATGGAAAAAACTCAGAAAATTTCATTTTTGTCAAACAGATTTGTCTTCATAGAATTTATTTCAATTACAATTGTTAACTAGATAATAACTTTAAAAAATTCCTTTTCTTTCCAACTTTAAATCAATAGATTTGTAAGTTAAAGTGAAAGTAAGAAAGCACTTTAATGTGCGCATACTTATATCAAAAATTTAAAAAGTTTAATTAATGAAAGTCATGCGAAAGCCTTTTCGGGTGGTTTTGTCATTAAAATACTTTGGTCTTTAAAATGTGACAAATAAGTTTTTTGATGAATGAATTGGAATGCGCCAATGCAATGAAATTTATCCAAGCTTTTGACTTTCGTTTATCAAAATATTTTTTCTTCATAAAAGTAGAAACCAAAAATATTTCTTTGTCATACAAAAATAGAGTTTCACGACATTTCAGATTTCATTACATTAAATATTGAAATTTCTTCTTTACATTTATCAAAAGCTTGAACAATTTTTGTTATGACAATAAATAAAGTTTGAATTGATTTCTTTGAAAGACTAGAAGAAGAAAAGTTTTTGTTTCATTCAATTTTTTAGAGAAGAATTTTTGATAATTTGAATTTAGTTTTCTTTCTTTAATTCAGATAGAATCGGAACTGATTCTTTATCATTTTTTGATGATAAATTTCCCATCGATCTCCTGAGTTTATCTCCAACGCTATTTTCATTCGCCGACAATTTGTTTCTCTTCGAAGGCGTTTGAGATTGTGATCTTCTCTGACGTTTATTTTGACCATTGTTGTTTGGTCGTTCAATCCATATACGACGTGCTGTCAGCATGCTAAGATCTTTCAGATTCAACAGCCAACCCCCAATAATTCTAAAGATTTCCGATAAGCTGTTGTAGTCATTCGGAATGATTCCATCAACGCTACTTTCAAAATATGAGAACAATGGAAACCAAATTCGCGTTCGATTGGAATCATGCGACATGAGTGCTTGATTGTTGGCCAATGTATGATAATAAAGAAATAAGCGGGAAGCAATATAAAAAGCAATGAAGACGTCAATCGAATAATGCTCGTGTGCTGCTAAAATGAAGAAGATTCCGAACATATTCAACAGCCATGTCGTTGTATGCAGGAAGTAGAGATTTCTTGGAGTATCTGCAATATAAATTAATGTAAATGTTCACTGTAAATGTTCACTCCACTTACATTCTGTTATGAAAAAGTTCAAAAGTGTCAACGCCACAGTATGTCCTGAGAACATGTAATCACCACATGTTCTTACACCTTTAATACTCATCCCCAAACCACTCCAAATTGTGTAAGCACGACTCACACGCTTTTCCAACATTTCAAATAGTCCAAGACTGAAATTTAACAAGAAATGTTTCAAATTTCCCCTCATGATAATTAAATTAAATATTTTAGCACACCTATCGCCATCATCAAACTTAAAATCACTTGCACGACATTCAAGATGAGTTCCAGGTACACTCAATGATGTTATCAACATTGTAAAGCAACGTAATAGGAAAACTGTTCCACCCAAAGCGAAAAATCTTCTCAGCAAGATAATTCTGAAAACAGAAGAAGAAGAAATTTTATCACTTTATGACGTAAACATCGACATAAATGTAGATAACTTACCTGTATTTATGAAACACTAAAACGCAAACCCAAATAGCGAATAAGACAGCACCTGTCACTTCACATGCCCAGAAGGCCCACCCAATATGAGGAACGTTATCAAGGAAGATATCAGGAAGCGGCGGGTATCGTTTTGAGTCAGGAACACGTTCATGAACCACAACCATTACAAAAGCTGTTATCCATGTCACCAAAAATGCATAACCTGCGAATAATAAAAGAAATATTTATGAGGTTTCTGTTTCAACAAACATTTCAACTGTTGCTAGTCCCAAAACTCTAAAAATCAATCGATTTTGCAATGCTTTCACTTTTCGTGTTTTTTTTTCTTTTTTTGCTGTGCCCACAAATCATTAAATGTTTGCAGAGTGGACACAACACATTATTTGGTCATTGTTGTTAAAAAAAGAACGGAAAATCTAAATTGAGTTGGCAACGTTATCAGTAATATGATCATCGTTTGCTATATTTCGCAATACAATTATAAACTGTAAATATGATTGATAAACATCAGCAAATATTTATAAACAAAGTGGACTTTTATTTAACGTCAATGACATTGGATATCTCTGATAATGCTTGTGTTAATTGACACTTTATTTTATCTCCACTTTCAGGATGATTAAAAATAAAGCTTCGATAAATTGTTCTGATTTAAAAACAAAGGGAAACTAAATATCAATCAATGGAAATATTGTAACAAGAAGAAATGAAGCTTTAAACATGCTACGATGTCACTGAATAATTTCCAAATAAAAATAAACTGAAAGGCTTTTTTGTTTCTATGCTTGAATATTTCGCTTTGCGTGGAAACGACACAAACCGAAATTTTACCTTCGCTATTCACATTTATGACTCATGAGTCATTAGAGGAAACCATCACAACACAAAAACGACGACCCTCGTGATGATCTTACAAATTCTTCTTCTTTCTACTTTTACACCCAAAATTATTGATCACGAACGAAAGCTCAAAGCAGGTTTGAAGAAGCGAAGAAATTCCAATGAACAAAAATTAGTTTTCGAAGGTGAAAATGAAAGAAAAAGCATACAGTGACGTCTGGTAACTGTAAACTGCTTGTTTACCTCTAAGTCAGACAATGCCACTACAAAAATGAAGACGAAGAAAGGTGGAAGTTTTTAACGGAATTATTTTGGTTTACAATAATAATAAGAAGAAGCAAAGCAAGTAAATTAGAGTGGCAAGATATCTACAACTTTCTTATAACTTATTACAAACGATGCTTAACTTTCATTGGTTATGAAACAAAAACTCATGTTCCGTCGAATTGCGATTCGAATGAGTGTGAATTCAATTAATTTCAGAAGATTGAGTTGAGCATTCTTCTTTTTTCCGCATGGCACTTGCGAAAATTTCTTTCGCTCTTCAAGTATGACTTTAGAAAATACTATGAAGAAATAACTTTATTAAAGCGAAAGCTTCTGTAAGCATCGCTGACTCATAAATCATTTATGAAAAGCTCTGATTTTCCATGATATAAAAACGATCTTAAATCGAGTTTGTAGTTGTTAAATGAATGCATTTGCCGATTACAAGCCGGTCATGACTCATGAGATTAAAAGTCAAGGCTTTTAACAGAAGAAATCTACATATGATGGTCTTGAAACTAATTTTATAACTTACAAAAAGTTGCTGATTGATCATTTGAAATTCTGAACATGCACTTGAAAGAACTTCCGATGCTTATAAGCATTTAAGTTTATTTAAGTACTTAAGTATTCAGAAGAAATGAGTTCTGTGATCATTGCCAATATTACGACGCAATCGATTCAGCAAATTATAAATAGAAATAGAAACGAAAAGTTAAACTTCAAAGCTCAGTGATATCAAGTTGTATGAAAGAATCAAATCTCATGATCATCGTAGGCAACAATATTTATAAAAAAAACTTTAAAAACAAGTTAATTAAGTATATTAGCGTAATGCTCTCTTGCGTTAAATGAAATTTTAAAGGTTTTTATATGTTCATTGAAATATTTAACAGGAATTTATAGAAAAAATGTGAATTGCATCACTTAAAATGATTTAATCTTTTCGAACCTTTCTGACATCGAAATTTGATGTCATAAATAGGTGAACTAATTATTAATCCAGATAATTAGGGACGGAAGATAGTGTAGAATTGATAAATTACCTAACGAGATCGTTGTTTTGAAGAATTCAGGTTGAATACAGGTTGCATATTGTCGACCCGAGCTGCTTCCATCTACAGAATTTGCTGGGGAGATTCTGTCAATTTGGCTCTCTGCCGGATTGAAGAGACTGGCATGAGGATGTGAGTAGTTAGCGTTTGTCGATACGTTATGAGAAAGTAAATTAGTAATCAGATTGTTTTGATTATCTAATATCCCGAGATAAATCAGGCATTGCCTGTTTTGCTGCTGAATTTTATTCACAACAAGAGTAAATCTTTTCATATCACCCATCAAAAGATGGTACTTGTGTTCAAGACGATAAATATCGCGTTCATTGAGTATCAGCAATGATTTTCCATCGATTTTCTCACTTCGAATGGCATTCAAAATCGTCTCTGACACTTTCTGATTTTTCAAAAACAAATAAACCTCGTCGACTGAGTGATTTAAAATACTCGAATTCATTTTACTAAATCTACCGTTGTTCATCAGAATATCGTCTACTGAGAACATTATCACAACACTTCATTAGTGCTTTAATTTCATTACAGAACTGAAAACACGTCTTAAATCTTGCGAATCTTTTTCACGAATGTTTCGCAATCTGCTCCGTAGCTTTGCCCCTTCAACTATGAGGCCTCCCAGTGACGTCGGACTGCACGGGTGGATTTCTTGCGCGGATTTGACCTTCCATACAAAGTGGGACAAAAAAAAGCGGATTCGTAGGGCAGTGATTGTTCGTAAAGCCTGTGAGTGTTCGTAAAGCCTGTTTGTGACGTCGGACTCGCAAAAAAACTTTTTTTGGAAAGGTCAAATCCACGAAAACATACTAATGTTAAAACTAAAAAGGCGAAAGGACTTGAATTCGTTCACAAATGATTCATTTTCTGAGATTTTCTAAAATATATTAATTGCATTTCTTTGTTTGTCAAGATGTTTTCGAGTGGTCCTAACTATAATAAGTTGAAGACAAACCTCAGGGTTTGTGCAACACGCTTGAAACTTTTGGAGAAAAAGAAAACTGAAACGAATCAGAAAGCAAGAAAGGAAATTGCTGGTAAGCCGTTGAAATGTTAAAATTTGTATTTTAAACGATGAATAACCATTATCATTGACTTTGTTAGACTTTCTGGCGATTAATAAACCGGACAGAGCAAGAATTCGCGTTGAATCAATCATTCGTGAAGATGTAAGTTGATTAAATTATTTCCTTGATGACTCATTGTGTAACTATTTTTATCAATCTCAATCAGTATTTGATCGAAGCAATGGAAATTCTCGAAATGTTTTGCGATCTAATTCTTGCGCGTTTTGGATTATTAACACAACTCAAGGAGTTAGATGAAGGAATCTCGGAAGCAGTTTCAAGTATAATTTGGGTCGCTCCCAGACTTCAAGCAGATTGTGCTGAATTAAAGGTCGTTTCTGACATGCTTCAGTCAAAATATGGAAGGCCTTATGCGGACGCTTGTCGTGCATCGGTTCATCCAGCTAATGTTTCAGAGAAACTACAGCATAAGATGAGCATCCAAGCACCGCCAAAGCTTTTAGTCGAGAAATACTTGATTGAAATTGCAAAGATTTTCAACATTGATTATGAGCCTGATCAATCGATTATGGCCAGCGATCATCATCATCGTCCTGAAGGATTTTTGATTGACTTGAATGATAAGAACAATCTTGATGGAAATATTCCACCACCACCAGGCCCTGGTTTTGCTGCTTTCCCACAGCCACCACCATTACCGTACATGCCTCCACAGCCACCGGGTAACGTCCCGTTCAACTATCCTTATCTCCCACAAAACAATATTCCGTTCAATTATCCAGGTCCGCAAAACAATATTCCGTTCAATTATCCAGGTCCATCGAACAATAATAACAATAATGGTGGAGGTGGCGTCAATGAATCTTTTCACAGCGTTCCTAGTGCTCCTTATAGCTACAACATACCACCAAATTCATCTTCTCAATCACAAGATTCAACAGAACAATCAGAAAAGAAAGATTTGAATGTTAACTTCCTAAGTGTGAGTAATTTTTTTTATTAATTTATGCACTTTGTTACTAATTGGGCTTTGAATTAATCAGGGGGAAATAAAGCACGATTCATTGCCTCCTCCATATTCATCAATAAGTCCGGATGATAACATTCAGGTAAGGGTCATTGCAAATACAATTTCATTTCTAGCATTAACTTTTTCCTAACACAAAATCTGCAATCATTTGGATTCAACGTAAGTTGTAAATTTAACTAATCAAAGTTTCATTGGTGATTGATCATTTTATTTACATAATTGTGTTGAAGTTTCTTTTTATAATTCTACTAATTGTTTCATTTGAACTTTATTCAAAACAAAAACTTGAGTTAATAATTTTTTCTACCTTTTCATTCGCAGTTTTCTGCAAAACCAAAACCACAACCTCGATCAAAGCTACCTGACTTACCAAATGTCCCATCAAATTTACCGGATATACAGGACGATAATAATCAAAATATAAATGCGAACGCAACCAACCCAGATGATTCAGAAATTGATTTTGATGACTTGTCAAGACGCTTTGAGGAGCTCAAGAAGAGACATTGAATTACCAAGAATGCTTTTGATGTTATAACGCTTTATGTTGGCTTTTAAAAATATTTTTTTAATACTATTTCTACTAACGAAGAACATTTAATTAAAGTATTTAACTAAACAATCAATAAAATCTTCAAAAAAAATTATAGCTATGATTTTATTAGCAATAAACATAAAAATTGACCTTTGGGATTTATTATGCTTTAAAAATGTTGGAATCTACTTTACTTCAATACTAGGTAGCCACTGATATAAGAATTCCCTTTTATTTCTAACACAAATATCTTTAAATCAGCTGATTTTGTAGGACTACACATGATTTCCATGTATAGAATAAACAAAAGTGTGGTACTACGCTTTCAAAAAATGGTCTTGATTGGTCGACGTAGTTTCATCCCCCGCCATTTTCACTCGCAATTCTCGCTTGGGAAAATTTTAATTCTGCTAAAATTCATCATTTCCACTTAAGATTCTTTAATTATTATTGCGGAATATTGTATAGAATTTGTAACTTTAACCCGAAACTTTAGAAATTACAAGTAAAAATTGTAAGAGCATAGTAAATTTCTCATTAATTGTAAATCAAAAATGGAATTGTAAAAAGTGAAGAAAAAAGAAAAAAAATCAGTGCATATGAAATTTTCGAATTAAGGAACAACAAATTAAAATTTTCATAATGGATCAACAAGTTTTTATGGACCTTGAAACTTTTAACAATATTCGACATATGCAACAGCAAAATTCAGAGGTGCAGCAACAATTTCAGCCTCAAGGCATAAGCATAATGTCTGGCGGTGACCAGAAATCACAAGACTCGTCTGTTCTGCAAAGTGATAACATTTTATACTCGCCAATGAAACAGAATGAGCAAAATCAGCAATTTATCACTCAGGATGATTCAATGCAAAATCATTTCCTGATTCAGTCGCCATCACGAACCCAACAACAGCCTCAAGTCTTTTATACAACAAACATAAGCCCACAAAACCATCACAACATTATTGCACAACAAGCACCGCAAAAAGTTAGTTGAAAATATTCTTAAATTCTTTTTTACTATTTTTTTTTATTCTAGTTGGTCCTACAAGCGGCACCCAAAGTTGTTGTACAGCGGAATACGGATTTGTTGCAAACTCCAACAAATCTACCCCAAATTATTGATCAACAGAATCAGCAAACAATTCAATATCATTATTCACCACAAATTGATCAACAGGGACAGACACAACAGCTCGTAATTCAACAACAATCGCCACAAATTAAACAGACAATTTATCCTCAACAAGGGAATCAAGTAAAGATTTTTTTATATAAATTGAAGTCATTTTAAATACATTTCTTGTTGCAGGTTGTATCACAGCCGCATTACTTTCAGTTGCAACCAATTCAGCAACAAAATATTGTCCCACAAGGAGCAAAAATCGTCATGCAGAGTGGAAATCAATTGCGTTACAGTTTCATCCCCAAATCTCAGCAACAAGTACAACAAATCGCAGTTCAGAATCAACAAACAGGTCAAATTATGCAAATTAATCAACAGCCACAAATTCAACAGCAATCAATAAGTGGAGTGCGACAATTTCGACCGAAAATGTTAGGACCGAATGTGAGAGTTCGTGTTGGAAGTCCAATTTTACAGCAGCAACAACAGCAACAGTTGCAAGTTCAGACGTCAGTAATTCCACAAAGAGTAAGATCTCCACGGCCAAGATTCACAAGACCTCAACAATCACCCCAAACTCCTGTTCAAAGCAACAACAATCAACAGATTCGTCCGCAAACCCAACAAAAAATGGTTTACTTTTTACAAACAAATGCTGATGGCACTTCAGTCTTATTGCCACATCCACAATATGCAAATAACACAACTCAGCAATCTCCGCAAGCTATTCGCGTTGGACAACACAAAATATTGATGACAAGTCAGACTCAACAACCTCAGCAACAACAGCAGCAGCAATATCAAGAAGAAGTTACACAACAACCTCAACAACATCAAGGCCACAATCAAACAGAAGGAATTAACGCACCAACAACATCAACTTTTACACCGAAGAAAGATGGCGATTGTGATGACTTGGAAGATTCAATAACAGCGACAGCAATTTCAAAATCATCTCGTTCTGAACCTCCACCATTGCAGCCTCAATCAGGAAATCCAATTTCAGCTGAAGAATATAAAAAGCGAGCAATGCAACATCAGAATTCAGGTCGTGTTGGTATTGTCAGACCAATCACTGCAACAGGAAATCAATTAAAAACGCCAACAAAGAATCCAGCACTTCAAGTCATCCGTCAACGTCCATCGCCACGGGGGCAGTTCCAACAGCCTGGATTGACTCAAGAACTTGAAGTATCCGAACGAGAAAGTGCTAAGATGCTTGTGATATTAGACAATGGGGAGCAGCGATTAATAACATTCACTTTACCGAAAGAAACTTGTACAGTACAGGAATTACTTGAACAAGTAGGAATTCAAGTTGGTGCTGACAGTAATATTGAATGTATTGAAAATCCCGGTTCGGAAATTGATTACATTGTGAAAGTTGGGAATTTTGCTTCGCGTGATACCACAGCTATGACAAAAGCAGCAGAAAATCATATCAGACAACAACATCAACGTCAATTAATTCAAAATCAACGAAATTCAATCCTTCAACAGCAATCACAGCAACAAACATCGCAACCGAACGATGTCGCTAAAGCAAAAAGTCCGGATCTGCCACCACCTAAATATGTTGCTGGATTTTATGCTGTTTGCAGTTCTTGTGGACTGTCTGGTGCTGACCATGCGAAATGTGAAAGATGTCATCGTATTTTTACAGAAGAACCGAAAACGGTTCGAATGCCACCAAATTTGACACAAAATAATCAGAAAATTGCTTTACAAGCAATTGCTGGCTCAACTCAAACTCATAAAACGATAACAATTGCACGTTTGACAAATCAAGAAAAGAAGGATCAAATTGAAGCATTACAGAAAAAACATCAAATAACAACGGCACAGAAGCAAACAGCTGGTCGTGGTGGCCGTGGTGGGATGACATCAACACGAGGACGTGGTGCACCAAAAGGTCCGAGAAAAACTGTTGCACCTGAAATTGTAACTCTCAGCAGTGATGATGATGATGATTCATCAGAGGCGAGTAAATCAAAATCCAATTCGATGTTGAAGCAACAAGAAAAACAAGTTTTGAAGAAATCATTTGAACCAGAAATCGTTGACGATGTTGTTGCCGGTAGGTTCAAATTAAAAAAAAAGGTTTTGTAGCCAACTTCAGTAGGGATAGAAAAGAGGGCCCCAGGATGTTCTCTTGATGATCTTTTCATCATTTTTACGTGTTGTTGGAAAGATCTGAGTTTTATGTTCATTATTCAAACTACTTATGTGATTTCATTGCAAAATTTTTCGCATACTTTTAGTAAATAGGAAAGAGTGACAAAACTTATAAACTAAGTCGTTAAGGTTATGTTTATAAATTTATTTTCGTTCAAAAATACGCAATTTAAAAACACTGATCAAGTATTCAATTAATGATTGATTAAATTTATTTGTTATTTAAAATANTTTAAAAAAATGTCACAATTCTTCTTCTTCGTATCAGACACTTAGAAATTATTTTTTTAAAGGAAGGGAAACAAATATTAATGAATTCCTTTCCTTATTCAAAATCGTCAAGGGTTAATTTCAAAATGATGTTTTGATCTTTTTTTTTACTACAGTAGAATCTTTCTAAAATGAACACAAGAAAATGTAATAAAATCATTTATTACAAATCGTGTATTTAAGAGATGTAACTGTAAAATTTCATGTATAGATTGTAATAGAGTTTAGCCTTAGTAAAGTTGCAAACCACGATAATTTTTGATGTTACATACAAGACTTTGGCGAGTTATTACATACATGATTTTTGTATTCATTGAACTTATAAGAAGTGATTATCAAATTAATCTTTTATAGAAGCTGATATTCTGAAATTAATTTCCTTGCTTATGATATGTAAATAAAAGACATCAGAGAGAAAGAGAAATAAAATTAATGATACGAAATTATCTACATACATGAGATTTTTTTTGAACATTTTTAAGTTTCTATACATGAAATAGAAAATGTTTGAGGTTAAATTTGTTTAACATAAAAATATATCAGCAACAGTGGGCAACATCGAATCTTATGAGTTAAAAAGATTTTAATAATTGTACATTAATAATAATTTAAACATATTCATTCACATCATTTTCTTCATGTCTTCAACTAAAAATTGAATAAATAAATTAAAAACTATGTGACATGATTTTCAATTATGATCATTTATTGGGTAATTAGAAGTTAATTACATGAGTATTAAATTACATAAATCTAATAAATTCCTTACCAAAAGATGAATCTGATGTCGTGTAAGAAAAAACATCTGTTAACTCTCTTTTTAACGAACTTTTTTTCAAAATATTCAAATATTGTCGTTCAAGAGAATTTTACCCCAAAAGTGAGGGGAAGAAGCTGCAAAAAATTTATTCTTGAAGCTGTGAAAATTATAAATATTGTTTGAAATCATTAAATTAAATCAAGTTGCACAACAACCTCAACAACATCAAAACCACAATCAAACAGAAGGAATTAACGCACCAACAACATCAACTTTTACACCGAAGAAAGATGGCGATTGTGATGACTTGGAAGATTCAATAACAGCGACAGCAATTTCAAAATCATCTCGTTCTGAACCTCCACCATTGCAGCCTCAATCAGGAAATCCAATTACAGCTGAAGAAAATAAAAAGCGAGCAATGCAACATCAGAATTCAGGCCGTGTTGGGATGGTCAGACCAATCACTGCAACAGGAAATCAATTAAAAACGCCAACAAAGAATCCAGCACAAGTCATCCGTCAACGTCCATCGCCACGGGGACAGTTTCAACAGCCAGGATTGACTCAAGAACTTGAAGTATCCGAACGAGAAAGATCTAAGATGCTTTTGATATTAGACAATGGGGAGCAGCGTTTAATTACATTCAGTTTACCGAAAGAAACTTGTACAGTACAGGAATTACTTGAACAAGTAGGAATTCAAGTTGGTGCTGACAGTAATATTGAATGTATTGAAAATCCCGGTTCGGAAATTGATTACATTGTTAAAGTTGGGAATTTTGCTTCGCGTGATACCACAGCTATGACAAAAGCAGCAGAAAATCATATCAGACAACAACATCAACGTCAATTAATTCAAAATCAACGAAATTCAATCCTTCAACAGCAATCACAGCAACAAACATCGCAACCGAACGATGTCGCTAAAGCAAAAAGTCCGGATCTGCCACCACCTAAATATGTTGCTGGATTTTATGCTGTTTGCAGTTCTTGTGGACTGTCTGGTGCTGACCATGCGAAATGTGAAAGATGTCATCGTATTTTTACAGAAGAACCGAAAACGGTTCGAATGCCACCAAATATGACACAAAATAATCAGAAAATTGCTTTACAAGCAATTGCTGGCTCAACTCAAACTCATAAAACGATAACAATTGCACGTTTGACAAATCAAGAAAAGAAGGATCAAATTGAAGCATTACAGAAAAAACATCAAATAACAACGGCACAGAAGCAAACAGCTGGTCGTGGTGGCCGTGGTGGGATGACATCAACACGAGGACGTGGTGCACCAAAAGGTCCGAGAAAAACTGTTGCACCTGAAATTGTAACTCTCAGCAGTGATGATGATGATGATTCATCAGAGGCGAGTAAATCAAAATCCAATTCGATGTTGAAGCAACAAGAAAAACAAGTTTTGAAGAAATCATTTGAACCAGAAATCGTTGACGATGTTGTTGCCGGTAGGTTCAAATTAAAAAAAAAGGTTTTGTAGCCAACTTCAGTAGGGATAGAAAAGAGGGCCCCAGGATGTTCTCTTGATGATCTTTTCATCATTTTTACGTGTTGTTGGAAAGATCTGAGTTTTATGTTCATTATTCAAACTACTTATGTGATTTCATTGCAAAATTTTTCGCATACTTTTAGTAAATAGGAAAGAGTGACAAAACTTATAAACTAAATCGTTAAGGTTATGTTTATAAATTTATTTTCGTTCAAAAATACGCAATTTAAAAACACTGATCAAGTATTCAATTAATGATTGATTAAACTTATTTTTTATTTAAAATATTGGATATAATGAGTGGCTTTGGTAAGCATTCTTAGTCGAGAAGAAAATTATCATTGATCATTAAACTTAAAATGTTTAATAAATTTAAAAAGTGTCTCGAAAAAAGTCGCGATTTTCTAAATTCTCGTAATCCAATGAAATCAGTGTCGCGTTCTTTAGACAAAACTGATGAAATGTTTGGTAGATTTTATACCTTACTAAGTATCATAATTTTTTTAATTCGTTTCATATTTTTTTAGATACATTCGAGAGGAAAAGTGTTACAGAATTCGATGGAAAAGAGGAAAAAATAAGCACCACGATTTCTTGTAGAACTATCCGTATTGGTTCCTATAAATTTGACTCCAAGGAAAAGGTAAGAGAGAAATATGAAATGAAAATAATCAAATTCACAACATTTTAATCCTTTCAGGTTAATATAACAAACAAAGGCATTCAGATTGTTGCTCCTTCGTTAAAAGACAAAGATCTTGTCGTTTTAAATATCCAGCAATCTGAAATTATAAAAGTTGTCACACATTACAGCAAACAATTACAAATAATCTTTCTGTATACAAAACCATCCACTGCTCGTTATATTGTTGAGCAATTACAATTGTCTACATCCAGTGATAATAAAAGTGAGTTTTGATAAATTTATAACACTATTTCAAACTAAAATGATATTTTATTTATAGTGACACACTTCTCACCGCTCTCTCCTAATGAACCACAAAGAAAAATTGTTTTCTTAGCTGAAAATGTAACCGAAGAGAATCGAAGCACAATTAAATCAATTTATGATACTTTGATACTGGAAGAGATCAGCAATAAAGATGCAAATGAGATGCTTGTTCGTTCTACAGGAATCGCTTTGATGACGTCTGGTCATTCATCAAATAATAATAGTATCGTTAGCAATACTAACGAGTCATCTGTAACGTAAGTAACAAAAGATTTAAAAACATTTCTTTGTAATTTACATAAATTTTTTTATTTTCTCAGGGTGCAAGAAATTGAAATCAAGAAATTGTTCATTTATCCACCTGGTCGAGGTGGAATTCCAGTCACAACGAACGACTACTTCTGCCTTGCCAGTGATGTTTACTTAAACGACACAATAATTGATTTTTATTTAAAATATTTGTTTGATGAAGTTCTAACAGCTGAACAACGTGATCGGACGTACATTTTCAACTCATTTTTCTACACCATTCTTACTCGTGTTCGAAAGAAGGAAGAGCAGAAATTAACAGCAGCACAAAAGCGTCATTCTCGTGTAGCTTCATGGACTAAAAATGTTAACATTTTTGATAAAGACTTCATCATAATTCCAATCAATGAACAATCCCATTGGTTCTTAGCTATAATTTGCTATCCAAATCTCACCGAACCTCATACAATGGATACAGATCAACCAATTAAATTGATTCCTATTCAAAAACGTACACGTAAGTATAAAAAATAATTTATTAAAGTTCTTTCATGTTTATTTTTGGAATTTAAAATTTCTAGATAAGAAACCTGCAGTTCAAATAGGAAGCACAACAATTACGCCGCTTTCTAAAAAAGAAGAAACTATCAAAGTGTTGGATGACGAAGATGAACGAGATGAAGCAGAAGGTGATGACAGTGATTTAGGCAGTGATTTAGGGAGTGAGGAGGAAGAAGTTATCGACAACGGACAACCAGTAAAAGTGTAAGTTTAATTAAACTTCTTTTTAATACTTTCAATGAATTATAAAACATTTAATTTTAGACCATGCATACTTATTTTTGATTCCCTTCTTGGGGCTCCAAGAAATCGTGTTGTGGCAACGTTACGTGATTACTTGACATGCGAACATCGTGCTAAGTTTCCAAACCAACAACCATTAAGACAATACTCAAAACTTAATATTTTTGGAAATCAAGTTAAAGTTCCGCAACAAAATAATTTCACAGATTGTGGATTATTTTTACTTCAATATGTCGAGCAGTTTTTCAAAGATCCAATCAAAGATTTTCGCATTCCAATAAAATTGGTGAATTGGTTTCATCAGGATTTGGTGACACGAAAGCGAGAGCAGATTGCGAATCTTTTGAAAGAGATTTTAAAGCGTGATAATCCTGAAGGAATAGAATTACCTGAAATTGAACTTCCCACAAAGAACGGGCAGATCTTGGAGACTTCTGAGGAAAATGCATTTGATGACGATGAATATGTCCCGACAGCTGAAGACTTAAAAGAATTGAGTCAGAATGGATCAAAATCACAACCTGAAGAGACTAAACGAATATTTTATTCTAGAAAGCGGAACTTAGACAAGAGTTCCGATTTAAATAATGAAATTAGTCCAAAGACACCCAGACTCAACGCGCGAAATAAATCTTAAAAAATATTTTTAAAAATTTAAAAAAGAAAAAAGGAATTTAAAAAAATGTCACAATTCTTCTTCTTCGTATCAGACACTTAGAAATTATTTTTTTAAAGGAAGGGAAACAAATATTAATGAATTCCTTTCCTTACTCAAAATCNTAAATTCTTTTTTACTATTTTTTTTTTATTCTAGTTGGTCCTACAAGCGGCACCCAAAGTTGTTGTACAGCGGAATACGGATTTGTTGCAAACTCCAACAAATCTACCCCAAATTATTGATCAACAGAATCAGCAAACAATTCAATATCATTATTCACCACAAATTGATCAACAGGGACAGACACAACAGCTCGTAATTCAACAACAATCGCCACAAATTAAACAGACAATTTATCCTCAACAAGGGAATCAAGTAAAGATTTTTTTATATAAATTGAAGTCATTTTAAATACATTTCTTGTTGCAGGTTGTATCACAGCCGCATTACTTTCAGTTGCAACCAATTCAGCAACAAAATATTGTCCCACAAGGAGCAAAAATCGTCATGCAGAGTGGAAATCAATTGCGTTACAGTTTCATCCCCAAATCTCAGCAACAAGTACAACAAATCGCAGTTCAGAATCAACAAACAGGTCAAATTATGCAAATTAATCAACAGCCACAAATTCAACAGCAATCAATAAGTGGAGTGCGACAATTTCGACCGAAAATGTTAGGACCGAATGTGAGAGTTCGTGTTGGAAGTCCAATTTTACAGCAGCAACAACAGCAACAGTTGCAAGTTCAGACGTCAGTAATTCCACAAAGAGTAAGATCTCCACGGCCAAGATTCACAAGACCTCAACAATCACCCCAAACTCCTGTTCAAAGCAACAACAATCAACAGATTCGTCCGCAAACCCAACAAAAAATGGTTTACTTTTTACAAACAAATGCTGATGGCACTTCAGTCTTATTGCCACATCCACAATATGCAAATAACACAACTCAGCAATCTCCGCAAGCTATTCGCGTTGGACAACACAAAATATTGATGACAAGTCAGACTCAACAACCTCAGCAACAACAGCAGCAGCAATATCAAGAAGAAGTTACACAACAACCTCAACAACATCAAGGCCACAATCAAACAGAAGGAATTAACGCACCAACAACATCAACTTTTACACCGAAGAAAGATAGCGATTGTGATGATTTGGAAGATTCAATAACAGCGACAGCAATTTCAAAATCATCTCGTTCTGAACCTCCACCATTGCAGCCTCAATCAGGAAATCCAATTACAGCTGAAGAAAATAAAAAGCGAGCAATGCAACATCAGAATTCAGGCCGTGTTGGGATGGTCAGACCAATCACTGCAACAGGAAATCAATTAAAAACGCCAACAAAGAATCCAACACTTCAAGTCATCCGTCAACGTCCATCGCCACGGGGACAGTTTCAACAGCCAGGATTGACTCAAGAACTTGAAGTATCCGAACGAGAAAGATCTAAGATGCTTTTGATATTAGACAATGGGGAGCAGCGTTTAATTACATTCAGTTTACCGAAAGAAACTTGTACAGTACAGGAATTACTTGAACAAGTAGGAATTCAAGTTGGTGCTGACAGTAATATTGAATGTATTGAAAATCCCGGTTCGGAAATTGATTAAATTGTGAAAGTTGGGAACTTTGCTTCGCTTGATACCACAGCTCTGATTAAAGCAGCAGAAAATTATATAAGACAACAACATCAACGTCAATTAATTCAAAATCAACGAAATTCTATTCTTCAACAATCACAGCTGGAAGTAGAACGTCGTGAAGCACTTTGCCGACATTTATCTGAATCTGAAAGTTCTTTGGAAATGGAAGAAGAAAGAATCTTCAATGAGAATGTTGGACTTGCTCGCACACGTACCATCAGCTCACCAGTTCCACATAGTCCTTCCAGTAGTCGTCCATTGTCACCGACTCGTTGTTATGCTTGTGGGCAATTGTTGGTGAGATTTTCATTTCTTTCTTAAATGATTTACATGAGGATAAATTTAATTATTTTCTCATTTTCAGAGTCGTCGTAGTGAACGCTTTATCAAGCCAGCAATTCCTTTGTCAAACTTGTGGGAACCGGATTCGTAGCTGAAATATAAATATATAAACGAAGCGGGAATAAAACACAAGTGCTCTGATTAATGTTCAATTTGGTTCAATTCTAGACTGAACTCTCTTTATTCTCTGCGATTCAATTCTCTCTCAATCTATGATCTTCTCAATCCCACAAAACCTTGCACAAAACTTAGGACTCAACACCTCAGTAAATTAAAAACTATATGCTTGACTATATGACACGATTTTCAATTATGATCAGTTATTGAGTAATTAATTTAATTACATGAGTTTTAAAATACATAAATCTAATAAATTCCTTACCAAAAGATGAATCTGATGTCGTATAAGAAAAAACATCTGTTAACTCTCTTTTTAACGAACTTTTTTTCAAAATATTCAAATATTGTCGTTCAAGAGAATTTTACCCCAAGAGTGAGGGGAAGAAGCTGCAAAAAATTTATTCTTGAAGCTGTGAAAATTAAATATTGTTTGAAATCATTAAAAGTACGAATTAAACAACGGCTGAAAGCTGTTCTTAGTGGAAGCAAAGTAGCATAAAATTGTAAAATAGATATAGAAGTTGAAAATAATCGAAATCTTCAGAAAAGTAAGAAAACACATTTTTCAATTGAAAATCATTATTTTCATGAAATTTCATAAGTTGTTAGCTAATTGTTGTTTTCATTTATAATCTTCGCTAAGTCATTAAAAAGCTTAGACTTTTTTAATAATTCTTATAAGGCTTTATTTTATAATTTGCCTTTTATGCATGTCATGTTCTTCTTATTCCTTTCTGTATGTTTTTTTCTACGTTTTAACAATCAAAATTGGAAAACCACTAAATGGAAGAAAGAATAACATTTTATAGCTTTTCGTGAATATATAAGGAAATTTTAATGTTTAAAAATTAATTTGTTTTCTATTAATTTACAAAGAAAAGAAAAGACAGACACGATGGACAATTCTCCATGTTCACAGTCTGAATCTGAATCATCACTTGATGGAAATGCTTTAAATCATTCAATGGCACCACCATCGCCAATATCTCGAGAGCAGCTTCAAAAACGAATCGATAGCTTGAATCAGCAGAACAAAGTTTTGCGTGTTGAGCTTGATACATACAAGATTCGAGTAAAGCAACTTCAAGAAGAGAATAAAACATTGCGTCAAGCTTCAGTTAACATTGTAAGTTCCTTTTGATTTAAAATAATGATAAAAGCTAATTTTCTATTGATTTTAAAGCAAGCAAAAGCTGAACAAGAAGAAGAATATATTTCTAATACGCTTTTGAAGAAGATTCAAGCGTTAAAGAAAGAAAAGGAAACTCTTGCACATCATTACGAGCGTGAAGAAGAATGTCTGACGAATGACTTGTCGAGAAAGCTTGATCAGCTTCGTCAAGAGAAATGTAAGTTAGAGTTGACTCTTGAGCAAGAGCAAGAATGTTTAGTGAATAAGTTGATGAGAAAAATCGAGAAACTCGAAGCTGAAACACTTGCAAAGCAAACAAATTTGGAGCAATTACGACGAGAGATGGTCGAGTTGGAAAATACATTAGAGCAGGAGCAAGAAGCGCTAGTCAATAAATTGTGGAAACGAATGGATAAACTTGAAGCTGAGAAACGTTCACTGCAGATCCGCTTGGATCAGCCCGTGTCTGAATCAGCAGCAATGAGTCAAAAGCAAATTCAGCAGAATGTTAATGGCGATGAAGCATCCGCTCTCACTTCGCACATTCAAACATTACGATCGGAAGTTGAGAAGTTACGCAACAACTTAGCAGCAGCTGAACGTGAAAGTCTAGAAAAGACGCAACATTTCGCTCAAGAAGAGCGACACATTCGTGAAGAAAACATGCGATTGCAACGAAAACTTCAGCTGGAAGTCGAACGTCGTGAAGCACTTTGCCGACATTTATCTGAATCTGAAAGTTCTTTGGAAATGGAAGAAGAAAGAATCTTCAATGAGAATGTTGGACTTGCTCGCACACGTACCATCAGCTCACCAGTTCCACATAGTCCTTCCAGTAGTCGTCCATTGTCACCGACTCGTTGTTATGCTTGTGGGCAATTGTTGGTGAGATTTTCTTGTCTTTCTTAAATGAACTTTATGTTGCTAAATTTAATTATTTTCTCATTTTCAGAGTCGTCGTAGTGAACGCTTTATCAAGCCAGCAATTCCTTTGTCAAACTTGGGACTCAATACCTCAGCTCCTAATGTTTTAGCAACCGCATCATTATCATCACAAAACAATAATAACAACGGTGCCAATACCGGCAGTAACGTTAGCTTATCATCGTTGAACAACAGTCTAAGTTCAACAAGCAGCAGCTCAACATTGCCATCCCAAAGCAGTGGACATATTTCTGGTTTTGTTCAACCACCCAGCCCCATGGACACTGAATCAGGAAAAGATTAATTTCGCTATCGTTCAACAAGTAATCAAAACAAGAAGAAAAAGAAAAATTCTAATCGTAAATATTACAAAGAATTAAAAGTTAAAAACATTTTTCGCGCCTTTTGGTGACACTAAGCTATGTCGTTGTTCCTGCGTGTTTAATTATTCTTTTTCAACATGTCAAGTCAATCAAAACCTTTTTTTTCACAATTTTATGATGGTGAGTTGGAATTTATTAATTTTGGAGTATTTATGTGGAACTTTCTCCATGAAATTGAATTTTAAGTGAATTTCTTATTGCGATTTTTATCCCAACCACCGTCACCACCTTAATTTGTACGCTTAACAGCAAACACATAAATAATCTACATATTGAATGAATGTTAAGTTCCCTTCATTTCTCCTTATTTACTTTTTTAATGTTTAAGTTGATAAAAAAGTGGAAAACAATGGAAAATTAAAATTATTACTTTTATTATTATTTCGTTTAAGTTTAAGAATATTTTTGATTTAAAAGCTTCGAAGAGTTCCAAACTCTGAAAGCTTTTCATAAGACATTAACGTGAATCTTATTCAGAAGTCAACTAAGAAGTAACATTGGAAATATTTAAGCAAATAAGCATTCATTTCAATTAAGAAGAACTAATAACAGATATTTGAAAGACTTTAATTGCTGATAACGCTGCAAGAATTGAAGCCGTGAAAATTTTCTTACAATTTTATTTCCTTCATCAATCAATCATAATTGCACATTTTTGCCTTCTATCATTGTTCAACTTTTATTGATGTTTAAGACACAAAGAGAGAAGAGAAAGCATTAGTTAGTTTTTAAATGGAATGTCGTGTATAAAAAGATCAAAAGTTGCAGCCAAAAAAGCAGAAAAAGTTATTAAAAATCCTTTCAATTGAACACTTTAAGTCAATATGTCTCTTAGAGCTTTGAAGATGTGTCAGATAAAAATAAAAGTGAAGAAAAGTTAAAATTAAAAACAAATCGCAGTTCACTGTTGTGTTTTTCTTTTAAAGTTTTTTAATTCCTCTAAATCATGGATTTTTCACAGCATCACAAAATTAATGTTCAACCTCCAGTGCAAATTTATCATCCTAAAAGAAATCCTCAGTTACAAAAACAAATGCACTATGAGAAGAGATGTTCGAGTGCTTATCCCGGGAAAACAAGAGTCAACCACATTGACAATATGAATGATTACCAATTAACATCTTCAGCTTCAAGCGGTGCTGAAGATGATCTTCGATACTTTCAATGTTCACCTCCACAACCTTTGCCGTCGAAGAAGAATTTTCCACCAGAACAATTCAAACTTGTTATCGATTCCATGCAGAAATTTCCGACAGATGCGAAGCCAACACCTCCGCCATCGAGTGGAAACAATCAAACTTTTACTTGCTTTCATAAGGATAATCTGGAAAGTAAAATTTCCTGTCATGAATCGTTAAATGATCATCATGTGTATAAAAGCAACACAAGAGTTCTTCCAATTCCAAATGGAATTCGAGTAATCACTGACATTTTGAAGACACAAGACAACAAAAATGATAAAATTGAAGATCAAATTGAAGACAATTTGGAAGTCAAAAAATCTTCACGTGAAACACAAACAGAATTGCAATATTTGATGAATGAAATCTCATTTACTTCTTTATTTCCTTCTCCAATTCAAAATTAAGCAGTTTTTATAGTTTATTCAGTACATGAAAATATTTAAAAGAAAATTTCATAAGTTCAATGCCAAAATTATTTATCGTCGTATCACATGTTTCCATCATCTTCCTTGGACGTATCTTCTTCAAATCGAGCATAAAGTTCAGCGCGATGATGTAAAACTTCTTTGACAATTTCCAAGAGAAGTTCACGTGAATCGATCATTTGTCCAATTTCAGAAGCAACTTCTTCAGCAAGCCAAGGTGTGAGTTTCTGCTGCAAATCATCTTTGTTTTCTGCTTCACGAACTGAATCGATTGAGTCCAGAACGCTTGGCAGAAGATCAGCAATGTGACCTTGTAAAAGTTTTGCTGCAGTCACACGATCTTGTCTTTGTTGTTCTTCTTCTGCCGCATGTTCTTCTTCTTCTCCTCGACGATTCTGTTTGAATATTTTAAATAAAATTCTTTAAACATTTGTCATCATTTGAATTATTTTACCTTTTCACTCTGCAAACGATTTTCTTGTTCTTCAAGTCGTTGAAGTTCCGCCATTTCTGCTTCACGAATTGCCAACAATTTTTGTTGTTGAACTTGTAGATCAGCAATTTCTTCCTCATGAATGACTTCGGCAAGTGCTTGTTGAAGTGTTCGACCAATGAGTGTTTCAAGAATTGGTTGAACTTCTGCGTCAAAATCAAAAAGTTCTCCTTCGCTGATTTCTGTCGAGACGTCAACGCCAACTTTTTCACACACATAAGGTGGAGTTGGTGGGCGTTGAAGGAACAAATCAGTTTGACATGATTGTTCAATTTCAATTGGTCGTGTGAAAAGCTAAAAAGCAAAAATAAAATTTGCACAATTTTCAATTGAAATGTTTCACCTCTTCGAGATATTTTTCGGTTTGAATTGTTTCATGCTTTCGTCCATGAACAGGCGGGGGAGTTCCGATGACTCCACGTTGGTTACGTGAGACTTGTCGCTTTCTCAACAACTGACGTCGTTTCGCTTCTTCTTCTTTACGAGTGGGATCGACATCGCCCTAAAGATTATTACAAGAAACTTTTTAACGATTTTATCTTTAAATTAAAATGAAAAGATGAAAACAGCAAAGAAAATTTGGAGAAGCATAAGAAAATAAGCAGCATAAGACTACTTGGAAAACTTTTCTCTAAACAAGCGACTACAAGCGTTTTGCTTTACCTTTCCCGAAAGAAGTCCGGCGTAAGCAAAATAAGGATCCCACTTTACATGATTTTTAAATATGGAAAAAATAAGAAAAAAGTGCAGAAAGAAAAAAAAGTTTCTTAGGTATATAAAAATATTAAATTTCCATCGTTGATTGGCTGATTAACATTTTAAAGAAATTTATTTGAAAACTTCTCTGATAAAATTCTTTGAAATTCAATAGCCTCAAATAAAATATCATTTTGGTCGAACAATATCGATTTTCTTTAGCTTGAAGCTTTATCTACGATCTACAAATTACGAAACTGTCGTCAAGAAATTTTCCTCGCTACTTAAATTATCCTTACAATTTTACTTAGTCAGCTAAATATTTTATGAGTCAACTTACAGCCACTGGAATGTTGGATGTCGATGCAAAATTACTGCCACGCACCACACGACGATCATACATCAAATTTTGACATGCTTGACTTTCTCTGCAAGATTTGTTTAAAAAATAGAAACAATTTTATTAATAAATATATTTAACAACAATCGATTGCGTGTGCCACGTCATAATAATGGTCATTCAACTTAGTTCAGGCCGGCTTTACATTTTTTTTATTTCTAGTCTATCTGAGGTTCTTTACGTGTCTCACTTAAATAGTTAATGTGGCGACAAATAAACTTTCAGGTCACTTGTGGAACTAAATATTCAACTAAAAGGATAATGAACTTCAGATTTTGTTTCGTTTTAAATTCCTTGGACTTTATACAAACTTAACACAAGCTGTTTATTCAAGTTTAATGTTTTCCTTGAATCAATATTGCATGTAGAAAAGCTTTTGAAGAAAAGAAAGAAATTATTAAAATGGCGCTAGGGAAATTCATCATTGTAAAGTTTTTGTTTGAGTTAACTTGTATTGCTTTATTTATTGACTCGCAACACGAGTTTATGTTGAGTGGGAAGAAGCTTGAATTGATGAATATTCTTGAAACTTCTAGAAAATCAACGAAGGTGAAATAAACATAATTCAATATGTCGAATCAAAAATTCATTGATAATGTAATTCATTCAAGTTGAATGTTTAGTAAATGAATAAAACTTATTGCGTGATAATTACAAAAATCAAAATCTAATAAAATGTCTGATTGACATTGACCTTAAAAACTTTCCACCACTGTAAATAGTTTGATATTTATATTATTTAGAATACGAATGTTTGAGGCAGGAATTGAAAGTTTCCATTTTTTTAATGCTCACATCAACATCGAAGGCATCTGAACCTTCACCTGCTTTTGTCGTCATGCAAATCGAACAACTTTTCCTCTTCATCATTACAAAATATTAACAGCGAAGCAATGACACGAACAAGAGAAATGCCATTGCGCCATTTCCGGTGTCAAAGCGATGATAAAAAAGTAAACGAATGTTCGTTACGATCAGTAATCGTGAAAAGTAAAGCCATAAAGTGATTCATCATGTTTTCTTGCGAGACAATTCCGATTAAGCTTTCTTTATGAAACTATTTTAAGCTTTTTCAATGAATGAGCGAATTTCTTTTAGCGAATAAATTTTCACTCAACGAGTGATGTAATAAATGAGGAATCGATTTTCTCTTTTTTTCCTTCCAAAAGAAAAGCGATAACAATCACTGACAGAATATCAATCGACATGAATGGCGCAATAAACAGAATGATTGTCGTTGTAGCTTTGATGACATTAATTTAAGCTGAAAATTTTATCAGCTTGTAATTCTTACTTCTAAGTAACTTAAAGTGTTCAATCAACCGTCCAAAACACACGTGGCGATTGGTTTTGATTTGCCATGGGCCATGGCGATTTGAAGGTCAACAATCTTGATACAACAAACACGCAAATGTCTCGAAAATCTTTATGAATTTCAGATTTTTCCTGGAAATGTTTTTTCACGAAAGCCGAAATACGAACATAATTAACCGCTTCGCAAAAAAGAACTTTTATCAACGACACAATCATTCCTTTAATTTCATTCATGAAATAACAAACAAGTCGTGACTCGCAAGGAATGAAAAGGAAAAACATGAAATTATTTCATTACAAGAATTTTCCAAATATTTCATTCAATTCATGAATCATAAGAAACATTCAAGTGAATTTCAATTTGATGAAAGCTTTTAACGATTCAAGACATTTAATCCAGAAAAAAGTTTTCATTTGAATGAAACTTTCGATTTAAAACTTTTCGTGTTACATTAAAAATGCAAATTGTTCTGTTTTTCCTCTTCAAAACCGGAAAAGTTGCGATAATTCAACATGATGGCCTTGTACATTTGACTTGATAACCCAAACTCTTGAAATTGATGGCTTGGATCACCTCGACACAAAGAAACAAAAACTTTCATTCTTATCGTTTAATGAAAATTACGGGCAATCCGGTAATTTATTTACCTTGTCCTTGGTATTTTAACGCCTTCAATTCTGCATGTATCGTCATCATCAACTTTATCGCAAGATATTCGCGAGTCAACCAGCTCATCAAACGAATGAATATTTTTGTTAATTAAATTATTATTGCTATTCTGATTGTTCTGCTTTGGTTGAAGCTCGCGACGATTGTGTTGGCCTAAGATGCGTGGGCGGCTGGCGAAAGCGTAAACATGCCGTGCCTTCGCCACAATTTCGCGTATAACTGGCTGTGGTTGAAGAAAGACACCGCGAGGTACGGTCGTTATAAACAAAGGACGTTTTACTGGATCATCGCTTGTTGAAATTCCCTGCGTAGTAAATTTAAAGACTAAGCCTCAAAAGTTTCTTTCTTATTTAATTGAAAGAAAATGAAGAAGGAAAACTTTTTATAGAATGTGTAAGTAGATCATGTGATTGTTTCCACTCTCATTTCGAAACTATTAAATAACTAAACATTTTGTTATTTAATACTCTTTGAGGTTTTCAACCTACCCAGTAAGCAATTTTCAATAAAAATGTTAAAAGTCATGACCGGAAATTATGTCGTAATCGTTACAGCTTTTAACAATTACTTTCCGTGAGTTTTTTATGATAAACTTTCAAGAGGGATTTTTACTTTTTTGTTATTTAAAAGAAGCTTTGAGCTTATCTTTTTTCGACTTGAAATGTAAAGCTAAACTGATCAGCACGATTTTGATTTGTAACAAAACATTTTGTTGATAAATAATTTTTATAAATTCCTTTAAATGAGGTCGCTGTGATATTTAATTGAGCTTAATGAGGTAATTGTTGTAAACATCTGTTAACACAAACGAAGCTATTTACTTCTAAATACATTTAGTCGATTTTATTCCTTCTTCATTTTCCATCACAATTTAACTATTCACGAAAAAATATTCATCAATATTTGAAGTCACTTACATCTCTCCAACTTTTTTTAGATTCACGCGATTGACTGTGTCGATATAAAGGCTTCTTCTCAAAGTCTTTTTGTGCTTTTTGAGGTTTCTCTAGTTTCACTAATTTATCAATTATTTGAGCTTCCAAATTCTGTAATTCTGGCGGACGATTCTCATCGTCTGAAGGTTCCCGTCGTCTGAGAGGTCTCACAATGGCTTCAGGTTTAGAACTGAATCTTTCAGATGAACTCTCAGCCGTCAAGATCGTCAATTCACCAGTTGTCTCCCTTTTCTCGTCCGCAGTCTCGTCCGCTTTAAAAGGCACTGATGGCATTCTTACAATCGAATGCCACTCGCGAAGTACTCGCCGAATTTTTTGTTTCTTAAATTATTTTAGTTGCTTTGTAAGGCAAATTATGAGCAATTTCATTCAGCCAACAGTTAAGTTAAATTAAGTATTCATTATGTTGTGAGTAGGTGATGTTGTGTTCTAGGTGAAAGAAATGCATGGGAAATGTTAATTTCAACCTAAATTTATATCGTAAATGGCACTCGGGTGAAATGCCTAAATGAAACTGACCAAATAAGCTAATATTTGTTTTTCGTAAACTTGAACGGAATACATTCAATTAGAATACAAATTCAACTGTGATATAAATATTAAATATAACTAACTTTAACTATATGTAGTTGGAAATAAATAATTGAGGGGAAATCTACAGAAATTAAGAAAATGAGAAAAGAATTCCAAACATCGGCGTCGACATTAGAATCTCGTTACAAAAACAACTTGAGTGGAAAATTTATTCAATAATTGTACACTTTAAAACATGTCGACGCCGGGTTCTGGTAAAAACTAAATGAAAAACACATAAAAACTAAAAAACGAAAAGAAAATCGAAAGTTTCACCTTTAAACATTCCTTTCTTCACACACTTCATTAGAATTTTTTATATTTAAAACTTTTATTAACAATCATCACAATCAATCTTTCGCTATCACATAATTTTATCAACGACTAACATTTCCAACAAATTTTATAAAATTTAATTTAACGATCACAAACAGTGGAAAATAAAATAAAATTTCTCTTGGTTAAATAAGTTGTGGAAGAGAAAAATTTCCACGACTTTTCTTTCCAAAGCTCAACTAACGAATGACCAAAGTGCTTTGAAGGTGAACTTAATGAGTTGGTCAGTTGAAAAAAAAAAGAGAGAAAGTTTCCGTGCAAGCTTTGTTTGTCGGTGTGAAAATTGGATTTTGTTCGATTACAGCAGGAAAGTTTTTCCTTTTCTGTTCACCACCACACATGCTTCTGTTATAATGTCCTGTTTAGTCTTACTTTTAAAACAGTTAAAGACATAACATCAATGTATGAGTATGATTAGAAATTATTTATTGTGCGTACATATTTTCGATTTAAAATTAGCTTTTTATTTTCTTGATGAGGTTTGCTCAAGACATGATTGATTGAGAAGAAATTACTGACTTCTTCTATTCTTTTTTTGGAATCAATTTATTTGAGCAAGAAAATAACTTTTTCCATTGAAATATTCACACATGAATAATTTAAGGAGACCGGCAAATGACAAACAAAGTGTGTCAATTGACTCAGACAACACATCATTGAGCATATGCTCAAGTAATTCAACTTACATGTCATGGTTTTTATTTGAATCATGAAGAAAAATAGCAAGAAGGAATCCCGATCAATGACTTGATTTAAGTTTTTGAAGACAAAGTTACGACAATAAATTTCACTCCATAAATTGTTAATTTAAGCTGAATGAAACTGAGAGTTAATTGGCCAATTTATTAATTCAAACCCAGACGATAATTCTTTTATCTGAATATATTTAAATTCGTATATAAAAGGAGGTGATATGACAAATCTCTTCAGTTTAATCACTCCTTGGCTGAGTTGCATATCATTGCTTGGAATTTCAAGTGAATGTTCAGAGAATGTTTGTTCCGAGAAGTTTATTAGTGCTCTTGCTTGGGTTTTATTTAGTTGATGGTGTTAAAATCCAATGCAGATATTCAATCAGAGAAGTTTGGAAGATTTCTAGTTTATACACGTGTGAAGGAGAAATATTTTTGAGCAGTCATTCTGAAGATTTGGCACCATATTTCGTCAAAGAAGTGTCACATAATCATATCGAAAACAAAAGAAATAAAGATGTGAAGGCATTGCTAATCGAAAACAGTGAATTTTTTTCCATGCTTGAGAACATTCCTCATTTCTTCCCTGACCTCCAGTCATTAAGTGCCATTAACTGTGGAATTAAGGAACTGAAGTCAGAAGACTTTGAAGATCTCCCGAATCTTCTTCAAATTGATTTCCGGAGTAATAAGATTCAACAACTACCTATGAATGTTTTTGAGGAAGTGCCAAATTTACAAGTTATCGGGCTTAGTTTGAATCCTATAAAATATATTGCCCATCAAGTCTTCGATCATTTAACTGATTTGGAAACGCTCGATATGTTTGGAACAAATAGATGCTATAATAAGAAACTTGAACATAACAAAACAGCGATAGCTTCCGAGCTTTATGATATCTATCGACAATGCCCGCCAACTTTCGAGATGTTGAAAATGCAGCTGGGATGGCATGTAATAGTTCAAAAATTAGAGAAGTGTGAGACTAAACTTGATGAAGCTTTTTCGAACTTGATGTATTGCGAAACTGTTGACAAGCATCATCAACCAGCAAATGACAAACCTGAGTTATTATTTAAAATAAAATCGAAGGGAAGAAATATTTGAACAAAGATGAGAATTGTAATTAATTTCCAATCGTGTTTCAAAAAAGGAATTTAATTGTTTCTCTTCCACAATCATCTTTTGGTTAAAGTCGCACTTTCGTTACGTCAAATAACTTTTTTTTCTCTTCTGTAAGTTTCATTTGAACCATGGAAGTCAAATGGATTATGGAAAATGTGCGTGTTAAGTTAAATAATATTTTCCAATTTACTGGTCGTTGCCGCGCAAGTTTCTCGTTAAGAAAAAGAAGGATTTGCTTTGTTTAACGCGGGAGCCATTAATTATAATAATTTCATGTGATAAAATATGATTTATCAAAGCTTTTTTCGTTTTTAAACTTTTAACGTCGTTGATTTAAATGCTTAAGACAAATTTCTTCTTTATTTACCGAATCGAAGTGTCTCAAATGTAAATATTTTTCTTTTCCTGACCAATTGTAATTACAAAACATCAATTTTCAAGAAAGATCACGAAAAATTCTTTTGTTTGTTAATTTGAAACGGAAATAACTAATTTGTTGATTTATGAGTGTCAACTGAAATAAATTCTTTGAAGATGCGTGCTAACTAAGAAGTCAACACATAATGTCTGAAGGATTAGAATAAATTTCCATTTTATCAAGAAAAGCTTCTTTATTGCTTTTTGAGTTTTCTGGGAAAATCTTTTTCTTTAAGTAGGAAATGGCGTGAACGATATAAAAAAGTTGAATGACTCATTAACAGATGTTTTGCGTCGTTGTTGGCGAACTTGGCCTTTTATCCTTGAAATAAAAAAATTACTTTAACTCACCTTGACTGATTATTGTTCTCTCTAATCATCATCCGATTTTGATAAAGTGTACGAGGTGAACTGGTCCATGTGTAAATTCCTTTCAGTTGACTTTGTGGTTGACATTTCTTATTCCAACGAACATTAGGATTTTGTGGAAGATCAAGAAGTAAAATATCTTTTTTCATTTCCTGGCTGGAGCCTGCTTCCAGCTTTGACATTCGAGGACCAGAACAAGTCGGCATTTTGCACTTCAATCTTTGAGAATATTTACAACACAAAATAGAATAGTTCTAGCACTTCAGTTTATTATAAAGAAAACTTATGGAGAGAAAAAGTTTTAAAAATCAATTGCAGAACTTGCTGAGAATTTATTTTCCAATTCTTCTTTAATATATTTTAATTGGAATTTAAAAATTGTTCACAAGAATTCATAGATTGCTTTTCAGTCCTTTTTTCATATATAACTCACGATTAGAATAATTTGAATAAGAGAAATTTGCAAAACATTGAAATAATCCAAGTTCATTATGAAAACTTTGCATATATTTATGCTGATTTTTTAGTTTATCGCAAGAAAGAGTTTCCGCGCGCTCACATCAAACTGAATGATAGAGTAGAACTTGTTTGTTGTTTACTATGGAACTCAAGTTGTTGTTGTTGACGATTTGGCGAATTTGTTGATTTCGGCAAAACTTTATTGTTGCTAAGAGATGAACTTTTTTCTTTTCATTTAAAAATAATACTGCTGTTCTGAGTGATTAATGTAAGTTTTTATATTTTTGGATATACATTTAACTGATACAAAAGGTTTTTAATTAGCGAACGAACTGACGGCAATGAAAGTTTTTGTCCAAGTTTTAGTTTTTTCTTATTGAATTATGAAAAGCTTTTGCGCACGTCATTTAATTTACTATCTCTAATTATAAATATATGTACTGTAAAAGCGTATAGGATATAGAAATATTTAATATTACCCGCAGAAGATCGAAAGGCATGTTGGAAGCATAAATATTTCGTTTCGTAACTAACTTCAAGTAGTGAAATTTCAAATTTTAGGAAGCAGTTAAATATTTTCATTCCTCAACTTTTCAATCTTTATTGTCGACGAGAAATCAGATTATGCAATGTCAACAACAATATAATATTGATAGAAAGATTTTCAATAAAAATCATTTGTTTCTTTGTCACCACATTCGTCGAAATAAATTAAAGTAGTTCTCAGAAAAATTTGTAATTCATATGAACTTGATAAGACTTTCAAATGGAGTTACTTGCAAAAGCAAATCAGATGACGATCCCTTAATACGATTTTAAATTTAAAATAACTTACACCTCTCTGAAATCTCGTATCTAAGGCTGAATTAATCAATTCATACAAATTTATCAAGAATGAAATGTATTTAAGAAACAAACTCGTACGGAAGCTAACGTCCTAAGTCATGAATTTTTCATCCGAAGGACATGAAATTTTCTTAGAACTTTAAATATTCTGGGAAGAATTTAACATAAAACAAATTCAATTAATCAATCGATCGAAAATATTTTGATTTCTTAGGATGACTGGACTATAAATGATTTAAAATTTTAAAACCGTGAAATAAACATTAACATCCACTTGAACTTATCATGCTTACACAACAAAACCCTTTTCAATTAAGTGACACTGAATTTCATTCACTTACAAATGTATAAACGTTTCTAACAAATAAACAAACAAAAAACAATCTTTTGATGATCATTAATCATCATGCTAAAGAAGAATCGCTCGCCAGTTCTTCTAGCAAGATTTATCACAAATCGATTTAGAACGCAGTTCGTTGTATAACACAAATCGAATTCAATTAATTATTTTATTACGAAGAATTAAGATGAGATCTCTCTCGTCTTATGTTGTTTTTTTCTTTTTTAATTCCTCTTCATGTTTCGATAAATGCGTCATGTTAACTGTCGTGTTTGATTGAGTCTTGATAATTAATGGTCTCGAATCAGAGTGAATTCATTTGAATTTTTCGGGGAGCATACAACCACAACCCTACTCTAATGCATTCTGGTTGAGACAACCCCAATAGAATTAAAGAAGTCACTGAAGATGAATTGTAAATTCAAAGCTTGAATTTCAGATGTCATTTTAAAGTGAAAATTGGAATTGTAAAAGATTTGTGTTTGTTTACTACTGTCCAAGTTTCATCAATGAATTCTTTCTTCAATGCACTTAAAATATGCATTCAAAAATCACAATTTCCGTTTGCTGTCGTGATTGTGACTACTAAAATTATAAGCATTTAGATTATTCAGTGATATCCGGTCATGGGTGTTAACAATAAAAAAGATTTTCAGAAAAGATTTATTCAAACTAGTTTTAATTCGAATTCAATAAAGAATTTTCTTTTAAATTTTCTAACCAAGAGACTTAATACAGTCACGAAATGAAATTAAAAACTTTTCAAATCATTCTAATAAAGATAAAATTTATTTCTACAAAAAATAAAAATAAAATAAAATTCTCAACTTGAAGAAAATAAAAAGGCGACTTCATTTCGTGAATCCATATTGCTCTTTATCACGAATTAAATCTGGCGAAGGGAGAAAAGAAATCTTAAGAAAAAGAAGAGAAAAAGGCATGTTGAGATGTGGTTACCTTAAGTAGCTACTAATTACAAGATTATTCTTTTCATGTATTGAACGTCTTTATTTGGCTTAAAACGTGTAATTTGCAAATTTGCACGTTTTTGTGCTGCTCATTTGATCGAAGACATGAATGCACTTTTTCCTTGCCTTAATTCTAGTGTTCTGCTGACTTCTTTATCAGTTTATTAACGTCATGACGGTGATAATTAAGATGTCTTGATTCGGGTGGGGACGGGTGAGTTGGAAATTCTTTGCGGGTACGGAAATTGTCTCCTTTTTTATATCAACCGCTTACTAACGACACATTTAAAAATTACAACAGAAAATAAGAATAAAAAAGCTTAAATTTTCTTACTGAGAAAGCAAAATACGTGATTCTACTTACGTTTGTCTCTTCCATATCGGATCGAGTTCAAATTCCGTGGAGGGCAGTTGCGATGAAGTTGAATCATTCAATTGATATCACGAGGCTGCACCGTTAACGTTTTAGCACATCGTGGCAAATAGAACGAAAAGCATTAATGAGCTAATTCAAGTAGGATTAAGACATTAAATTGTAAATTTGTGAGATGCCATGAAATGAAAAATAAAAAGCAATTTAAACTCATTTTCTTCTTATTTTCCCCCCATCAAATGACCCCAAACACATGTTCTGCATTTTAAAATTACATCGTTGAAAAATGCGCGACGATTTATCATTTGATGCAGAAATGCTGTTGTTGCTTATCCCCAAGAAATGTTTCGAGTGTTAAGGTAAAGACGCACACAGGAGGGGGGCCATGTTCCAAATAACACCTTCGCAGTCGATTGTTTGTTTCTCTCCTAGCGATTTGTGCTAATTTTGGGAAGGGTCTCCGATCATTATCCGGCTCGGGATATTTTACATTTTAATCATTTTTTCCCTTCTTTCCAGCATGTGCCCAGCGCTGCTGATGTTTCTGTTGTTTCTCCTGCTTCGCCTTCTTAATCTTTGGCTATGGTTGCACAAAAGTACAATGCAATTCATCGCTGTACAGATGAGAATGAAGAAAAGAAAAATAAAACAATAAATTAAATTGATGTGAGCGAAAAGAAAAATGTTTGAAATGCTCGATGTTGAAAGATGATGAATTAATTTTGATGCTTTTTACGGGATAAAAACAGCACAAGGCAACAAATTAAATGCTTTTGTCTGGATTGTAATTAATGTTGATGTATTTATCATTCGGAATTGTTTCGCTTTTAAATTTTTTAAATATTTGCACATACAATTTTGCACTCGCAGAATAAATATGATGAGATATCAATTCATAAATAAACACATCATGTTTAGCAATAACCAGAAACGTATAAAAATGGACTGCAAAACTATTTCTGAGATATTTCTCTCTCTGAATAATCAATAAACTAACTTAGTGGGTCATCCTTGAAGAGTTCATGACATCGACATTAGCTTCAAATCATCATTCACCTTTCATTCATTCAACAAATATGAAATCGTGTGTGGTTTTAAGGAAATCAAATTAATTTCATCGCTTGCATCAAGGAAAACATATATCGATGAACTCCGTTATTGCATCGTACAAATCGTGCCAAATCGATCACAATTCACTTGACCTTTACGACATTTTCTGCTTCACATCATCATTCCATCATCAGGCCAGGCGACTTTTTATAGTATGCTGGTAAACATGGAAATAATGAACTCATATTTAATCGCGACTGAAACGAAAAGCCTTCTTTTTGCATGGTGCAACATTTTTCTGCTCCTTCGCTTCGTTTTGCTTTGCATTGTAATGCTGATGTTGTTTTGCTGCTTTGTAAGAAGATCGAGAGGTAGAAGAAAGAGAAATAAAAACGACTGGGGCCGTGTATCAAATCGATCAATCAAAACAGGTTAAGTGAATCTTGAGCGAGCGTCTCGTGTGAGTGTGGCTTGAAAAATTAAGAGAAAAGTGATATTGAAGGCATATTTCAATCAACAGGGAGCCTTCGAATGTGCCTTCATGTCTCAGGTTGTCCCTGTTTCCACTGTTGAAGTTTTGTTCGCAATTGTGCAACATGTACATTGTCAAGTCATTTTCTTTTGTGTTCTTTAAAGATTTTTGCTCTTTCCTTCTTGTCTTCATCACAATGCAGCTGATGTTCACTTCATGATCGCGTAATTCATTTGGGAATTTCGTTCAACAATGCAACATCGCAAAAGGCTACAAGACAATGAATTAATCAATAACTTTCAATTATTAAAGTGTAAACGATCATTGTTTAAGAAATTAAATCTTAGGCAGAGTGTTTCATTTTATTATTGTAAATACAAAGCTAAGATTGAACATCAACAAGAAAAGGGATGAAATTCTTCAATATTTAGTAAGGATTCGGGGATGAAAATTGAATTCATGTGAAGAAGATTTTTAGCCTTCCTTTATCATTACATTCTAATCTTGTTGTGGTAGAAACTATATTTCATCAAAAGTAAGCGCTTTTGTGTCAATGACTAAGGCTTGTTGTTGATGAAGGTGAAGAAGGAGAAAAAATAATTTATCACTTCTAAAAGGAACCTCAATAGATATCTATTTGTAAGAAAACAGTGAAAAGATGCTTAAGGATATCCCAATTTCATTTCTCAGAATTAAAATGTTATCTCTCGTGCATTTTGGTGAGATGTGTAAATGGATTTGTCTACGGGTTGCAATCAAACATTCATAACAATAGAAGAGAAGCGATTCAAATTCAATTTTACGGGCAGACAAACTGAAGACACAACAAAAGGGAAAGAAATTTCTCTTTTTTTATAAGTTAAAGTGAATCCTTGTGCCACTGTAAGACGATTTTATTTTTCGTCATCAGTTGAGGTTCAAAGACTCTTTAGAAGTTTTATGTGAAAAGAAATAAATTTTCTTATCACTTCATAAATATCTCAACTTAACACTTTTTTATTTTTATTTCTTATTTTGCTCCTCAAATTTATTTTTTTTCTCGTGAATTAAAGGCCACAGATTCTTCGGATCACGTTGGTGGTAAAACAGCAATAAAACAAATGACAATAAAAATGCACCTTTGAAAGAGACTACACGACATGCTTTAGTCATAATTCAAGTGAAAAACGTTTTGTTGGAAGTCAATTTTTAATTTCTCAATAAATAAGAAGCAGAAAATGATTCCGAGAAAAAGAAAATTGCAATTAATCATAAAATAGTTTAAGGCTTCAAGTTGTGAAAGAATTTTTTGTTTTCAATTATTGATTAATGTATATAAACAACTTCTGAAGCTATTTGTTTCCCTGTTAAGAAACTCATCTACGAATCACTCAACAAACTTCCATTGGAAGGAAATTGATTGCTAAGCAACACATTTTCCTTAACTAGCCATCAATCAAACGAAGGAAAAAGAATAACTTGCAATCGCGTTGTTGATGAAACGAAGCAGAAAACCTCAAAGAAAAATAAAATGATTTGTGTAAAAAAATGTAATATGATAAGTTTGAAACGAAACAACATTGAGCTTGATGAATGAGATTAAATGGTTGAGATAATCTTTCAATAACTCATGTTATTTCTCAATGCGTCTGAAAAGCGCCATTAAATGAAACACCTTGTCAAGAGTGAGTTTCCTTTACTTCTTACCCAATCAGATGAATTTTGCTTTCCCACATGATAAGACAAATTGTAAACCCTCAATTATGCTTCGTCTCAACCTTTAAGTTCGACGGACGGTCAATGAGATTGCAAAATATCAAACATTATTAACTAAATAAATCTTAATTGATATGTTTAAAACTCAATGATGTTGAACGCTTTAAGAAATGTTGTAATTTATGATCTGAACAATAATTTAATTGTACTAAGCTTCCTCAGACCTTCCGCTTACACCCCTCGCAACATTGCAATGACATCCTTTATATTTCCGCAATCAACGCTTCGTCGCAGATAAATATTTTTCAATTGCATCCTTATTACTATTACAAACATTCCTCCTATAAAAATGTCACAAAAGCGTACAATGAAAGCGTCACGTGTTTGACTTTTTTTATAAATGTCTCAATGACGAGATAAATGATCTTCACTTCCTGAAGAAATAATAAAAAAAGAGCGAGTTGCAAATTCATTTGTTATTTCTATCAGTTAATGGAGTAAAATGTTGTAATAAATAGGAAAGCATTTGGAAGTTAAAATATGATAAATTATGAAGAGTTGATTGAAGATAACTTCTGTTGAGCTTCTTCTACTTTTTCTTCTAAGAAACCAAACATAAAACATAACAATCAAAACTCATTATATCCCACATAAAATATATTCATAGCTTGTAAAGAGAATTAACCAAATGTTCAGTAACATAAATAAAATGTGAGGCTCAGTAACTGCTCCATATACAAATATCCTAAAAAGAAAACAAAGCAACTGCAGTATGTAACATTTAATTAATTTATTTATTGCACAAAATAAAAAATAAATATTGCATATCTCAGCTGAACTTTTGCTACCATTCTTTGCAGTTGCAAGAAACGAAATAAAAGGAAAGAAAAGCCAGAAGCTTATCGTGTCTCTTAACACTTTCCATAAAAGAATATTTATTCATTCTCTGTTGTGCACTTTACTTGTTCTTCGTCTTTACTGCTTTTCGTCTTAACCAAAGAAGACTCAGCAAAAAAAAAATGTTTAAATCTTGTCTCATTTTGCGAACATTTATTAGGATGAAGCTCAAGAATTGCAAGTTGCAATAACTTTGCAATAAGAATGAATGGAGCAACTTACACATGAACATTTCTGATCAAAGTCTTCTTTATGTTGTGTTTCTCATGTGAAGTTTTGTGCTATCATTAAAGTTTAATAAAAATCAAATATAAATATTTAAGAGAAGTGCAACATTGCAGGCAAATACAAGACGAAATAGATAAAAATTGACCTCTTGATAAACACGAAGTTCTGTGGAAAGGCAGAAGCGACGAAGAAATGTCAACTGGAAGAATTTTAAAATCTATCAACAGTAATCATCATTCGCGAACACAAATACGAAGCCTATAAAATTTATCTTTCCAAGGTGGTAATTCGTCTCACAAAACTGCTACTGAAACTTAATCCTTGAGCAAAAGGCGAATAAAAGCGACAGAATAATTTATTCAGACCAATTAAATAAACATTAAGACACAAAAGCGATGCAATTTTCATGTGACTTAATTAAGACATTTTTGGCACTTATTTCTTATTTTTTTTACGTCTGACAAACGGCGAGGAGTGAGCGGAAAAAAGAGCCGCCCGAGAAAAATGTGTGTAAGCTCGAGCCGAAGACAATAGTGAAACACTGTTTGGGTTCGTCTGATTTCTTTAACTTCTCTCGTGGTCCATGAACAACAAATATATGTAAATTAGATGCGAATGCCATGGTAAAATTATCATGCATAAAATTTATTTATTTATTTGCGCGAAATGTTGCAACGGGACGAAGCGATGCATCTTTATCTCATTTTTTTTTGGTTGCTTCCTTTCTGTTCGCGCGTAAAAGTTCTCGTATCTCGTTTCGTTAGCCGCCCGGCTGTGATTCATTTTCTTTCTGATCTCGTTCTTGTAAAGATACCTTTGGTGTGCTTCACACACTACTTAGCAGCTTCATTTCTGCTGATGACGACGATGAGATACACTGAGATAAATATGTTAATTTTTATTTATTTAAGCTACTGTATGGTTTGCAATTTACTTTATGGACTTTATTCACCATTCTTATGTTTGTTGCTACATCATCGGAAAAGAATTGTAGATTAAAGACGACTTTGAGATTGTGAAAGGGAAATTGCTCTAATTTAGGATTCTCAAATTAAATTTTGAAGTTATTAAAGTTGTATGAACAACTGCCAAGAATTTACAGCTTTGAAATCGACTATTTATTTATAGTAGAACAAGAACAATTCAAATTGAGTGAATGGAAATTTCTGACATTTTGATTCCATTGAGTGCAGAGCGACAGTAAAGTCCCAACAGAGTAGAAATCGTTTTTATATTTTTATTATTTCTCTGATTTAACCGGAGATCGAAGTAAAGAATAAAAATTTGAATAAATTGGTAGAATCTGAAAGAAAAATGTTGGGAGGGGAGAGGAAAAGGAATGAGATGGAAATCTCCATAAAAGGATTTCTCAACTCTTCTTTTTTTCTTTTTTTGCATGTATAAAATATTTACAATCGAAAAATTCTACCTAAATTTGCATACATTTTATTGTTTTTATCGTTCAATTTTCGTTACTGGTAGCTAGCAACTATTTAAAGTCGAGTCTTCTTCGTTCAGAGTTTGAATGAAAATTGCTGTTGCTACTGCTGCTATTTTTGGCTTCATTTGAATGAAACAAGACAATAAGCCACAAAAAGAAAACCTATTCGACCTAATAAGGTGATAACATACTTCTGGCCTCAGCATCTTTGAAATTGAACACAATCGAGGTAAATTTCTTAAGTTAACTTTTCAACTTTATTATGAAATTCTTTCAGATGTTAATAAAAACCTCGCCATAACTATGGTCATAAATTGTAAAGTTCTTTAAATATGTAGTTGGATGATCAGAGCCTTTTCTGACAAATTCAGAAGTCGTTTAGTGCTTCTTCATGCTTCTTATAATTTTCTTTATTTTTATTATAGAACTTGATTAAAAAATATTTAATTGCTTGTTTAATTGAATCTTCAAACACTTTATGATAAATAAGTATTAACTAGTTGCTACCTTTTGTAAAATATGAACAAATTGATCAGTGATCATATCTCATCTTATTTTAAATTATGTTTATTGCTGCAATAATTTTTATAAGAAATTTCCAGAGATGTTGAATGTCGTATTTACACTTTCATTGAACAATAATAGAAAAATTTATTTAATGTTGGAATATTTTTCCTTCAACAGCTCTGAGGACTTCAAAACGAAAGACAAATGGAGAATAAGAAGAAAATGAGCTCATAATTAAATTAGATGGAGCGAAAGATGTTGAAGCCGTTGGCACTGAAACATGTTGGGAAAAACACCTTCAAGGTATTTATGGAAATATGGCAAAAAGGCCTGGTGCTGTTGTTCCCTACAGTGTAGGATGTAAATGGAATATTGTGTCTCAAGCAACAACTTGTAATAATGCATGTATATCGACATCAAGAGATGGTGTGCTAACCTAACACTTTTTTTTCTCGCTTCATCAGACACTTTCCCTTTTACGGAACTTACATACACGTTTCATAGATGATTCATAAATTAAAATACATTAAAGTCTAAATCGGAGTTTAATCAATTCATTACATGCTCATTAACAATTGTCAATGCGTCACTTTAGTCGCGCCTGTAAGTTAATTATGTGAAGCTTTGTAATCTTCTTTTAAATTCAAAATCGATTTGTAAGAATTTGTTGCATAATTTCCGCTTAACTGCATATTAGACAGAATCTTTCAACACATTTCTTCTCCCTTTTATCGTGGGCTTTTAGTATGCAAAGATTCAATGAATCTGACACATTCAATGCATGTTTATGTGCTATGGAGACTCACCAACCAGTTTGCAATGCAAATTTGTGTCTTTAACCACGCGAGAAATTTTCCTCAATGTCGTAAAATTTATGAATGAATCTGATTCACATAACTATCATTTGTAATTTTTGAGAGACTTCGAAATATGTGAAGTTTAATTGAGACTTCATGAAGACAATTAAGAGACAGCATGAAAAGAAAGAAACTTTCAAGACTTTCAAGTGGAAAAACGTTTTGAAAATTACAATAAAAATAATTTTAATTACAACAATAAATTGGATTTTTATGCGCGCAATCGTTAAGATAAATATGAAAAAGGATAAAATGTAACGACCGTAAAACGCTTCAATTTTTTTTGATCGTTCAGATGTTTTTTTATGTGATAAAAATTGTTTTGGAGCCGAAAAACGACCAAAATACGCGAGTGTGTTGCCAGCATGATACGATATATAAAGGAATCTCGAACAATAAATTAAATATGAAGACGTTAATGAGTCCGGAATCTTTCTTAATCTCAAACTAATGCTTGGCCCAGAAACTCTTTCTTAATAAATAGTAAGTTTCGAATCGTTTCAAAAAAAAATTCAAATGAATTAACAGAAAAAAACGTGAAGAAGTAAGAGATTGAAAATAAAATTAAAAAAGTGAAAGATTCTGGTCAAACTCTTGAAAGCCGGGCAATAAATTTCTGAGCATCTTCAATAAATTTCATGAATAAAAGCAATGAAATGAATCTAGTGCGGCTTGCTGGGAAGTGAGAGAAGGAGAAATCTGTTTACAATGGTGAAGATGGAATTTTGGGTGCTTTGATGGTGAACGTGGTGCGCGGCATACATGAAATAATGCAGAGATTTTCGATGGGGTGTCACAAGGAATGGAAAATGACTTTTATGTAATTTTTTTCATGTTTCGTCAGCTTTAATATTATTTATTTGAGTCTGTGAGAGTGGAAGGACCGACATGAAGACATTGTCAACTTCAATTAATAAATAACTTTAAATTTTTCATTTCATGATTTCATTTCTCGAATGCTTCTGCTTGGGTCACTCATCTTGTGATCACACATTTCATAAAATGTCAGGAGCACGATAAATTTTTATTGCTATGTTGATATTGAGTTATGGTGGAAATAAAACTTTTTATCGCCATCAAGCCCTTAAGATATGATTCTCAATTAATTAGGTGTACACCTCCTCTGACCATAAAAAAGCGTTTTAATTTTTCAGCCTTTTTCTTTCTCTTCCGATTTGTTATTTGTAATCTTTACTTTAATTGCTTTACATTTTCAATCTTTTCAACCGAAGGCATTAACTGAGAATATTTTTTGTTCGATCTCCAACTTCAAACATTTACTTTCACATTCATAATGTTGTGTGCAAGGACATTCAAATCATTAAGAGATTCTAGTTTAGACAATTTGAGGCATCATCATACAAACTGACAGATTTATTAACTCATCATGTTTGAAAGGATTTAGCTAATAGTCAATTAAATTATAAACATTTAATCCTAAGTGACTCAGAAGTTTTTTACGATTTCCTACTCGTTATCGAAAGGTTTATTTTGGGTTGGCTTAAAAAGAATTTTCGATGATATTTGGAATGCTCAAGAAAGCCGCGCACGTTCGTCACGATGCTACTAAATAAAATAAGAAAAAAAGCAAAGAAATATTTTTTTGCTGTTAAGTTTCCATCCATTCTTCAACAAGATAAACTGTCGAGGCGGTGAAAATACTTTTGATGGAATTTCTTGAACCATTCAAAAATTATTTCGGTAAAAGGAACGATCGATAGATGAAGAAATGGAGAAATAGGAATTTGGAAACTGAAAATTGTTGTAATAAATAAAGATTGTTGTGAGTCAAACATTTCTAGAGATCATTAAATTGCATATATGAGGAAACAAATTATTGTGTCCATCTATGAATGAAGTTCTTTATGTGATATGTAAAGATTTTAATGTTTTTAACTAAAACCATCTAATCTTTCCATTTTGACCACATTCATAATAGTTATAAACTCATTTAAACTGAATCGATGTCAAAATGAATCTTCTTTCATTGCTTTAGTTCCAAAAATAGCACATCTGAAGCTCCAATCTCAATAACGAGAAATGAAGAAACTGCTTAGGAGAGATAGCGGTTGTTTCAGCTAAACTTCAATAAATTTAACAAAAAAAACGGATCCAAAAGCGACTTTTTAATATTTTATCAAAATTTCTTTAAATTTTTAGGAAAGTTTCTTCAATGACGTTTATCGTATAATTAAATTATTAAAAGAGTCGATGTTCATCCCAAAACTTCTATAAAAAGTCATAACGTAATTAACGCACGTTTCCCTTTTTCTTATTTCTCTTAACAAAGAAAGTCAACTTTTTTCATGCATTCATCAGACAAAACAATTTTTTTTTATTTCTCGAAGAACAAATGATTAAAAAGGCTAACAAAAAAAACAAGAAAAATAAGAATGGAACGAATGAAACGAAAGAAAAAAGCATAAGAAGAGATTGATGGTCGCCAATGTACTTTGACGAGACATTGACGAGATTCTCGCTTTTTTTGTCCTTTTGCATCGAAGCAGACGAACAGGGAGATTCAAAAAATGATTCAATCATTGTCTCTTTACTTTCGTCTTTATTTCCACAAATCATCACTTGAATCACCCTTTGAGAAGTTGCACCAACAAAAAAAAATATCCAAACGATGAAATTGTGGAATTCAATTCTGTGACAGACAACAGCAATGAATTGCGTCGATTTTTCAAGGGTTATCGACGAACGTCGTCTTAATTTTTAAATGTTTACTTCAGTTTTTCGATATTTAGATAAAAGGAATCAATAATGAAAAAAGTAAGAAGATTAGAACAATTGCAATGCAAAACTTCGTCAGTGTAGAAATAATTTTTCACGAGTGAAGTTTCTGCTTTGATTCGAGATTAAACTTAAGTCAATGCAACGCAATAAATTGAATGAAGGAAGCCTAAGAATACCGTTCGTTTCTAAAGAATAAATCTGGACCACGAAGGAAAGGAGAAGCAAAAAAAAAAATCATATCAGCAGAAAGATATTTTGAAAGACAAAAAACGACGAGAAGAATGCAATTGAAAAGTGAATAATTTATGTGCAATTTTTGTTGGTGAATTGGAGGGCGAAGGTAAGTAAAATAAAACAAAAATGTCGTATATTCACATCAACTTTGATGGTTCGTTTTGGAATTTGAAAATGCCATTTCTTAGATGCTTTTGAACAGCATTTTAACTTGTTTTTATGCACATCACATTAACTGCCTACGGAATTGTTTCATTCATAAAACTTACGATCAGATAATCTGAGAAAAACTCCGCTCAAATCATATCATTGGAAAATTTTCTTGGGAGAAATTTAGCTGACCACATCAAGTTTGTTTTATTGTTTCCTTTTTGATTTTTGTTGATCGTTTGATGATGAGTTTCTCATAACAATGGCAGTTTTTTGCCGACTTCTTCCACTGCTCCCTCGAGTATCTAACATTTCTTTTGATTATTTAACAGTGAAAAATGTTGTTTATTTCTGCAATGTTTTTTGAGTCTCTCAAATTGCTTCATGCAATTATATTACTCTCTGTTGCATCATGAATCTTATGCGAAGCTAATTGATTAATTACTCATTTAAACATGACTCTGATCTGACATGTAAAACGTGGGCTGCTGAGATTAAATTATTGCAAGAAATTATGATTTCTTTATTTCACTTTCAATGTTTTATTCCTCGTCGTCTGTTGTAAATATGCTTACACCTTTTAAAAATAATAATCGCAGCTTAAGAACAACAACTACATATTGTTTTCGCACTCAACAGAGACAATTGAAACTGAGAATTGAAATGCTTTTATGGCTTGGTTTAAGGGTGCGCTCAAAAAGAGGTTTAAAGAGTGAAGGAGAAAAAAAACTTATAATTAAGGTGTGAATGATTGTGTGTTTTTTAAAGACTGCTTTTGAAGAAATATCTTGATGAATAAGAACAGTGCCCGGTGTAAGAGTGTGTAGGCGCATCAGTGAACGCCAACAATTGTTATAACGAATTGACAAACAATCTGTAACTTCTATTCATTCAACATCATTTATTTCTTATCCTTTTCTTGTCTAAGGATTTCATTGAAGGCGAAAACAACCAGCAGGGCTTAAAAATTTGAATAACAAACAAATTCTCACCTTTTTCCCATTCCTTATTTCTTTTCTTTTTTTATTTTATGTTCGAAGTGAAAGAAAAGATAAGTGAATTTGGTTCTTTTGTGAAACGTCTTTTTGACAGTCAGTAGAGAAGCGAACGGGAAGTGAAAGGTCAGAAAGGAAAGGGAAATGTTCGATCAAAAGGAAATGCGTTTAGCGATGTCTCCAAGCAAGATATTGAGAAAGAAAGCATGTCATAAGGTCAAACTGTTTCCTTTTGTTCTCTTTATTCTAATACGAAAATCGTCGCTTAGATCCTTCAGCAATCTACAAATGCGTCGATTTAGAATTTATGGAAAAGTGATTTTCGCTTCCCTTTCTTTTGTCTCATGAAACATGGAAACAGATAAGCGAAAGAAAGAAAAAAAGGTAAATAAACGAAATCAAAAAGCCTTTTGGGATTCGTGATGGAGGTGACTTGATAAAAGATTCTATTGAAAAGACTCGGTTGATCCTTAGAGGTGTGGATGAGTAAAAAGAAAAGTAAAAATAAAATGGATTCATGTGAATTATGTAAATGTGGCAGTTTGTTCCTCTAAAGTTTTGAGAAATAAACGAAATGTTTCTTGGGATTTTGACGAGTCGCTTCCTTTATAGACGTGACAGTCGAGATACTTAATTTCTGATATTGTTCAATTCACAGGAATAATTTTAGATAACAGTCTGTTGAGAATTCATGTTGTTGAAATCGATGCCTTGTGACAATTCTTCTTGTCTAATTAAATATTTAAGTTTGATGAATAAGCAATTATAAATTTTCATTCATCAATATCCCTCAAGGCTTCTGCATAAAGCATCTGCTTCTCCAAAACCACAATTTCAATGAGATTTTACTATAAAATGCCGTAAATGGAACTCAAATCGTTTGAGAGAAGAAATATCTGCTGATCGAAAAACACAAAACGATTTATTTCTTAATTGATTGTTGGGTGGAATTTTTAATTAAATGCTTGATATTTTGGAATTCGCTTTTATCGTTTTCTTTGCCATTCATAGTTAGTTATTAAATAAAAATAAATTTAAATTCCTTTATGGGACTTTCAGCAGTTAGATTTTGAAGCAAAGAAACTTACGATATGTCTGTAATTATATTATTTCCCTCTCAGTTTGAGTAAATATCTGACGGGCATTTCAATTCGATGGAGCAATGACGCGTAACAGCAATGCAACTTTGGAATTCATTTTCCTGATTGCTTAAAGCTATGCAGTTTCGTTATTTATTTGTACGTGGTTCATGGCGATGTTGGTTGGCTAATCGCATATTGATCATCTTTATGAAACGCAAAAACAATTAAACATGATTGATGATGTCTCGCAGTCATAAGAAAGACGAACTGAAAGAATTCAATTACATACAAACATTGATACTTCGCTTTATCTTAACTCACTCAGAAGCCTTGAATAGAATTCAAAGTTATTTACCTTTCTTTGAGAGTTTTTGTCAATGAACACTTTCTAGTTATCTTAGAAAATCTGACAATCACTTTCAATTATTTATTTTCATTCAGCATGAAAGAATATTTTCCACTCACTGTGTAGATGATATCATTGACTGATTTTATAGACAATTGACTTCGCTGTGAAGAGTTTTTCTTTCTTCTGATTTTCTGCCTCATAAGCACTTGATGTTTCAATTACCTCTTCAACTTTAAAATGCCTTTTCACTGAACTGATGCTATTCATACAAGCAGGAAAGCGAGGGTGATGAAATATCGCAGTGCGATGTGAAGGGAAGAATAATTTTTTCAATTAAAGCTGACTTTCACATCACGAGGGTGTTTAATAAACAAAGTTCAGGGAAATTCAGAGAAATGAGTGAGGGAACGAAGAATATCAATGATAACAACAACAAAATAATCGAAATTTTAAAGTGACTGACGTAAATTCAATGTACACACGTGTTATCGTGTAAACAACTCGCTTAATTTATCCTGCATCGTCAGCTTCTTCAAAATGTCAATAAACAATCGAAATGTCATTCAAGGTAAGGCAATGCAATGCAATGCAATAATTAGTGATTCATAAATAGAAATGCTAACTGAAGAGACAACGGACAGCATTCCATTTCATTCTTTATCGATTAAAAAGCTTCTTTTTCTTTCACATACGATCAATTCCGTCTTGCTTTAAGTATTCCGTAAAAGACGTTTGGAATTTAATGTATTTATTGACACGTTTCTGATTAGCAACGCAATCGCATTTCGATTACATTAAAAACGAGTAAACTCGTATACTATTTGTTAGATGCTGTAAATGTTTAGAATTTTCCCAAGCTTTTGATTACTTTTAAGCTTTAAATAAATCACGTTCAATAACTTTTATAATAACGTTTTGACAAACGGAAAATTTATTTGATTAAAATTATTTGTCGCCGTCTTTTGTGACTAATGCACGTCTAATTTTCTTTGTTAAATATAAAGTTGAATAGCTTTAACAAATAAGGTATCGAACAATGATTAAATCGGTAAATTGGGAGCAATGAGATTTTAAAATTGTTTTTCACTTTCCTTTCCATCAATCATCGCAATGAAGTTTTTTCATGTCAACGACAATTTTTCACTTTAGCCTAGATACTTGCACATTTATAAATGACACTCAGTGAAGGCGATTTATAACCCTACAGAGATTAAGATTATACTTTTTTATTCGCTCAAAGCTTCGCAATGCCACCGGATATCAAAAAATTGTACATGCAATGACATTTTTCTTCTGTTATGAAACGCAACATGAAGTAGTGTCAAGGTATTTGATTAAATAAATTATGCCACTGTCCCAAGATTTTTTTTATATATTTTTCATCATTCAATCTCAACTCCATCAACACTGATCGTTTATCGAGTAGCGGAACGAGTTTATCGCCTTCTGTTACTGCTATTTCTTTTCTTACAAATATTAAGATCGAATAATTTATGTGATATAATAATACTTATTATATCTAGACATTATTATATTCAAAAGTATGATGTTTATGTAACGTCCCACAAAACTGAAGTGGAGCTTATATTGTCGTTCCATAATGACCTTAAATAACAGTAATAAAGTTAATGATAATGAAATGTTGATTTGTCAAAGACTAAAATTAAAACAATTTTTGTCCTTTTTTAATGTCGTTGAGCTTATCATGCCATGACAACATTGCCTATTGTTTTATATGTAGTGACTGGGTCGTAAAATTAGTTGCAATTGCAATTTATACTTCATTAACAATGATCAATGAATATATTTTCAGTTTTTTATGCATTTGTTAAAGGCTGAAAAACTCTTTAAAGTTTGAAGAATGTCTTCGTGTCAGCATTCACTTCCAAACATAATTTCATACTTCAGTCTTCGTAATTATAACAAAAATAATTTAATTTAATTCACAAACGCGTGTGGAAACATTGTAATGTATGATGGATGCGAATTACATCTCAAGTGCTTCAACATACGAAAATGAGAGGTTTCGTCGTGAGGTATGCGTTCAGTTGTCTCATTATCATACGAGATGATCAATGTTGGCGTTAAAACAATCTGAATCTAGTTTAGAATTAAAATGAAAGGCGCAGAAAATTTGTTGAATAGTTTTTCAACAAACACACACGCGTATAATTAAAGCAAATATTTGATGGGGAATGAGAGAAATTGTGAGTGATGCAAATTAGTTGAAAGCTAATTTAAATATTTCTTTTAATGTAATTGGCTTCGCGAACGATATAACATTAGTTTGACGAGTTTATGAGACATCGAGGAAGCTTAATCAGTGACATTTATAGTTCTTATAATTTGACACACACAATGTAGTTAATTAATTTCAGTAAGACGCTGAAGTTTTCTTGAATTTCTAAGCCACCATTTTCAATGTAGACATAAGTTAAAAATAAAAAAATGTTTCGAACTCCTCCTCGAAAAAGAGAAATCATATCATGTTTCAAAGATATCTACATTTCTTGGTTACAGTTTAAACGACTTTCTTGCAGTTAATAATTTTTCTTTCTACTCGAGATCACGTTGCCTTCGGACACTGAACGTCTTATTCTTCTTTTCTGGTCCAATCACGTCAAGTCCTCAACTCTGATTGGATGACAATTGAAACAAAACAAAATAAAAAAGAGACTTTGAGCGTGATTTAATTTCAATGTTTATTTTCAGACTCGTTTTTGCTTTCATTTCACTTCCAATCTCTTCTTCTTTCTCTTACTTATGACTTTGATGCTCTTCTGTTTCGATTCGAAATCAAACTTCTGTGCAACATTTTAAATTTCGATGATCATCGAACTTATCCCTAAACAATGTAAAACTTTATCAGTTTTTTTAACTTATCTCGAGTTCATTTTAAGTACCTAAATATTTTTATCTACTTTTGTTTCTTTTCCTTTCGTAAATACTTATGTGGCGGCAAAGAGTCCAACACGAAGCGTTAAGCTTATATAGTTATAAAATATTGTCTGTCGCTCTTACTTTAATCCTTTTTTGAAAATCATACACAGATGTATAACACTTTAAAGTGACGCTTCTTCTTTAAGATGTCCCATTCAATTCATTTATTAAAATTTTTCTTTTCTTTTACTTTAATACAAGCACTTTCTGTTGTGTACTTAATTTTGTCTTTCATTTCGTTGAATGAAGAATCATGTTCAGTAACAAATTTCATTTCAAAGAAACATTTTAAAGTTTAAAGAAGATCTGACGTAATTAATGAATGCCACCCATGTCTCATGATTTCTTGAAGAAGAGCGGAGAATGATTTTCAAAAAAATGACAACTTTCTTGAATGGTAAGAAAAATATCTTTGAAGAGACTCTTTTCGCTAAACAAAGCTTTATGGAGCATCTATTTCCAAATTTAAAGCAAAATAACGAACCAAAAATAATAAGAAAACATGAAATCACTATTTGGTGTCCTAATTTGAATTTGACGGTGGTCTTTTCACTTCACTATATTTTATTTCACTTTATTTAACTTGACTTCATCTTTGTAGCTTTTTCGTTTTCTTTTTCTTGTTATTTAGCTTCATAAAAATCTTACTTCATTATTATTATCATTTTTTTTTAAAGGAAGTGCAACATATTTCATTAATTCTGTCAGTGGCATCAAGCGACATTTTTAAATACTTTAAAATTTTGATGAGAGTATTTAAAAGCTGGAATGAAACGATTGAACAAGTTTTTGAAATAAATAGGATTTTGTTGTTATATCGTCGAAGAACAAGCAAGTTTTCCTATTGACCAAGTTTTAATGCTTCTATGGTAAAGCAAGACATTAACGTTCGTATAAATCTAGTTAATAAATTTTGTCGCGGCTATAAAATGAATATAAATTTAATTAAATTTGATAGATGCCGTAGGAAGTTAAACAGTTATAAAAATATTAAAGTAATAGGATATCAATCTCGTGAGCTTTTACTTTTACCACTTTAGTATATAAACTAAACTTCGATACTGAAAAAAAGTTCCTCGTACACATGAGATGCAAAGACTTGTCAACAACAGACATCTGATTCGAGCAGTTAATTGCTATAAAATGCAGTTTTCAATTAATTTTATGAAGTGCATCGAGAATGTTACTTATATACTCGTAATTGTTGGTCATTAAAATTGTGAATATAAAACTTTAAAACATGAAAATGAAACATCGCAATCTGGCAGCATTGACATATTTTCCGTAACTCTCATTATAAAATTCCATCAATCAATATCGTGGACAAAAAGGAAGAGAATTTTTCAATGGCAATTTTCAAATGCTTGTATTTATGGATCTCACTTATTAACTGTTTCTGTTCTCCATTTCGTATTTATTTATGTTGTTTCCCATGTTACGAATTGCATCGGCCATTAAATGATTTCTCTCAATTTGCTTTATTTTTTGAAAAGATTTGAAGAAGTTATTGAAGATGGAACATTTATGTTCCAATTTAGTGAAAAAATTTTAATTTAGTTTCTTTTTTTTCTCCAAATCGTTAAAGAAAAATAAAAAATAAAATTGCGTTTAACGCACCTCGAAAGTTCCCATCGTTGAAATGTTCATTAACTAATTAAAAATTCATAGAATGATTCTTTGTCTCTTCCAAATCGAGATTTCGTTTTTAAAAACAGTGAGATGTGAAAATACTTTTTTTTATTCATTTCGAGCTCAACATTCGCAAATTATAATCAAAATCACATTCCGCATGTGTGTGGTTGAAATATTTCGTTTCCCATCGAAAGCGTTTCGACAATTTCAGAAGGACAACTTCTTTAATGAAAAGTAACTTTTTGTGTACTGTTTGCACAAGCAAACAAATCATCACCATAAATGGGGACATTTGAGATCTTCCTAATGTTAGAATTGATAATAAAAGTAACAAAGTTTTCATGGCGATCACGAGAAAAATAATTTTTAACGAAGATTTACGAATCAGATTCTTAGTATTTGAAAAAGATCGACATTGACAATTAATCACCTTAAAATTAACAGAATATAAAAGCATTTTAATGGGCTCTTAAAATCGCATTTCAAGTGTTGGAGAATCCATCAAATCAAGATAAAAAAATGGATTTCTTTACTTCCCAAAAACAAACTCTTCTTTATGGTTGATAATAGTAATAAACCGCGCACTTTGTTCTTCGATACTTTTTATGATTATATGACAAAAAAAAAGCGTTTAGGAAAGGCCACGAATTATGGAGACGCTTTTTATATTGTTTAAATAAAAAATAACAGAAAAGATCAAGCGCAGAACACACAGAAAAACAACAGCAAACCATTTTTGTTTCTCTTGCTGCTTGTCTTTCTTATTTCGTTGGAGCTCTTCAAGATTTTTTGGAGATTGATTCATACATCCGGTACGTGAATAAGACAAGAGAGAAAGAAGAAGTCATCTGTCTACAATGCATTGAAAAGTTAAGTTTTAGAAAGAAGTAAAGAAAGATTGAAGATTTTAATTGGCATTTCGTGCAACCAATTCTGTCACTCATCAACGATTGTTGAAACTTTCGTTAGTTTTCTTACAATTGCAATGAATTGAACGCAATTGCAGTCGCAATGTGACATATTTTTCAGCACTCACAACCAACAATATGTGTATGACTGCATTTCAAATCAAGTTTTTGATTTAATGGTTCTCGTGTACATACAAAACTGTCGTCATTCAATTGTGACTAATAATAATTCTTGCAAAATTTAAACTCTCTATTGTACGACATGAATATACTTCTCGATGGTAGTTGGACAACGAACAACTCATAAAAAAACTTTAAAATGAATAAAAAAATCTTTAAGATCTAATAAGTTACTTAGTCGTGTCACGTCCTCGTGGTTTATTATTAAAAGAAAAACGCAAACGTAATGAATGAAAAGGAGTGAAACAACAAACAAAATTTATTATTCGTCTACTGGTTTTTTGATAAATTTATAGCTTTTTCTACTCAAAAATGTTTTGTACATCAAATTGATGAGAACAAGGAGTAGAAAATTTTTCACCTTTTCATTTCAAAAATTTAATTTATGCGTGGGAGAAAATTATCTTATCAGATATAAATATCAACATTTTTAAAACTAAATAAAATATAAAAGTGTCGATGGTTTATTATTAAAAAACACTTTGTCTCTTCAAGTTTATTTTTGGCTTTTATTTTTCTTTTATATCGATTTCATAAGAGTCATAAAAATTCTTATTACGGTATTGTGTGATGTGTTAAATAACTGGGTGCAGTTTAACAGTTTAATGAAGCGCTTCTCTGATTTTTTTTCCTTCTTTTTTCAATAAATGTGCAAGCTTCTTTTTTATCTTTATGTGTGAGTGATTTGCTGCCTTCCATTAGACAATTTCTTATCAATCGACACAAAATCTCAATCACAATTGACGACAATGAAACAAAGAAAAGACAGCAAAAAAATATTAAATTGTTAGTTATGTTTGATGATGTTATAAAATAAATGGAATGAGCTTTCAAGATTCTTTAAACTTTAAAGAAAGTTTTTTTCCTTCCTTTGCTTTACCAATGATGTGGACAAAATACTCAGAAGAGAAGAAACATTAATTCTTTAATGAATTTTGTGTCTTTCCAGTCAGCTACCTGAATTAAGTTTTGTTTTCATGGAGAAACAAAAATATAGTTTTCTCTGCTTCTCTGATATTAAATCGTTGTTGGTAGCTGTTGGAGTTGTAAATGATGAATTATATTAAGAGAGAAAAAATCAGAAATCGTTTTACGTGATAAAATTCAAAAAAAGAATAAAAATCGTCGATTTTTAGTTGTTGTGCCCGTTTCTTAACGACATCATATTCTCATATAAACGCGAACAGAAACTTATTTAGATTATTGATGGGATTTTCTTTGTTGCCATTTTTGGGCTCTGACGAGGAGCCAGGGAGAAACCAAACCGTATAAGTTACAACTTTGAAAAATTGAAAGAATTTATCATGAACATCATCCAGGAATTTTGACGAGACTGTTGAAAATGCTTCGAAAAAGAAATATTTTGATTTTTTTTATCTTGAAGAACGAGTAAATCATACGTGAGGCATAATGGTTATTGTCAAGCTTATTAAGGATAGCAAATTCAAGCATCATGTCCATCAACAAGTTTTTGTTGTGGTCTTGTTTTATATCGATGAATGTTAAATTGAAAGTTTACAAGATCTCTACAATCCGCAAATAGCGTCATAAATGAATGCAATTCTGCGTATTCCAATTTATTCAATTTTACAAAACCAATTTCGATCTGTATCTGAATATTAAGACGGCTATCAACATTTCGAAATCGATTCATTCATTCTTTTATTCTGCAGACTGCAGACGTCTGTTAAGTGCATCAGAATCTTGAAGGGCTAATCACTTAGGACAGACATTCAGAATTAAAACGTGTTAAAATGTGGTTAAAATGTTTATAAACATATAAATGTTGTTCCAATTTATAAATAAAGTTTCTAGATAAAATAAGCAATTAAACTTATTACCTTCTACTTATTCAGGAATTAACACGTATTAACACTTTTTCACATACAATGTTTCAACATTCCTGGGTTGAGATGAAAAGTCACTTGAAAGCAAGCTTGAAAGCTACATTTTACCACACATTCATCTTATCAGTTATACTGCTTACAAATGTTTTCATATGCAACTCAGAAATTGGTTTCTGCAATTGATTTTTTATTTAAACATTTATCTTGATGCATAAATTTCAGCTTCTTTTATTCGCCATGAAGCTTGCATAACATTTTATTCTTTCTTCATAAGAATATCTTCCACTTGATGTAGTTCGAACTTCGAAGTAAAATTTATGTGTAGATATTTTAATATGCAACTTTTCATTCACTAAAAATTGAACGATTGCACAAACCGCATGTTGATTTTGAGAAACAGTTGCAGTCAGTTCTCATTTCTTTTGACGATGATGAAAAAGATGATGAAGAAGAAGTATGAAAAGAAGCAATTTCTGATTGGATAAAGTCGTGCAATTCCTGATGTTGATACACCATAAAAAGTGCCTCAAGTCGAGAGTCTGGCCAAGTCGAGATATAATGAGGATCTGACGAATTGAATGAATGCATCGAGATAAGAAAAGAGAAGTAAAAAAATAAACTTCTTCGTTCGGTTTGAAACAGAAGAACTTGAAGAGAAAAGATGTCTGATGAAAGTTTATGTTTCGCCTACAGTCACTCATAAAACACTTGCAGTTGCTCGGGATCGTAATTCATGCATGATGCGTAAATTGCACAATTCACGATCCTCCTTTAAACATTTTTATGTAGATATAGAAATTTTTCGGACTTTCAGGATTTTGTCTACTTTTTAAAATTCAAGTTCTAAGTCGATGTTGAAGATATATTTCTTCAGTAAAGAATTTAATATCCGTGTTATGAATATTAATTGTACTCACTTTCAGTACAGGAATAAATAACAATTTTTTATAAGAAGCAAAAATAAAATAAGAGAAATTTGCATAAACGTTGGAACGGTAGCTTATGGTTTTCTTTAAATATAATTTCTTTTTTATGGTTGATTTTTTCCCGCGCCGCTTGTTGAATCTTTGCGGTGGTAAAGTAAAAGATCGCGATGTTAAAAACATGAAGGTGTCATCATCAAGATCTTTCCTTGTTTCTTTTCATAAGCTTTGCCGCGCCATGTTAAAGGCCATGATGAAGTAATGTGCATAATTATATTGAAGTAAATGATGCATAAACAGATCTTTTTTTCTGTCGGCAGTTTATTTCATGTTGATTACGATTTCAGCAATTTCTTCAGTTCTATTTAAGAATCCTTTAATCCGCAATTGGCATAGGTACAAGAAACTTTTCAAAGTTTTATTAATTCGTTAGTGATTTATTGATCTCGAAAAAGAAACAGAAACTTTAAAACAAAATATTTATGACCACAAAATACATAAATTTAAATTTTAATGTTCTACCGAATGTTTTATGAGAGCTTGTGTTGAATTAATGTGTCATGCAAATAACAGAACGAGAAGCTGTAAGAGTTTCTTAACATTTTTTTGTTCTGATATTATTATTTTATTCAGTAAACAAGCAATGAAGAAGAAGTGTCAGATTGATTTTAAAACAATTCAAAATAATTCAATTGAATATGTATCACTGTCGGGTGAAAATATTTTGTAAAAATAAAAAGGAAAATTGCTGATCATTTTTTACTTTGTCACTAACAAACACGACCGTGCTGATGACCGATAAAATTTATTTTAAAACCACGATTGAAATTCTATTGACATCGAAATGAAAGTCAAATGAAATAAAAATTTGATAATCGCAGAGTTGATCTGACTTAAAAAAAGACAGAAAGAAAGACGAAAGCAACATGTTTTAAAGTCACGTTTGATGGCAATATATGTGAATGGCTTTAAATTATTCATCCTGTTTTCAAGGAGAGAAATGGAAAGAAATTTTAGAGTGAACAACAAAGATTATTTGTTTGTTAAGCATCTCCATCCTTCCATGAATATATTTCTTCAATAAATGTGCATCCTTTCTCGGAAAATTCGGTTTCCTTCATCTTCTCATATGATGCAAATCAAATTACAACATGAATGAAATTAAAACGCAACATTTCCCCTTTTAGTATGATGTATCGTCTTCTTCTATCATGAATGATATCCTTAAGTGGAGATTCAGAATATTTTGATTATTTACTCTTCGTCATTGTCTTTCCTTTCCGTCCAAGTTTCCAAGTTTCCATCCAACTAAATAATGTAAATTTCCTTTGTCTTCATTTATGTTGACTCTTTTGAACCATTTCCTTAATTGTTGTCATGATTTCGTTTGTGATTGCTTTTGAGTATATTTCGTTTATAAATAACTCTGGGACAACACTTTCATTTAAGTTATGTATCTTAAAATTGCCACAATTAAAATTGTTGGTAATTTATTTATGTATGAAATTGATATAAATTAAAATTTATATTTTATTGATGTTTCCATAATTATTGATGATTGTTAATTGTTCATATCTGAATCAGAGAAAAGGTGAGTCAACTAATAATTTCAAGGTTGAGCCACGCAACTTTGGACAATGGCTTTGGCTGTTAAATTATATCAATATTCAGAGAATCTTTCGTGTCATTACTTCACCAATTGTCAATTATTTTGTTGTAACCGGAAGCCATTTCGACTAATCAAATTAAATTTTATTTACTTTTCCGCAGATTTAATTATTGTTTTCCTTTTAAATGACACTGTCTTGGGAATGTGTAATGATCATTCGATTATGTTAAGTAATTAATCAATTTTTTTTTTCAATAAACACAGCAAACAGAAGAGTTTCAAACGAAATAATCAAACGATTTATCAAAATTAAATTAAGAAAGTTATCGATCCACTGCCTGAATGAAAATGTTAATTAAGCATGACTAACTATTCTCTCCATCTGTTATTATTGTTATTGCTTTTATGACATTTCTTCAATGATATATTCAAGTTGTGATTGTTCTCAAAAGCGCGGTTAACGCACAAATGAACTTCATGAAGTCTAATCGGCCTGTTTTGTAATATGAAAAATGTTTAGTAACACATAAAGTTATTAATAATGCTTAAGCATACGTTCACATCTACTTGATAATTTGTTAATTGAAACCGAAAAAGAAAAAAAAACTTTTCTTTAATATGCAAATCACTAGTTTTGAATAAATTTAATTCTTGTGTCGTTTTTGTGCTGTTAATAAATATGAGAAGCAAAGCGCGAGATACAAAACAATCAAAGTTAGGTATATTGAAACTTTTTTACATTTTTCTCATTAAACAAAATGTTTCTCTTTTACTCTCTTAACATGACTTAATGTATTCAAGATATGCAAAATGATTATTAAATTAATCCAAATACAATTAAGTTGAAATTAAAGTTTTGATACTTTCATCGAAGCTTTTAACTAAAAGCCGGTAGATATAGAGAAAGAAATATATTTAAATTTACATCAGTAAACAAAAATTTTAATATTTAAATTAATTCATAAAGCTCGCGCGGTGGCATGTACGATATTAACAAGTGTGTTATTAAACAATATTAATTAACTTTTTTTGTTGTTTTCTCATTTGCTTATTTCTTTCATGAATGAGAAATTATTCAGATTCAGAAGAGATTATGATGATGAGGTCGTTGTATGTCAGTTTTGAATGAATTCATTCGGATTTTAGCATCGATGAAATGGTAATTAAAGCAATTAACATTGTCACTTACTGAGGGTAGAGTGTTAATTAAACAAGTGTAACTTTGATTGATTTTGAAATCAAAATTGTTCAAAGGATATTTCAAATTATACACTCACACATTGAAAAACGTTGGAAGTTGAAAGGGATTTATTGGAAAGAAAGTTCTTTATACCGCTGACAGTGCACTCTCGCGGATATGTTTTAAATATCCTTTGGAAAGGAAAATTATGCTGCAGTTAGTAAAAACTTTTTTAAAAAGTTCATCAAAATAATTTTTCTTTGTTGAAAATAAATGTAATCATTAATTTGTGATATTAAATGAAGCTGAAACAAAGAAAATCCTTTTTCCTTCAGAAAGATTTCTCTTGGAACTGTTAAATATTTTTTGCTTAGCAAAAGCAATAAAAAGAAGCTAATTATACTACCTACCTTAGTCTTAAAATCTAATCATTAAAGATCAACAAAGGTTGACATAAAACAACAAGGATGCATGGGAAACTTAGAATATTACCCGAGAAACCTTCATAAACATCATGTGACTGGCGTCTTCTGGTTTTTCCAATGAGTTGTAAGAACTCAGTTGTTGACGCTCAGCTTTTTCCTCTCTTTCTTGTGTTCCGATATTCTCTGAAAAAAATATATTTTGTGCCGTCGGTTAAAACAACAACGGATGGGTTTATGACACAAGAAGAAATCTCCGTTCAGCAACTTTCATCATGAAAACATTAAGTCAGATGTTTTCATGATCCCAGTGAGTATCATTGTAGAGTTTATTGATTTTCGCCACGATATTCATGCGATGACGATTATGCTATACATAGAGTCGTTTTGCATTAAAAATTCTAATCGCATTCATCGTAGATACACAAGAACATTTTACACATCATATGGACGAGTTCAATGAAGGGTGAGGTCTTGTGTGGGTGGAAAGGAACTCTGCTTTCATTCTTTCTTTCTTGCGTAATGTGATTCACAAAAATGTAAATATAACGGTAATGCATTGCAAAACAAAATCAGCATGTTTGTTCATAGTTTTGAAATAATTTTTGTTAAACAAAAAATGAAAATTTGCTTCAGTCAAATCCTGCTAAACTTTTTCAATGAACATGGAAAAAACCTTTAAATCCTTTTTTCATGACCATGTATCGTTACCAGAATCCGGAATTTCCTATCTTTTTACTTGCACACCAACTGAAAAAATTGAAGACGACAAGCAAATGCATATCTTGAATATGAAATTTTCTTGTCTTTCTAATGGCAATGAAATATTTTCAACCCCAAAAAAATTCCATTTTCAAGGTTGGAACAGATAAGCATTTTCTCTTTCACAGCTCGCATTTTAAGTTGGGAATTTGTTGGTGTCAATGTAAAATTCTGCGTTGCTCATGAGAGTTGAATTTAAATGCAACACGAATGTTTACTTACTTGTTTAGTGAAGTTATCTATGCCTGTCTGAATCAAAGTCCTTTCACTCGTTGTTAAATTTTACAACATAAAATTATCCTTTGATATGATAATGAAAATTATTTAAATAAGTTAAAGTCAATCATAAAAGCCGACTCATCAATTGACAGCCCACCATGAACATGGCTCTGTGGTGTATTCATTCTTTCCATAGCTTCAGTTCTTTGTCATGATATGTAATTATGCACCCCTTGTTTTGACTTTGACGTCATCAGTCGCTTTGATTTTAATGCCAGCAAAAAAACAGAGATTTCAATACGCGAACGATATTCTGATGAACCCTTACTGTATGAAATGAAAGCATAAAAAAAGATATCTATATTAATTATATCTTTCCTTATTTCGTCACAAGATCTGACGCTACAAACCCAAATATTATGGAAATTAATTTGAACTTGTGCTGATGCTGAATATATGTTGCCGCTGCATAACATTATGCTGCCGAGACAATGTTGCAAAATAAGACCATGTTGATGGAATGAGGTAGAAGAGACAGAATGGCTGCGTTGGTTGTTAGGTCGATGGACGGGACTTAATAATTAGCATAAAAATTATCACAGCACCGCAATTTCTCTTTGCGGAATTTTTGACCCAGTGATAAATGCAAAGGAAAAGAACGTTGATGAAATGGAAGGTTGGTTATTAATTGAAAAACCGTAAAGATTTAAAAACAATTTTGTATCATAAAGGAAGATATTTCCATAAAACCAAAACAAGAAAGGGTCTTAAAGCAATTTTGCTTTGTCTCATATTTTTTTCCTGCAGGTCAGAAATTTGTTTATTCTTCTAAACATTTAACTAGAAATTCCACCATAAGCGTAACATCTGGTGAAGATCTTCAAGAAATTCCCTTTGCAGCAAAAAACTTGAGTCGCGTGGACAAAAAGGTCGCTTTAATTTATATTTGCTTATGACGAGCTAAACATTGAGACGCATCATCCCTTAAGATGTTGTGTCTTGTGTTTAAGATTCATCTAAAATAAACTTCTTATGATAATCGACATCGATGGATGTCTATAATTAACATAATGTAATCTTTTGTGCATTCGAAAAGTGGGATAATATATTATTTAAATTGTTAATTTTTTGTGGCGTTTCAGATAATGCAGCAGTAGCAGAGTGAAAGGATCTTCAGAATTTATAAATTATTAATTAATCTGCCACCTTTGCTTATTTACCTTTAGTGACCAAAATGCAATCAGAAGGACAAACAAACCGCTACTGTATGTAAGAATAAAGAAATTTTTTAAAGAACTTGAATCACGTTTAATTGAATTAAATATTCAAGCAACATTTTATATCGACGAATGTCTAATCACAGCATCAAAGGTTTCTACCAGCGGAAGCACACGACGTTCTTTGCCCACTCCCTAAATAATTTGTTCGAGATTCTAACAAGCTTCAATTCAACCGCTGAGGTACTCTTTTAACTTAATTAATAATTAATGTGATGTTTGAATTATAAATAACACGATTATGATATTTAATTTCGGTCTTATCCGAAGACGTTTCAACGTGATTGTGAGCTTCTCGGAGATTATTGTCAAAGTGGTTAAATGATGGACTACTTTAAAGGAGATTCAGCGAATGATTTTTCGTGTTTTTCTCTTCTTCTGTAATGCGCTTCTTTAAAGATGCCGTGTGATGTTTTATGTTAATTAAATACGCGGCCAGAAAATATTTATTTCTCTCTCCTTGATTACTGTTGAATGAAGTTTTATGTTAATTAGATTTTTTTTTGTTTTTGATAGAAATTGAAAAAAAAAGGTTGACCGTTTGACTTTTTTAGGTTTGGAAGAGTTTTGTCGACTTCGCTTTGATGCCACCACTGACTACCTGGTGTTATCAGAAAATAACTTTCTGTCCACTTTTTTTCGCTTCATAAATAAAATCTGTGTCAATATATACACATTAGAACAATATTTTATTATCTCTAAATTTAACAACGATGAAATAAAATAACTTCGGCATTTTGTCACTTAAAGTGGCTCCAAAATTGTGTAGGAAGTTGAAGTCTAGGCTAAAATAATCTGAATATTACAAAGTATAACAAAAAGCAAAAAGAGTTGTCATCTAAATCTGAACTTTACTTGCAAAACAAACTTTTCTTCTTACCTCTAATGATTATTTTATTGGAACTGAAGAGAAAATGTATGACAATGTTGACTTTTCTGTATCTAAATACTTCAATAACATCGCACAATGGCACTACAAACGAATATTTTCTGCTCAAGAACTTCATTAAAATGAATGCGAGGAAAATCTCTTTGAAGGAAAACCATCAAAGAAACGTTGAAATTGACTGAAGTTTCCTTTCTAATGATGACAAAAGTTGGGAAACACTTGAAAAGAAGAAAACACTCGAGAAAAAGAATATCAAAGAGAGCGCTGCTGTAAAAAATATTTTTTGCATATCAACACGCCATATCATATTGAAAATGAATGCTCTTGAAAGACACAAACATGCGCAATATGCAGCGGAAAATTTTATTTTTCCACGTGAAAACTCTCTGAAAACGAGCTCAATGTTGCTGGCAGTCAACAATCGAAACAATGAATAAAACACAAAACACACAAAGCAATGGGAGGAGCTTCGTTTATAGCCAACCAACGGTATAGAAGGAGAAGGGAGATATCGTCAAGCTTCTTAACAGAGACTGTATGAGAGGACTGGTTTTTTTTTCAATTTTTTTTCTTTTCATCTGCTGCTTGGTGTGTGAAGTGCGGTCTCGAGACTTGTATTTTCAGTTCGTTCACAAATATCGAAGCGCTTACACGTAATGTTGATATTGTGCGTATTTATTGTTTTTTGAAGAAGTAAAAAAAAAATTTTCTACAAGATCAGTACAAGACAAGATAAAATAAATACAAGAGAGAAAAAGTTGTTTGATTTCACTCTTGAGTTTGATTTTCTTATTCTGAGTAAAATATTTGCTTGTCGCGACATCGAAACGATTGATAATTAACGTTCAATTATTGAAATACCGCGTAACGCGATAGTGCGAAATAAAGACTTGAAAACTCAATGAAAACATTTTAATTTCATTTATGGATAATAATAAGAATTGTGAAATGATTTTGATAAACGTACCTGAGATCAATGAATTGACAGAAAAAAACACAAATTGATGAAAAGTTACCACAAAAGGAATAATAATAAATCTCAAATGTTATTTTAAGTGTCCAATCTCATATTGACATTTGAGTAATAATTTTTCTGGTGAAATTTGATACAAACATCCAATGAATTGTTTTTCATCGAATTCATGCAGCTTCAAAAACAAAAGTATCACACAGTGACAGAAAAAAAGACAAGATTATCCAAACATCGGTACAGAAGTTATATTTTAAAATTATATAATTCTAAAGGTATCGTCTTCGCGGTGTGAATTGTAAAACTTAAATTCACGCTAAAAACGAAGTTAAAAAAAAGTCGAGACATTAAAAAAATCTTTTATAAAGAAATAATAAAGGACTCGAAACAAAATTGATGATTTGATATCAGCAAGACAGTGTGTGGTGCAAAAAAAACCTGAAAAAAGAAAGAAGTGATTGATCGAGACTTTTTCTTTTGGTGTTCGTCTTTCATCGAAAAGAATTTTGTATCTGCTCGCTGCTTGTTCCTTATAACATTCAAATTTTTATTCAACAAGAAAAAACGAGAACAGAAAATTATTGCGTTTGAGAAAAAACAAAAACATATTGACAACAAGAAATTAATTCTGTTTGACTTTGGTTAAACATTAAATTCACAGAAAGGGGCGACCCAATGCAGTGAGAAAACAGTTTAATCATAAATTGGTGTCGATACTACAATCAATCCGGTTATTTTTTTTTCTTCTTCGATTTATAAAAACACGTCTTTTCTTTTGACGTGTTGAGGATTATTGAAATAAATATATTAGTCTCGAAGAGGTTGCAGCAAATTCAGTGAAGATCAAACGAATTTACAGAAGCTGAAAGGAAAAGAAAGAATAAAAATCATTGCGATAAATGTTGCAGTGGTTTCCTTAAGATAGGAAAACTGAGCCCAAATTTGGAGCCCTACCCCGCTTCAAGCGTGGACGGGCTACACAGCCCTCGAGGTGTGGGCATGGCCGCCACGACATATATGACCTCATCGGGTGACTTAGACATGGCATTGGGTGGTGGATATCACACGTCTTCACCACGAAGTGCTGCCGATGCCAATGAAATGAAATATATGCAACATCATCACACCAATCACCATCATGTGCCCTCCAGCCCAAGCCCTAATCCAGCCGGATTAGGTTCCGTGACAGGGGGATTGGGTGGAGTTGGTGGAAACCCTTGGGCCGCTCTTCAACCATCTGATCCATGGGCCCTTCATTCTCATCATACTCATCACACCCATCATCCAGCAGATGTTAAACAAGAAATGCACTCCTTAGCCCAACAAGCGCGAACACAACAGGGAATGGCATCACCTCATGCTTGGCATGCACCAGTTCATGCTGCAGCTCATTATGCTCCATCTGCTGGTTCACCTTTACAATATCATCATGCAATGAATGGTATGTTACACCATCCAGCACATCCACATCATCAAGCTTCAGCGCCTTTACATCATGCCCTGAGAGGTGAATCACCACAATTGCACTTACACCCTCACCATTTACAAGGCGATCGCGATGTCAGTGCAGGTGAAGAAGATACACCAACCTCTGATGATCTAGAAGCGTTTGCGAAACAATTTAAACAGCGAAGAATTAAATTAGGTTTCACACAAGCTGATGTCGGTTTAGCACTCGGCACACTCTACGGTAATGTGTTTTCGCAAACAACGATTTGTCGATTTGAGGCTTTACAATTAAGTTTTAAAAATATGTGTAAGCTCAAGCCGCTCCTTCAAAAGTGGCTCGAAGAGGCTGATTCAACGACCGGGTCACCAACAAGTATCGACAAAATAGCGGCACAAGGGCGAAAACGAAAAAAACGTACCAGCATTGAAGTATCAGTAAAGGGCGCCCTCGAAACACATTTTCATAAACAACCAAAACCGTCGGCTCAAGAAATTTCTTCACTAGCTGATTCTTTGCAATTAGAGAAGGAAGTTGTGCGTGTGTGGTTCTGTAATCGCAGGCAAAAAGAAAAACGAATGACACCACCAAATACAATGGGAGGTGAAATGATGGATGGCATGCCTCCTGGACATATGGGCCATCCAGGACATGGTGGATACCATCCCCATCATGATATGCATGGAAGTCCCATGGGAACACACCACAGTCATAGTCATTCACCACCAATGTTGAGTCCACAAATGTCTCAAGGCGGTGGGGGACATCAACTTACGGCCCACTAGCAATCAGAGCACCAGGAGTCCACAACCCCACTCCTACATCACTCTAACCCGCATACCCATACGTCTTCAATAATTAATACCTCAGCAGCTCAATCATCGGCCCTCAATTCGCCGACGTCGTCATCAATGTCTGGTATGTACATTGATCCACGACATCCATCTATACAGCAGCAGCAACTTCATGCGAGACGTATTTTTCAAGAGTGGACTTTGCAGTTTGGTCCAACAGGTCCATCTGCGCCTGGTGCAAGATATTTAAATTAAAATCAACTAAATCCCAAGTTGATGAAAAAATTATTTTAATCAAATATGAATGAAAAAAAGAAGTGAAAAGATGATGAAAAAATTGAAAAGTGATGATGTAAATACATAAGAAAGGCGAAGGCAAATTTAAAACTAAAGATTCAAAATAGAATAAAAAATCTAGATAGAATTTAATGAGTTCTAGTGATATATGATGAAGAAAAGAAAAAAGAATGATAAACAAAATATTAAATAAAATTGTGAAAATCGCGCAAAAATTCCAATTATAAAATGCAAAAAATGAAGAAAAAAAATTGAAATATGATAATTAAGGTAAATGAATTAATATTAAAGCACAGAACACACACAAAATGAAATAAAATGTAAGTATTTTTAAAGATGAAAACGAAAGACAAATTCAATGAACATAAGAACAAGAAATATTCAATTAAGTTTCTTATATAAAAAAAAAAGAAAAACAAAAATATATTATCAAGTAATTAAAAATAATTGTCGTTTTTAAGTTCAATTTAAATTACCTAAAGTTGGAAGAAATTTTAAAATTTATTATCAATCTCATTTTCGTGTTATCTAGAAACTTAACATTTTTTTTTTGTTTTATTTCGAAAATTGATTAGCTATGGAAGAAAATTTAATTTTCTAATGAAATATTCTAGGACAATTATTTTATTATGATTTTTAATTCTTAATTTTTCTACACAAATACACAAAAAATACTGCATCATGTGAGAATATGAACTTAAAACTCTTATAATCTTTAATGGAAAAATTGTATACTATAAATGAAAATCAAATACGAACTTAATTAGTTTTAACATGCAATTCTGTTAATTTAATGAAATAAAAAGATTTTTCAATTTTACCAATACAATAGACAAAGCAAATGAATCTTTTTCCGTTTATAGTTTTCATTACACGAAATTAATTCACGAGTCATAAGTAGTAATCTAAAACTCTTCTTTTTTTTGGCTTTCTGTCAATATAAGAAAAGTTATTTCATTTTTTTTTGTTTTGTTTATGTACAAACATCATTATACGAAATTCAAATGTTGAATTGAAACAAAGGAAACTAAAATTAAAGAAATGTGTCCATTTGTATAACGACGACCTCCCCAAAATTTTTTGTGAAGACGATACAAGTTTTTAATCCACGACGAAAAGAAACAAAACCTTTTAAGAGTAATGAATCCTATAAACTTTTATTTAAATATTTGTACATAGATTGAATGATAGACAAAAATAAAGAAGAAAAGAAACCACACACAAGAGTTAAAGAAAACATAATTAAGAATAAGTTAATCAACTGTTTCATGGTGACAGAAGTTTTTTTCTTTTTTCTTTCAAAAGCAACAAGAAAACTTTCAGTGAATTTATAGCTAATTAATTAATTCTTTCATTTTTCTCCTTGCCTCTATCGCCATGAAAACGACATGAAGAAGAAAGAGAAAAAAATAAGTTAAAGACATGCAAAAAAGTGTACGAAATTATTAAAAGGTAGAAGCGAAAAAACAAAAAAATCAACATGAATCTTTTAAATGGATTAAAAAGAATAAAAAGTTAAACTTTTTTGAAATCTTAGGTGTTCTTATTGATTTTTGATAAGCTTTTAATTTTGATGAAAATGCTACAAATCCGTACTTTTGATACACGATGAAATAAGAATAAAAATTGTATGATAAAGCATGACACTCAACTTTTTATTTGTGGTTACTAAAAAAACGATTAGCAAAAAATATCGATTACAAAATTTCACAAAATTTAAAGGAAAATTTGATAAGAAAACGCTTTTAATTTACGACATGTCATCTTCATCCTTCTTTAGACAAAAATATTAAAAAAAGAAACTTTAACTCTATGAACAGAAGAAAGAAGAAAGAAACACAAAAGACTGCTCGTTTGCATCTAGTTTCGTCTATGAAAATTGAGATAAAAAAGATCAAATGGTAAAAACACTGATTTGAAAAGAAGTTTAATATGTGCTTAATCAAAACAAACAAGTTGTCGACATTGAAAAATATTTGCATAATATTTGTGTGTGTACGTCAACAGTGTAAAAGAAAAAAAAACATTGAAAACAAAATCCGTCGGTTTCAACATTAAACGAGCTTTTATGTCGATCAAACGTTTAAAGATATTAAGTCACAATATTTTTATCATTTGAATCTTATGAGTTTTCTATTCACCTTTTTGAATATTGAAAGAAATTCTTTGAATTTTACTGAAATTTTATTTGTTTCAACTTTAATTGTTTCACGTTAGTTTCATGTATGAAGAAAATGAATGAAGTACATGCAGGTCCCCTAAAAAGCTTTTGTAACTGTTTGAACTAAATTGCGAATGTTTCAACTTCCGTAAAGATTGATGATTCAAACAGTTACAGGAACTTCCTGCATGACGCATAACAAACATTAATGTTCTCGAAACAGTAAAAAAAAACAGAATAAAAGAAACTTAATGAAATCGCACAGACCACAATTGCTGTCACCAATAAATTATTTGTTTTTTGAAAGTTAAATAATTGTAGTAAAGGTAATAAATATACTTAAAAAATAAAAAAAACCAAGTCGTTTAGATTTGAAACTGAAAAGAAAAATATATTTTGAGTTAGTGTTTTTATTGGCGGTATGAAATTTGACAACTATGCAAAAAAATTTTGTTTTTATCCATGCTTCGTTCGCACTTTATTTGAAACCTCTTTTTTTTTTAAGATCCTCTAGAAGAATTCCCGTGAAAGTGTTTCTGACATTCTTCGAAAACTATTTTTCAATTTTTACAAAATTGTTGAATGGAGTTTTTTTTATTTCAAGTTCTCATCGTTTCTTGCTCTCTTCCCTTATGCCCGGCAACAGCAGTAAAAAAAGTTTTGTCTCCTCGCACACAAAAAAATATGATGGAAAATGGCAAAAATATGTGCGGTTGGCATAGTGACGTTCGTACTCCACCGTAATGTATTTCAAATGATTGTAAACATTCTCCGGCATCGCACACAGCGATGGCGAGGAAAACTTTTTTCTTTCTTTCACTGTCAGCACGGAAAATGGGGGGAAATGCACAAACACATTCAAATCAATTTTTTATGTTTTTCTTTCTACATGAATGAAACATTTAGAAGAAAAGTGCACTTTCTATAGAAGCTTTTTATTCGTAGATCATTTTTTTTATTTAAGCCAAAAAAAAATGTGCTCAACAGTCATAATTTTCATCCACTCAATTTTGTTTTTGTTGCCGACTCTAACTTTGATTTGATTTCTTTCTTTTTTTTTCGGGGGCTTCAAAAGGAAAGCTTGAAAAGGAAAATAAAAAGAATGAAAAAAAGTGTGGGGGGGCGGAAAAGACAATTTGTTTCAGAAGAGACGAATATAAACAACATCAAGAAGGAATAAAGAAGGATTTTTAGCATAAATTCTAAAGCGAGAAAAAATCAATAATTTTAAATTTCCCTCTCGACTTCGGCGAGAGAGAGAGAGAGGGAAAGAGTGAGAGAGGTAGGGAGAACTGATGATGATGACGATGATTCTGTATGTGGAATAATGTCAAGGAAGCGCTTTGTGATGAATTTTAAATATCGCTTTCACATGGTTTAGTTTTTTTTATTTAACAACAAGAGAAATCGTCGCTTCTCGTCGAGCTTTAAAGGACGAGAAAATGTGTATTTGTATGCCAGACAAAATTCATGGTGAACTCATCAACATTCAGAAAAGTTTTTCGAAAGCTCGCTGAACATGCATCACTGTCATTACTTTAATCATTTTTTTAACGCCATTTTAATGACTTCTCACCAGCTACCGCTCTTTACATTTTATTATGATATTGCTTCGCATTCTGCAAGCCTCCAACTTAACTCCAATCTTGAATCGATTGTCGAGCCATTATCAGCAGCAAATGGTAATGAAAAAGATCGGCGTTTATCGTCGTTTACATGAAAGCTACTTCAAGTAGCTTCACAAGTTGCCCGACGCGAGATTTTATTGTGCGAAAAGGAAAATTAATTAAATTGAAAACGTTTTTTATTATTTCGCCGTCTCCTTTACTTGTATTTTATATTTTTATTGCTTCTTTATTATTCTTCATCTTACGATTCACTCTATGCACTTGAAGTGGTGCTATAATCATCAGTCACTACTTCTTCTCAAGAGTCACACAATTTTTATTTCATTTCTTTTTCAGTTTCATCTTCATCACAATATTCTGTTTTTTTTCTTCAAAATCAAATTAATTTTATTTTCAATTACGCTTTACTAATAGTCGAGACATGAGAGGTCTTGAGGTTTGCTTCTCTCAACTACTGTTGTTAACTACGTCATCTTGATGAGACGTTTATAGTTGGTTCACTTGAAAGTGAGACGAGCCAAAGTGTGAAGTTCATATTCTCGATAAATTATTCCACCAGAAGTGCTGCTCTTCACAACAATCTTCTAAATATTTTTTTTATTTTACTTTACTTTCAATGATTCTATAAAAAATCGAAGCATAAACATGAGCAACATTCCATCCCAAAATGATTTAATTCAGTGCCCAGGCAGCACTTTGAAAAAGTTTCGAATCTTTTGTTTTTATTATTCTCGCTGCAAGCCTCGAAAATATTCTTTTCTCTTCTCTGGGTCTGTCTATAAAGTTTTACAATCACGTCAGACGATTGTCTTGAAGTTTTTGGTTTATTTTTGATGGCAGCAGAACAATCGTTAAAATGATTCTTTGTTTCACTAGTGTTGTTGCTTGTGTAAACGGTGGTGGTGAGAAGGAATCATTCAAAATTCAATTTGAAGTTTAGCATGAAGAAAAGTTGATCTCGAGGTCGACAGAAATATTTAATTACTTCCATGACTGCACCACTAGGTTAATACATTTCCCTTTCATTTCCCCTTTGATAGTCAGGCTTTCAATTTTAAAGTTTTTATTCAAATATGCTTGACATCGTATTTCCTGGAATGGAATCTTTGACATTGAATTGAAAATCACAATTTTCTGTTCCAAAACTCACTGCAAAGCAAAAACATCGACAAAGTTAAACGTGAAAAAAAAATTCTCAACTCACCAAGCAAATTAAATTCATTTTTTAACGATTAATTAACGTTTACGATAAAGAAGGCTTTCGAATTAAGAATTTTTCTCTTTTTCTTCCTTCTACTTGAACAACTGCTTTTTTGGTTGGGCTTTGAAATGAGAATGAAAATAATAAAAATCGCTCTTAATATGACTTAATCAGTTCTTTGAAATCATCAAAACATTGTCTTGCACTCACTCTCAATGGATGTGGACTTCAGGTAGTTGGTGGATCATGTCATTTACTTGCTGCTTGCTTTTAACATATTTTGTATTTAATTCCCTCAAACTGTTTTCGCTTTTTAGACGTTTTCCCTTGTCGCTGTTAAGCTGCAAAGCGACAGTCAGTTAGTAACGGTTATTTGAAATCAAAGACAAAGCAAATTGTGTGCTCAACTAAATAAAGCATGGACTGGGCATGAGTGGAACGTCGAAGTCTTGATAAGTGATCGTATAATGGTCAAGAATTTGACGTGTAGGAATGAAAACACAAACCGGAAAGCCTGCGACCATAATCTTACAAAGATTGTTGCTGTTGCTCGCAAACGTCTCAAATATAATTTAGTTTGAATGAATTAAATGAAGACAAAAACTGCAACTGATCAAGTTTGTCGAGCATTGGATTTAAGAACTTCTTTCTTCTCCTTTTCAAAAATATTCCGAGCATCAATGAAAATATTTCAAAAGTTCGCAATGTTTGCAACAACATTCAAAATTACTACCAGCCTCGAATCAGTCGCAATGTTGTGAAGAAAGGAAAAGGTAAAAAAGTGAACAGCGAAACCGTCGGAAATTCTTGTTTATTTTATTTGTTATTATCTCTTTTCTTCATTATGAATATCTAAAGTTATTCTTTTTATTTCTTTATATATTTTATACATTTTATCTCTTCTCCCCAAAAAGTGAAGCTAAATACATGAAAAGTCAGATAAAACTGGCGAGAGTAAGAGAGATGGAACGAAAAATGTTGTAATTTTGTGTAGGTGTTTTTTTAATTAATTTTTTTTTTCAGCCAGATGAATGAAGAAGAAGTGAAGAAGAATTAAACGTGAGCAATTTGAAGTTTTTTTTTCTTTTGTTCTTCATAATCCAAAACAAAGAAAAAAAATGATTAAATATGAGAGAAGGAATTTGCATTTATCTTCAGCGTAGCGTGCGCAAAACACTGAGAATGAAACATTTTTGATCGATAGTCAGGAGTAGTTTAATTTGATTAAGATGTGTTGGACAGAGAAATATTTGAGATTCTTTTGAATCAGCTTAGAATCTTGCAGGAGTTTTTAGCAAATTTAAATAACACCAAAAATTATTCATGGCATTAAGTAAAAGGAGAATTTTTATTGATCGTTTATCTTTCACTGTCTACACTATATTTAACAAATTATGAAATGAGATGTTTATGCAGTTCGATTGATACCCGATGTTAAACATTTAAATCGCTATTCATCTGATTATTCACTTGCAATCAAATTTTTTATTTTCTTTCTTTTTAAATCCCACAAATCTAAAGCTGTTGAAGAGTCAGGTCCAAAAGTAAGAGAGAAGGAGAGAACTCATAAAAATCTAAAATCGCTTATGAAACATTAATGTGATTATTTTTGTTCAGAACTTTGAGTTTGCTGCAGGCTATAAAAACGTTTCTGTCTGGTAATGTTGGCCTTCCTTCAATATTTTTGCATCTTCTACATTCACTTCCTTCCTTGCATGAAGATAAAAATTCTTTAGTCTCGCTCAAGAATTTTATGAATGTTAATAAAAATAGATCTTTTTGCACTCAATGTTGGCGAGATAATTACGGTAACTACTCTAACATTTCTAAATATCCAAACAACAACACGTGGTTGTAATTACGTTCAAATTTATTTTCAAAAGTTTAGAATCATGTTCAAGGAAATTTTTCTATTTAATGATTTCAGCTCTTTATCATCGATAATTGGCACGAGAAAGCTTCGCTAATGTCTTATTAACATGTCGGTAATTAGCGGTTGAAAGGCGCAAGCTATTGTAATCGTTAACTTCGAGGAACTTTAACGCTTTTTTTTGTCTTGTCTTCTCTCACACTCGCAAATGTTTTTATAAAAGTTACGAAAATCTTTTCGTAAACAACGTGTGCCAAGTAAGTCTAAAAAACCTTTTCAATAATGAACAAATATCGAAGAAGCAATTCTCGCTGTCAGCAAATGCAATTTATTGTTGGATTTATGTCAAAAGATTATTGAAACCGAAAACCAACAAAAAAATTCGAAGCTTTTCCATGATTCATAATGGAATCTTCAACCGAAATCCGATCTGTGGAAATGTTCTTTTGCAAGTTTTCTATTTTTATGATTATTACATATTCATCGATTTTAAGCACTTTTTATTGAGTCTCAGAATACTTTTCCAAAATAAAGCTGCCAAAAACCTTTCTCTTGTTATTTTTTGAATGTCAACTTCTTTCTTTCAGAGTGAGAAGGAAGCTCAAGCAGTGCAGGTTTGAAATCATCACATCAATCAAATAAATATTTGTACATAGCATTCCTTTTTCGTGGGGTATTATTTCTATACAGCACAGTAAAGGCACAGCAGAGAATAAAAAAAAAAAAAGAATTACAAGACACAAGCATTTTTGTGTGCCACGAAAAGAGATTTTTTTTATTTTCATGTTTGTTTTAACCTAAAGCTAGCAGCTAAATAACAACATTTCCATTGTTTTCGCGCGCAGTGTCTGATGCGTGGGTGTCAATTGACTGAGGTTTTTTCATGTAAGCAAAGTGAGTTGCTTTAAACTTCACAAAAAGTATCATTTATATACACACGACTGTGCTTATTGCCTTCGAACATTTTTTCTCGACGACCGTCGACGTCATAACTTGCTTATGACAGCCAACAACGACAGTCTATTTATTGTTTTAATTAAGATAAAGTAAGTTACGTTAAACGTTTACTCAAAGTAATTGTTGATCGTCATTAAAGGCAATTTCAGATGTTGTTTCTATTCAATCAACTTTTTTTTCTACACGCTAAGTCATCGCTAGAATTCTTAGCTTTGTAGCTTTTTTAAGGTAAGTCTCTCTTTCTTTTATTATATATTTATATTAGGAATTTGTTTCCATCATCTGAATAACCTTGACAATAGAGAAAAATAGAATGAAAAATGAGTTGCATTAAAGAAATATTTCCTTTTTATTTATGTACTAAAAATATTCATACGAGAGATGACTTTGAAACTGCAAGTGAATTTCTCGATTGCAAAACATGCTTATGCACTATTACGAGAGTGTTTTGGTTCATAAATAAAGTCTGAGTTGTAAATCTTTCAACTCAACTTCGATTTGTGTTTCTCGCTTTCAAGACGATTGATTTTTTTTTTTTTTTTTGATAAACATCTCGTCCACTCGCGCCAAGCTCAACTGTTAATGCAGCATTGCCATTAGATGCATGCAAGTTTGCTTGTTTCACGTCAGCTTTTGACCTTGAAATATTACAAAAGTAAATAAATATTAGAGGTAAAAAAATCACGGCTCGACACATTATTTATTAATATAACTACAAAGCTTCTAATGTGTTTGAAATGAAAGAGTCACTTGCGATTATTCCTTACTAAGTTCTCAGTTTATAACAAGCAATCAACCTACATTCTTCATGTGTTTCTCTGTTGCTGTTTACACGACCAGACAGCGCTTGAGTGCTTAGAGGAAATTTTTAAAGAAAAACTTTTTGTTATAAACAAAGACAAAGCTCAAGTTTTGCATATCTGGAACTGAATTCAAACCTTAACATGACCTAAATGTCTGGCAACAACATTCAATTATTTAGATAAAAAGCTTTATTGTGTCTTCCCTCCAAAGACAAAAGATATTTATGTCAATTGAATCGTAAAGCTTTTTCCTTCACACTGGGGAATAAATTTTTTTTTTTGCTTTCGATCATCGTTGTCTGTTCAACGTTTTTCTTTCAGCAGGAAAATAAAATAAAATAACAGAAATATAAAAGTCGCAATACAAAATGTCATAAGCAAAAAGTAGCGATTGAATTTTGCAATAAATAATATATCAATAAGCCAACATTCTAGCAAACGAAACTTGTTTTAAGGTCCCAATTCTGTCGTTGTCGCTGTCGTCATGTATGCGTGAGTTTTTATTTCTTTGCAGCTGCATTACTTAAAAGCACAGCGACTTATTGGATATATTGTAATCAAACGCGAACATTTTTGCTTTATTTTGGATGTTACGTGAAATAAAAATCGAAAGATTAGTAATAAGATTACGATAACAAACTTTATTCATTCACTGAACGATGCCGTGGATTTTCTTTCTCTTGTTGTTATTCTCCACGATGTTAAATTGGTAGTAAAGTTACCATTAGCAGTATTATCGTTTCAACGAACATATCGATATGTTTCTTTATAGATGCAATAAATATTATTGCACTCTCGCTTCAGGCAAATTTTTAAGACATCGCTAAGATGAGAGAAGGAGAAGCCAAAGTCAGACGATGCACGTTTACTTGCTTCGACCCCATTCAATAATAAATGAGTGACGACAAAACAAATTATTTTATGCAATTAATAATTATACACCATTCGTTTTCTGTTGCAAAGATTCGTAAGATGTCTTCAGAGAAAAATTATGATAAATGTTAAGATTGTATAAATGAATGACAACAACAATAAACTCCACGAGCGTGAATATTTAGTCTCATCATAATGCATATAATTTTAAACAATTTAAGACTTTTCTCTCATTCTGTTGTTCAAATTTTGCGTCTCTTTGTTTCTTCATTTTTGCGGGTGAAACTTTACGGGATATTTCCAAATCAAACATTCAATGATCTCGAATAAGCTTGTATGATGGATGAAGAAAGGAAGGATTGGTTAAACGAAACTATAATTATTTATTGTCTAGTGCAGACTTGTTGTGTTCGACAAAACATCACCGATAGGCATTCCCTCGATTATCCACCTTTTTTCGTCTAATCTCAAAAGTCGCTTGCACAAGACGCATTTACAAGTCTTTTAATGTTTATTGAGACAGACAAAGCCTTACGCATTCTGTTTCCTTCAATTTCGTGAACGTGGATAAATGACCTGAAGGTAGATTTCTGAGATAAAAATGAAATCAAGATGCAGATCATGCTAAAAGTGTAGAACTTTTGTCGATGCCATATCCTCAGGTGCAGTTTCTTTAATGTGTAATGCAATGTGTAATGAACGACAATTGTAATGCATTTTTATTGGCGTAAATTAAACACTTTTAAGCGAGCCACCAAAACGTTTTTCCGCATCATTAACATATTGATCTTTGATGGTTAATTTAATTGAGAAAGAGACGATGATTGAACATCATGAGGAAAGCCTTTGATTAATGCATTTTACATTGAATTGACTGAATTGATTGAATGAATGCTTTTAAAAAACTATAAATCCGACAATGAAAGAGTAGAAACAGACGATACAATGTTTTTCGACTGAACTGCAATCGAAGCTAATAAAATTAAAGTGCATTTACAGCTTTGCACTTTTATATGCGCCTCGAGAACTTTTTTGTTGATTTCATTTCCAAAAATGTGTGCCCAAAGCGCAGTACTTACAACAAACTTTCATAAAATGTGAGTTTTGCATAAAATCAACATTCATTTCATTTTAATGTATTTTATATTCCTGATTTTTTCTCTCTCCTGTATTCCTGAAAAAATATTTTCGTTGTTACTTTTTATATTTCTCTGCCGAATATTTATAACAACATCTGAACTATTTAATTTATTGCAATATTCGGTGAGCTTTTTCGAGTTTGTAATGGTTTTTTATTTCGGTAGCTGTCGAATATTGGTGGTACATGGCAGAGTAATGATTTATTCGATTTTGAAGCGAATTTCTTTATGACGTGACTTCCAAACATTTGGCTGTACCTCATAAAAATCACAATTTCAGACACTTCTCATCGACAATTCTCTTCCTTTAGGTTCTTTGTGCCTGATTTCGATGCATTTTGTCTGCATTGAAATAATTTTCAATCTGAATTGCATCAAACAAACTTAATGCTTAGCGTTTTTGTAACAACGACGCAATCATCAGGAAATGTCAGAAAAAGGAATAAAAAACGATAGCGAGAAAAATTATTGATGGCTATCCTTGAAAACTACATTTTTCAAGTTCAGCTACAAGCGTAAATACCTGTTTGCTTTTCCAACCATCGGGTAATAAATAAGTTTTAGCATTTAAAAAATTGCGGACTTGTAATTGTTGTTACTGCTGCTGTTGTCGTTGTTGTTGTTGCTGTTGATGATGTTGATGTCATGGAGAGCGTTTTTCACTCGCTAATAAACAAGAAAAAAATCATTAAACCAAGACCGAAAAAATATAAAATAACATTACAACTCGCTCTGGTTGATTGAATACAAGAGAGAGCTTTTAATTTAATTATGGACAAGAGTCTGCACAACAGTAGCAAGTTTCAATTCAATAAATATGAAATGTCGTAATTTTCTGATTTGAGTCTTCACACACCATAAATTAAAGAATTAAAGAACTTTTTTTATCGACATCATTGTGCCGTGCTGTTGAGTTGAATGAGTAAGCCATTAACAGATGCAAAACCTGTCAATTAAAGTGCAATTTTTGATGTAGTTGGTTATAAAGGAAATCAATTTAAGATGAAAATAAATTTCAGGGAGACATCTTAACCAGAATCAAAAATCAATTCATCGTGTGATTAAGTAAATTTGTTACGACGAAAGCAACATAAAACAGACCAAAATATCGCTCGAAGGCATTTCATGCTTTTATTTGTAAATCGACAATCAGAGAAGTTCTCATCATCATCTAAGAAGAGAATAAATAAGACATAAAGGGAATGTGGGCCAACATTCAATATCAGATAAAGATCATAAGTGCAGCAAAGTCATGATCATCATTCGCAACTATCTGAAGTATTGTAGAGATGAGAAATGAAATTATACAAAGGAATTGTTCAATTACTTTCAATAGTCTTAAACAAATACTTAATTGAAGTTGTACAAATTTTCAATACTTTTACTAGTCTAAGTAAGTATGAAACATTATTTAAGATCATTTCTTCAGAGAAACTCAATGCAAATTACCAATTCATCACACCCTTGAGCTATAGACTACATAAATGCAATTTTCGTGGTCTTTATGTTCAAGTTTCTTGTTCTATTTTTAGTTGATATGCATAAAGATTAGAGCACGAAGTATCATAATGATCAAAATGCTTTCGAAAAGATCAATCATGTGGCTAAATAGGAAATGAGGTAACAAATATTTATTAATACATGAAAATAAATGACTTGTAATTCATCTGAGACTTTGATGGACAAGTCATTGGCGTAAGTTCCAGTTTGAATGACATCAATTGCTAAATAAATCATAATTGATATAGTCTCCGAGTCTACTGATGTTTATAATGTCGCATTAAAAATAATCTGATGCAACAGGTTCCCATTACTTACTGCATCGTTGATATTCTGTGATTAAAAGCCGAATGAGCTTGTGTCATGTTTTATTGCCTGACTGAGACTGAGTAGGACATCAACTACTTTACAACTTTTGATGGTCAATGTTGCTTTAAAGTTTATACTGACACTCTTTAATAGTTTGTTAAAAACCGACAATTTTCGGATGGAAGCATTAAAAGAGAATCGAAAATTTCAACATGTTTTAGGAACTCGAAGCTTATGTGAAGGTTTAGATAAATTCTGAAGAGGATAAATAGCCGCCAGTGCTGTCATTCGATGTGATCATAATACTTCATATGTTCGCATTTTTTAAGGCTAATAACATTTTTCACTCAACTGCTCGCTGCTTTCGTCATTATCATCAGCTTAGTTTATTATGCACAATTGCTAGACAAGTTGTTTCCATTATAAACTATTGAATCACATTAATGTATGAGTTTATCTTCCTTTCTTCTTTTTCATTCTCTCTATTTGCTATGTGCAGTTTTTTTTGTGTCTCATTGCAATTGAAACATTAAATTTGCATAGAAGTAATGTGCAATTGAATAGTTTTTTTTTCTTTGACATCGTGGAATTTAGAGTGAGTGGATGTGAAGTGAAAAACTTCAAATCTCATTGTTCGATGTTTCAATATGAATATTTGTATTTGATGCATATGCTGCTAGCCAAGTGCGACACATTAAGTAGTTACACGACTGTCAACGCGCTAGTCAAGTATCGCAGCTTTCAGCGGATGCAAGGAAAATGGAAAGACAAAAAAAAAGCAAATTGGTTTTGTCTTGAGAATGAAAATTATGCAAAGAAAAAAAAAGAGTTTTAATTTGATAATAAAGACTTACAAGACGTTTAAAGTCCAATGACATGATTCTTGCGGTGTTATCACAAACCATCTCAGTCTCTGATTTTACAACTTGAACAACGCTTGCAAAAATTAGTTTCTTTATCGATCCCATACAATCATTAAAAGTTGTGTAAAACCTTGCGTTGATTAAAAAATTAATTGCATTATTTAATGACCGAGTCGAGCTTTTGAAGCAAGTCATCGATTAAATATTAAGCGACGAAACACAAAGCCAATAAAGATTTAATTATAGGAAAAGTGTCTCTGGGGTTGCATCCAAATGCAAGGACTATCAAAAGCCCATGAGGATCAAACAAAAATGCATCGTTAATAACGAAACTGTTGAATTTTGATAATTTATTATCTTATCTTTATATCACTTCTGGCGCTCTCAATTGATTATCACAAACAGATTGGATAATCTCATTACTAATGGAGTGAAAATATATTAAAAGAAACCGGTCATAAAATTGCGTAACTCCTTTGACATAATCTCCTTAAAGTTTGCCGACTTTAATAATATTTTATCGAGCATTTTTAATTATCTTCTGGAGGAAATTCCACGCCATGAAACCTGAATCATTACGTTATTCGTTCTTTGATGCGATCGTGTTAACAATCCTTTAAGATTATTTTTAATTTTTATCAAAGATTTCTCTTTAAAGTGGTGGCTTTTGTTATTCCTTATTCGATTTTTTTCACTTCATTCCCCGATCATTCTTACTTACTTACTGGGTAGTCATTAACTTAATATCGTCTTATTTTTACAACATGCAATATCATTGACAACAACTTTTTAATTATAGATATTATGAAGATGTTTCAACACTAATCATGAAACGAGATTTCGTCTTAAGAAGCTTTTGTAATTACTTTTTAATTGATTTCTCAAGTGATTGAAAATTATAAACTAGGAAAAAGTTGAATAGTTCAAAGAGACGAAAGTTGCCTTTGATTCAATGCTAATGACAGAACAAAGGTAATTATTAAATTAATAAATCAATGTTTCTTATGCATATCTAAACGAATTTACAAACAACATTTCCTCTATAAGTGATAGGACGGACAGGTGTTTATGTTTCAATGTATGCTTTTAAAAATAATTTGTCGTTGACGTGTGCTGATCTCATTTTCAAAAGTTTTTACGAGATTGTTAAGTTACAAATGACAGCTTGAGTATAAGGAAGGAATTATGTGTGATGCTTGTAAGTAAGGTCAACTTGTGGTACTTCCTGTCAATGCAAGATCGACAAAGGTTTTGAAATTATTGTTTCAAGCTAATGCTGAACTCTAACATCAAGTTTTGCTTGTATGACTGAGTGCTATTATAAACATGTGCGTGAGTTTTTTTTAAATTGTAGGTGTTTAAGGCAACGAAAGTTTAGCTTAAAGGCTAGAATTATAAGATTAAATCTTAAATTATCATCTAAGTTTTTAAGAAAACCATCAGATTGATACGTTTCGTGATTATAATCAAATTTATTGATCATCTAACGGTCGATGTTAAAAAGTATTTGGAATATTTATTAAGAATTTTCTTTATAAATATTCAGTTGATTTGCAAGGGCTTTTTGTGTTAATCACAAAAGCTTTTGAAATATATTTATATGGAAAAAAGACGTCTGCGCCCTCAAGGAACTAAATAGCGTGACTGTGGCGAGGTAAGAAATGGTTAAATATTTGTTGAATTTTATTGGCAATTTCTCAAATCAATATTCATTTCATGCACTTGTTTTCTCTCCACTCTTTCTCCCTTCTTGAGGAACGAAACAAAAAAAAATATTACAAGAAGGAAGGTAAGTACACAAGTTAAGAAGAGTTGAAGTTCTTCGTTCTTTGGTTTACTTCATTTTGGCTTTAAGACTTGAGTTGTTGGTAAAGTTTATTGAGAATAATGTGGTGTGTACATTGAAGCTTCAATCTCATGCTGCTTCACATGAAGAATGAGAGATAATTTAAAAAATAAGAGAAAAATCAGTCTTGAATGGATTAAATAAAACGTGTATTAGCTTCTGGTTTTCGAAAAAAAAAAACGAAGAATGAGAAAATGAAAAAAAGATTTGTAATGTACATGAATGAAAGAACTTTGATTATTACATTATCATCAATCAAAAGCTGGTTAAATGTTAACAATTCGTTAATGTCTGTGTTTTTATTTTATTTTTTATTTCTCTATGAGTCAATGAAGTGATGAGCAAAGAATTTTTTTATTATTTACTCGGCAGTTTAAAACAAAGAATGAAAAACGAATGAACCAACGAGAAGTTCAATATCGGTTAATTCTATTATTTTTTATGCATGAGGTCAGTAATTTTAATTTGATATCAAATCAACTTATACACACAAACTTTTCTTTTGTATTTTCACATGTGTAGTTGTGAATTTTGTGACCAATTTAAATTTTATTACATTAAGTAAATTTATTCAATTACCCGAGCTTATTTTTAGCATCTAACGAGAAGTATGCCACTTTAATCAAGACGAATTTCAAAGCAAAAAAAAAGAAAAGATTGTTGAGGTAGGTAAAGGAGAACTTTGAGCAGAAATTGTGCGGGTTTGGTGGTTGATGGAGTCATTAATCATTTGATGGCAGTGCGTAATGTTTCCATTATGAAAGAAGAAAGAAATCTGAAAAAGTCATAACAAATGCGAAGCTTTTTTTTAATTTCTTACCATCGTAGAAAATGATGATACATTACTGCCATGTTTAGTTGTCGCTCCTTAATTGGTTTATAGATATAAATTGATTAATCAATTATTTTCTATCAAGACAAACTGGGATTGACAGTTTGTTGTTACGAATCCGATCACTCACTAATTAAATCGCGAACTTCATCAAATGAAAAGTTCTACCTTGTTATAAATTTCTCGTTTTTAACTTTAAAGCAATTCCCAAACTTTGAGAAATCTAATAAAAACATTCTTTTTGATATCAAATACATGTGTGATGAGCATAGTGAAATCAAAAACTTTAATTCAACTTATAACGGTTTGTCGATGGCGGCACAGCGGTAGTTTCTAAAGCTCTATAAAACAGTTTTCAAATTGACTTTGTATCGAAAAGAAATAACAATAAATTGAATATTCATCAAGCTTTATGCAAATCGTGGTTTTCGTGTTTCTATACATTATTTTTTTCAAAAATATTTCAATAATTAAAGCGATGTGAAAAACAGGTGACATCTTTCAGTGTTTTTTTTCTAGACATTGGTGACAATCTTTTTTTAAGTCGCGTATATGAGGCCATTTTCTTTCCACGACTTCAACTCATTTGAATATTCAAATTTGTGCCTAATGCCCGCAGGTACAACGTTGAAAAAATATTCAATTTCGTAACTATTTTGTTATCTATTAAAAGAGATAAAGAAGCATCAATATGTTTCCCATTTAGTGGTCGAATTTTTGTTTTCAAGAGCTCAGCGGAGATTTTGTTTTTCTTCGACGATTTGAATTGAAACCACGACAAGCTCTTAAATGAGTTTTGGACTTCAAGCTCTTCAGAGATGAAAGGAAAAAAAAATTAGACTCTAAAGATAAATCACGATATTTATTAGAGAGCATCAGGTATTGGCAAAACTATATTCAGGCCTTCACAACTTAAGTTAATCGACCAAAAGATTTATCTTTTTCGAGCTTCCTGAACTTTAATGAAATTCACCCGTCTTACAACACTGAATTTAATTTTTAGATCCAACTGTTCATCGTTGATAATAAATCTTAAGAAAAAAAGATTGGAATATGTTGCGTAAAGATATCTCGTAAGTCGTAGATTCCAACAAGACCGCGAAAACGATTTTTAGAAAAAAAAATCTTAAAAGTCTTCGAAAATTGATTCCATGAAATTCGATAAGCCAGATTTAATTGCCAAGAAATAAAATTCCGTTTTTATGTGACAAAGATGTAAAAATTAATTTATTCCTTAGAAGAATTCTTTTAGATGACGTGACATTAAATAATTTAATGGACTATTCAACATTTCAATTTGTATATTTTTCATGGTAAGTAATCTCATCTTGTTATCATGTGGTGTTCAAATAGATTCAGGTAAAATAAATTTCTTGATCTCAGATTTTAAGAGGTTTAAAAATAGATTATCAATTCATTTGCCAAAATCTCAATAATCTTTTGCATAAAGATCCATAACAAAAATCCAGTAGTTCACAAGTTTTGCTTAATGTTGATAACATTTGACCATAGATGGATTGAATATTCGACAGAAGAAGAAAAGTTGAATATTTAAATTGCACCAATAAAAACTAGTGTGTGAAATAATAATACTATAACATCACTCTCATAGTATGCAAATTGTTTTCGAATTTAATTTAAATATTTACTAATAAAAAGTGTGGAAGAGAGCGAGATGGGAAGAAAACTCATTTTTATACTTGGAATAAATATATGCATGTTAAAGAGCTGTGAATGAAACAATAAATACCCATAAGTGGTGTAAGTAAATATATGTAGATATGATAATTATTCATACAACGAATGAAAATATAAATTAACATACATAGTTTCTTAAATAGAACGACCTTGACCATGATTACAGACTTGTTCAATTGACGGCCGCATGTCTGCTAGTGACTTTTAAGACCCACGAGATTTGTCAGTCAAGTGGAGGAATTCCTAAGACAAACTATTAGCAAACAAATCAAAGTAGACACAGCAAGTGAGACGGAGAGATTAAAACTTTGCTTTGAAACAAGAATTTATACTTTTTTTATACTTGATTGATTAGTTACCGCGGTGAGACGCCTACACGCATTTTTGGATCTAAGACATTGAAGGCAAGAATGTCTTAATAGATTTATTCTTAATAGCTTCGACAAAGTGGATTTTCTATCTCAAACCTAACGAAGACAAGTTAATGCTTTTGTAACAAATATTTTCGCGATAGAGCAGAGATTAACTCAGAAAAGCAAATGATTTTATGTAATGAAACAAGACACGATGTTGAGCATCTGTCAACTCTGAATAAAAGAATGTTCAAAGCTTGTAAAATCAATGATTTTGTTTTTTAATAAACTATCTACTAAATTTATAAGACAAAATTCTTCAGTGATCTCAGCTTAGTTACATTTTACATTTAAAGTGGCTTCTAAACACGGAACAGCGCACGCTGTTTATGAACTGTCAACTCTGAATAAAATACGTTTCAGCTCTAAATGAGACTCCACAAAACTTACAGGTGAAATCTACCTACATAAAAAAGATTATCTATCTTAAACTGGTTTAGCGAATGCGTTGAAGTGACACAAAATAAAATAAATGTTTTTTTTTTTTTTCGAGGGAAAAAGGTATCGACTAGCGTTGAGCGATCGCGAGACTTTCATAAAAATATAAAATATTTTCCAAACGATCAAACTATTTAAAGCTAAAAAATATCTAAGAAAAAAAAAAGACGATCATCAAATCTTGTAATTTAATGACATTAAATTTGAATAAATATTAAATAAATTTATTATGTATTATATTTTTTCATTAAAGTTTCTTTTTGGTTCTGTTTGTTGAATGTATCGTCCCATCATCTTCGAGTGGTTATAATGTGATCGTCTTTTTGTTGTTCACGATTTGTAGCTGGACGAAACTAGCCGTTTTGGTGTTTTTACCTAATATTTCTCTTTTTTTTATAATTTAGATCCACATTCATAAATTAACAATTTTTTACCTCTTCTCATCTTCACAAGCGATTATTTTCCTGACTACAAAATCCCGTAATTTATTCAACTTTTCATTTTCGAAAGCTTTTTTTAGTTGTTTCGTTTTTTTTTTAGTTATTTTGAAGAAGAAAGGTTAGAGAGAAATGTAGAAACATTTTGGAAACAGTGAAGCACTAACAATCGGCTATTGAGTATTTTTCCGTGTTTGATTTTTTGGGAATTTATGGCTTTCTTGTGCCGGAATTAATGAAACGAAAAAAATATGAAAGAAATGAGATTAAAAATGAGGATTATTATTTTCTGTTTTTATTATGATACAATGATAATTCTTTTGACATGCTTACAATCGTAAGAAAGGCATCGAAAAGCGATTCATATCTGATGCTTAACTTTTAAGCTTTGAATTGTTCATTTATTTTCAGTTGCTTGATATGATCTGAAGCTTCTGAATCATTTCATTTCTCTTAAATGTTAAATGTTAAATACAATCATGAGATTGTGGAATTAATTGTGAAATTCTTTTAATGATTTAATCTCGCTTATTTCGTTTCCAATACTTTGCTGAAGATAACAAATAAAGTATGAAAGAAAAAACAAATGCTTTAAATAATCCAAGAAAAAAGATTTGTCAAATCTAATTAAAAGTTAAAATTCATGTTTGCGTCTATGAACTGATGATATCAATACGATAACTAACTTCACATAGAGAAGGAAAACACTTTTAAGAAGAAAGAAATAAACGTCGTAAAAAGGGAGAAGAATAAAAAATTATTTCAATCTTAAGAGCAGTGACGTCATGTCAACAAAACGATTAAAAGAGCAAAAATAAAATATTAAAATATTTAGTTTCATTAACATAAATGCTACTTGCTTCCTTATGATGAATTCTAGATGTTAATTTTGAAGGATTCTCAACTCCCGGAAAGTCGAAGTTTCCTTTTGCAATTTTTCATTTCGCGGTTAACATTTTTACCAGACGCTGAAGCTCATGAAAAATGAATTAAAGATCTTAATTAATATTTATTGCGACAATTCGTGCCCGTCGCGCTTCTCGGACCATATCTCTTGACCCGACCTCCACATTTTATTAATAAATATTGAATAAATGATTATAGTTACCGAAAAAACATTGCTTCATAAGTTAGTTACGTCGAGCGCTGATGTCTTCATTTATTTCCAGGGTCGCAAATTTGCGCAGAAATATTTTCAGCTGTCGATTGAAGCATTTTTATTTAAGTTTTGTTTCTTCAGTGAAACGTTTTCCCTGATCTAAGCCGGAAGCCTAAAGTGGTAATAAATATGTCAAACACAGGGCGAATGTGACGAAATCGCATTGTGAAAATCTTTTTAATGGTTCCTTTGTGATCTCTGACCTGTGTCAAAGAGCCTCAGCGAGATTTTAATTATTTATTTTTTCTCTACTTCTTCAACTCTTTATTATAAGTAGATTGTAGAATAAAAAGCGTTTCACCGAAATATAACAAAAAATAAAATATAAAAATAAAAACTTTTGTTATTTGAGGCCTTTATCGTCCGCTTGATGTTGTTATGTTGTTCACGGTCAAAAAGTTCTTAATTTATTATTTTTTATTTCGTTTGAGTTTTTCGGTGCTGTGAGTAAGCATGGCTTATGTGATATAGTGAGTTAATTAAAGTGCCTTCGTCGTCTCTACTTGTCTCTACTGCTTCACTCAAACAATGAATTTTATGAGTTAGTTATTTTGATTTAGTGCTTATCTATTTTTTATTGCTCATAATTAGCTGTTTCTCGTGTGAGCAGCGCAAAGCTTTTCCGTTGTTGAAATTCTCTTTTTTTATATACCTTTTTGAATGAATTAACTGCAATTATTTTGTTCGGCATGTAATAGAGATTGGAGATTCTTATCTCACTTCTGACCCTTTTTAGGAAGAAATAATAGAATAGAAATCTATTAAATAATTATCGTGCGAAGTAATTGAGAACAGAACACTAGAACGCAGCTCTGTTTCAGTTCCATTTCGCGCTCACTGATTCAATGACAAATTCTTTGAATTTCAGAGAAATCACATGAAATACAATTAAGAATTTAGATTGATGTTTAATGTGATACTAAACATTTTATTGCGCTTGAAAATTATTTAATGATGAACCAGAGCAAGTTTAGTTTTTTTATTTCTTTTTGTTTAGAAATATCCGGAAATATGATTTGGATTCTGAAAATAAATTTTTATCAGGTTTCAAATGTCAATGTTTTTTAACACTTTAAATTATTTACATAAGCAACGAGTTTATGCAACAACACGAGATAATTTCATGGAGTTGTTCATTGTTTTACAACATAAATAAAAGAAAGCTTTGTTTATTCTGTTATAAATAATGGAATTCGAATTATGAGATTAGTAGGTAAGCAAGAGTCTCATTTCTGGTTTTCTTCTTTTATCACAACAAAATCTTTGAGAGTTTGATTTTAAAGTTACAAACATAAACATTTAACAAAATTGTTTATTAAAAGGACAAACGGAAAGCTCACCATAGATATTTAATTCCAACTCGAAAAAATCTGTTTAATTAGAATTTTTGTATATTTTCCTTTTCCATTTGCATATTTTTTCCATCTTTTATTTTAACGAATGAAAAACGCCCAGCGCAATGGTCAGACAGCGGTGAAAAAAAAGACAACATGAAATATTTTCCTAGTTTTTATGTTTTCGTTTTGCTATCTTCAACAATTAGGATAATTGATTTTAATTCATGCAAATTCATTGAATCAAACACTGATTTTGTTCTACTGTTGGAAGCTTGAAAGGCTTTAATAAGACTGCAATTGAAACTTGTTTTCCTTGCATATTATTGAGATATTAAATATATATTTATATCTACTGACATTTAAAATAAAATTAGTTAAATATTTAAGAATCCAGGAAATCAAATGCGCTTTTAAAACAAAGAAAAAAAATCTAAAAAAAGCTTCTGAAATTTGAGGAAGTTTTTGAGGTTTTACTGAGTCTTGAAATAAATAAAAAAATAAATAAATTAATGAGTCAAGTCTTAAAACTCTTCCTACTACTGTATAAATGTGATAACAAAGAGTAACGTTGGAAATATTGTTGATCTTTAGCCACTAAATTAAAATATTTTAGTTAATTTTTTATGATCCTCAAATCTAATCTAGTCGTAGAAATCGCAACTTCTTACCGCTATCATTTACTTGCTTATAAAGTTGAGAAAGTTTTAAAAAGAATCTTCAACCAAGTCGAAATAATTTCAGAGAAATGATTGCAATGTGAAATATCAGAAAATCTATGTTTAAAAAAGGAAGTTCGTGAAATGTTTTCAAGATATATTTTGTAAATATGAAATATTAAAGAAGAATAACAAAAAAGTGAGAAACCTCAAGCATGTTGATACGATTCAATTGAAAAGATTATGAAGGAATGAAAACTTTCAATCAATGTTCTTACTGAAATACTTTTTTTGTAAAAATTTATTAAAAAAGTAGTCATTTGAACATTTCTCGTGAAAATTTTTAGGAAGACGATCAATAAATAGAACGTGACCATTTATTCGAATCTTCCCTCAAAAGGAAATTTCAAGAAACGATCAAAGTAAATTAGAAATAAAAGAAGAGGCAACGATCGTAATTAAAGATTTCAGAGAATAAATTAGACGATAAATTTCCCAATTTCTCCCCCGTAAAGCACCAGAATGATAATAACTACACCGAAATCTAATAACGGCGGTTAAAACATCTCACGCGGCTGTAAAGTATTTGGAATAATATGTGGAATGGACTTCATGCATAATGACATCAATTTATTTCATCAGATATTTTGAATCGTCTCCATTCCCTCTCTTGCTGTCTTTATTGCCAAAGCTGGTGGGAGACAAAAAGAAAGAAGAGTTTTGTCGTTTCTAATTCTAAGACGCTATCGAAACCATGCATAGGAGAGAGAAGAAAACAATCAACGTGATAAACAACCAAAACCGAGTAATCTTCTGTTGATATTATTTGGACGGACAGGTTTCTTTTCTGGTTCAATTTTTCTGAGCTCTAAAGCAAATCTCATCATGAGAAAAATTCAAATTTGGTTTCTTCTTTTGTTTTGTTGAATGGTCTTTGATCAGGGTTTTCGGTTGTAGCTTCATTGAGTAGTTTTTCGGTTCGATGTTGCATCCGCTTGAAGACATGACACTACGAAGATTTATAAACTATGATGTTTATCAGAGAAAAGGTTTCTTCATGTAAGTGATGATTAAATTTAATAGAACCTGTTACGCTGAAAATTCGAGTCTCAAACGAAGAAAACAGCGCGTCGTAAAATATAGAAAAATATCGTTTGTAATAAAAACCCGCTTGGCGTCGACTTTCTCTCTCTCTCCTCCTTTCATTGATTAGGAAATTGACGCGATGCAATTAATTCAATACATCTTCGAAATTTCTTTCCCGCGATCATAGTGTTGATATCGGATTTCGATGTTCACAATGTTTCACGTCATGTTCAAGCGATTTGAATACTTTTTTCTCTTAGTTTTTGTTTTTCTCCACTTTAATCATTTCAATTTATTAATCACCAACATATCTCATCATTTGAATAGAAATTTGACAGCTTCAATTCTTCATGCATCACGCACAATGCAAAAATCAACAAAGGTGGTCTCGTATGAATGTTTTCATATTTTTAGAAAAGCGCTAAAAGCTCAAAGTTGGCATTAGACACGGCACGTAAATATCAATTTTTGAGCTGAATCGAATAACTGTTAATAAGCGGAAAGTTGCTTCATTGCAGAAAAATCTCACAAAGCAAGACACAAACCATCACATAAATTCTCAAACTAAACATTTCGAGCTAATTTCGCTGCGTAAAGAGATATTTATAACTGTTTAACACTTTTCACTTCGTTGAGTTTCTTTTTGTGATATTTTATGTTTAGATTTTCGGGGAAGAAATTTGAGACCAACAATTACAGAATGTTTGCTACAACACGTCACGGGACATTTAGCACCGATTGAAAGGGTTGAGAAAAAGAAGAAGAAATAAATGTAAAAGATCAGAAAATAATAGGAAAACCTTTATGATACATTTTTACGGTTAGCTAAGCAACAATTGTTGACATGTCGAAGAAAACTGTTACTTGAAGAATCATAATTATCGAGGATTATTGATGACACAAAAGCAAAATGTCATTTGATGCTGTTTAGGAAGCAACAGGTTTGTTGAGAGCTGATAATCAATAATGACAAAGAAGAATATGTTGATGTAATAGTTTTGTTGCCTTAAATCTCAAGCCATTTATTTTACGACACCAAAAACATTTTCATCCTCAATTAAAAACTATTTTTTCCCACGCGCGGCATGATCTGAATTGAACCCTAAAAAAAACTTTAAAAAAAGGTTTCAAATTGAAACCATGAAAGATAAAATTATCTTAAAATTGATGGTAAAAGGATCCAAGAAAAAACCTTGTAAGACGCTTACAACTTATAAGCGGACATCGACCTCTAATCACGTTGAAACACGAAAATTTAAGAAATCAATAATCCTCGAATAATTTAAAAATTTGAAAGTGAAACTGTGAAGGTATGAAAAGAACTTTCGCTTTTCGATTGCGCTTCTAATGCCCCAAATACTTCTTTCAAACTATGGAACTATTTCTTTTATAAAAAGTGAACGGAGAATCGAAAACTAAATTCGTCATAAATCCCTCCACCTCCCCGACACCCGATTTTCGGATGACTACGCTATATGCATACGAAATCTACATAGCCAAGTTAGTTCAGGAAAGGATTCCCGAAGCACATACGCGAACAAACATGCACACACACTCACACATTCCCCTTTCGACACTAATAGAACAAGTGAAATGTGGATCAAATTGTTTTCAGCATACCTAAAGTTGGTAACATGAAAGAAGCACGTCATTCATAAAGGAAGATTTTTGTATGCACGGTGTTTTGCGAAACGTAAAACTTTCTATAGATTTTTGAAAATATTTACCTGCCGGAATCGAGAGTTTTGTGAATGGGGGATCGAGAAAGTATCGATTTATTGCCATGTCCTTTTTTTCGTAAGCTACATTGAATGATTTCGGGGTTGTGATGTGATACGATCGGAAAAAGAGAAAGAAAAACATCAAATTGTTAATTCAGATCGCATAATAGTCACTTTTAAAGCCATAAGCTGTTTTGTGATACGGCAAAATACGTAAACAAGTGGCGAGAGGTGAGCTTGACTCGTTTATCAAAATTGTCATCGATCGTCATGATGCAGTCAATGGTGAAAGAGGGAGAAAGGAAAAAAAAGAGTATTTAATAAATAGTCTCGTTTGCTGTACGAAATAATAATTTTTCAATCTTATGCTGCTTGGGGTGCTTTGGCTGCCGCTGCAATACCTGACCTCTCCTTATAATTTTCTGTTCCGGAGCTTCATGTTTTATTCATAGCACATTACATGAATAAATTGTTCCTTTTCCTTGTCTCGCTTACTCTTGTTTCCACCAATGTAGCTGATTTGGTGTCTCCGACTCGAGAAGCCATCACAAAATCGTTTACTTAATTCCTGTGGTTGCTTTTTTTTCTGCTTTTGAACTTTTTTGAGGCAAAAAAAAGATGCTTTTGTGAATCTTCCTTTTATTGAAATTTTAATGTTCAACAATTGAATAAATAATTAATTTCTTTCTTTCTTTCTTACTTTTACTCTCCTATTATTAAGCATCGTCATCAATTTATTTCTAATAATATCGAACAAAATAATCAAAGAGATTGGATGGTAGCAGACGACAGACGATTAAACATTATGTGCAACAGCTTAATAACCCTCGAGCAATCGATGTTGAATGGCTTTAGCCATACTGACGACATTAATCTATAAGGTATTTTGTAATAAAAATTCTTCGCTTAATTGTTCCATGTTTCATTAGCTTAAGGGCAACTGATTAAGCGTTGGTGACAGTTTATTAGCAAGAAATAAATGACGATGCTTGCTTGCTTTCTAAGAGAACAGAGACAAACTCGGTTCAATTTATTATTAGAAAACAAATATCGTCATTTCAAAACTTCATTAAAATGACAAAGAAAGAATCTTCCGACATCTTAGACGAGTCTTCAAGATAAAATGATGCGATGAACCCTTTTCATATAACAAAACAACTTTTTTTCTTGTTTTATATTTCAAGAAACTTGAAAAAAAATGAGGGTTGAAAAGAATTTTTTTTTACTTCATTCTCGACATCCAGGTGCTGTTAAAAGGCAAGGTAAAGGTAACAAGCAACATTAAGATACTGAAAAACATAAAAAGAAAACATTTCTTGACCAAAAACTAGCTAGTTATGATGAGGGTTGTCGTAGAAACTTTCTTCTTAATGAACATTTCTTGTTTCGGCTGCTTTCTTGTGGCGCTGTTATTACTTTTCACGGCATTCTGATTTTAAGACGTCTTTAGTTGTGCTTCATTTGATCTTCAAGTGCTAATTTTTCAAATTTTTAATCCTTTTCATTTTAGAATATAAAAATTTTCTGGTTATTCTTCCTGCTTTTGTCATATTTCACACCGATAATTAAATGAAATACTTTAAAAGAAATTTGTCAACTGTGGGATAGGATGACACATTCGTATGATAGATTAATTGAATCAACGGTAGTTTCAAATGTCTTTAGGGACTCGTTGAATTGTCGCAACCTTTTTTCAACAGTTACGATGTTTGGGAATTCGTCTTAATTAGTTTTAGTGAAAAAATAAAAGAGAATTGTTAAGTGATAGATCACAATGGTTTGTGTCGAAATCATTCTCGGAGGACATACTTTTCATTACATTTTAATTAACATTTAACGTGCTTATGTAAATCGTCATTTGACTCTGTAGGACGTCTGTGCGTTTGGATGTTTTTATTTGGCTGTGGTGTTATTGGAAGTAAAGCGCCAATAGCAACATAATTATGGTAATCTATCATTATGTTGAAAATACTTGAAAAATATATAATTAAAAATTGTTCGTACGACAATATTTCCATGTAGTTATTGTTGAAGCACGAGGTAGCGTTCATTTTTCATAACTTAATTAACGAGCACGTAAATTGCAATGTCCATTGTTTTCATTTCTGCTGCTTTGCCATTAGCGAAAAAACTTTTTTTTTATTTTTATTTCATCCGTTGTTTATTTTACGTTTACTTATTTTTATATCTCATCCTTTGATCCCTTGAAACAACATGCGAACTTATTATTTCTCATTGAATTCGTAAAAAAACCTTGCAGATCAATAATGTGCAACTTTCCACCCTATTTTGCGTTTTTCTTTTCATTTCTTTTTTTGCCTTAAACATTAAATTTTTATTGCACAACATTGGAAAAAATCTAACATTTGTGTCAAATGTGTCGAGTTCACCAGGGTTTGGTGAAGGTCTTGAAACAATAATGTAGCTTTGACGACATGAAACTCTTCGTTTCAACCTGTCGACGAGACTTTCAGCTGCTGAAAACACTGAAACTATTTATTTTACGAGTGATTGATGATTATTTTTATCCACAACTTTTTTTTATTTTCTTTTTTTTTGGCGTAATCTCATAATAAAATAATGATTTGTAAGAAAACATAAAAAATATATTTCAGCAAATTGGGAGAGGGAGAAATTTTATTGGATGTAATGGAAGTGAAAGCGGTAAACGGAGGATGAAGGAAAGTAAAGTCCTGACACCCTTAATGAATTGCAGGCGGAGAAGTTATTTGAGGTTTACGTTTGGTAAACTTCTGTCGACCATTCATTATGTCCATATGTTGTAGAAGAAGGGAAACATGAAATATTTTTCGATTTTGATACTTCAATATTGAAGTTGGCGCCGCAAAGTAAACCACAAAAAGTTAAAAGTACTTTCAGCATTTGAAAGCATTCGGTTTTTGTAACAAATTTTACATTGTTCACTGATTAAAATGCTCTACAAAAATTAGGCACGAACTATTTAGACGTGGAAATTAATTAACAGTCATCAATTTTAATTTTAAGTGATATCCAAGGCAGACCACCCCAAGCAACATTTTTGTTCTTTCTTTTCTTCAAATGATAATAAGCATCTAACATAACCGTCTCAAGACCATTTTACAATTGAAACCGAAAACAAAAGAACGACAATAGTTCTTCGTCTTGGAGCTGATCCACAAAAGAACGAAACAAAACTACAATGAGCGTATAGAAAAGACGAAAGCAGACGACAGAACTGAGAGTGGAGAAAAAGTGAATGTCTTTTCTACGTGACTTATCAAAATTCACGCAATTGTATCTGCATTTTGATATTCGATTCAAATAAAGCGGCACGAAAACACATTAAAATTAAGAATTGCTTTGGTTCTCTTTGTCATTGTAACAAAATATAGAAAGAACAAAACAGATTTTGAAAGGAACTCTATGGGAATCTGTAGCGTGTCTACTTAGAATTTGAAAGAAATGTTCGAGATGTTAGTCTTTCATTTTTTAACATTTATTTCTTGATATTGTTATTGTGTTGTATTAATGAAGAGATGACAGAGGGAATTGAAAGAATAGTTTTCAAAAGTCAAAATAGATTTCCATGCAAAATGTTTAAAGAACAGAAAAGCTAATAAAACATTTTCCATTAAAGTTCATCGCCACAAAATTCTCGAAACAAATCCTTTGTCACTCATTAAAGGGTTAAATCAAACTATTGCGACTCACTTGACAAAGTTATTTTGCGGGGTTGTGATGAGTTTAAAAGCAACTTCGAAATGTACATATATTTAAACAATTAACATTTCTAACGTTAAACAAATGTTGAAATTATTTGCTTATATGAGCTGATTGTGGGTTTCGTATCTTTGCAACCACGAATGGAATGTAACGTTGGGGTGAGAATCGCTTGAATCATCGCACTCAACCACACCACACGTTATCTCTCACTCCCTTTAAATTAACGTTCTCTGTGGAGCAATAATTTTTAATATACTTTTTATCTCTTCATTACGAATTTACTTGCGTTTTCTTCCCTCTTTCTGAACACGCTTCTAATTCTGTTTTTGTTTTGTTTATTCTTGTTTCATTTCGAAGGTGTAGCACAAAAAAAGCAAAAATTCTGCTTTGTTATTTTTTTATCTCATCAGTAATTAATTTAAGTTTGGCAACAATTGAATTTCATGCTTTTTAAGTGATGCTGATAAGAAATCATAACGTCGTTGAAGTGAAAAGGGTGAAATTATTAATTAAAAGATTGCTTCTGGATGATAATTTATCGCTTTTTTGTAAAGGATTTTATTGCTTTTATTTAAGTGGAACAGAGCTGAAAGGAATAAACGAAGCTGAAGGTGTCTATCACCTGCATTTGTAGTACTCTCAAATTTATAAAATTTCTTCAACGATCTCATACACGGAACATAAAATGTAAGAACCCGAAAATATCAGTACATAAAACCATCGATTGTCACCTGTTTTTAAAAAAGAGTAATTTTATTCGAGCCCATAATGTGTCGTAATTTATATGCTTTTCCGAAACCCATATAAGTAAGAATTCTTTTATGAGCGCTCGCATTTTTCTCGTCCCATAAGAAAATAAATAAATTCATCTCAAAGTGATATAAAATATTTTTATTTATTGGAGGTTTTCCTGTTGTTTTACTTTTTGAACGCTTCTTTTGTGTTTTTGCCTATAAAGCATGTTTTTATGCGTATGTGAATGCCTGTATCACCGCGCAGCCAATAAAATGAAGTAATTTTAAAGAACTTTAATATGGCGTTGTTCGTTATTTCGCTTTAGAGGGTGGCGGCGCTCATCGACAATCGACAGCCCCACATTAAATGTTTTTGTATCGTTTTTTGATAATTTCATGACGTTATGAGTTACATCCTACATTCACGCTTCAATATTTATTTTTACGGTTCTGTAAATGGTATAAATTTTCGCTTCTCCATGATTTTACAACCGACTTCTTGTTGCTGACGCTTCCGACCTGCGTTGCTTTTATAAAAGCCAAAGTCAAAGTAAAATTCTTCGAAATTCAAATTTCTTCACAGCCAGCATTTTCAACAGCAAGCAAATAGACAACAGAACATGAAAACGTGTGTGTATGTAGTTTAATAAAACGTTTTATATGTGTTTTTATTTATCGATATTGTGCTGCAATAAATTTTGTAATATAAAGCGCTAATATTTCATATTTCACTCTCTGCTGGCTTGTTCTTTATTTGTTTATACGCTTCACTCGGCGGTAAATTTATTTTCAATCTATGCTCTTATATTGTGAAAAGCTTTTGCTTTCGATGACACCTACGTTTAGCATGAATAAGGTTCGGCTGTAAATCTCTCGCGTGGTGTTATTTGAATACTTTTCCCCCCAACAACATTCTCAAGCGGATTAGCAGTAGGAAAAAAATTTCGGCTGAAGGAAAAATATGTGGCCGATTACGATTGGTGTTGTGATTTCGAAGGCGACATTGTGAAATTCAGTTTCATGTTGTTTACTGGAAATCTTATAAAAGCCTTAAGGACATAAGTTTTAGTCCCCCCTTAAGAATCTAACATTGAATCCCACTTTTTACTTAAAGTATAAATCTCTTCGGTTCTGTCACATTTTTTGTTGCTGCTTCGTAAGCAGATTTAACCCTTGCAATCTTGTGCTGTATGTTTATGCGTAGTTTCGATTAAAATAGCAATTTCTAGACTCGTTCTAAATTTTTTCTTCTCCTAACACAACTACAAACATGGAAACCCAAAGGAATCATAAATTTGACGTGTTCCCATCATATCGCTTCTGTTATTGAGTCTTTGTTGAATTCAATGCTATACTTTGTCTTTCCACGACTCACATTAAAAAGATAAAGAAACTCTTGTGACAGTTTTGAGAAATAAAAATTTAATCAAAAGAACTTTTATTTCTAACTTAATGTGAAGCGACATCATTGTTGGAATGAAGAGAAATGTGCTTTGTACACTTATAGGTGTATTCATAAAAAGTTATACATAATATTCTCTTTTTTTTCTTTCTTTTTTTGTTTAAATCCATAAAGTCTTCAAAACGTATGTTTCGACACGTACAATCGTTCCTGTGACCCATTCGGTGAATCACGTTTTACGTTCTTTGTTGTTGCTGCTGCTATGCTTCGCCTTTAGACTTCAATCATCTTGGCTCACTCACTCCCTGCTTTTCGGGCTGTAAAGCGCTTACGAGATTGGATTTTTATATACATTTTTTTTTGTTTCTTTTATATTTTTGCTCGACAGTTTCCGGTCGCACACGAAACGTTCTCGATGTGACTCGACAGAAAGAAACCGAGCGCAAAAGTTATCGAACGCAATCAAACTTTGATAGCAAGAGAAGACATTTACTTACTTCTTTTACCGAATCGAATTACCGTATCGACAAAAGACAAATTTTATTCAACGAAAGGAATTTGCTAATTCAAGAAATTTATTTATCGCTTTGAGGAAAGGTTTTGCATTCGAAAGGAAAATAAAATTGGTACAAGATTTCTTTATTTTTTTTTTCGGTGGAGAACCGTTATAAACAGCGATTATCAAGCCATAAAAAATCGCATTTTGAATCAATAATGCTAATGCTCCACCTGTTGAATACACGACACCATGCTTCAAGCTCCTTAAAGAATCTTTTTTGCTTTTTGCTGGCCGTCCGGTTTGTTTGTTTCTTTTTACATAAATTTTCTGTTCAATTAACATAAATTTTCATAATCTCACCCAAAAATATTTTTTTCTCTCTCGTGCATAAAGCGTTGATAAAAAAAATCTCATAAATATTTACATAGAGAGTAGAAGACTACAACGCATCAAATATCTATACCTGCTTGCTTTGGTGCTGCTGTTTCGTTTTGGAAAGACATAATCGTCATTCCAACCTGATACTCTTTTAATGATATGTAAAAAAAAACTAAAAATATTCATATGACCTTGAATAATTTACAGCGCCGTTATTATTAACAAGTTTAATGTAAACTATCAAGTTTTGCATTAGCAAATGAGCTTCCACTCATAAAAATAAATATACCAATAAAAGAAAAGGTTTCATACTTAATTGATTAATAGATGCTTGCAAAACTAAACCGCAATCTTTCCTGAATATTTAACATTTTTTAGGATGGAATTTTTAAGACTTTTTTATTCAGATGAGTTTTAAAATTTTAGTAGGGAAAGTTTAAAATTAGTGAAACAAATCTAAAGATGTTTTAATAACTAAGTCAGGCTTGTTAATCATGAGAAACAGAAAAAGATTATTTGAAAGTTGGTAGCAACAATTCCTTCTTGGTTTATTGCTAAATCTCGTGACAATTTTAAAATGATGGGTTTTGGTGTCTTATACAGTGGAGCTTTGATAAACTGATATCTCAAGGGGGACAAAAAATATCAGTTTATCGAGGTTTATTACTTTATCGAGGCATCAGTTTATCAAAGTTCCACTGTAATCAGTAATTGGCTTTTGAAAAATGTCTTAAACTTATTAAGAAAATATCTTTCTTTCGCTCAATCGAATCAACTGTTACGCCGTTTGGGTCGTGAAGCGTCTTATGATATTTCAAATTTAATTGCTTTGTTGATTATCAGCGAGTTTTTTTTATGGGAATTAAGAGACTCTTCGAGCTTATCAAAAAAATCATAGTTTCTTCTTTCATGTTTGTTTTTATAGATATTAATTAAAGGCTTTACGTGCTGCTTCATCTTGATGTTTCTTCGATCGACACGAGGTTCCAAAAAGTATTTTTTTACGATTTAGAAACGAAATGGATAAAACGACGACAACAATAAAGATTATCATAGTAGAGAGAAAAACTATAAATTTTACTTTTTATGGTTTTTTGATGTTTAAATTATTTGATAAGAGTTTCAGTCTTTAATTACCTGGAGAGCCAAGCAATACATCACCGCGAAGCAGAAATTTTCATGGGTTGTAAAAGACGAGTTTTTGGAAAATTCAAGCAATAAATTTTATTAAATTTATTAAATTTTCTGTCAAAAATGATGAGATCAGTGAGGAAGATGATAAAATTGAGTTTTTTTATTAATTAAATTACACTGCAACATGATGATAAATATCACAAAATTCACAAAAAAAAGAGAAATTGATTAACATAAATAAATAAATAAATAATTTGCGTAACATTGCGCAACAGAAGAAAAAAAGAGAAAATTGAAATTGATTTATTGAATCAGTTTGTAATTGAAATTGAACCCAGTTACAAATTTTTAAATTATAATCAATTCTTTCGTAATAAATTAAAGGCATTGAAAGATTCTTCTTTTCTTTGATTCTATCTTACATATGTAACACAAATACTTATAAATAAGGAATAATCTGACATTCTTTTGAAAGAAGCAAGACTTTAAATCGAGATTCAGCAACAGATTTCGGACAAAAACGACTTGAGCTTGACATCTAATAAAATATTATTTTATGTTTTTTATTTCTCAGTCTTGGTTCTTAAGTCAAAGCCGTAAGTTTCGGTCCACAAATTCGTCGTCATAGTTTTGAAGAAATTTCCGGATTCATTATTAAAAAGAATTCTTCCCGAAACTAATTTATGGTCCGAAAAATTATTATCATCATTTTATTTATCTACCCTTGCATGGTCTAATTTATGATTCAATCGGAATGTTGATGGAAAAATTAACATCGAAAAAACCATTGGAAACACTTTAAAAGCTATTCCAGCTTTGATAGCGAAATAAAAACTGATTGTTGTCAATAATTAAAGTTCTGTCACATCATGCAGCAGGTTGAAACAAGGGAAATAAAAAGCATCACTTGAAAAGCCGCTTGGAAACTTGTTACGTTTCTCAAATGCCTCGAAAAAATGTTGTTTGCCTAGAAAAAAAAGCGAAGCGGATAATTTTAACAGCTTCGAAACTATTTCTATGTCGTGCTCGAGACTACGTCAATATATTAAAAGTGATTAAAAACATGCTTCATTTGTCGAATAAAGCGCATGTAGACGCGGGAGAGAGAGAAGGAGAAAAGCGAATGAGTGAGAAAGAAAGAAAGATTACATAAGAACACAACACGAGCTATTAAAATTCTGCGACTGGTCGTTTTGTTGTTTTAATTATTTTTCCATTTGCTTTTGGTAAGCTGTAAGCTCTCGCGATGTGGTGTATTAGTGTCGTAAAGCATATTCACGAGATGTAATAAAAAGGAATTAAAAAGGGATTTATTGACTTTGAGCTTGATAAGCTGTATTAATATGTTTGAAAAGCTGATCAAGGCAAAGCACTTGACAGACATTCAGCGTTTATGTATGATGAAAAGTGAAGGTGTCATCAAAGACTTTTTCCAGTCTGCAGATGATGTGGCACCAAACAAAAGAAGCTTCAAATGTGACACTAAATATTTTCTTATAAATATTTTCTCAGCAATTCTGCTGTATTGGCACATTTTCGTCGTGCGTCGTGAATGGATCCAGTGTTGACTTTATTACGAAGCCATAAAAAAATCTTAAGGAAATATTTGATCACTCAATTTATGTTTATTCTCATTTTAGTAGTCAGAGGATTGTCTAAGAGTCATCGAAAATGTGGAAGAGAGATTCGTCATTATGAACAAATTCCAAGCACTTCTGAAAGTGTTTTTGCTTGTTAATCAGGTCGTTTTCGTTTCAATCTCGAGAGAATCTTCAGCCAAAAGTTATTTTCGAAGACCTGAAAGCAGTAATAAGTGAACAGAACTAAAGTTACTTCGTAAATATAAATACAAGTCAATGAGTTGGCAATTGTCTGATGTTTCTTCTCTCCAGTTACAGATATTTATTTGTTTATTTATGTACGAGCTTCAAATGCCTCTCGTTTAACGCGGGGGATTTCTCGGAAATGTATGTTATAACGAGTCTCTATCGATTGTCAACATGTCTCAAGCATTTCTCATCAACTCACCTTTCCTGCTTGCTACGCTCATTCTTGAATTTCTCATTTGTACGAGATTTATTTTCGGGTTTTATGTTTCAATGCACGTTGAAATCTTTCGATGTAAAGTAAAGTTACTTAACTTTCACTGATATCAACAACGAAATAGAAATTTAAGAAAACTTAAATATTGTTTTATGTTTAATACACTTTGGAATGATTTTCAATAAGTCAGAATCTAACTCCAACACTTTTTTAATTCTCTTTATTTACTTTAGTTGTAAATATTTTTTTTTTCTTCAATGATCAATGTCAATGTTGAAGCCGGTGGCTAATTACAAACAAGACGATTTTTACCATTTAAGTACGTGGATATTATTCATCAGTCACATTCATTATAAAAGCGTGTTTCTCTAATTGCGACAATCGCGCAAGAGTTTAAAACCACGCTTTGTAAACAGCTGCAATATGTGTGAATAACTCGCTCTTTTACAAAGATTACGCAAAGTGCTGTTTAATATTATTTATCTGTAATTATTCTCATACCACGAGTTTCTTTCCTCCTACCATCGCAATCTAATTGAGTATCTGTCACATATATCTTCAACTTTTCTCACAGAAAACTCCGCTCATGATTTACTTTGTTGTGGTCAAACGATAACTTTTACCAGATTTTGAAGACATTAGAAACATTTATGGGATGACAATCGACAAATTCTTCAAACAAATTTGAGTATCTTTGGTAATTTCTCAAGCAACAACAACCAACAAAGAGAAAAAAGATTTCATCATCAAGTCTAATCTACTGCCGTAAGTTTCGAAGTGCGAGGGCATCATTATTATAGACACTCATGTTCACACCTTTTTTTGCAGAGGAAGCCTTTAAATAAAGCCTTTTAAGCGATTAATAAGATTTCTTCTCATCTTAATATTGAAATGAATCGTTCAAGCGCATTTCAATAATTGATTCGCAGCAATGAAATCTGTCAGTTGTAATCAAAGCTTCTTAAACTTAAATTCTTAAAGGTGTTACCGATTGCTTAACACAACTTAAGCATTGACAAGTTGTTTCTGCCTTCAAACTACTTAAACGTAATCCAGATGCATCATAACTGTCAAATGATTTATGTTGATGTTAAAACGTCTCGCAGATGATGAACGAATGAGCGATAAACCGCAAAACAATAAACGATTTGCATAACGATCTCTTGCGGTCAAACGCATTAAAGTATCCGTTCCAATAGTGACGTGAATGGGGCTGAACATTGAACATTGGACATGTCGTATAGCAAATAATTAAAACAATGAGTAATTTATGATAATTAAAGGCTACCTCAAAATTACTAATCTTTCAACGATGGTTGTCATTAACAGTTCGAGAGTATTCGCCGGGGGAGCGGCGTGGCATGTTGAAGAGATTTGTCTTTGAATAATTTTAAAGTTATTCATCATAAATTGGTTCTTCGACTCGTACTAAAGTCGATCTCTTAGAGAACCTTGCACATCATACATAAAGTAATAATCCTAAAGGAATTTCATGAGACATTTTATTGATTTATAATCTTAATTCAAAAATTAATTGAAAACTTTTCTCTTTTCTAACATTTTATTTTTAATTACCAAGTTATTTAACACAAAAGAAGACAATGAAGTTGTTTCATTAATAATTTTATTGCTGTTTACTACCCGCATTTGATTCCGAATTACACATCAAAAGTAACACGTGGTTCACAGAATTCAATGATGGAATTTAACTGCTTATTGTCTCAGTTTTTTTTTTTGATGGAGTGATATAAAAACTATCAGTAAGACAAACTCCGTTAGATTCTTTAGAATTAAAAAATAAAGAAGACGAAAAAAAAACAAATCGAAACTCATTCGGTGAATTTTTTTATCGAAAGTCGTCAGAGTTGTCCACTTGAGAGGGCATCCAAGATTCTTCCATTGTTGTTGGATTACAGGTTTGTTTAATTTACGACCTTAATACTCAAACATTCTCCCGTCCCGTGCTGTCGCGCAAACGAAATGTTTCTAAAAGAAAAAAAAGCTAAAGAATTTACTTAGATAAATTTTAGAGTTAGAAAAAAAAACGAGGATTTTATTGCTTTTTGGGGTAATTTTATTGCCTTTTTCTCTTATTTTTCGTCTAATAAATTTGATTTATGTTTCATTGTAAACAGGTTTTCTTAGGCTTGTGTTAAAGGCTCGAGAAATTCTAGTGAAAATCTCCCAAAAATTATTTGTGTGCCGTGTTAGAAGAAAAATGTTTCTTACAGTTGCGACAATTCTTTTTTTTTTAAGATCTTCCGTTTGTCTAAAGCTCGTTCAACTTCACGAGAGAATTTATTTATTTTCGCACCGCTGACAATTATTTTCTTATGTCTCTCACCCGAAGATCTTTTTGAGCACTTTGCCATGCGAGAAAGATAAAAAATTGTCCAAATATTTGCTGCCTAGAAGAACCAACAGTTGACGAATGAAAAAAAAGCAAGCCAAAGAGACTATGTCATCGTCAGCTCAGGTATCAGCTACAGCACACCAGAAATATCACTTCAAACATTTAAATGATTTCAATAAATATTTGAGACGATTTTTTTTGTCTTCTGTTGTATGTGCGACTCAAGTGAGTTCAAGATGAATGTTGGGAACTTTAAAATTTTTATTTAACATCTCAATTTTTTTTTTTCATTGAAAGCTTCTGGTAGAAACAATTGACTGATGAAGATGAGTTAAAAAGGTTTCTTTTTGAGCAAGTAGTAAAATATTTAAGTAAATATCCCTTCATTCAATTAACATGTTGTTATTTTCGTGGAAGATTAAACAGATCTGATGGATTAGGTAGATAAGTGCGAAGCAAACGCTGCATTTCTGAAAGCATCAATAGATTCTCACGAGTGTGATTTCTTTTTTATGGATTGTTGATATATCAGCTTGGAAGAAGCTGTGAAGTTTGAGGCTTCAAAGAATTTCGAAGAGTTCATTCAATCTCCTCCGGATATATGTGAGATTATTGACTCATGACATCATCTCAGATGGCACAAGAAATGAGTCATTTGTGAATCGTTCAATTAGTGTTTAAAGATTTTAAACTGTAAAATCAAAAACTTTAATTTTTAACATCCTTCATGATTAATTTTCTAGTTACTTAAAACTGAAAGAAATAAAAAAAAACTTTCGAAATTGTTTATGCTTTAACTTTCCTACACAAATCAAATACTCATCCAATAAAACATATTTTCATTTTAAGTTTAAGATGAATTATGTGATGAAACTCAGATTGATTAATAAATAAAGGCAGCTTCTTTCATTTTAATTGCGCACTAAGATCTTTTCACGCCATGAAGCCAATGATGGTGTTTTCTCACATATATCCAATTAGTTTTTTTCTTTCATTTCTTCTTCATAGTTTGAATTGTGCCATAAATTGAGTATGAAGGCATCAAGTTCAAAAGTGAAACAAAACAACCATTCATCCATCATCTTCTTCTTTTGTTAATTAAGCATCAATAAAGTCAAATTCTTGACGAACATGTGAAGGCTACTTCTCGTCACTCATCAACACAGAAGCTACGATCGACAGTCATTAGAGCAGCGGAGTAGTCATCAGCATTTCAATTTATTTTAGTCTCAAAAGACAACAGCATTTGATGTTTATCTGGGGAATTGTCGTTTCTTACACGGCTTGCAACTAGACACACATTAAGCTTGCTGGATATAGGTTGGGCACTTCAAGCTTTATGAATGACTCGGTTTTTAGGGAATGGACCATTCATTCATTCATGTTTTTGTTTTCTGTTTACTCACCGAGCAATAAGTGATGGAATGGATAATAAAAAATATAAAGTGAATATTTATAATAAAAAATCATGAAACTCTTTGAACGAACAGCTTTTTATTCTTCTTCTTCAAGAATCATTTTGTTAATCTTGTCATGTTGATCTTCTCGTCATCATACTGAGTTTCATTTCATGCCTTTTTCTGCTGTTTTGTTGATGCTTTTGAGGTTGAGTGTAAGAAGAATTAACTGATATAGCAGCTCACAATATGACTTTTAAAAACAATTTTAAGGCACATAATACGACAGCCAGCAACACATATCAAGAGTCATTTTCAAGACATTCCTTGCCTCTACTCCACCTTACTGACTTTTTCTTATTTTTATTTTGTTATTTCTTAACCATCACATCTTTCGAGACACTCTCGTAGACTTCTCTTTCCGCATGAGATTTGAACTTGAATCATGATCATAATAAGTAAGAATAATAGTCATGTGACACATCAAACACAACAACAAAATCATCTGCGGATGTTGCCGAAACAAATTTGAATATAAAAAAGAGAGAGAGAGAGAGAACGAGCTTTGTGAATGAAAATGTTCATTGTTTAATGATGTATCGAGTGAAAGAAAGATCGAGGAACTCATGTGGCTTATAAAAAATGTTTACGCTGATCAGCATTGTGCCTACGTCAATATGATGTTGAGGATTCTTTCTCGTTGTTCATCTCAAAACGATCTTGTTCCATTCTGTACCAATTTTCGTTTTTCATTCATAACAATGACGAATAAATTATCGAAATTTTGTATATTTATGAATGAAGTTTGAGATCTGGAAAGTCATCTCGTTTGAAAAAGTAGAATTTCTTGTTTCACTGATGTCTCCAACTCACACTCTTTGCCAGGGCATCGGGAGAAGTTAAAACGATATATACATACATACATAATTGACTATAATGGATGATTGAAATAAATTTGAATAATATGATTTGACTCGTTTTGATATTATCGTTTCTAACGTAAATCGAATCGGAAATAAAACAGTTAGGAGGCTGGTAAATTGAAAGTTTGTTTCATTGATATCATCTACTTGATTCATTATTAACATTTCAATTCAAATTTCAATTAAAATATTTAAGTAAGAACACGTTTCGTTTTTGTTTTCAGTGTTTCAATGTTAATTGAGAATATTCTAAGTATAACATGCTATTAGATGTAATTAATATTTATCTGGTACATTGCTTGCTTCATGTTTGAATATATTAGAAAATAATTAAAAGTAGAAAAATGTTCTACATTTCAATGATCTAAAACGAAGCAAATTCAATCTCAAATGTTGGATTTTCAAACTAAAGTCTCCTAAAGAATTTCATGACTTTTGAAAATTATTTGAATTTAAACATAAAATTCGCAAAACTATAAAAATTACTTAAATTCAAAACAATGTAAATAATATAAATTAAAGTAATAAAAAAAGAATTCAACAGATCGATCCGTAGACTGCAAAAGAACAAAAGAATGAAACAGCTCCAGCAACAAGTTGAAATTTTTCTGTTGGAAACGACATACAAAACACCGGGTCAATGAATTCTTTATAGCAATTAATTTTAATTAACCATCAGCACACGAAAAAATATATATAAATATCTACCTATATATAAATAAACTGAACGTCTGAGTCAATGCAAAAGAGTGAGTGAATACACTTTTCAATAATATTCAAGGTATGCATAAATTACTTTACACGTCGAGAATGTTTGTGCCTTTTTTATTCGAGAGGAAGTAATGGGGCGATGAAGAGTACCAAGCGCGCGAGAATCCAAAAAAAACTTACAAGGAAAAAGAAGTCATAGGCCCACGATGAGCCAGAAACAAACAAAGAAACGATCAATTTGTATAATTCTACAGGTGGTGATGTTCAATTGCGATAAGACAAATGGGAAACTATCAAGCGTATGAGGGTAATTTCATCTGGAAACGAGCACAAGAATTAAAAAAGGGAAAACAAGCAGAGTCTTCACGCACATTTCTCGTCAATTTGCTGCTCAAAGGCTATCTTTATTACGCGATCATCTTATTTTCTTCCTTCTCTTCTTCTACCGTAACGTCATTAACTGAAAAACTTACGCAAAAATTTTCTGTCTCCTTGAAAAAAAATTTTCTTCGTCATGCAACGATTGTGCGCTCGCTCAAGTCTTTCAATATTTTTTCAATACTCACTGAGAGGTTTTAAATTCACCGTTTGCGGAAAACATATTTGTCATGACAGCAACTTTTACGAGGAAAAATTTGTGGCCCGAAAAGAGTTGAAGAAGAACGAAGAAAAAAAAAAGAAAACTACAAACAATTGCTTAATCTTGATTAAAAAAATCAAAATTGAAGCCGAAAAAAATTATAGAAACAAACACGAGAACTAAAATAATTTTTAAGCTTTCGTAACAATTGTTATGGCCAGTTGGAAAAGATCCTACGTGATAAGAGCTCTTTATTTGCTGCCTCTTTATTATGAAGACGATTTCTTGCTGCTTTTTGTTTGTTTATCGTATTGGCCTCTAGTGAGCATCAATTACACACGAAATTCGAGTATCATAAATTTTATTTTTGAAACAGTTTCATTGTTAAATCTTTTTCATATAAAGTAGAATTAAAAATACGAGGAGGTTGATTTATTGTTTGTGAAACTAAAATGCGACGATATTTTTCCATAGAAGTTGCGTAGCTAAAACAGTTAAAAAAATGTCTTTGACTTTACATTCTTCGGGATTTGAAAGATTGAATTGAAGAAATTAAATTAAAGTAGGTAAAAACATATTTTGAAATTTGATTTCAGCACAAATTTTATGTCTTTAAAGGGTTCTTGTCAGCAGACTCATAAAATATCTGTGACGTTTTAATAAGTTTTTTTTTTTTATTTCTTCTCTTTATGCACCGTCTTTATGTCATTTGATAAATGCTTAATTTCCTTTCGCCTCATTGTGCGTTTCCATTAAATAAGCGGCTCGGCAATAATTACCGAACACAACATGTGCGTTGAACATTCACAAGAAATTGGTGCACTTCTGTGTCCACTGTGAAATTATGCTTTTCATTTTAAATATTTTCTTGATTGCTATCGCGTGTCCTTCGTAATAACGTTTTAAGACGCAAGGTGCTTTTGATGGCATTTTAGCGGAACAATAGCCAACGTTTTTTAAAATATATTTTCTTCAACCCCTTTGCTGTAACTCAAACTAAAATAAAAGTTCGCCGTTAGCAATTGTTTTTCGTACTCAATTTTAATTACTGATTCAGAGAGTTAGTGCGGAATGTTACGTCAAAACTTGTTCCGTATCTTTAAACTTTTTATCTTTTCCATCAGTGCTCAAGATAGAAGATTAACTGTTATTAATGTTGTCTAATTAAAAATCAAACGATTTCGTCTTAAAAGTATCAAGTTCCTCATGTGGAATTCATATTTTTTTATTATGATTATTTAAAGATTCAAAGCAAGGACATTTGGGCAATGAAAAATATAATTGCGTCATTTACCTGCCAAGGCTATTAAATCTTTTATGATGCCAGTCAATTTTACTGACAAATATAGGAAGCTCCCAGTTGGAAAAATATTTAGAATAAAATTCTTTTTTCATCCTTAAAACTAAGTCACAATCCTTAAACTTTTTCCAGATTAATCGAGAATAATAAAAATTAAATTATTTATAAATTCAAAATTTTGCCAACCGGGCACACTTCAAACTCTTCGCTTTCTGGTCATAAAAGTCACCATACTAATTAAATTAGAAAACATTTTAATGTCGCCAATGCACGAATCGCTCGCTGCTTCATAATGATCGTAAAAATAGTTTTATGAATCTCCCAATGGGATAACAAGGTTAATTAAGATTCCGTTTAATTTGGGCGAAGTGGTCCAACGAAATGTGTTCTGACGCCTATTTAATGATTCCGAATGATTGCGGTTATAGAAAAATAGAAATTTCAACACTTTACCGTGAATTTAGAAACGAAATCTGGTCATCCTTTTTCTAAACCTTTCTCCTAGTAAATATCCAAATTATTTTTCACTCGCCTGCCCATAAATCTCCTGATAATGTCTTTAAAATTTCAAAACAAGCTTTCTTTTCAAAGAGGTTTCTTTCATTGACCTAAGGTAGTTAAGAAACATATAAAAGTATTTGGAGCGATAGCAGAACGAAACCGTGTACCGCGCGTAATCTAAATTATATCCATGTCCACTTCGACCAAGAAAAGTATCTCTTTTCGAATGTGAACGGGTCGGGTCGTTCGCTTAGTGTTTCATGAAAGCAGGTGTTGGTCTATGAAACGTAACGAAACGAAACATGAAAAGAGAATTTCCATTTCATAAAATGAAATTTATGACTTTTTGATATCAGAGAAACATACGTTTCTTTTAAAGTATCGCTTTTTAATGTTTCCACCAAGTTTTTTTTTAACTTTCCGTCGTTGTTTGTTGCCTTTGAAAGTCGTCGATTGAAATTCCTCAAAAGCGGACTTTGAAACTTTATTTTCTTTAATAAAAATCATTGTTAACCACTTTTTTTCTATTTTTATTTTCGGCAAAGATTTATGTTGGTGAGAAAGTTTTGAAAACATTTCCTAAGAGTAAAAGTCCCGCAAACAAGTAAAAAATGTCGTACGGTGAAGAGCCACGACCATAAAAATCGACTCTACAAGAAAACAAACTTTTACGACAGTTTTGAAGAAAGAAGAAAGAAAAATTCACTTTCAATCAAAAATCTTTAAAATATTCAAATTAAGTTTGTCACCCTTTTTGCCATTGACAATCATGTTGCCCCTTTTTACCGTAGAAAAATCATTCAATTAGTTTGACAAACACCTAATCAAAAACCATTCCCGGTAAATAAGTTTATGGCAAAATTAAATTCAATCGAAGTTTATTTTTATAATCAAAATGTACAGCACTATATAATTTGCATAAAAATGTATCGATAAACGGTTCCGACTGATGGCAAAACCAACGAAGAGAAGAAAACTTAAATAATAACAAATTTTTCATTGTCAAACATGAATGAAATGTTGCAATTATCATCGCATCACTTGGGGTTCGTTCCGTAAACTTACTCAGAATCAACGGAAAAGTATTCAATAAATCCTTTACAATATATTGCAAAAAAGAAGAAATGCTGAAATTTTCTTTCAATTGACATTTGGTTTAGAAAATTTGCATAATTTTTATAACATTAGCTTCATTCATTGCGATTTATTATTTGAAAAGGTGCAGGAATGGAAAGGGTTCGAGACAAACTCTTTCGAAGATGCGATTGTCATTGATTTCCGTTGAAAGTAAATCTGTTTATCAGCTGACTGCAAATATATGCAAACTGTCAGAAATGAAAATCGATGAAGTTAAAGTCGAGAGTTGTTTAAAAATGTATGTACATAAATAAATTTCAAAATCATGTTTCTTTTTTATCGTGTAAGTTTAAGTTGAAGTTTCTGCACACATTTTCAATAATCAGAGCAATTTATGTAATAAATAACATTAAAACCCCTTCGTGCCAATCTTATGTGCTACCGATTGAAAGAGAAAATGCAAAAAAATACGCATAAATTATCTCTCACTCACTAGTTTTTCATTCAATTCGTTTCCTTATTGAATCACGTACTCTGCATGGATGGTTTGAAAAGTGCAAGTGTAAGTAGAATGGATCAAGTCTTTTTATGCTTATTTCCAATTCTCTTTTTTATTTCATTTATTACACAAATGCAGAAGGGATCTTGAGATGATTTTTTATTAATGTTGTTTTCTTTTCTCGTCGATCATCTCGCATAGGGGATGATGATGATACACATACGTGCACATCACTACCTGAGAACCCTTCTGACAAAGACAATCTTTCTTTCACCTCCGTGAAGGATAAAAAAAATTGTTATTGTTTAACCTATTTTGCATTAAAATGAAATGATTCTTTAAGTAAAGGATGAAAGGGGTATAAGGTTTCACTTCATCATATGCGTTTGTCTACCTGATGATACTGATGTAGTTTTGCGTGTGATTTCAGAGTATCGCTATTTTATTTATGTTAATTGGTTGACCAAATGAATGATTTCTTGTGGATGTGTAAATGTGAAGAATTTTATAAGAATTAAACTTTCCTTTCAGTTTAATATGTTCAGCTGATCTTCTATTAATTTAGTCTTTCAACATTTCAATATAGTAAATAAAAAGCTTTGTACCCCCTAGTCAGCCTTAATGAAAGTAGTACGAATCGAATGAAGTAATTTGAATATGTGTGTGCATCGTATGCAAAAATTCCGACCCATCCCTTTGAATATTATCATCAAGCAGCAGGATAATGATGTATGAATGTATGTCGAAGGCATATAAGGTTGCAAAAAAGAGAAGGAAAAGAATTCTTGAACTTACACACATTCTAATACATTTAGATATATCTATGAACCTCTCGGCAATTTAAGTTCTTACGCGTCTTTTGACATTCAAAAAGAAAAGAAGGGAAGAAAACTCCTTTTTCTTTCTTCCTTTTTGCTTCGTAATTTCAATGACAGTATCATCCCCTATTATGCATATATGGGGTCATCTTTTGCATACATTAACTCAGCATAGAAAAAAAAGGGTTGAAGAGTTTCCCATGAATTTTCTCAACTATTGCGCTTCATTGTATTCTGATGTCTTTTGATTAAAAAAACTTCACAATTGTTGTAGACATTTCGACTCGGTTAATGCAAATAAATCGATAATTTATAATAGTCACAGAGATTTATCATCCCGACGTGTATGTGTTGTTATGCAAAAGTGATGAGAAAATTTTAAATTTCGCATATGCTGAGATAGTCTTTGTTGAATTGTGGCAGATGAGAAATCTCGATGCTATTTTTTTATATCTTTAATGAATCTTGTGCAATATTGACATGCAAGAAGAGCAAGAAAAGACGTTGCGTCTAACTGAAAAAATCTACTTTTTAATGAAAGGGGTAGCGCCCTGAAGATGATACATAATTTATGCAAACTGATTGAGAAAATATTAAAATCTTCGATCCGTTTAAAAAACAAATAAAGTAGATTGTGAAAGGAAAAGACGTTGCAAAAAATTAACATATGGGATTCGGGGATGCAGGTATCGACATGGAAGATATAAGCTCAGACAAAAAGGTATTTAAATTTACATAATTTTATGAATATGCATTAGAGCCCATTTAAACAATCAATGCCGTTGAACCGTTGAAGTAACGACTTTTTGCAGCATCTGCAATTGGGATATTTAAACGATCACTTCCTCAGACTTTTAAATTTCCTTTCGACCTTCGCCCTGAATAAAAATCACCATAATTTCCACTGCTCGTCGATGAATGTCTCGGCACTTTACGCAGAGTCCGCGATTTAAATAATCTGACCCTTTTTTTTTTCTTTCAAACTTCTTCCTCATTCTCTCTCGCTTTCCGATGATGATAAAGACCTGATTTTTATAATGAGTTGCAGGAGCTGGTAAAAAACTAATTTGAAATTCAAACAAGAGTTGAGGCACTTTGATTTCTTATGCACGGCATGCCAAGAGAGTCCTTTATGTATGGTGTTTCAAGGTTCCACATTAATTCAGTTTTTCCTGTATCTTCATTAAATTCAAGCAGTCGCCACACTTGCAGCTCATATAAGATCATATCGTAAGGAAGGTACATTTTATCTCGTTAACTCTTTAAGAAGTCGTGACTTTTAAGTTGGAAAGTGTGAAAAAAATTGAAAGAATGAATGAATTGTTTCACATCTGTCACCATTTGAGTGCTGTCTGTTATTATGTAGCATCACCCACAATCAACAAAGAATGTCATTTGACTCTTAGCATTAATAAACTCTCACTTTGTGTGATATTATTGTGGCTAAAATGATTTTAAAATAAAATTCTTTTCAGGGTTGGCTGTTAAACAATGAAAATTTTGAAATCCAATGAAAATGAAAAGAAAAGTTTGATTTGAAAGTGACAAAGAGTATGCAAGTGAATGCATTGAAGTCATTCACATAACAAATTTCAATTTGAAAACAACATAAAATAATAAATTAAATTTACACTCAACATAAAATTGTTACCATCTCAATGATGTCAGAGACGTTTCCTCATTTTTCCTAATCAGCGTGATGAGTAATATGCTGAAATTGAATTGAATGCGGTGAAGTTTCTTGTATGCATTCACATTTAGTCACGGATTGCTGATATTTAAACGAATGAATCTGAATCGGGGGAAATATTTGCTTTTAAAAGCGAGGGTGTTCGTACAAATTCTGTTTAACGTTATGAAGATTTCCTTTAATTTAACAAATTGATAATTTAATTATGAATCGAAAAAAATAGAAATAGAAAGCAAATCCTGTTAAGCAAAGTCTTATTCGACAAATCAGGATTTTTTTTCCATTTTATTTACCGAACCCTTTATTCAAATAACTTGGTGGTTTCCTTCCTGGATCATTTCAGAAACATTCTGCAAGGGGAGGAACCTTAAAGTAATAGGATTGAGGCTTCTTCATCATCAAATCCAATAAAACATTCTCGCTTTGCAACATTGCAGTCTCATTGGAAACTAACAGAAAGTTTAAAATAAGAACCAGAAGATGTCACCTGAGAGTAGGAAAAGATTCCTAAACGTTTTTAACCCTTTTTGATTAACATCCCTTCATACACACACACACAGATCATAAAAAGGGTTTTTTTTCGCAAAGGTCTGTTACAAATAAGTTTTACAGGTAAAAAACATTCAGCAATGTTCATGATGTAGAAAACTAGTATGGCACGTAATTTCATTAAATTAAATTTTTGTTTTCGAACATTTCTCCCTGCTGATTAATTAAGAGACACAAAAATGTCAAAATTAATTGCCATTAGATTCACACACAATGGAGGTGTGCTCGCAGTTACGACCTAAATGTTGACGTCTCTTGAATGATTAGTTGTCGTAACATACGTTTTTATGATGTCCCTGCAACTTTTTTATGGACTTTCAAGAGAGGCGACTGGAAAACAGTCAATAAATGATATCAGGACATGAGTTTTTTTATGAACGCCTTTAACTCACACCCACGTCAAGTTTTACGACGAGAAATTTTCATGTTGTGGATAGTTTATTGATGTTTATGGTCGTATATCATGACTGAACTACTGAGTAATTTTGTACGACATGATTCAGGAATTCAATTGAAACCTTTATGCTAATCTATCGTGACACATTTTTAAGATTTTTTCCTTATTCTAAAAAATAGATGAAAAGGAAGAAAAGAATCACAGAAAGACCGAAACAAACAATGGACGTATTATAGTCATGATGTCGAATTGTCACCCACTCTCCTTCTTTTGGGATTTATGTAAGAGAATTTTCCATGTTTGTATGTAATTCGATCTTTCGAATGGGATAAGAAATAAAGGGAAGAAAAATCCTTTTATGAAGTGATAAACATCTGAAAAGAGAGACGACACGTCATTTGCGTCGTTTGATGGGTCGGATGTTGAAAGGCTGAAGAGAAGGAGAAAGATTCACATTTTATGTAAAACCATCAAGACGATTGACATTATATCGCTTCGGGACGGAATCATCGTGAGACGTTGATGATGTTTCTCCTGCTTTTGACGAAAATCTATATTTTATCGTTGGTAGTTTACGAATCTAACAAGACAACATTTTCGTAGATATTTTCGTTTTCTCAAATAGTTTGACGTTTATTTTTATGTCACTTTCCATTCAACATCGATTGCAATAATAGCATTCTACATGTTGATAGTGGGCAGGAATAAAAACAAAGCTAAAGGAATGAATGGAAAAGGAAAACCAATAAATCGGATATCATCGATAAGACGACCTCCGTTATTTTCAATTCAAGGGAAGTTGTTATACGAAAATTGGCTTCATAAATATCCCATTTCAATGTTTATTAATTTTTCACTTGAAAATTGCTTTCATCCTGTAACCTTTAGCTTTACTTCTTTTTAAGGGATCCCATCTAAAAGAGAAATTGAATGTATCGGAGCGCAAAAGGTTATCATTAAATCAAATAAGAAAATAAAAAAAGGAAACGAGAGACTCTTTGACCGGAAATATTTCATAGTCCTCTGGTTTCTCATTGGTAATTTTATGATTATTTATTTTTCCGTTTTCAATTTGCTTTGGTCAAGATTCGCCATTAGAATTCTTCAAAATATCCAATCCAGTCACATGTGAAATAAGACAAGGTGAGTAAGAGAGAGAGAGAGAGAGAGAAAGAGAGATATGTGTGTGTGTTTGTGTTGATTGATGTAACATCATCTCTTTAGTAATCAATTATTTGGCTATTAACTAAATTGAGCTGCTTCTGGTTTCAAACGATGAAGCAAAAGTAAAAAGACGAAGAAGAAAACAGTGAAGGCGATGCTTACCTAGCATGACTTGTCAAAATTAATGAAAGGTTTCAATGGCTTTTCACGCAAGTATCTTTAATGATCACTTTTCAACATTAGCAACTTTATTTCTTTTTTTGAATAGTTGAGTGTTTTATAAATGGAATCGATTGCAATCAATTTAAACTTTTTTATTGATGAAGATCCATTTTTGAATTCTTTAAGTAGGTTTTTTGTTGATTTATTTAAAATGAATGTGGTTAAGCTGGCACGGCACACAAATTCAATAGAAAATATTTTGTCAGAAACAAAAGAACTCAACTGCAATGAAACCTGCTTGTGACATTTCAGAGAAATTTATCGAATAGTTTTTTTCCTTATCAGAAAAATCCAAACACGAGCAGAAAACAAACGAAAGGAAAAAAAAAGACAAAATTTCGTAACAAACTCTTTTTGTGATGTAGTCAATGCTGCTGTTGCTGTTATTCCACTCCTTGACAAAACGATATCTTGTTTTCCATGTTTTACTGGCTCGCTTGTCCGCTTGTTCTTCATAAACATATGACTGCCGTCTTTTGTCTTCTGCTGAATGGAATTTTAAACAATTTCTTTTATTTTTAATTTTGTTTTTTGTTGCTTTGTGAAATGCATTGCGCGCGGGGATCGTAGATAAAGCCTCGAGACTCTCTTTCGTTATACACAGCCACGATAAATGCCTTACAGCTGCACCATCCAAGGCGTCATTGTGAATTCAACTCTGGTCGAGTCTCGCTTCTTTTTTTCCGAAATTTTTTACAAAACATCAAGAAATAATTCAGAAGAAAAACCAAATAATAATAACAGAAGCAAACAGTAAGCTCAAAGCAATATGAAATATAAAGAGAGTTGAGAAACAAAAGACGGTAGACAACAATTGTTGGCGATATTACATGGAAAATGGAGAGCATAAAATGTTTATTTTTTCATCGAACAATATGCATTATCAAGCAAGAAGTTCTCAAAGTGAAAACGCTTCTTTCTTCAACCGCCACCAAGAAACCCAAAGAAGCAGCAAGCACAACAGCATTCATGCCGTGTATGACTAAATGTTTCCATGAAAGGTCGCGCATATTCGAAGCTTCTTAGAAAACTTTTCTTTCGTTTATTCATTCGTCTTGCGATAAAAGAACCTTGCAAAGTCACTCTCAACACCTCGAGGGGAGACAACAAACATAAAAGCGAAAAGTCGCAAAGTGCAATAAATTTATTTCTCATCGCAGCTCTAAAAGAACTTCATAAAAAGAGAATCAATGTGATGCATTTTTAAATACATTTTTATATTGCCATCAATTACAATTTTTTTTCGCCTGCCTCATTTTACTGAAGCAGTTTTGTATTTTATTTTTCTTTATTTCTTTTTGCGCCGTTAACTTACCGAACAAGTAAATGTAAGCGCACTAAATAATATAATAAATTTTGTGGTTTTATTTTATACACCAATAATGCCCAGTAGCTGTTCAATGTCGATTTTCAGTCTTTACGATAATAAATTTTAAGCCACTATGTGTTCATCTTTCACAGGCAACAGCGAATGTTACACACACTCAGTAATTCGCCTCTTAATTTTTTTTTCTTTTACACAACAGAAGTTTTCATAAAATTAACTTAGAATAAAGACAGGAGAGAAACGAGCGAAAAATTAAATAAAGCATGAATGAAAAGTGCAAGAAGAATTTTTTTGTGTGCACTAAATAAAAGCAAAGCAAAGCAAAACAAACCGAGAAGAACCAAGAAAAAAATCAATAAAGTTGAACGATGATTTATTGGCTTGTGGTTGAAGTTACACTCATGTTCCAGTTCATTGTGCAACATGAACATAAAATTCTTTAGCTTTATAATTATTTCATCATGATTTTGTTTTCAGCTTCCTTTTCGCTTTTAAAAATGTTAAAATAATCAATTTCAAGAATTCACATGATAACGACAATGATTTCCTATCGCATTGCATTTCTCATTGGTTTTTAATTTACATTTTCAATTATTTGTCAATGCCAGAAATAGCGAGAACAAAAATAAAATCCGATTAATTTCCTGCTGCGTTTTTTATATGTCGTGTAATGTTCTGCGCTCTTTTTATTCATGATCAACCATTCATTGACTAAGCCAAGAGAGCTAATAAAAAAATGATAAATAATCGACGACCACCCTTAACAGCCATCCTCACATAAATAAATAAATTGGTAATGTGTGTGCAGCTCTCTTCTAACTCTGATGTCCTCTAATCTCTTCCTCAAACAGCGCCTTTCATTGAAATCACTTTTGTCAACATCAAACTCGTCGTTGCTTTTTTTATGAAAACATTTTTCTCTATTCTGTAAACAGGCGGAGAAGAAAATGCCAATTTTATGAAATTCAAATACATCATGAAGTCCAATAAAGCGAAATTCCTTCCGATTTTATTTCTATGTGCATATACAGTATAGAAGACGAGACAGAACAATAGCTGAGTATTAAGGATAGGGAACATCCAACAACTCTTAAGAAAATTAGACGTCAAAAGATATAAATTGAATTAATCTATGATGAATAAAAAAGAGTCCAAATGAAACCAAAACACACGTGCAGCAAGCTGAGAAGTTTAATAACAGCTTGAAGCGCTTTTGATAGAGAAAGTGTGCGAAATATTAAAAGCCACCAATAAAGGAATGCGACATAAAAGGACTTTAAGCTGAAACCAGAAAGATTATTGAGGGTGTTTTTAAATTTTATTAAATGGTTGTGGGAGTGGAAAATATTTCTTTTTTATTAATAAATTGAGTTAATGTTGCCTTTGAGGACTTTTTATTCATTTTTAATCTTACATACTTTCTTAGTTGATTTATTGTCATCACAGTTCACTGCTGTAAGATGGAATTCTCGTGTGTTTCGGAGTCTTGACTTGACAGAGTATGAAATTTTATTTTTTGTTCTTCCCGTCTCGGCTGAGATCCGTGCGTGCGGGTGGCAGGGAGTGAAAAGTCACCCTAAGAGTTTTTTTTACGCTTCTCGATTCTTGTGCATTCCTGCAAGTCAATCTTTTTTATCATAAAATGAAACATTTTTTTGGAAGAGAATTTTACAGTCAGGCGAGTTTAAATTTTGTGGGATACGAAAAAAATGTTTTTTTTCCTTCGCTCATCTTCTTCATACCCCAAAGGATTTTACTTTCTGTGCTTTGCATCAAATTGAACCGCTGCACGTGACTTTTAAGAGAAGGCTACCCTTGAATCTTTTCGAGATAAAAAATGTTTAAATGTTTTTTATTTTTTTCGTTCGGTTGAAGTAGGAAGATTGAGAAAAAATGACTTTTGAAACTGCTATCGAATCGATTTTTGTAAATTTCTTTGCTTTTGCCTCTTTTCCCTCCGTGTGCTGTCCTAAAACTTAATCATTCTTTATTGCAGTAGTTTCGTGATGGCATTTATACTTCTTTAGACTTTATCGTTAATTTAAAAGAAGAAAGACATTGGCAAGTAGACATAGAAAGATTTTAAATGAAAGTTTAGTTTTTGAAAACATTTACATAAATAGAATAAGAGCCTTGAACTTAATTAACTTTAGTTTAATGACCAAGAAATCTTCATTATCACGAATAACCCTTACGCCCACGAAAAATTTAAACGTTGGCAATTTTATGTTTAAATTAAAGCGCTTCGACGAAACAAGCTTCACGACTTAATTTTAAGACATTTTCTCGCATTCCAACCCCGAGAGAAACGGATTCAACCCTTTCATTAACAGCTTAAATTGTTCGTAAGTTATGGTTGCGTGTATACAGTGAAAAGCCATTTATTTCAACGTTTAATTGCTGTATTTTCATCTCTTTAAGCCAACTTCATGAGGCGTTGAGAGAAGAGAGGTAAGACTCAGGGAATTTAATTGTGGAAAGGCTTAACAAAGCAATAAATTTTCTATCTCGCAAACAGCGTTTTCGGGATGAATCAACATCGTGAATAAGAACTTTAAGAAAAGGATTGTGACGAAGATGTTTACGCATTTGAATGTCTCGAAATGAAAATCAAAATAATCTCGTCAAGGATTTAGTAAAAAGATTTTGGAGGAGAAAGAAAGCATCGACGATTCTGTCTAATTAATGCGCATTCTCGTAAGTTTAGTAACGCGTGATATTTTACGACAATCGTAATATTTATGTGTTTCGGAAGATTGTATGTAATTGAAAATAATTTTCGTTTAATGTCTGTTTGTTCTTCTTACCCCACAAGACGACGAGATTGAAAAAGTTGTTAAAAAAATATCTTCCCTCGCTCACAAGAGTCTACCAAAAGAAAATTTTCCTTAAATGTTTGATATTAAGAGAAATGTTGCTTTTTATTGCCCTTTTATTATTGTTGCGTTTTATTATTGGCTTCTGAAAAAAAAATCGGTACTTTCACTTGATGGCAAAGAAATGAGAAGAAGAAATGGCATTTGAATTGATGCATATGAAATTTAATCGCGTTTAATTTCGTGTAACATTTTCTTATTCTTTATCATGAAGTGATTTCATTAAATCTTCATGTCTTGGCTTTGTTCGCTCGATAAATTATGGAGAAATTTCCTTATTAGAACATTAGAAATGATTGAGTTTTGTTTCCTTAAGCAAAAATCATGCGAACATGCAATTTCTCGATTTTTGATTACAAATTATGACGATCTGCATTTACATTCTCAAATTTCAGTTAAAATTTTTCTTTGCTGTAAGTCTTCGACTTCATGATTATCAAGCTGAAGTTGAGGGTGAATAGATGAGTTCAGTTTTATTTTCCTATCTCCTGAGTCGCGACATTTCGTGGAGGGCTGTTGAATTTATTGATGAATCAAATCAGATGGGAGCAATTTAAATGTTACACGGGAATAGCAAAAAGCGTAGCGACGTCGTCGGAGATAAAAATTATCGTTATTCTCTTAAATGGATTATTGCAATTGCACGGTCTATTTATGTATTTTATGTTTAAGGATAGGCTCGTAAACATTCAAGCAAGGGAAGAAAGCAAATTAAAATAAAAAGCAAAACAATATGGAACTGCGGAGGTGAAAGAAAATTGCATTTTTCCGAGGGATAAGATGTCGGGGTGGGAAATTAATTAAAATAAAGATGATTTCCTTCGATGAACATTCGCGAAAAATAAATTTGTGGAGCAAGGAATAAGAAAAGTCACTTTTGAAGTTCACTTAACCATGACATTACATCGCATCCTACAAATTTATTTATGAACAAGTAGTAAATATTTAATTATGTTTTTATTACCCAATTTTCATTTGGGAAAATTAAAAGTTTCCACGTATTTTTAAATGAGTTAATTTAATTGAATAATTATGATGTTATTGTTTATTAATCATTTTAAAATAATTAAACATATGAAAATTGCATCAATTTATTATTTACGCAAACGGCCACCGATTGATTTCGCATTCTGATCGTTTTATGAGCTTTTTATTCGTGATTTTTCGATAAGATTTATCCACAATGCAAATTTTTCTTTTTAATTAATTAAATGTCAATTGAAATAAACATAAATCTTGATATTTGTTGAATAAATCATCCGATTATTTGAAGGTTTCAGTCTGGGAAGAGACAATCTGAGTGATTCGCTTGTATTGAAACATTGAACTGAAATCATTTTGTTTTGGAATTAATATCAGGAAACTTTAATCAGTTGTGGAAATAAAATTTAATTGAAATTTTTATTTAATTGAATCCAATTACTCATTACTCGATACTTTTATTTTAAGTTATAATTCATTAAACGTTTTGGCTACCTACAAATTCTGTTTGATAAATTTACTGAATTCGATAATTCATTTTTGAATTATTCAAGAGATTATTAATATTTATGTTATCCTCGTGATCTTTGTGGGAAAAATATTGTACGTTTATTAATTAACTTCACTAACGCGAAAAGATATTAATAATTACAAATCATTCAATAACGTTCGAGAGAACTTAGCAAATGTCAACATTCCCATTTTTCATGACTTAGAGCTTTAATAGTGGACGATTCAAGGTACATGATCATGTTTAATTTGCTGTTGTTCACAGTAAGATGTTGAAAATGTTCAGAAATTATTAAATGACGTTAATAGATTTATTACGACACTTCATTTACTGTAGTAAAAGCAACGAAGTCTCGCAGGTCGAAGCAATTATAAATAGCATTACGAATCTTTTTCAATGCAATTGTTTCATATTTTATGGACTGTGATGTAGGAGAATAGGCATTTAGTTTTGTTTCTAATGAAACTTGTTTTCGATGGAACGTATTTTGATGGTCTGATTTTGCGACATGACCAAGTGCTGCGTGTTTCAACAACAAATTACATTCAAACTAATATCTTGAAACATCAAAGTTAAATCACCGAGAATTGACCGTGAGAACGAAGTTGTTGCTTGACAATATGATAATGCGTCAAACGAGAGAAAGATTGCTGAGGAAAAGTGATTTATTTGCCATTTGTGATTGAACTTGAAAACCTGAAATGAATTTTTTACCGATTCTACAATTTATTTTCGAAACAAAAACGAAAGTCGAATGACATAAGCTCTCATGTGAAAGCACATTAAAACTAGTAGCATCTCTTCGTTATATGCATTGGAAATGTTTTCCTTCTCGTCGCTTCTTTTGTATTCAGCATGCAGCTTCGCATATATGCATGTCGTCGCTGGCACATTGCAGTTGAACTCGAAGATAAAGGTCAAGTGCAGTATGTAGAGCTTTTCAATTGTTATTCACATTGAATTTGTGTTTTCATTTTTCTAAGAATTTAAAAAGATATTTTGGAATATGGAAAAGGGACGATAATTTCAGTTTCTTGCAGATTAAGTGACGTCAAATTTGTTACGCCTCATAAACAGAAATCGTGACGAAGTCGCAGCTGAAAATTATGTTCAACCCTTTTTTTCTTCTCGTTAAAAATTAGATTTTTTTTCGCTTTTGTTTCTGTGGCATTCCTGAGTTAATTAAGTGTGCAAAATAATTAACTAAATGACTTCTGTTTCGACAATTACTTTTTTCTCCTTTTCAAATCATCCAACATTGATGTCCCTCTTTATCTATTTACTCCCAGAAAAAAGAAAAATTCTTAAATGAAAAATGTTCAAATAAATAATGAAACATTTATTGGATTACAATCACACACCACCGCGCATAACAGCAAAAAAATGTGTAACAAAAGAAAAGAAATTGCGTTTAAAACCGCAAAAAGATGGCAACATAATGCTTCATAATTTCAAATTCAAAATCCAATAATAAGTTTAATAATACACCACGACAGATCGCAATCACATACCACACACAACAGAAGCAGTAGCTGCTCTCAACCCCATGGAAAATAAGAAGTGAAGTGAGTGAGTGAGTGAACGAGAAGCCAATTTAATTTATATTGAAAGGAATTGACTCGCAAACCATGCACACAGATGTAAAGGCGGATGAAAAAAAATCTTGGGAGATGCATTCAGTGGAAAGGAATGACGTGGAAAACTCACTTGAAGTGGGTCCAACTCTGTCATGTTGAATTCTTTTCCGTACACTGAAAAACTGTTACATAAATAATAGAAAAATCGGAGGAAAAAATATGAAGAACAATAAAAGGAATCAAATAAATATTTTACAATAAGGCATAGCTGTGGCACACAATTTTTCCCTTTCTCTCTCTCTCTCCCTTCTTTGTTTCTAAATGTAATACAAAAATCTTCCATGAAGCGTCTGTGGTGAAATTTTATGAGGAAATTGCGAATCGAACGCACAACACTTTTGTGACTTGAGAAAGGGATGCGATGGAAATTGTTCTTACTCAAAGATTTTTTCTTATACTTCTATAATTTTCATTCCTTCCTTTTGTGGCTTCGATTCGAACACGCACGTTTAATAAAATTATAAAATGTTAGGGGCGAAATTCGTTCAAGTTGTGCAAGCTGTTACGGTCTGATTTTTCTTCCAATCATGCATGATTTTTACAAACCTCAAGAATTTCTTTCTCCTTTTTGTAGTTTTTTTTTATTGGAAAAATTTAAAGTCGAAAAACGTCACAATGTTGATAGAAAAGCTTAAAGAAGTCATTAAAATATTTTCGTGTAGAAAAATCACATAATTTGCATATGTGGAAAACATTAAAACATTACGCACATGACTAAGCTGCGATTATGGAATTTAACAAGCGCTAGACAAAAATTTTGAGGTAATCACAGACATTATGTGTAACTGAATAATGACACAAAAACAGTAACAATCAGAATTTTAATGGACATTTAGAAAATGTGTCTCAATATATTACAACAATGTGTCATTAAGTGCAGATACAAAAATCTCAAATCTGTTTTAATTATGGAAAAATTTGATCTGATTCTGATGAATGTGAAGCGATTGTTGAGCATAAATTTTATGTGAATTCTTTTGCTTCATTGCTCATTAATTCTCTTGTCTTTTGGAAAACTATTTCCACCATGTAAATTTTCCGTTTGTTTTATGACGATCGCGAAAAGCCCCAAAAATTCTTCCATCGAAGTCACTTCAACTAAGCAACATTCAAAAGGAATGCGATAATGATTTTTGCTGACGATAAAGGTTTAAGTGAAGGTATGGCAAACATTTCCAACACGTTTTCAGTGTGGGGTTGGCAATGTCAAACGATAAAAAACGAATTTACTCTTTTTTTCGATGACCATCGCAAAATTTTTTATGTCACTCCAAACTAATCCTTTCATACAGGATTTTTATTTCCCATGTGATTCCTTTTCTTCTGATCCTTCAGCATACTCAATGATTTCATCAAACAATAAAAATAAAGGCGATGAAGAACTCTTCAAAAGTCATCAGCGATAAGAAACTTTGAGTGGATTTGATTCGACAACATTTATTTTGCCAATTCGATTTCTTTTCTTTCCTCAATATTCTTTTCGCCCTTGTTGAAATCAAATAATTGGTCTTTTCTATTATTAAATGAAGATAAATAGCTTTGTACGTTATAAGAAGAAGAAGAAAAATAGAATCCCCGATAAACACAACAACGTTTGATATTAGTTTTATTGTCCAATGATTGTGTGCTTTTCTTCTTTGCAACTCCTCGGACATTAAATTAAACGCAACTCCTGACGGGAGTTTCTTTCTTGTTGATCTAACATCATTGTAGGACTAAACATCAAATGCGTGGGACTTTTATTGCGATGAGAAATTTCTCATATCGGACAATAATCATTGTTCGTTCCGGAGAGTCGGCTAAATATAAAGGGCAGATCCGATCCGATTATTTGACGTTGTGTTATTTTCGGGATCAACTTCATTAACTTTCCTTTCTTTCATGTCATTTTTGATGGCTCAATACTCGATATTTTCCTTATGTTATTTATCGACAAGTGCGGGGGTGAGTTTGACACGATACAAAACCGATATTTTGCTTCTTATTTTTTTGCTTACAGGTTGTTTTCTCTTGTCTCATTTGTGATGTAATCAAAGCCTTAATGATCACGCATCATGATTGTGCAGCAGTTAAAGAGACAAGCAGAGGTCATCGCTTTTCACCTAATCTTCTGATTCGTTACGGTTTCAACATTTATGACTTCTCACACCCAGAGATATTCCCTTGATTTCTTAACACTTGATTTCTCATTTGACTTGGCAACATTAATTAACGGATAGTTCTAATCATAATGAATCTGACATGTTTTTGTGAAAGGAGAAATTTTATATCGCTTTTCATTCTCGAGGGCTGAGACGGAGAATTTTATGCTGAAAACGTGTTTCCATTTCGATTACAGCTCTCCGTTGCTGCTATTCTTATCTTGTTAGAAGGATTAAGATAAATTAGAGTGATATTGTGTTGTTTGCTACTGTTGTATGTCGAAAATTGAACAATAGCGTGAAAATCTTTGCTTTTATTTGCCCTTCCACGTTAAATTCCACGGGGATTTCAACCTCACTCTTCTCTCTACTATTCGATAATGTGAGATAATTTCACCTTACTTTCTTTCTATATTTATCTCTAATTTAATTGATTACGATATGAATGAGTGAAATATTTGCTTCCTTTTATTGCGTTACATTTGTGGAGGAGTTAAAGTAGAAAAAGAAATTCCTGACATGATGAGACGAAAGAAACGCACAGTAGACGTCGGATGCTTAGCCGAATCTCACGTTTTATCAATTTTTCTTTCGTTTTCCTTCTTTACATCGTCTTTTATATTTATATCATCTTTTCATATTTATTGCTAAATTGTAATCTTATACAGATATCGGGCAATAATATTTGTTGTTATTTTTCCTCTTGTCTTCATTTCCCGCGGCTGCTACGTGGAGGGATGAGACAAAAAGGCATCTTTGGGTGTAGAAGAGTGTATTGTATGTTGGGCAATAAAACATAATAAACATCAGTGTCGGGATATAGATACACACATGATATTGAATGAATTTTCCAACTCCCCCGCATTACCTTTTTATCCTTCACGTTCTAGATTGAAAAGGATATATTTGAGAGTTATGTCGGAAGAAAGACTCATCATGTGAATTTTTGCATTACCTGTAAGTTCAGTTTAAACTCCAAAGCCCAAGAAAAGGGGGGCAAAGGCTTAATCCTCATCTAACACTTTCAAGTGAACTTTTTGTTTGTTTTCCTAGGCTACGATCAGAAAGGAAAATTCTTTCTTTTATACTTCCAACTTTTACATATTTTACTTACTCACGTTTTTGACTACCTGAAAGTATATGTAAGAATATTTTTGCTCCACTTTTCCACGTTTCATCCCTTTCCCATTCACTTTTGTTCTTGTTAAAAGAAGCAGAAACAGAAATTCATAAATCGCGTCACTTACTCAAACTCATTTTATTTCGATGTGCTTGCTCGTATCACGTAAGATCATAAAGATTCTTTATATAAAAGTGAAACTGGCAATATTTTATCCTCTATCTGTTATATGTATGTATGCATTTATGTTGCCATATATGTAAGATTGTTTTATTTATTCATAAAATTGTGAAGGAATAAAAAGTTTTCCTTTCTTTCTTTCTCTCTGTTATGCTGCTATCGTTGTGGCATCCGGCACGATTTTCATAGATATCGATATCGAGGATATGAAGACGAGTAAATTTTTCTTCCGACTTTTCCGCTATTCCTGCTGCTACTTACGGCGTAATGAGAAATGTTTGAGAAGCGTGAGTAAGTGAAAGTTGAACGAAACTTTAAGTCACTTTTCTCAATGTCGAAAAACAACTCAATTATGTCTCATTTGTTCTATCATGAAAAGGTGGCGAATATATATTTTCTCAACTTTAATTTATGGAAAAACTTTTTCCTTACGATGAAGAAGAAGAAGAAGAAAAATAAAAATGAAACGACAGTGAAAGTGAAACAGGAAAAAGTCCTTCGAGAGATTATTGACCTTGGTATTATGCATGACATAATCGTGTTTAATGATGAGAATATTAAAAAGTTTCGAGTCTCTGAATTCCTTTCATGCTGCGTTCTAAAAATAAATCGGCGAGCTTTAAGAAAAGTTCAATGCGAATTACTTTAATGGCGAAATATTCAACACATCATCAGATTGTAATGGCACTGCGGTTAACACACAAAATGAAGTAAAATAAACATTTTAAAGAGCATCTCCCCAAAAACATAATATTCTCGCTTCCTTTCGCAAATTGGCTGACATCAACATCCACCCACACAATCTCGCACATACACATGTACAATGGAATCACATCACATGCTATTCAATTTAAATAATCTCTTGTGTTGGTGCCGGAAAATGTTCACTATTGCTGTCGAGAGAATCTGCCTTGCCTGCGGCTGCTTAGTTAATAATTTCACGCCACATTAACAGTTAACAATAAAATAATTATGGATAGCTAATTCCTAAATATACACAAGCAAGAAATGCTGACGAACGGGTTGGTTGGTCTGTTAAACGCGACCGTCGATGAAGCGAACAACTGAGATGAAAAAACATTCAAAATCTGCCTTCGAGCTACTAAGCACCAACAAGAATAGGGAAAAATGGAAAATAGAATTTTATAGTGACAACAAATTCAACAACCCTTTTCACAACGTTCGTTAGTGTTTCGCTTCGTACGGTGTTATTGTCGACATTAAATGAGTTTCGAGGAAATGTAAGAAATGATAAATTTTATTTTCTATACTTTTTTTTAGCTTCAAACTCTTGGCAGAAGAGAAATTGTGTAAGGGGTGATGATGACGAGTCATTGTATGTTAGAAGAATGTATAGCAAGTAGATTCAATAGAAGAATGAGATGAACTCAAAAGCGATTTCTAAATTACTTCAATAGAGAAGGAAATTAACGAAATTAAGTTAAATTAGGCAATTTCTGGTTGATTTCGTTTGAAGTTTTCAAGTTAATGAGATGATTGAAATTGTAAACTTTTGAATTTATATTTCTATCCTGAAGGAGAATTTTGAGCTTCGAAATAGCACAAAGAGTTGATTACCGACATAATTTTCATTTATAAGTTATAAATAAAAACTTTTTTTTAATCCTTAACATTACCTTAACACTAGACAATCATTCAAAATATGAAATTGTATGAAATGAGAAGAAACCTGACCGTTCGTTGCTTTATTGATTTTCCATTCCACTCCGAGTTTCGCCATCTTTAAGAACTATTCTCTTTATAATTCTCGTCCACACAAAAAAAGCAGAACATAATTGAAAAACTGAACAAAGCTAGGATAAATTCTAGGCGAGTTGCGATGTGGAGAAGCAGAGTTGGAAATCCTTCACATTTCTTTTCAATTGCCGGCAGTTTATACAATGAAAGTGTTTGTTTTATACATGCGACAATGTGATAAAAATTTAATTTTCAGTATAAATAAATGCAATTTCAAAGTGATAACATTAATTAAATTTCCCCATGTTAATTGAAAGAGATAAATTGTTAATTCAACTTTGTATGAACATTTCACATCCCTGGAAGTGAACAAGCAAAAAAATCTCAAGAAATGAAAAAAGCTGAAGTAAAAACGCGCCAAAGAGGCAAGAAATGTGTTCGATTCGAGTAAGTGAAAGAGAAAAAGAAAGGAAAGCATCACGACTAGAGCAGAGCTCACAGATATAAATTTTGTATGTTGATGGTAATGGAAACTGTTGGAAAAATCGAAATTTTCCTCATTACACATTCAACTCAGGTTTTGGTTTCTTTCTTCTTTGCTTTCGTCTTCCGTCCCTACCAAGATTACCTTCAGGGTTTCTTTTCTTTCCTTTTATTTTCCTTCTCGCCAATGCATTCTTTATACAATAACAACACAAATAACTGAAGCAAAAATATTTATGTATTTACTAGTGAAGAAGGAAAAAGCAGGAAAAGCTTACGTGTTCCATCGAAGCATTTATTCGCTTTGGATTACGCTCCACTACAGTTTTTGAAAGATAGAAAACCTCCACGATCTTCAATTTTTGAGCACCAACAATAACGTGAGTGTACAAGACAGTCGAGAAATGTTTTAAATCGAGGGATGATAATCGAATTAAATATTTTGATAGACATTCGCCCTGATGAAGCCTATTGCGGAGGCCAAAAAAGAAAAGAAAGAAAACGACGCCCTCAACCATGAATGAAAGACGAATTTTCATCTGCAACAGCAACAAAAACTCTCTGAAATGAAATCAAACATAAAATGAGATCAATTAGATTTTGAGCAATTGAAAAATGAAAACGTGTGGAAAATATCAAATGAAGAGAAAAAAAATCTAAACAGTCAATAAGAAGAAGAATTCTCGTTCGCATTCTTAGTTTTGAAATCGTATCAAGTAGCTGTGCTAAAAAAGAAAACTTTAAGACTCAAACGAGAAAAAAGTTCTGCATCGTGACTTCAAATTAGTTTAATGAAATTCTCGTCTGTGATGGGTTCCCTTTGTCATCACTGCAGACAATGATCTCAGGCTTTTCCATACACTATGATTAGACTGAAAATATCTTCAGACAATACAAACATGCTAAGCTTATTTAAAATAACTTGTGACATTTCTTTGTGAGATCAAGCGAGAGTGCTTTGAATAATTTATTGACCAACACTCAACGATATAAAGTTTCATGGATTAAACCGTTTCGCATAAGTGACATCAAGCGTCGATATTGATATTATGTCGTTTCATATGAGAAAAGAAAATTATTTTCTTCTCCCTCCACCCCCGCATTCAATGGATTGCGCTACTATTGGACGCGCTTGTTTGCAAGCACGAATATTTATGCATATTTCTCACACAGTGATTATTATTACTGTAAAATGTCAGTCAATGAGACCAACAGTCAGTGTTTCAATGATGAAATATTCAATCAAAGAGCTAACTGTATGTATTTGTGTGATTTTAATATCCATTTTCATTCTACCCTCCAACAGCACCATTTATGTAGAGCTGGGCGCTCAAACTAGTCTACATAAATCGTTCTCTTGTGAAGCACAAGCAAAAACAATGTGTTCTAACAATGAAGCAGAGAATAAAATAAAATATATTTAAACAGGCTTTCACAAAATTGTGCGTGAATATGAATTTATTCTGCGGATTTAGGTTTTCCAATGAAATTTATTATGCGATATTTTCATTTTTTTTCTCTCTGTTGTTGCTCTCAATTGAATTGCCAACAGCAGTCCATGATAGTCGCTGACAATAAATCCTTTTTTTCCATGTTGAAGATCAATAACTTCGCTCGTTGAATAAATGAAGGAAAAATAGTTTCATTTCCAAATGAAATCCTTTTATCAACTGAACGGAAAGTGTGACGATCAAAATAAGACGATTTCTAATTTAAAAAGATGATTGATAAGTGTAAACTATGTGCACAATGTCCCTCAAAATATCTTTTAATAGGATATTTAAAAATAAATAATGCATCAAAAGAGATCACATTAAAACACCATCAACGTAAAGCACATGAGTGAGAGATGATGATAAACATCGAACTGAGGGTTGAGTTTGCAGTAAGTTTCCCTAATCTATCTCTTTATGTGTTCGCTTTTCAGAGTCAACCCTTTTCAGAGATACTTAAAAATTTTAATGAATAGAAAATGGTGTTATAATCCAACGTTCACATAGCCATGAATAAATGATTGAAAATATTCACGGGTTGGTTGTAGGTGGTTGCTAGACAATGATTTGAATTGAAGCTTGAGATATTTAAGAAAAATATGTTGATGTAGAATTTTTCAACGACAAATCATTGAACAGAAATTTTCTCATAAAAACTCTTCACGAGAGAACTTCAAATTTTTTTCTTTAAAATTGTTACAATTGCACTTGACATCAATTGTGTAACAATATTCATGAGTGCGATGCTGGTGACCGAAATAAACAATTTGTCAGAAATTTCAAGTGGTTTTGCGCATTGAATAGAAATGAAATTGATAGCCTAAGGGTAAGTTTTTGAATGAATCCGATCGGTGTTTGCAAATCCCTTCTCGCACAGACTACAACGATAAAAAAATTCCGCTTGTCAATTTAAGTACGAGAAAAAAAAACATTAAAGTGATAAAAAGCGAGCCATATGTCAGTTACGCATTTTTGAGTTTAAGAGGCAATTGTGAAGGCGACAAAGTCTGCAAAATCCAATTTGGAATCTTCACTCAAAGGGGTTTCTCTTAAATTGGGAACAAAAAAGAAATGAAAGGAAAAAATCAATTGCTTCAAGTGTAATGATTCAAAAGTGTCGCATGAATGACACTCACTAATTTCATGTCATTTCAAAAGAGCTTGATACATAAAACCTAATTAGCCATTGTTGTTGGCTCACTTTTTTTTACGACAATCTTTTATATTTTGTTTTTCTTTTTGAAAATGTTTCGTGGATACGTGAAAGAATTTTCGAGATAAGTAGAAGCGACTTCACATAAATACTTACTCGAATATGAAGTTTGACTCATAAGAAGTTCGTTTGAATTAAATTTCTCCTTCTTCTAAAATACAACAAGTACAAATTGTCCCTCGAAAGAATTCAATAATTGAAAGAATTGCTGTGTGTTGAGAAATTATTCCAACAACTCGCCCGAGGCGCATCATATGCGATCAATTCGAATATTGTGAAACATGTTTAAGTTCTCTTGTCTTCCTATTGATCATCGCACTCTGCTATTTACGCTACAGTAACCGGAAAAGTTCAAATTTAAAGGCAGATGCAAAATTCGTGACAAAAAATTGCACTGGCCTCGATTAAAATCGCATCAATTAATCCGTTGAAACGAATGTCGTCGTGTGTTCTCAATAGAAGTCAATCAATCAACTGATTTTTCAGTCTTTAATTTTAAAATTGATTGTTTAATGACAAATAATGCGCTTCGAAGGGAAAACAAAAAGCCAAGCAAGTCCAACTAGCTTAGTTAGCATGGCTATAACCAAAGTTAACCCGCTGTGCATTATATCGTTCCTTCCACAGGGGACCAATATCACACTCACTACAATTGCAATTTATTTCTCTCTGAAAAAATATTACATCGTAATCATTAGTTTGCACTATGCGTGTTTTAATATTCCTCTATGACCGAGAACAATAGACTCGAGACATGAGAAGGGAGATGAAAAAGGAAAATAAAAAAAGGCAGCGGTTCAATCTATTTATTTTCAAATAGTAACGGATGACAAATAAAATAAATGCCCGGTGTGGGATGATGAGGAAATCTCTTTTTTTTTCCTATTCATTCATAATCCGCTGATAGTTTGTTACAGAGAGGGGTCGATGAAGCTGGTATATTAATAAATTACGTGACATTGTAGGATGTGCTATGATATTTATTTCTACTTCACTCTCTTTCGTGTTTGATTTTCCCTCATAACATGTAAAAATTTGTCCAATTAAAGTTATATAGAAAGATGAGTTTATTAAGGAAGAAAAAAATATTTTCCCGCATTTCCTATCATCTTTAATAAATTGATTATCTTTATTGATTTCCATATATTCAAGGAATACCTGCAAATTTTCGTAGATGGAATGAATTTCCAGTTGAATCGAGGATTAAGTAGCAAAGTGATTTCTCTTTCCTTTCAAACTCGTAAATAGACTTAAAGTTATTTTCCCCCTTTTGCTGCTTTATGATGACTCGTTCTTGGACAGAAATGGCAATTTTTTATTGCTGCGTAATGCGTAAGAACAAACAATAACGGGAAAAAAGCAAAAAAGAAACAAAAACTGGCAAATATTTCTTTCAACAAGAAGCAGCAACGAAGAAAATGGCAACGAGAGGAAATAGTATATATTAATGACAGCATGTACATTCACTAAAAATTGATATCATATAATAACGTCGAGCAATAACAAAGAGCAGTGGAAGTTACGAGTATCGTCAGGGAAGTTTCTTATGTTAGCCCACGAGTACAACGTTTCCCTCTACGTCTAATGCCAGCAACTATGTGTGTACATCGTACATGGCAAATTTTCATTTTACCCATTTTTATTTCGCTTATGCCGTTTGCGACTTGCTTTTGCTTCTGTTACTTATATGTTTTGTTCTTCTTCGAATACAGCCGGCTGGCAAAATATACGAAGTCGAGTGACTGTTTAATATTCAGGAAACGTTCTCAAGAAATATTGATTGGCATTTTATGTATAATGTTTTGAAGTTAGCTGAGTGAGAAAGAAGGAAAAAAAATTGAGGGGGAGAAAAAGCAAAATTGTTTTAATAGTAAGAAACAAAAACTAAAGCTTGAGTCCGGGAACATCGACTTCGACTTAAGGAAGACTTTTGTTCAATTAAATAATTTTTATTTCTAGCAATGCACATTGGAACAAAAAAAAAATTTGCGATGTAAAAGAAAATAAAAAAAAAAAGAAATTTTCTTAGATCATAGCGATTGACTTTGTCAAAGATTTCTTTGAAAAATTTCTTCTCTTTATAAAAAGAAATTTTAATTAAAGTTTACAGTCAAAACTATTCTGAGAAATGAAGAAAACGATCACAGAAGAATGAGAAAGTATGAAAAAAAGAAAGAAAAATATATTTTCATGATAACATCTAAAGAAGAATCATGGAGAATAGGTTTTTAAATTCTAAATGATATTCTTTAGTTTTTATCTCGACCTAATGAATCTTGCCATCATTTGAGATATTACTATCAAACAAAAGAGAAAAGCTTTTGGAAAATCTGAATTGGGACTGTATAAGAATGATGTATGAGGAAATTTTCAAATTATTTTCATGGAAAATATTTCAGAACGCTCCTAGATACGTCACGAATCATTTGATGAAAAGAAAGAGAAAAAATATATAATTTAAGTTTATCGTTTGAATGATAACATCAAGAAATGAAAATGGATTTAATAGACTAGGAGAGTAGGCAGAAAAGAGAAGAAAACTATGAATTGATAGGCAACAAGATATGAGTGAAAATAAGATGAGTAAGTAAAGAAATTTCGAACATTTTCATCCACGACATGATAAAAATGATGTCAAATTTATTAAGACATGCAAATTTGCTTTTTTTCGTTTCTTCTGAAATCAAGAAGATTTTGTATTTAGTTAATTCAAGCAATATCTGCAAACTTTTCCCTCAAAATAGCCTCCATCAAATCATCTCTTGTCCTAACTATGCTCCATGTCATGTCTTCGCTTAGGGTTTCAGAAGATCTTCTTCCATCCTCTGATAAAATATTTAAGTGCTTATAGTGCTTGTGATATAGAAAGACATTGCACAAACATTGAAGACTTTCATGACATCGTCTTTTAATAAAGGAAAGAAGCAAATGAATGAATTTTTGCTTCTTCTATTCAGTAATGTTTTTCATCTTTAACGTTAGATGTATCCAACTTTGAAAAAAAGAGAAAACATTTTGATAAAAATGAAATTTAGATTTTCAGATTTTCATGTGATGTGCAACTATTTTCCTTTCTACCCCGAAATTGCTCTTGTCATGTGTGTCAAATGCAAATAAATTGAAGTTTTTTTTTACTCGATTTTACTTGTTCCCGATGTTTGTCAGAAGAACAAAAACATAAAATGTATAAAAATAATAAAGAACAGTGAACAAGATGGAATCTCGATGGGAAGAACAAACAAGGGGAAAGTTATGGCACGAGAGGTCAAAGATGAGAATTGTATATTTATTTGTCTCATAATATGAACGAAGAATTCACATACGAGATGTTTAAGGACATTGAGAAGCAAGAAATTGATATCAATTAACTCTCCTGAGATTCATTTGATTTCTCTCTTTATCTTCTTGTTATAGACAAATAAATATATTGATGATCAAGACAATTTCAAAGCTTCTCAATTATGTAACGAGAGGAAATTCAATTTTATAGTAAATTGCTAACTACTGAGGGTGAATACAAATATGGATGTTCTCATTAATACATCATTAATGTTGATGTCGCCTTTTCTCCCTGTTTTGCAAAACTTTATTTGTCATCGGGTGAGAAAACTGTTAGACGTTTAACTGCTAGTAGTTAATGTTTGCTGAAACAATATCCAAAGATATTCCAACTAGTTATTTATTTCTTTTCAAGTGGGCGTTGACATCGTAATATTTCTTAAAAAAAATAAAATTTATTAATTCTGTCCTTTGGTTTTTTCCCTCTCAATGATGCCACGGGTCCGTTATTCGGAAACAATGAATTGTGATGGCAAGCATTCAAACATATACACAATTTGGTATGCACACGTCTCTCAATTAATGAGATCAGCCCAATCATTAATCATTTCTATTGCTTTATGGACGATTGCACTGGCGTGTTGTGTCCCAAAATTTAATTGATTTATTAATTCTGAAATAGAATTTAATAGCTTAATTCATCGCTTTTGTTTTTAATCTGATTTTACAGAAAGATTTTTTTAAAATCTTAAAATATTGATGTTAATTAATGCTAAAAGATTCTTCTTTTTAAATTAAGTTTATCGACAAAAAAATGTTTAGGATTTAAACTGATGAATATAAATTACAAAAACTATTCAAGACATCTCAATTTTATTTATAGTTTTGTTATTCTGAATATTAAAAGAAGATGAAAAATTGGAAATTAATGAAGGTTTAGAATGACAACACTTGGAAACGGTAAAGAAGTTCAAAGTAGGAGATTGTAAAAACATAAAATTAAACGATTAAACGATTGATTAAGTAAATCCTTATGAATGTCTAAGAGCGAATTCACCTGCAAATATCAAAACAATGATGAATACCAAACAAACTCTTGACAAAATATTTAGTTAATGTTCAACTTCATTTAAGAACTTCGACAATTATTTTAAAGCATCTCACATAATGTTGAAGACAATCAAAATGTTTTTCATCGTTCATTTAGAATCGTTTAAACTTTTAAGGAATGAGATTTGCTAAGATGTGTCAACGCTGCTTTCAGTGTGATTACTTTTGATATAATTTGAACTATCTATCTATTCCGAGAGAAAATTCCATTCGTAAATCACATTGGATAAGGTTTTCAACGCCATTATCTCGCGCCATTCGCTTGTCACAATTCCTATTTCTCTACATTTTTAAAGTGAGTGAAATAAGCGCGTATTGAGACATTTCTACCCCTTTCATCATTGTCATAATGTTCAACTCGTTACAACGTTCCTCGCGAATGATGATAAGATTTCTTCTTTCCATCGTAATGTGTTTACAAGGGGATCAAGTTTTGTGATAAATTTAAATTTTTAGAGCTTGATGTAAAAATGTTTGTCAAGAATGAATTTGCTTCACGAAAAATTCTTTTACTTAGATAGTACACAAATATTTAAGGACTGGCAATGAAGAGAAAGTTTGGAATTACAAATCGTTTTCCAATGTGAGCAGTTAAATGTGAAATGCTTTCTTTTTTTATTTTTACGATTCCGATAAACACATATAAACTATTTATGAAGCTATAACTGAGTGTAATGATGACTACTTTCATGTAATAAAATTCATACCTTTATTGCCAAAATAAGTATTAAAACTTATTCATGGTTTGACAGCGAATTGTAGCGAGAAGTCTCTCAAAAATTTATAGCTTCGTATTTTCAATTTCATGAATATTCACATAGGAGCGAATCAAACATTTTCATCTCTTAATTTATCGTCATCGCACTTTTCTCGTTTTATATCTTCAACTTCTAATCTGATAAAGAATTCGATGTCGAAATGAATTTATTCCGGACCAACACTTTTGAATGCAAAATTTTTCAACAAATTTTCGCGTTTGTCACGTTAACATTGGGAATGAAATTTCTTCCTTTAAAGACTTTAAGGCCTGCACTAATGTCGCTTAAAAATTATTTTTGTAAAATAAATTTTCGAGGGATGACCGAAGTTAAAAAGAAATGTAAAGTGAAATGGGGGGAATTTCAACAGACTATTGAATCATCCATGTCGTTCCTAAATGATAGAAAGCGATGAGTTTTTGCAGTGTTTTTACAGTGCAGTGGTGACAGCGGAGCTCTTGTAGATATTTCGTGTTCACAGAGTTTTCTTTCTATTATTAAATTGTCATTACAATAACAAACTAGACGAGAATTTTTCTTTCATGTATCGTTGTGAAGGATGAAACATGACAAAAACGTCGTTTGATGATGGCTGATGTTGATGAAGGTTTATTTAGCGGTTGTGTCGAATCTATGCTAGAATGAAAAACGAGGGAGTGGAGGAAGAATTGAGAGCGTGGAACAAATCTGATTATGACGAGAAGCATAATTCTCGTTCGCTTGCTATTTGCTCAAATTTCGTGATTTGTTGAATAAAACAATGATAAAGAATTTGCGACACTTTTAATCTTCAATGAATGAATTGAATCATAAACTTTTCATATTCATTTTTAACACTTTTTTAATAAATGTTTCAGTGTTTGCATTATTCAAGGACGAAATGTTCTTCTTGTTTTCCACAAAATGTTAGATGAATCGTTTTTGTATAATCATGAACAGTGAACAATGTAAAATATGACAACGTTACGAGTTGAGTTCATTGCTTGAATTTTCAGTTGTTGCACAAGGGCAAAATTGATTTTTATAAGATTTCGAATGAAAAAGTTTTCTGATTTTATTTTAGAAGGAAAATTAAGTCTTTGGATGTGAAGTCATTGAAGTTTTTTAAAAGTTTTGATTATAAGTTCAAAAGCAATCGCACCTGGAATTGTCATAATCTTGACAAGCAAGAATGAATGAAAATCGCATAACATGATATCGATTTCGTACTTAACATCTGAGAAATGTCATGAACCCAAGCAATAAGAAATAATCAATCAATTTTCCATGTCGTCGCTAGCATGGATTTGTTTCTTCCATTAAAGTTCAACAACTTTCTTATTGTTGAATCGCGTCCTGCATGCTGCTGCACTTTATAAGTTTAAAAGTGTAAATTAGTGACAAGCTTATAGAATGTTAGAAAATGAATAAATGTGAAATTTTGTACCAATTTTCAGTCTAGAAAGGGAAAAATTTTCCTTTAAGCTAGGAAAGCATTGAAAACACTCTAAAGACACATTTTAAAATGTTTAGAGGAAATTCAAGGCATTGTTCATATTTACGCATATTAAATGAATTCTTTAATTAAAATGTTTACACCTCAATTATCTACTTTGTTTATTGAAAAAAAAAATTAAAGTGAAAATTCTCTTAAACATTTTCTTTCCTTAATGATTTATCATATTTTACGCATGCTCGTCTCCTTAGTAACATCAAGATTTCTTCTTCATTTTCGAGTCGAATCCCTCTCCACTGTCAAAGGTGCCTTCATTAGAAATGGTGTTTATTTAAACTTCACTATCGTCTTCGTCTTTTCATTCCTCACAATTAAGTGCTGTTTGTATAACGCTCAAAATTTGATGCTAATATTACTCTCGACTAAAGTTGTCGATTTAAATGGAAGAAATGAACGTCTTGAAAAATATTTCGAGAAATTTTAAGGAAAAATAAAAACAAGACAAATAAAAGAAATTTTTTTCTAAAAGATGATTCAAATTCACGTTAAACATTTCACTCATTATTGGTCATGACTTTGTCACCCAACAACTTAAGTTTATGTTTGTGAAAATATGTAAATTTTAATTTTCCTATTTAGGTCTTCACACATTTTCTCTCCTTTACAGTTCACCATGTGCTGGCGACAAAGTAACATTAGAATTGAACGAGAAAGGATTCCGAAATAATCGAAATTGAGAGCATTACTTATACACAATGAATGATAATTTTCGCCCACAAAAGTATCGATTTTCAATTAAACCAGAATAAGATGCGACGAGAGACGGCTAGGATAATGATTCGTCGTCGCAGTCCCTTGATAAGAATTTAATTTATTACATGGAACAGAGAAAGGTCAAAATTCTGTCTGACTCTGAGCCAATTCTACAATTAAAGTAGAAAAAAGGAAAGAAATGTAAAAAGGATTTTAAAGCTGGTTGAATGAGGGCAGTTGACGTCTTGGAGAAATGAAAATTGAAATCTTTTTTTTTCCATGAATATTCTCAACTTTGAATTGGATTTAATCCGATTTCTGACGCATGCAAAAAGCTTTCAATATGTTTTCCATCATTTGAATGTGGATCTGGCGTGTTTGAAAAAGAAATCAAATAAAGTTTCATGTGAAAAACAAGCTTCCTGAGCTTTTTCTATTGTTTGTTGGACAAATAAAAAAAAACATTCTGCCTTGTACTCAAGTCTGTATGCCATTGAAAAAACATGGAAAAACTTTTTCATCCAACGTCATTTTTCCCTTGCACGCTCGCTCTCTCTCTCTCACTCTCTTTTTCTAGCTTCACGTTTTTGTTGTGCACAGTGAAAACATACTTTATCATGCTATTATGCAAGGGTGTTTGGGTTATAAATTCTCGGATTTAAGTTGAAAGCAAAAAAGCTGTACGGAAATTTGTTTATCGATTTCGTCAGTTCCTTTTTTCTTCTTTCTTTCTTCATCACCGACTCTCCCTTTCTCTCACCTTCAAAGAACTAAATATTAAAGTAAATTGCGTGATTTTATGTTTAATCTTCTGCCAGAAGTCAAAAGTCTCTAAAAGCTCTTTTGACAAAATACTTTTCTTTTCTCTTATTCACTTTAATTAGTTGTGTGAATAATGATCGTGAGAAATAAAAAGAAAACTTTTCTTTCTTTTTTGTTAGTTGTTTGAAATTCGATTTTTCACAGCGATTCGACACGAAGAAATTAAATTTTTTAATAAAACGTGTCATAAATGGCCTTACTATGCAAACAAACATTGTGATTTCTTTAATGCTTTCCCTTATGCTGCTATCCTGTTGTTTGTTGTAATAACCATACTGTTATCGTAATGTTAAAAAGCATTTCCCTCGAAATGCTGTTAATTACATTCCTTCGAAATATCGATAACATATTTTTCATGAGCGAAACAATGTGACAAGCGAACATTGCGTTTGAACACGAGCTTAAATTCTTAAGGAAAGTTTTTCTTGTTCCACATTTCTGACTTTCTTTCTCTTCTCTTTGTTTACATCCACCAACGACATCTGTGAAAATTTTCCTTTTTCATTTAAAACATCGACCATTTTGCTTCGCATCTCTTCTCCCCAATGCGTCTAATGTTGTTTGAATAAAAAACAATCGCAAGGAGGAAGAAAAACAGTTGCGTAAAACTCTTTCAACTGTTCATTCATTCAAGCACAGCAGTCTCGCCTGCTAGCAGTGCCTAAAAACGAGATTTAAATTTTTCGATCATTTTTCTTTCTTTTTTGCGGTGCATAGCATTATAAGAGCGACCTGTTGCATACATTTCTTCGACGACATTTAGTTACTCAAAAGTTTGAATGTTAGAAACATTACCGGTGTGTTTATTTACTCGAATTCGATGGAAAAATGTTTAAATTTGTTGCTACATTTTAAACAATCCTACATACGACAATAAATTCTGATTCATTCCATACAATTATGAATCACGATTAAAACTTCTCAGTTTTGTTTCGCTTTCTGTTGTCTCCTCCCTCACAAGAGGTTGTAAATAAAAACTTTGTCTTTTGTTGTTCAATTGTTCGTTATTACACATTTGTCATTATAAGTTGAAGATTCATGACTTTTAAGATTGTGCTCCTAAATACGAATTTTAATAATTCTTGCTTCCTTCTTACTACAAACATTGCTTAAACGTGAAAATTCAGAGTTGACGAATGAATTTTAAAATTAGAATCATCTATGATTGTTGTCGATCCCAAAACCATCTTTGAACTAGAAATTTTAGGATTGAAAGTTTTTTAAGCTTGGGATTTTTGACTGACATTGACTGACGTAAATGTCAAAATGTCATTGGGTCAAAGCACAACTCTTGTCACAATTTCGAGAATAAAAATGATCTGGAAAAATGTGATTTGATCCTCGATTAATACCAACCTCTGAACAATTTATACATGTTAAATGAATGGAAATAAATAAAGAGTAACAAGATTCATTAAATTTCAGATCAATTTCTGTACACAAAAGAAAGTCAAACATTTTGCTAAAAATTGAATTTTGTCAAAGTTTAGGTGAATAAACCTGCCAATTTCTAAACGTGAATAAATTTTATGAGAAAAAATCTTTTCTCAAATTGTGAAAAAGTATTAAAGAGATATAATAAATGAATGTGGATTACATTTCCAAGAGCTTTTGTTTTCATATATTCAAAAGGCAAAATACATGATTTAATTTATATTTCTCGAATCAAATGTTTATGACTTCGTGTGCTGGAAATTGCTACTTGAATTAACTTTGTCTTCATGAAACATTTTCAACGAGCAAAACATGAAAAGCAAATGAAATTATGAATGTTTGTTTCGTTGAATTAACGAATCTTTCTTTACCATTCGTACTTTACTTGCTTTTCTTTGATCATGGAAATCACGATTTTTGGTACAATGGAATAATTGCCTTATTAATCATTCGCTTCTATTTACAAGACCAGAAGCACAATGTTTTCCATTCTGTAAACTGAAAACTGTAAGCATTCGAGTTTTATTTCGTAATGTTTTGAAAAAAAGGAAAAAATAAGAAAGAAAATTTTATTATGAAACATAATATGATATCGCTGTTGCTTCCATTAATAATAAATTTTGATGGTTTGAAGTACAGTCTCAGCATTAAGACACATCAAAAACTTGATTTTAAGAGATTAGAAAGACTTTTGAATTTCGTAACGATGTAAAGAGATAAAAAAGTCATCAGTTTGCTCTGAGTTTGAATCTGACAGTGTCAATGTAACAATAACCGTAAAAAGTGACGCGAAATCTACTCGAGTCGAGTTTTGAAACATTCAGAAGTATAAAAGAAAACGGCAACGGCGTTAAAGCATGAAGAGATAATATTTAAATTGAATTATCTCATGGAAATGGATTATTCTGTTTGAAGTCGATCTTTTTTTTTTTTCTTGCGATGGAAAGTATGTAAAATAAACAGCAAAATCTTATTTATCACTTTACGCCCTTAATCTTGATTTTACTTTTAACTTTTTTTTTTGTTCTTGATATTTTCAAGGAAAGCATCAAAGGTGAAAAATTATCATTTCACCGCGCTTTATGATCCAATTGTTGAACTTATGTAAAGAAGATGGAAAAAGGAAAAATTTTAATGAAATGTTGGTCCTTTGGGAATGCCTACGATTATTTGTTGTTACTAGCAGAATTACCCGTAAAGATTTTTCTTATTTTATTAAATAAATTTCAGAGATTAATTAAACTCATAATCATAAAAGAAAACTTCATTTCAATCTTACTGTCAACATAGCGATGTTACATTTATAAACATAGATATGCAAAATTTAGAGAATCCAATGACAATCTCCACCCTCTTAAACATCAACAAAACAAATTATTTTCGTTTTTCATTTTTCACGATTAATGCATTTAAATTAGCACTCTCGTCTGCTGGTTTTCCCTTTTCATTTTCTTTTATTCTAGCTGGATGTTTGATGTACATAAAAAAGGGCGCGTTCGTTTTGGAAAAGTCTAAATAATAAATCAAACAATCATTTTCTAACCAACGCTAACCAATTCATTTTTTAACACTTCTCGTTGATAAATTGGCATTTAAATATGCTTGCGTTGCAAAAGGAAAAAGAAAAATAAAATCTTGATGAGTCTGCATAATCGTGGTGGACTGGGAAAGACGACAAGCGCAACTAGATTGATCCGAGAACTTGTCATTTTGAGTCGAATTAAGATTTTATCGCGCTGATAAGCGAAGAGTGCTAGAGGGGAACGATGTTGATGTTATTTAACGGTTTATGGTGATGTTTCTGATATTAAATCACTCGCTTGTATGAAACACCAGCACTGGCGACCCTTCCTCGACATCCTATTACTCGAAATTCTTATCATAATCACAATCAGAAGGAGAGAAATGAAATTTCCTTGCGATCGTGGCTCCTTATGTGATATTTTTATTTTCATAACATTGTTGTCCCTGCCACCACTTTGTATCGAAAAACGGTACAGATCTTTGAGAAATAAATTCAGATTTTCACGACATACAACGAGGGTCTTATGAACATGTTTTAAAATGCCTGCGTCAGTGATGAAATAATGTCGAATTGAATTTCTTCTGCATCAACACTTTTGAATGGAAATATTTCTGTTGTCACAGTTTTCAGTTTTGTTAAACGAGGAGAAGAAGTGAAAATGGAAGAGGAAAGTGTGGAAATTTTAGATTCGCTTTTTACGATGATTCCAATGTACTTTTTGATGTCGTAAAAAGGCATGCAAAAAAGTTTATTTTTACAACAAGACAAGAAGGGTAGAACAACTGCATGGATACACTTTGCGGTATTTTTGCGTCAATATTTTTCCGGAGCGTCATGAGGGTTGATGGTTGCTTTGGATAAATTCATTTTGATGTTTCACTCAACATTCGCTAGCATTTGTCAATCAACTTTTTCTTTGATAGATAATTCATCTTTTCGCTTGATGTACTTTTGTCGCCTCTGGTGATTCGATCATCAGACGAGATTGACAAGACTCTCTCTAATCCGACTTACGGTTACTTTGATGAAATGATGTCAACGTTTTGAACAAATCAATGAATAATTTAATTTTTCATTATTTTAAAAATTTATTGTATGATTTCTTGAAGAAGTTCTTGAAACTCTGAACAAAGTTAAATCTTAAAACAATTTAGAATAAGCTGTAAAAAGAATTTTCATACATTCGAAAGACTCCATTCATGATGCTTCTTACAATGCATATCATAATTCTGTTGAGTAACATAATCTGAATACAACATGAGGTAGCATTGAACGATGAATGAGAAAACAAGTGAAAGAGAAGAAGAATTTTAGTTTATGTACAGATAAACTTTTATTCTTTGTCGGTTCCATTCATCCCTTCATACATGCTCAGAGTTGTTAAAGGGAATGCAGAAATAAAAAAGATTTTCCACACATTAATATGATCATCATTGAGAGCAGAAATAGAGTTCGAAATCAGCTGATACTGTAGTCAGACAGCTCTCATATGCAACAGTGTGCCGTCGTCTCATGTGGTTATCATTTTTGTTATGCTGCACATATCTTTCAAGCTTTGAACTTGGAGAGTGCTTAACAAATATATTTTACCTCCGAATATAAATTACCATTCTCTCCGGCAGTCGTCATATTCGGTAAGCTTTTTCGAGTGAGATAAGAACGGGGAGAAAAAAAGAAGATCATTTAATCATCATCATTGTCGTCGTCATTGTTCCGGAAAATGTTAAGCAATGTAAGCGATACGAAGGCATGGAAAATGAAACGGAAAATTGAAAATTGAAAACATAAAGACAAAGTTTGAATAAAAGAAACTGACAGAAAGTTTTTTCAACTGCTGCCTGCTTTTGACATTTGTCAAATTACGCTTAAAAAATATCGTACATTCGATGACCCAAAAGTCATTTGGTTAGTCTCTTTTTCCTGTTGTTTCGAAACACGTACGCAAGTAAAATAGAGTTTCGTATAAGACTGACTAGATTAATGAATGTCAGTCCCATGAGTGTGATAACAAAATTAAGAAATTTTAAATTAAGTTTTCGACATCATTCATTTCGTTTAAAAATGAATCATTTTGAATCAATTTTCAAAGCCTGGTCAACCACTTGAAAATATCTTAGAATATTTTTTTGAAAGTAACAAGAAAACTTTTTTTTTCTCTTTACACCAGTTTTTTTTATTTAGATATATTTTAATATTCTAGATGTGTAGCCATCGCAAATAGATTTATGTTACAAAAAAGCATGTAGTAGTAGGAAAAAAAGAAGAAAAATAATAAAAACAACAGCAAAAGATATCCTATAAAATGTCAAAATAACTCCACATCTAACAGCGAAGCTCTCTATACAATCTTTTGCTTACTTGCTATCATTTTCTAACATGAAAAGGGGGAGAGACTTGACGACACTTAGAGATCATCGGTGGGAGCGAATGAAAATAAAATAGCTGACGACAAACTCTTTTCTTTTCCTTTCCTTTCTTTTCGTTACTGAATTGTCATTTCATTTATCGACTTCGATTTTCCCCCCTCAACATCGTCAGTCAAAAGTCTCTCACGTGATTCAAACACAAAGAGATTTCAATTTTAAACTGTAATGATCAATCGATGTACTTTCAAATATTTTAAATCGTTCTAGATAAGAATCTGCAACGTATAAATAAACCTGATTTCTTGCACCTCACCTCCCCCACAACTTTTCCCAATACAGCGCCATTTTGAAACAAACTTTTCATTCCCTCGTTTGTATCCTTGTTGAGCGAAGAGAAAACAGAATTTACATCGTTAAGAATATTATGGCATCATCGTCAAAAGAGTCGACTAACAAAAGGTATTCAGGATTCTCTTCTTTTGCTTCTTCACACAATTTTACTTCTTTTTTTTTTTGTAGAATCTACATGATTCTATTATGGGTGCACGTAGGAGTGTGGTAAGAGGGTTGGGAGGAATTTACGGGATTTAAAGAGAGATGAACTATTATTGTGTCATGGATATTAAAGATTCTTGAAAAAAAAAGATATAAGAATAAAAATGGAAGCTTTTCTCTTGCTTCTTTCGAGATATTTTTAATTGAAGTGAAAATCAATAGAGTTTTAAACTTTATGGACTCAAGTCAACGATAGCTTTCGACGAACTAGCCTCACGTGGTTGAACTTGAAAAGAATTCAATGTGTGAGCATCGGTGGTGGAGTAAAGTAAAGAGAAAATATTTTTTTGTGTTTGTTCCATGACAACGTACAAACAAGCGAACGAAAAGTTTCTATGAATTGAAATCGTGATCAGATTAGCAAATGAATGGCAGTGAGGGAAGGTCATTATGTAAAAATGTCTATCCAATTCACTTCGACTTCAACAGTAAAATCTTCACTCATGTCTCTATCTCACTTACCCGCCTCGTCTCATAATTCATTAAAATTTCAACTCACACATTTCTTTAGCTTTGAGTCCAGGCAGCAAAACAACAGAAAATTTATAGCATTTTTGCTCTGCATGCCTTTAATGCTTCGTCGTCGACGAGGTTGAAGTTTGTTCCTGACAATTCCGCAAAAGTACTTTAAACGCAAACGTCCACGAGCATCGCTATGAAAAATCGATGTTTGAATAATTTGCATCACAACGAAGGCGTAATTATTTTTCATTAAAAAACCGTCCAACAATTTTATTTTGTGTGAATGAATGAATGAACAAAATAAAAATAAAAGAAAAGAGAGAAATATTTTAATGGACAATGGCATTATTAATTGCATTCACAAGTGATGGTGGTAAAAAATTTACCACTAAAGTCTGATGGAATATTTAATTTTATTGCCTTTTCTAGTGATTCGAAATGAATCGATTTCGTGGTGATTTTAGTTTAAAAGTTACTTTAAAGCATTTAACATTAATCAAAACACAAAATGGTAAAGAAACTTACACGAAGGAAATGCGTTTATGAAGCGTAAACAAATCATGTAGTGATGATGTTCCACGCATGCCCATCGCCCGTAGTAACACCGCGATAAAAAGAAAAATGTGTACCTAATAGGGGAATGATATCATCGAGAAGAACCAGAACAAGGAAAGTAAACGTTCCATAAACAGGAATCAGGATGTTATTTATGTGTATTTAATGAAGAGAAATTTACAATCCGTTCTCCTTCGATAACTACCGAGAAAGGATTAAACAACGTTAAACTTTGAATGCATTAAAATGTATTTTGTGAAACAAAAGCATTAACATTTTAGTGAACCTCTCCATTTGTAGACATAGCAATAAGGAAGTGCAAAAATACTTTTGAATAAATTTAAAGCCTGTCAAATTATTCTGGTGCTGCTGTTTGTTGGACAGAATGTTTACAAGATGTAATGATGGTTGTTGTTCTGTTTGTGTCTAACTTCTCTGGGTTATGTGCAAAATTTATTAATTCACATAAAATTATCTTCTTATTGATTTTTCATTTTATTGCTTATCCGCCTTCTCCATCTATCAGTTGACATGTAAGCAGTAGACACCTCACTTGATGTTGCATAGAGAGATTTGCCATAGAAAGGAAAATCTCTCATAAAAATTATGCAAATTGGCGCACAACAATCCAAACTTTTTTTTTATTCTTTCTTTCCATGCTTTTTCTCACCAACACCCGCATAAAATCGTTGAAAGAAAAATGACGTTAAGGGATTCCATAGAATTGGATCAACAACTTTTTATGTCTTTCAATGATGGAAAAAAATGAATAATAATTTTGCAAAAGTATTGATTTATCTGAGCGAGTGAGTGAAATACTCAAGGCTACGATAACACCCCACCATTCAATCTTTTTCTTTCTTTTTTAGCATGATAAGAATACAATTTACAATTTCAACTGAGAACAAGGGAAAGGTCAAAATACTGTCTACATAAACACAATAAAAAAAAACAGATAACAAAAGAAAGGCAAAAAAAACTCTTTAAAAAGACCCGGCGTTGAAAATAATTATGCAAATTTTTATTTTTAGACTTGGAAGTGTAACGATTAAACGGAGATAAAGTGCGGTGTATAAATAAAATTTTATGACGATTTAACCGCACAACAAAAGTGGAAAAATCAACATTAGCAACGCATTTCATTGCGACAAAACAGATAGTAGACAGATTGATGATAACAGACGTAAGTTGAGCTTTACATTCCATTTTTTATTTAACTTGACTGTTTTGTTATGTATTGATATTCAATAACTTGCAATTCTTTATCTCGCTGTTAAGAATACGTTACGAACTGTGTCGAAATAAAATTTTCTTCACTTCCTGATGTTGTTGCTTGGTGGAACATTTTTTGAGAAATATTTCAGACTTTCTTTCCTTTATTTCTTTCGACCCGAGTCCCTTAAAACAATTCTAAACACTAGCGATATCTCGTGATTTTATTTAAAATTATGCATTTGCGAGTGACTAAAACATCATCCATTTTGTTCGCTTTGTCTCTTTTCTTCACGCGATTTGTAGTTGTAAAACAATCGCAATAGACAAAAAACAGTTGCGTAGAACGCCCACAATCGAATATGAGATAGCATGATAAAACAATACGAGAAGATGTTGTTATACTGCTTACACTTATTAGGCAAATGGAGAGGGCACGAGTAGGAAAATGTTTTATGCGAGGGAAAAACATACAAGAGAGTAAGACGAAGAAAAGAAGCAAAGAAACAATACACAATCTCTAGACCGCATGAAACACTCAAATGAATGAGTCAAGTTGTTGTGTGGAAAAGAGTATTGTTACTCTTGTTGTTGTTATCGCTTCTAACAACACAATTTTCCAAAGAAAATCAACTTCGTTTTGAAATTTCAATGCAACGGTAAAAACTTTTCCGACAAAAATCTTTTTTTAATTTTAATAATTTTCCTTCCTATTAATTTAAAACTATTAGGTATTAAAATCGATAAATATGAAAAAAGAAAAATCAAATTAATCATATTATTATCGTGATTACTGTCTAGACAACATAGAACATAAATTTTAAAAAGTATATTTAAAATAATTAGCTTCAGCAAAATAAATAAATTTATTGCTTAAGAATTTAAAAAGCTACAAGAAAACTTCACACACAATTATCTTGCAATGTTTTTCATTTGTTTTCGATAAATTTTTCAATTACTTTTACAGATAACTTGTAAATAGTAACATAATTCCTTAATCAAGAAAACACAAAAAAATTATTTGCTTGACAGCTTTACCCATCGCAAGAAGACTTAATTTAAATAAAAATGTAAAGAAAATCACTTATTTACCATATGTTTGTTTTAGCAATGAGTTAATTTTACCATAAACATTCTTTAACTTCTTTAATTATCTCCGGCTGATGAAAAAAATTATTTTCCATACAAAGACATTAACACTTGTATCGTTAAAATTAAAATCATATGATTAACTAATTAGATTTGTTCAGTAGTCTGAAGTTTCATATCTCATCATAATTTGCATAAAAATGTAGGTAAACAGCCGAATGATAATTGTTTTATTTTTACTTTTATTCAAGACAGTGAATTAATTATAACGAATAATATTTGACATCGTCACATGTTGATTGGAATATTGGAAAACTTTTTCCTCTCACTTGTAAAGGGAGGCGCATGGAAATTTGTAATTTCTTCCCCAAAAGCGACGGGGGTTCGTGTATTGGATAACTTTACACTTTTTACACAACTCATAAACTTATGTTAAACGTTTAGTAGTTTCACGTATGCAACTAACTGCCTACATATCTAAATGCCTGAGAAAACTTAACTGAATCGATTAATTAAAATTTTTTACATGCCATAATTGCTAAATCACTTAATTTAGGAATAGCATGGAATTCAATCTCATAAATTCACCGGCAAAGCGAGCAAAAGCATGCAGCATAAAACTTTTGAGCATATAAAAATTGGAATTCAAGTTTAAAATTACTCTTGAATTAAATTTACCCATATTTGTATGGTAATTAATCGAGCCACCGCAGCCGCAAATTTACATAGCGCCGCCGACTTCATTTGATTATTTAAATTTATTTACATTAATATTTCTTTAAAAGAAGAAAGGCGAACATTATGTAATTATGAAGGTTAAGAATAAATATTTATGTATGCTTTCCAATATGCTCGCGGGACAAAATGCAAAATGTCTTAAAGTTTCCTATCGAAACAGTTAGTACGAACGAACTTACATACAACAAACTATTCGACCACATCAAGAATTTTCCTCCATTCTCCATTGCACTTAATTGCGATTAAGAACCGTAGAATGAGAAATTTATGCCTTCTTATTTGCCATAGCAATGATAGATCATGATCTACAGGCAACAGAAATGTCATATCATTAGTGTTCATCAGCGTGAATTTTATTATATGCGCTGTTACGAAGCATAAAAGAAGTGAAGAGAACAGAAACATGCCAGTTCTTATACGAGGTCTTCCATCAATTTTCCCGTTTTCTTACTGCCAGCCGTCTTTCAAGTTGTTGTTTTTTCGGACATTTCTAGAGTTTTGCTAAAGACGGTAATTTTTCAACTTCAAAAAACGCTTTTTCATGGTATCAATTTTTGAAGGGAGAAGAAGTTCTCGTTCTCGCTTTATCAAGATTGTCTTTAGTGAAAATTGACTAAGAGACTTAACTTGCTTCCATTATCTAGACCTTTAAGTGATTAACTAAATGATGCGGTGAAACTTTTCTTCTTTCTTTTCAGACATCACATAAGTTTATTAATGAAAAAAGGTTGACATCGACATTAAACGGAACCAATAAATTTATAAACCGATCATTGGATGACAAAAAGTAATCCCCATGAATGAATTCTTCAAAGTTTCTGGACTAGTCCATGTCTTAAAGGTTTTTTTATACTTTATAAGAATGAATGTTCATTCGTTTCCCCTTCATTTCCTAAAGAGTTCTTTTTTTACTCGCAGTCACAGATCAAACAAAACTGATAAGAAATAAAGACAGAAATTAACAGGTGTTGTGTTGAAACGACTCAGTGAGACAACATGTCTCAGTATATCCAGTCATTAATTTTAAAAACGAATAGAAACTGCTGTAGGTAGAACAGGGAAAACATGTAAGGAAAAAAAATAATTTTTGGGGAACGCAAAAATTAATTCAATTGAGGAAATGTTTTTAATCTCCGCTAGATGTCACTCTTCTTTTATTGAGAGAAAAGCTCGGAAAAATCATTGAAATGTGACTAAAGTTTTAATGAACTTTTCCTTAACTGTGCACATTAAAAAAGTTTAAAGCATCATCATTTAACAATCTGATTCATTTTTGGGCACTTTCATTTGTAAACATTTTTATGACGTATTTATTTGCATGAAATTATAGTGACTCGTTATGTCGTAATAAAAAACGAGAGAATAAAATTTTGAGGTGTTTTGTGGGCATTTAACGAATAAAAAAGTAGGAACAATCAACGTAAAAGCTGTTTCATGTGAGCCATCAAAATCACTCATTAAGCTATGAATTATTTAATTTTATGCTTTTCAAAAAATACTTTTTAAGTCTTGTCTCTGAATTCCATTTTGAAGACTCAATTTTGTTTCACAACCTTCGTTTTGATAACTCTTCCCTTAATTGAAAGATGTTTCGGGATGTTTGCTTTACGATCGACAATTTTACGATTTTCTTTTTTTCTTCTTTCATTTCACCGCAGAACAGTTTTATTAATTTAACACTTTAATTAAAAGAAAATCACCTACATTTACTTTTTCTCATGAATATTTATTCTATCATCATGAATCAAGCTTGCAACGCTTTTTAACTGCAACGATGACAATATAAGTTACTCATAAATGCTTCAAGAGTCCATTCAACCAACCTTCATATGTATGCGAAGTTTTTCGAAAGATTAATTGTCGATATGGAAACCTTTAATTATAAATTCAAGGTACAAACAACAAACGCAATGGAAGTGAAAGAAAATGGTTCTCTGACAGTTCCTTTCTAACCTCGACAGTGACCGGAAGCACAGCTTAAAACACACAACATGTTATTTTTGGTATGCTCTGTTCATTTTCAATTGGTTGGACTGAAGCAAAGTGACAATTAAAGACATCATTATTGTGATCGTTCGTTTGTCTACTCACAAAGCAACTGGAAAAATGTGAAATTCCATGGCTCATGAATTTCGTTTCGATGGGACGCCAACTCGAACGCGACAATAGAAGTAAATGCAATTTTTTCAATACATAACTTTTGTGCTCATTTTTCTCTTTGTGCTTGTACAAACATCAACAAGAACATTTTTTTTTATATTTTGGGCTCGCTTGTTTTATTTTTATTTTCTTTTATTATTTCGTAGAAAATATTTACTTTATAAATGTGTTACACACAATAAATATAAATTTTATAAAAATGTAAATTCTTAGTTGAGTAGCCAAGTGTAAAGAAAAAAAAAATAAAATGGCTTTTATGGATGCACGCAACATTTTTTTTCTGTGTTCACTTTTTTTCGAAACAATAAATTTCGTGCCATAAAAAAATTCTCTCATCGGTTGGAAAATCTCAATTTAACTTTGTGGTATTTAACATTACCGTGCGCTTTTTTTTTGTTTTGATGTGATGTGGTTACTGCTTACATGCATCCACCATGTCATTTTCTGATAAATCATTTGTAATTTTATGCATTGTCGAGATCCATTTGGGTGCTGGCTGTTATTTAGCAACAGCATATAATCTTCACAAATTGCATTGACGAAGATTGCAGAACTTTCACTTCCGAATGCATTCATTATATAGCAATTTATTCATAACAATAAATTATAAGAACAATTCGTTTCACTTTTTTATTATTAATTGTAAGTAAGTTTCAAGAAAATATTCTCTTTTTGCATTTGTAGATAAAATGTTATAACAATGTTGAAGTTCTGTTTGTCGAGAGAATGTTGTGAATTAATTTCGCAAGAAAATCTTCCAGATCATGCAATTTTTGATGAAACTATTTTCAGGTCTTTTTAATTCGAGATATTTATTTCCATACGTCTTCCCATGACAACACATTTATTTCCTGTCATTTTATATCCCCCTAAAAGAGCCGGAATGACAGTTTAAGCAGCCTGAAAAGAGTGCTCTACTCACAGAATCATGAATATTCAATGACTTTAAAATTAACCAACAAACGAAAGAATAATGGCTTTTAAACGGTTTAGCCAAATGTCGTCGCTCAAACAGAAAAGATAAAGTGAACAAAAAACGTGTAAACGCGAATAAGAAGTAAGGAAATGATCAGGGAAGGCTGCAATTTTACGGCCCAGTCTTTAAAATGTTTTATATGTGAAACGGTTATTTTGTCACATGCGACGGAAGTTATAACTTCATGTTCGTAATGTCCTGAAGTCTTCGCTTAAATGGACTTTCAGGCTTCATTCCTCGGTTTCAACCAAACATTTTACTTTTTGTGATTGCATGCGAAATTTATTTCTTTCCTGAATTGACCGGTTAAACGTTGTTTAGCATTAATTCGCAACATGTTTTCGTGAATCACGACAGAAACAATTTAAATTTAAGGTAAATATTTAAAATATTTGATGATTATCATTGCAAAGGTTGGATGAACGAATATTTTAATAAAAGATACTTTGTTGTATCACTTTTATTGCTGAGAATTGCAGGTGAAGCATGCATCTCGATGAAAATCGAATTAAAAGTGAATGAAAGTTATAAAACGTATCAATTACATTTGTTCTTTAAAAAGAAAGTTCAATGATCTCTTCATCATTGGATGATCAAAAATGTCAAAAATTAAGTAATTCTTTCTTTCCTTATCATGATGATTGCTTGAATTTTTACATTTCTTAACTTAAAAGACTTGAATTGAACAGAAGCAGGTGGCAATAATCCAATTTATTTGGGTCAATCATCACTAAGATGCCTTTCAGCTGCTTTGACCGAAAGAAATCTTGTTCACAAGTAACTTAAATTTACTTAGACCCAGTAAGTGAATTTCACATTGCTAAATAAAATTTTATTTTGTAAGAAAATTATTCTAAAACTTTATTAAACCCTTTGCACTTGAGTTCAACTCTCATTCTATCGTCACAACTAAGGTAACAACCGCCATGTTCTACACACTCGATTGTATTCAATCTCAAGGTTTCATTTGTCAGAAAACCGTTCACTCATAATCTTTATCTGATCCTCAACAATTCTTTATTTTAACATTCTTTGTCTTGAGAATGCAATTATTTTCTGTTTCTCTCTACGCTCATGTACATGTCTGGAACTACAGCAATTACCTCTTAAATGTAATGTGTGAAACCTTAAAAAACTTTTTTTGCATTGTGCTATGAAAAAAAGAGAAACACGATGTGTGTAAAAAAAAGAAATAAGTATGAGCGATTATAATGCAAACTTAATGATTTTGATTGACGTATTACAATAACAGTGTTCAAGTTGGGAATGAAAATGTGGTGATAAAACACCCGATAAGAAAAAATTACTTGTGATGTCGTAATCAGTGTGATGTTTAGATCAGAGACAAGCTTCTTGATGAGAAAACTTTTTCCTGTTGTCAAATTTTTATTCTTCATTTTGGAATATAATTAACAACACCAAGAGAGAGCCTATTATGATCTTTTTCACCTTATACAAACGACGCCATCAAACAGATTTCATTTCAGAGGATAACAGATAATTGGAAATGTTTTTAATTAAAATAACTCTTGCTCCATCTTTTCCCAAATCAAAAAAAGAATGTTAATCAACACAAAATTTTCTAATAGATAATTTGATTACAGCAAAAGTTTGTTGGTGAAATATTTTCTCCCTCTCTAGAAACAAAGCACATCAAAAAATTATGCAAATTTTCGTAAAAGTAAAAGAAGATTTTTTCATTCTCAATATTTTTAGCTCTTAATCAAATTGGATATCTCGTAGAAAAGCTGAGAGGGATTTTTAATATTTCATGTTTCATCCCTCATCACAACGTTGTAAAAACATGAAAGAAAGATGAAAAACTTTTTTTTATTTTCGTAATTTGAAAAGCTAAAAGTAAGAATCTTTGATGGATAGAAAAATATGAAAGGAAGTCAATGCGACAGAGAATTTATTGAAATAATATTGGATAATTATTAATTCACTCCATGAATCAAGAAAGTATAAGTGAATTCCATATGAAACTATTTATTAAAAAGAAAATAAATGAAACGTTATTGCAATAGTCAACAATGATATATTACTTTCAGTTTTACTTTCATAAAAGATAAATAACTGAAGATAATGCACCGGAAGTGATACGGTCAATTTTTATAATAAAACCGAAACTCGACAAAAGCTAAATATAAATGATGATAACTTCAGTTATTTAATGGTTTTTATCGGAGCAAAAGATCCTTGAAATGACATACAACCGAACTAAATAAGTGAGCCATAACAATATTAAAGAGAACAATTTAGTTGAGAAATTTCTATGAGCACTGTGAAACATAATTATGGTCATTTGAAACAGGTGATTCACTATGTTGGATCTTCTTTTCTTAAAGACTTCTAAGGATGACAACTTAAAGTAAAGAAGCGATGAAAGTTTGTAAAGCAGAAGCAGATGTTAAATTTTTAAAGAGCGTTGAAATAAACGTGAAATTAGCGAGAAATTTAATAAAGACTTTAAAGAACCTGAACCTCAAATTTAAAGTGAAAAACGCATTGAAAAGATTAAACTCTCATTTGATTCCTAGAAAAATAACGCAATCATGAAAATGTATCCGGAAAACAAAGAAAAAAGGGGGAAAAGGTAAAGAAAATATAAAATATATGAGAAAATTATTCAATAAAAACAAAATGAAATCTTATAAACGGTAATAAATAAATTTTGAAGGAAATGTTTTCGAGATGTGAGAAAGTGAAGGATTCTTCTTGTTTATTTAAGTCAGAGGTTCCAAACAGTTTTTGAATGATGGCATTGGCATTCAAATAATCATCAAGCAAGAAAAACTTCAATAAAACATCTCGCTTGCTTGATTTTTATATTCAACACGACAACTTGGTCAGCTTGATTATAACTTGAATTATTTAATTACCTCGATTATTTAATTATATTTTTATTTTATTAATAATAAAAATTATAGACTTGTTATGCAAAATTCAAGCCAATAAAATCATCGGCGTGAAAGAAAACCTTGCATGTTCACTTGATGATTCCACGGAATATTTGTAAACGATCGAGAGTTATTGGTTGGGCAGCCATGAATTAACCCATGAGAAACGATGATGATTATTATGAAGGGTTTCAATTTTCACAACATATTTTTTATTTGTTTAAACTTATGTATCATCCAGAGCATAAAAAAATATTTCCTCTCTTTATTTTTATTGCGTGGGTGAAGAGCTTTCTTAATAGCAATCAAAATAAAAGAATGAAGATTCTTGGGGTTGAAGGCAATAATGAAATGGAATGATTTTTTAAAGCAAACATTTAATTACGCGTTTCAAAGGAAAGAAAAGAAAGAAAACTTTGAATAAAAAAGCGATTTGTTAAATCGTCAACTTGTTGAATCTTTTCGCTTTTCAAGTATCCATAAAACCATATTGAAATTTGTTTGTATTTTCATCATGTTTTTTTTTCTTCCCTAAAATGATGACATAGAAATTCAATTGCCTAAGAAATGTTGTTATAAAGTTTTTCTAAGATACTTAAAGCTTTGAAATTTAACGATCTTAGTTGTCCCAAATAACTTTGAATGATTTCTTGATTCATTTCGTCTCTTTTTTATTTAATCATCTTCTAATAAAAGTCTTCGCACTGCTAGGAAGTGAAGAGAGTTGATAACGACTTTACAAAGTAAGTAAAGTTCAAACAGATGAATATAAAAAATATTTCGAAGTTAACATTCAAGTAAAGTTGGTGGCTGTGAAAAATGTTATCAAGGGGTGAATAATTTTGTATATGGCGCCCGTAATAATTTTCACAATTTTTTGAAGTACTTCAAATTAGAATGTTTCTTACTTCACGCGACAAGAAAGGCAAATGAAAATGTTATTATCATTAAAGCGTCTTGTGCCGTATTTGCGAGACTTTATTCTAATCTTCTTCTTCTTTTTCGGCTGTTTAGGGATGTTTAAAGGAACGATAATGGTAATTTTTGTTAGATGCTGCAATATTTTTATCACTGTTTACGTTGGAAAAGGGATTTGCGGTTCACAGCAGGGCTTTAATCTTTAGTTCTGTCTGAGATCGGGAATCGAGCACAAGCGTTTCTTTAAAGGTTCATGAAAAGTTAAACTCAACTAATGAGAAAAGTTACTTTAATTGTACAAAGCGTGAGTGATGCCATCAAATACGCTTTGGTCACCACAACTGCAGTATTTCATTCAAATTAACTGTTGATAATTAACGACAAGAAAATGGAAATCCGGGAAAGAACAAAGACAATCTAAAGCTCACAAAGCGTCATAAATTAAGATTTTAATATCGCTCAAAATGTTTTGTGTGTTTGGTTTTAATGGCAATGATGTAGATTTTTTTTTCTTCTATTCTTAGAGTTGAATGGCGGATGAAGGGACTTTGCCACTAATATTTTAATGAACTATTCTTGTAATGTGTATGGTGTAACATGGAAAACACGCAACAATTAAAAAATATTACTTTAGTCATAATAAAGCTGAAATATCGCTGTCAACTTTAGTTGTTTTTATAAACTAATCCCATGAGTTGTTTGCTCATTTGCGCAATGCATTTCGAGGGATTAATAAGGTGATTCCGTGGAGAACATTGTATTGTGAATTGCTTTTGCGTGCGTTTTAACTTTTAAAGTGCTGCTTTAGTTAAGAACTTGATAACACGATTTGAATTTTCCCATATTTAATTGCATTTTTTTCCCTCCAATGCTTCTGAAAATTCACAACAATGAACNTAAATTGAATAACAAATAATAAAAGAAAACTATTTTTCAATTTAAATTTAGTAACAAATGAGAGGGTCATTAATGTTTGACATCGGTCAGTGATTTGTTTCACTTAATTAATGTTCTGATGTTTGTGGACGTTTAGCAAAGCAAATTTCAATCGACAACTATTTTAGATTCTTTCAGAAGTTTCCATTTAGCAAGCAGAAGTCTTTTTAATCTCAACAATTACGAATTCAAAATTTTATTGCTGAGAAAGGCAAATGAATTTTGATAAGAAGCAATAAAAGTGCCATTTCCTAATTGAGTAATAAAAATTCTTGCCAATAGCAATGACTTCAATAGGAAGTTTCTAACATGTCAAAAGTATTTGAAAGTCAAATTCAAGCAGAATTTATTCAACTGATTGCTTATTAATATATTTCTTTCCAAACAATCAACATAAAAATGCTCTAAAGATTAGCAAAAAGCAATTATTTTATGATTTTTTGTGTCACGTTTTACATATCTCAGTTTGAATGGCAATGAAATGAGAAGTGACAATTAAGTTTTCAGCACGAGAAGAAAGTTCTTGAATATCAGGAAGGAATTGAATTAAGCGGAATAATTTTTTTTGTTGCAGAAACAACAAGAATTTCACGTAATTCTCCTAACTACAAACAATTGAAGCTTCTTATTAATAACATAAATTGTTTGTTACACATTAAACGCAAGAACAAACATTTCTTGCAAGGAAGAGCTTTTGTTGTTCGCATTCAAATGTATCATAACAATAAAATTGCGAACTTCATTAGGGGTTAAAATGATATTATTTCTTCTCTTTCATGTTTTTATTTTTGTGCGAACATACATAACTTTGATGTAGAATGAAACAAAAATTAACTTAACAGAATCTCCCAATTGTCGGAAATTTAAGATTCACAAATGTTTCATCTCTCTATCATCGTCAAGAGTCACTCAAATGCAAGTCAAGTTTCATTTTATCNTTTTTATAAAAAATTAAAGCCAATAAAATCATCGGCGTGAAAGAAAACCTTGCATGTTCACTTGATGATTCCACGGAATATTTGTAAACGATCGAGAGTTATTGGTTGGGCAGCCATGAATTAACCCATGAGAAACGATGATGATTATTATGAAGGGTCTCAATTTTCACAACATATTTTTTATTTGTTTAAACTTATGTATCATCCGAGCATAAAAAAATATTTCCTTCTCTTTATTTTTATTGCGTGGGTGAAGAGCTTTCTTAATAGCAATCAAAATAAAAGAATGAAGATTCTTGGGGTTGAAGGCAATAATGAAATGGAATGATTTTTTAAAGCAAACATTTAATTACGCGTTTCAGAGGAAAGAAAAGAAAGAAAACTTTGAATAAAAAAGCGATTTGTTAAATCGTCAACTTGTTGAATCTTTTCGCTTTTCAAGTATCCATAAAACCATATTGAAATTTGTTTGTATTTTCATCATGTTTTTTTTTCTTCCCTAAAATGATGACATAGAAATTCAATTGCCTAAGAAATGTTGTTATAAAGTTTTTCTAAGATACTTAAAGCTTTGAAATTTAACGATCTTAGTTGTCCCAAATAACTTTGAATGATTTCTTGATTCATTTCGTCTCTTTTTTATTTCTAATAAAAGTCTTCGCACTGCTAGGAAGTGAAGAGAGTTGATAACGACTTTACAAAGTAAGTAAAGTTCAAACAGATGAATATAAAAAATATTTCGAAGTTAACATTCAAGTAAAGTTTGTGGCTGTGAAAAATGTTATCAAGGGGTGAATAATTTTGTATATGGCGCCCGTAATAATTTTCACAATTTTTTGAAGTACTTCAAATTAGAATGTTTCTTACTTCACGCGACAAGAAAGGCAAATGAAAATGTTATTATCATTAAAGCGTCTTGTGCCGTATTTGCGAGACTTTATTCTAATCTTCTTCTTCTTTTTCGGCTGTTTAGGGATGTTTAAAGGAACGATAATGGTAATTTTTGTTAGATGCTGCAATATTTTTATCACTGTTTACGTTGGAAAAGGGATTTGCGGTTCACAGCAGGGCTTTAATCTTTAGTTCTGTCTGAGATCGGGAATCGAGCACAAGCGTTTCTTTAAAGGTTCATGAAAAGTTAAACTCAACTAATGAGAAAAGTTACTTTAATTGTACAAAGCGTGAGTGATGCCATCAAATACGCTTTGGTCACCACAACTGCAGTATTTCATTCAAATTAACTGTTGATAATTAACGACAAGAAAATGGAAATCCGGGAAAGAACAAAGACAATCTAAAGCTCACAAAGCGTCATAAATTAAGATTTTAATATCGCTCAAAATGTTTTGTGTGTTTGGTTTTAATGGCAATGATGTAGATTTTTTTTTCTTCTATTCTTAGAGTTGAATGGCGGATGAAGGGACTTTGCCACTAATATTTTAATGAACTATTCTTGTAATGTGTATGGTGTAACATGGAAAACACGCAACAATTAAAAAATATTACTTTAGTCATAATAAAGCTGAAATATCGCTGTCAACTTTAGTTGTTTTTATAAACTAATCCCATGAGTTGTTTGCTCATTTGCGCAATGCATTTCGAGGGATTAATAAGGTGATTCCGTGGAGAACATTGTATTGTGAATTGCTTTTGCGTGCGTTTTAACTTTTAAAGTGCTGCTTTAGTAAAGAACTTGATAACACGATTTGAATTTTCCCATATTTAATTGCATTTTTTTCCCTCCAATGCTTCTGAAAATTCACAACAATGAACAAAGAACATCTCGCGAATTTTATTTTTCACATGACATCGACGAAGCATCACAATGCACATTAAAAGGCATTAAAATTAAATGTCGAAATAATTAGCGAAGCTTGAAAATGACGAATGCAATTTATTTTGTGATTTGGATAAGATGGATGGCAAGTGGTCATCGTTAATTTCTTTATGAGTGGACTTTAAGCCGACTAATTAATTGCCACAAGATATGAAAAAAACAGAGCTGTTAATTCACATTTAATGGTTGAAAATAATGAAGAAACATTTTAAAGTTTCATAAAACACAATTAGATGTTAAGTCATAACAAAATATTTATGTACATTTCCCAAATCATCAATGACATAAGAAAAGATGCTTTCCTACTCACTCCATTAATAATTAATTTATCCCAAGGTCGATACCTGATTAATAATTTATATTTAGTATCGTATGAATATCTGTCTTTCATGAATAAGTCATTCGCTTTAAAAGAATAATCAAGTAAACATTTTCATCTCGTTGAATTAGTTTTGGTTTGTCAACATAGAAATTATAAGCAGAGACAGAAGAAATTTTGCGACTTCAGCCTCGTCATGAAATATATTCAACAGAGTATAATGAACCCACATAAATTTACAATTTCCTTAACCGGAAATGAGACGGTAAGGACAGTTAAAATATTTCCCTCATTTACATCTGTTTACAGAATAAAATTTAAAGCTTCTACTCATAACAAATTTGAATTATTTCATTTGAAATTATTTCCTCAAGTCATTATGCAGAGTGCATTAATTAATTTGTGTTAGAATTTTTAAACTTAGAAACTTTTCTCAATGCATCAGATCGAAAAACTTTAGAAAATCAAAAGTTTCATCTCAACAAAACATGTTTACAACGCCTTTACCATCCCGCATGTCGCCTCCCAATTTTTCCATCTCTTTTCAACATTGACTTTTGCGCAGCTTCTCGATTGGCCGTTAGCTTTTCTCTCACTCCACAAAACAGCAAAAAAAAAGAGCTTTTAACAACTTTTTTTTCTATCGACTGAGTCCACATAAAAGAATGAAAAACTACTTTCAAAGACGTTGAGAAATGAAACGTTATTAAGTTTACTGTCAGGTACTTTGGGGAAAGTTTTGTGCCGTCTTTCAAGCTTATCTTGAAATTATCTTAAAAATGCGCATGTTTTGGCAATCGAGGGATGCTTTTGCTGTTCACATAAATATTTATTATGAAGAAAGAAATGTCTCGGAAGAGAAAACACCACAAGATGCTGCATTTGAGTAGTAACATTGTGCAATATATTTTATCGGATGCAAGGTTTGCGCTCTGATGCAAAGCGAACGGTTGTCGTTCTCGAGCTTTTCCGTTACCAATAAAAAATATGTTTCACATTAAATTGCGCATAGTCGCACGACCAAACATGAACAGAAAAAAATGATGTTTTCCGTTTGGCGAATAGACGTCAAATAGAGGCGGAGGATGTGTTTGAGTTTTGTTGCTGTTGGTGATAAATATTATGCTATTAATAAATTGCATTATCATGCATAAAGCGAAAAAGGTAATTCCATTGCAATCTAACAAAATTCTTATTAAATTAAGAAATTTGATTAGCTTGACATTTTATTATCTTTCAGTCTTTCTTCTTCTTAAAACTTTTTTCTGATGCAACTGCAAAAGAAGTCTTTGAAAGGAAACTTCTTTAATTTCAATCAAAAGAAAAATAAGCGTGGGAGAAATTTCCATACGAGAGTAAACTCTTTTGTCCCACAATACCAAATCTTTAATACTAACGAAAAGATTATCAACTGTTTGATAGGCACATCACTATTGCTTTTGACATGTTATTTAACGCTTCAATGCTTTCTAAAGCGACACTCGCAAAACCATCTCCCAGCATTCGCAGGACTTACTATCGATGTGAGTTAGAGTATTAACATGCAAATATTTGAATGGAATTTCATCTGCTTTTGAGTTCACCGAACGGCGAAGCAATTTCAATGATCAAGGGGCAAGTTAAGTAAATTTTATTTTTATTGACTACAAGAAATTTTCTAAGTAAGAAATATATCACGGATTCAATTTTTCAATAACTTAAGTATTCAATATTGGAGGTTCATATATCTACGTTAGTTGTTGTTGAAAGAAGAAAGAAAAGCCAATAAAATTAAAAAGAAAATACATCATGAGTTGGGAAAATTGTTTTTTTTTCTTCCTTCTCTGCTGCCTTTTTTTCCTATCTTCGATAATTTATGTATTTTCATTTGGAACATGTATAAAAATAAAATAAATTGATTGTTTAATGTTTGTGTATGCATAAGGATGGAGAAAGGTATTGGAAAATTCTCTCATATATCTATCGTTTGTTTTTTCATCCGCCTTAAAATGCTGTTTTTGCTGCTTCTTTTGCCTGCACAGTCTTTCAATATTAACTCTCTCATGATTACTATGGATCCACAAACTGGGATTGAAGACACAAAGATGATTGGAAAAGCTCATGCATTAAACAATTTCTTTGCCTTAAAATTTTCAATTTAGATTTTAATATTCTTTGATTATTTTTTTTATCTCATTCAATGTTTTCCCAATCATGAAAGAAAAGCAATTTTGATTATGCTTAAGATATGATGATTAGCATATGTGACTTATGCAACATTGTTTCAGCAGGTAATTGAAAAACTGAGAAAATATTCAATTTTTTGCAGCAAGCGAAAAAGTTGATGGAAATGACAAAATTTATCTTTTTCCATGAGAAGAGTTTTCTTTCTAAGCTTTGAAATGTCTCAAAGGACATGCTTTACCAACTCCTTTCATTCATCTTTTTAATTTTAATTAAAAGTTATTAAAACTTTCCATAAAGCTTCTTTCTTCTTTCTATGAAAGGAAGAAATTAAAAGAAGTGTGAAGCGAGCTGAGAGAATATTTAATGAGGATATTTTTAAACAGTTGGTTAACTACATCATGAGAGTTCATTAGAGAGGAAACTCATATACACAGAAAGCATTTACCAAGCCGTAAATTTAACACAAACGCGGAAAGGAAGATTAAATTACTTAAGTGATGAGAATTTCATTTCGTTAAGCGACACTCAAAGTTTTGGGTCGTCGAGAATTTTGCTTTTACGATCTTACACACAAAAGGCAATAAAATGTCAATGAAGCGTAAGTAACTTAATAAAATAATTAAAACTTTACTTCCCTCTCTTATAAATTCTTCTCAACTATTCGTCAACCCCTTAAAGACCCTCACCAAAGTGAACACGACAAGATTTATTTTCAAGTTCGATTAAGTCGAAAACCACAAGTGGATCTTCATCGTAGATTAAGCACGAGAGGAAAATTTATGTACCGATTTGTCATGTTGAACAAACCAATTCAATAATTTGGTCAATTTCATTCCATTTGTTCAATACTTCTTTCATTGTGTCCTAATTGTCCAACAATTTAATAACATTACACTTTATTTACCCCACAGATTTTCGATCAAAATATTTATGTTCACAAATTTTCATTTTACGAAATTAATTGTAAAACATGTGTTGACATTATCGGATACACATTAAATTGAATAACAAATAATAAAAGAAAACTATTTTTCAATTTAAATTTAGTAACAAATGAGAGGGTCATTAATGTTTGACATCGGTCAGTGATTTGTTTCACTTAATTAAAGTTCTGATGTTTGTGGACGTTTAGCAAAGCAAATTTCAATCGACAACTATTTTAGATTCTTTCAGAAGTTTCCATTTATGAAGCATTTAGCAAGCAGAAGTCTTTTTAATCTCAACAATTACGAATTCAAAATTTTATTGCTGAGAAAGGCAAATGAATTTTGATAAGAAGCAATAAAAGTGCCATTTCCTAATTGAGTAATAAAAATTCTTGCCAATAGCAATGACTTCAATAGGAAGTTTCTAACATGTCAAAAGTATTTGAAAGTCAAATTCAAGCAGAATTTATTCAACTGATTGCTTATTAATATATTTCTTTCCAAACAATCAACATAAAAATGCTCTAAAGATTAGCAAAAAGCAATTATTTTATGATTTTTTGTGTCACGTTTTACATATCTCAGTTTGAATGGCAATGAAATGAGAAGTGACAATTAAGTTTTCAGCACGAGAAGAAAGTTCTTGAATATCAGGAAGGAATTGAATTAAGCGGAATAAATTTTTTTGTTGCAGAAACAACAAGAATTTCACGTAATTCTCCTAACTACAAACAATTGAAGCTTCTTATTAATAACATAAATTGTTTGTTACACATTAAACGCAAGAACAAACATTTCTTGCAAGGAAGAGCTTTTGTTGTTCGCATTCAAATGTATCATAACAATAAAATTGCGAACTTCATTAGGGGTTAAAATGATATTATTTCTTCTCTTTCATGTTTTTATTTTTGTGCGAACATACATAACTTTGATGTAGAATGAAACAAAAATTAACTTAACAGAATCTCCCAATTGTCGGAAATTTAAGATTCACAAATGTTTCATCTCTCTATCATCGTCAAGAGTCACTCAAATGCAAGTCAAGTTTCATTTTATCTATGATTCTTCCCGAAAATTTCCACACCCTACAATATTTTGCACACAAAATCGAGTGAGAAAAAATAAAACAACAGCAGCAGAAGAGAATAAGACAAGCAGCATGTGAAGTTTCAGTGTTTCACCCATGCAGTCAAAAAAGCAAAACCTTCCTTTTAGCAGATCTGAATATCGGCGAGGGTGAACAAGGGTAGAAGGATGAGTTCTTATGCATAAAAGTGAAAAGGGATCATTGAACATTGAATTCATAAAGTGTGAGTTTACTTTCATATGAAACAAGTTGCAATATCTCTCACAGAAAATACTATTCAATCAAACACAACACATTAAACAACCCCTTGTTGATTATGCTAAATAAATAGAGTCAAATTTGTGGCCTAACTATACGCCTGATTAAATTTAAACTACATGTCGATAGCTTCAAGGGAGAAAGGTAAAGTATGAAGACAAATAAACATAAAATTTCAGTTTTTCCTACAATTGTTAATATTTCACATCGTAATTTGACGTTAAAAATTTTTCTTTCGTCGCTCGTTACCGTTTAAAATTGCATTCGTCACGGTGACATCTCAAATGGTAACAGATATAATTTATTTGATATTTTTTATGTTCTTATCCAACCCACTTGAGTCATTGACGCAATTTTTTTCAGGAAGTTAAGAATCTCAGCACATCATAATCGCTCATGGGGTGAATGGATATGAAAGTGTCAGAAATCTTTCTTTTTTTTAATAAATATCTGAATGGTCCATTGCGCTTTATTTTGTGTCCTTTAAATGATGCAGAATGATGCGATCTTTTCAGCAGATTTGTTTTAGCGCTTAAATGTCATTTATCAAAAATTATTATGTCCTTAGTAGCGATTTAAAAATCTCTTAAAAATTTAATGGAATGTGAAATGCACACGATTCACTTCCCCGTTGTAACTTCGAAGCATCTCTCCAGCAGCATCTCTATCACCTTCCTACCAAGCGTGTCATAATGTCGGGTTCTAACTCAAATAATGCCTTTTTTATGTTGTCGCTTCTGAAAAATAGCAAAGTAAATATTGACAAAATCCTTTTCTCAGCAGCTTAATGCCAGTAATGGATAAAGATCACTCGTTGTTCACCCGAGATATTTTATTATTTATTTAAAAAAATATAAACACACGTGCGCAAAAGAAAACCAATCGGGATATTTGTTTGTACAATTTTTTACTTGTCTCTTGACTCATTCAACTTACTGCAGCAAATTAAATGATGAATAAACAAACACAAAAGAGTTACACGTGTGGAAATTGAGAAATCCCACTTTTAGTCAAAAGCAATTTACTTTACATTTAATGTCGATTTTCTTATTAATTGGTGAATGAAAAATTTCGATGAGTTTATTAGAAAATCTTTCATTAAACTTTAATTGGATGTGTCAAAGTCATTAGACTGTCTTCAAAAAGGAATTTACATCAAATTTTCGTGTTGTGATTAATCATTATCAATCAAAGAAACGATCTGAATACATATTGAAGACGCCCATGCGATGAAAGATTGATTGTCGCAATTTCTTTTTTTAAAAGGATTCAATTTATTTTTTTCAACTAAATTAAACTTAAATTCAAACCTTTATCGAAAGATGTTTCTAAATAAAGTTTTTTATAATTTTGATAGATTGGTTTTGCAATCTTCATCCGATTGGAAATTTTGAAGCGAATTAATAATGCTTGAGCGGTTTTGACACGGGATCTCAAATCGATTTACTAGTTTCTTGTCATGAAATTGTTTTCAGAGGAAAATTTCATGAAAGTTTTTCTATTCCTTCGACTGAATAAAGTATCAAAGTTTGTGATTGACCAACTCATACTCCAAATCGTGACCTTGCAAAAGAATAAACAAATGATCATCAATACTCGTATTGCAAGAGTAGAAAATATAAATCATAGTTGTCAATTTATCATTGAGGATTCGATTTAGTTTGAACGCTTAAGGTCAGAGCGAAAATTATTTTTTAATGTCGAATGACTTTATGAAATAAAAATCTTTTGAAACGATATCGAAAAAAGATTTAATTTAAAAACTAAAATCGAAATATAAATGACCTTAACAGAATCATTTTGAGCGTGTTTATCAGAGCAGAAATTCCACAAAATCCTTCATTTTTTATTTTTTCGTCTATGAAGCAATAATCCGAAATAAATATGAAGAAATTCTGCTAATGATATTTTGATACATCTTTTTGATAAATCTGATATTTTTTTATGATATCTACGAGACGAAAGATGAGTGAAAGAAGGGATGCGAAAATCATCATTATGTGATTGCTTTTCATTTGATTCAACGTCGATTGCAATAGCAAATCCATCACACATTCCTTTTTAATGGAAGAAACAACTTTCACCTCACGTCACGATGTGGTTGGCAATAAATCCATTTCAGAAAAAGAATCTTTCATGATTGATGTTTTGCGAAAACCGCAAATCTCATCAAATATTTTGTGTGAATTATGAAATTACTGAGGGTTTCCAACTCAGATTCCCATCAACAGAAAACGGACAAATCAACTTTAATTAAATTAATTAAAAAATTAATGGCAAAATGGAGACGAGTGAAAATTTTTCGTCCCTTCTCGACTCAAGAATCTCGAGGCAGCTCAACAGAAAAAAAAAAGATGAAAACTTTTTAATTAATTTTTTTTGCAATTTCTGTGGCTTTCGTTCGGTATTTGTTTTGCCGTCGACCAACATCAAGAGCTTGATGATATTTTAATTAAAACTTTTTTAATAATTTTTTCTAGAAGATGAGTGAAAATGTCCTTTATTTCGGGATGATTTTTATTCCGCCCTCTCTTTGTAAATCTAAGGCGACAATCACTCGAGCACCTCATTTGAAAAGATTGTTACTTGATTTTTCACCTTTTTTTGCCTTTGTTTGATTTTCATCTCGTTGAATCTTCTCAAAAGAATGGAAAACAAACATCAACGATTGAACTTTTATGCAAATTTTGCACTTTGCTTAATGGCTTTCAAATTTATTTGCTGTTAATGTTGTTTGTCAAGTTGTTTGCTATTATCATCTTTGTTAGTGAAATCTGTGAATTAGAAAAAAGGGAAAAATATTTAAAGAAGTATTTTGAAAGAATGAAGTTTGTTAGAACGAAACAACAAATTATAGAATGAATAAGTGCAAGATATTGAATGTGAATAAATGAGATCATTGAACCATCTTGTGATATGTCTAATGATTAAAATATTTTACATAATTTAGTTCTTTGTGATCCTTTACTGATATTTTCTTTTATTTTTCATAAAAAGATTAAGAAACTTCTAAGATTTTCATTGCTTACTTTTTTTGGAATTTCTTTTAGGAATTTAAAGAATTTTGTTTATGTTTATCAAGATGTAAAAGAACTCGAAAGAAATAATTTTCATTTCTTTGTTCGTTATTAAAATTCAATTTAATGGTTTACATAAAGATTTGCTGCATATTCATTAAATGTCATGTAAGTTTTCTATTTGTTCTTTATTTATGTCACAGTAGTTTGTAGGATAACACAATATAAATGTAAATATTTTTGTTTGCAGGAGGGTAAACATGTTGTTATTAAATATTTGCATTCTATTTAGTTACAAATAAATTAGAGATTTACTTGTTAAGATGGAATCTAAACTGGACAAGACGAATATCGATTTCTATTGCAAACTCGAGCAACAACTTCATATTTTTTTTTCTTTAGTTTTAGAATAAATCAAGACACAATCAAGGAACGAAAAGTTGCGGAAAATTCAATTTGTTACACGAAAATGCTCAACAGCGCGTTCTCGTTCCCGCATTAAATATTTAGCGACGAAAGAAGATTTGTCTTCGTTTCTTTCCGCGTCTTAAGATCTAAAAGAATGCTTTCGCATTAAAAACTTTGTTGTGGAAAATCCCCAACTTAGTAAAAACAGATATAAAAGAAGAAGAAAAACCTTAAAATTATATGCAAATTTTTTTCCCAACATCCCGAGAAAAGAAAGACTTGTCGTCATCTGCATAATTATCTGACGTAAGTTTGTTTCTTTTTAGTCGATTTTTATCTTCTTCAGCGTTTCGAGCGCATTCTAAACTGTATTTTTTAAATCCCTTAAAAAATCAAAACGAAAGCAAATAAATCTCCCTCGACTGCATTCAATTTGAAATGCGGGAAAGCCAAGGAAAACAGTTTTTCCCAAGATTACGCTAGAACCGCCGAATCTCCCAATTTGCCTTTACCAATGTTTATTGTTTCAATTACAGTTCTCAAAATCAAATCGAAAGACCGTCCTAGAGATTCAATCTAACAAATATATTCAGAACAAGAAAAAAATTAATTAAATTTTGTAATCTTGAATGAGATAAAAAATTTTCGTCATTGATTGAGTCATCAGCCAGCTGAAGATTCCAAATTGTGAATGTCAAAAATCTCAAGTAATCCCCCAATATGACAACATGTGATAACATCTCGAATTTGGTTCCAATTATGGAATATAAATATTTTTGGTTTTATTCTTTTACCCCTCCCGATAGCTCTCATCTCTTGTCCTCGTTACATGCGACATTCTGTGCCTGCTTTTGTTCACAAAATTTTCCCAGCACAACCAGAAAATTGTGCGCTCCGAAAAAACAACAGATTTTCTGGATATTTTGATTAAATTTCAATTCATGTTGTCATGTCTCGTAAAGCTTTTGCGGTAGCTTGAGGGGGAGAGAACGCAACAGCAACAATTGTTGCCCATTTATGCGGAAGAAATTGCTTTAGAATCTTTGGATGAGTGGGAACGGCATAAAGGGTTGATTTACACCATTGTGATGAATGCCGGCGTGAAATTGATAATTTTTATGCTGAACTTCCATTAGATGAAAAGGCCGAAAATGTTTAGGAATGTCAAGTGAAATTGACGTGATTTAATTTATTCAAGTTGCTTTGGTTAAATGAAAAATGCTCAAGTCTTGCATAAGTCACCACAAATTGATTTCATATCCGTTGTCACTTGCGTCTACAGCTATTTATGAAGTATATGAAACTTTTGTTCTCTCTCCAACTCCAAAAGCATTTCACATATTCCCACACGTATTATGTGATGTGGAACAAATGGAATACTTGGGGGGTGAATAATGAATGAAGTTAATTAAGAAAAGGGTTTATGCCTCGACGATGTGCTATGATCTGTGAATATTTGCTTGCGGTGATGTGATATGAAGTCGTTTATTTGTTGTGACATTCCACAAATGGTTCTGAAGGATTTTTAATGCTCTTGAGTCATGGGAAGTTAAGTTTTAATTATCGTTTGTTAATTTGTTAATTTCAACTTTATTTACGGTGTTGGCAAGAAAATTTAATTGGGATTTAAGTAGAGATTTAAAGTGCTTTTATCTAGTTTAAGATTGAGAGTTAGGAAATGTTCAATTTTACAGAAATTTTATGTTGCTTGAAATGACTTGAAGATTATGAAACTTGAAATGTTTCTGTTATTTATCAAGATATTTCCATTAGTTTATGAAAGGACATCTGACGCCATATTACAATAACCAGCTGAAGAGATAAATAACATGCCAACATTCATAATAAAAATATTTATTCATTCTACATCCACTTCATACCTTCTTGTACAAGACACTGAGATTTTTTAATACAGCTAATGGAATTTCAAAGTAATTTTTTCTTCCATCATGTCTAATGCATGAATAAAGCGAAACCTGTGCTAGTGGAGCAAATATTTGTTTTCATTTTGCCGTAAAGAAGGGTTAAAAGGATCGCAGATCACTTGCTTCATCCTTTTTTTATAAAGCTCTTCTTTTATTAAAGATTTTGTCATATTTTTAATGTAGAATCTGTCCGACAGGATACATTAGACACGCGAGATGAGCGAAAAAGAGCTCCGAGTTAGACAAATGAGTGGCGGAATGAAATTATACTTGACATTTATACTTGAGTCACATTTAAATTCAAATGTGTATAAATACAATTAAAATGGCGACAACTTTTTCTGTTCGCTTTTTGACCCTTCGCATAAAAGCAATTTGATGGCAACAAGGAATCGTTTCAGCTTTGTTGTTTCCACTTGAAAGACTTTTTCATATAATTTTTCTCCATTCGCTTCTTTTTCTCCGCCCTCATTATCTGTTCAGAATTCACTTTGAGGGACTCTCGAAAATAAAAAGCAACATCAAAAGTTGAAAATTTAATGACAAACAATTTTCATCACAACATTATTTCCTTTTTTCCATCACTTTGATGAGTGAAGTGATGAATTTACCTTCCCACTCAATTTTTCAAAGGCACTTGTTTATCTATCTTTGATAAAATCTCTTCATAATGGATAATGATGGAAGTATTTAAATTTGAAGAAGTGATTTTTAAATATTCGAGGAAATTTTTTGAGGCGATTGCGAACTTTTCCTCATTGCCACATAAACTTTGTTGTTACTTTGTTCTTGTTGAAAATTAGACACGAAAAGGCTCTGAACAGAGAAATTTTCTGCATGAAAAGCAGACTCAAAATATTATTTAACGATAGGAAAAGGAAAACAAAATAAAATCGATTTGAAATTTATATTCATTGTTCAATATCTACTCAATTCGAGGGACATCAAATAAATTCAGTCGATAAACTAAAAATAACTAAAAACGTGAGATTTCATCACCTGTTTGAGAAAGATTTAATAATAGAACTTGAATTTGTGCGAATTGTTTATCAATCTTAGTTATTCTATCGAGAATAATTCGCGTACCTTCAAGCAAGCGAACATCAAATGCAAGGAAAACAAAGCGGAAAAATTTTGTGAAACTTTCCAAGATCAAACTAATTTTAACCGCGAGTTATTTGTTTTGTTAAAATAACTTCAGTTTGCGTTTGATTTATATTTATTGTTTACACACAAAAACGTTGTTATTATTACAATTAAGGAAGGAAGAAAGAATTCAAACGCTCCGAGATTTCTTTTTTGCCTTCATGGATAAAAAAAAGTATCAGAGAAGTTCTAAGTTGTGGAACAAACAAGGCTTGGCCATTGTTGATGTCCCACAATGATAAATTGTTTTTCCAGATTTTCCGAATTCACAGAAAGTCATTGGATATGACCAAAGGAAAAAAAAAGCAAAATGTTGATGTCATCGAGTAAATTTATCGACTGCAAAGTCTGTGTTCACTCAATATAAGATTGCATTGGAGTTTGTTAGGGCTTACAAACCATGAATCTGTGTAATGCTCTGCTGTCATTTAATTTATTTTAGGGATGTTGACAGTTTGATTTGATTTTTTATTGTTTCTTTTTTTCTGTTGACTTCTTGTGGTTGCAAATTGAAAACCGACATCATTCTGACCAAAACTTTCCCATCTTATCTTGTTTATCAGAGTAATTTTATCATAAAAGATCCATGCTTATGTTCAAATGGAATTTATTTTCCGACCATTCGACCGACCATAAAACTTCTTGTTTTGGATACATTTTTATGACATTTTATTGTTCGCTTGAACAAAAATACTTACAGTGAAGTCAATTTGTTGTAATTGAATTCCAAAATCTATTTGCAAAATGAAATTCCAGAATGAAATGTGAAAATGAAATAATTTTCTCATTGGTTTAATTTGTAGCAATTTTTCTTTTCAATTAGATATAATTTCAGTTGATAAATCACTTTATGGTCAAAGAAGAATATTTCTAACGTTGCTTCAACCCTAAAATGTTTTGCCATTGAAATTTGCATGAAAATGTTATAAGGAAAATTGAAAATATTAAAAAAAGAAAGGAAAATCTACATTGGATCGTCAAGTTTTAAATCCACATCACGTTCATAAGAGAAATAAAATAAAAAACAAGTTAATATAATGAAGGTAGTCGAAAGGCCTTTTTTTCTTGTTTGATGAATTAAATAGAAAGAAACCTTCCGAAAAGTTTTAATTTAACAACGTGGTTCACTTTATTCATAATTAAGTAATTAAAGACAGCATAAACAATGAGTCTAAAATAAATGTTATGATAATTATCTTAATTAAATTAAAATGAAAATTATGATCGCTTCATTCAAGTCAAAGGCAATCGAGGTGCGCTCTCACGAAATACGAGAAAAAAATGAGAACAAAATTTCGAAGTCGAAGGAATTACAATAAATAATCAATTTAGGACTCGCGTTATCGTTTTCCAACATCCTGAACAGCATTTCTCATCATTATTATTCCAATGAAGTTATTAAGCAAATCCCATTTTGCCTTTGACACGAGTTTTATTTCTGGTATGCCTTTGAATTTTATGAATTTTTATCAGCGCCTTGAAGAACGTTTCCGTCAAGTCTTTAGTCATCTTAATGCCTACAATGTTTATACAATTAAATAAATATTCTGCCTTTGATCCCTCCACGCAATAAAAGGATTTTCACAAAAGGAAAAGCATGGAAACTAAACACAACTTCCATCGCCAACCGATATTTTTCCTTTTTTATGCCGCATATAATTCCACCCTTGAGCAGCATGAAAAGACAGCTTCGAGCTCTATAAAAGAACATAAATCATCTATTAAGGATCAATAAAAAAAGGACCACAAAAAATAACCACTCCATTTCCTATTTCTTTTTTTATATTCTCATTGTCGTGCAAAAGGCCAAACATTAATAAGAAGAAGAAGAAGAGAAACTATAATAAGGATCATCATAATCCTCTTGCTAAATGTGGGGTTGTCTGATGCTTGATATCTTGGAATCATTTCATATATCCCACAGAGGCAATGAAACTTTCTTGTTTTTCAACAAAAGTAAAATATGCGATGATGATGTATATGAGAACGATAGGGATCTGTCGATTGTTTCTTTCTTTCATTCTTTATGTTTTCAAAGAAATCCCCTCGATTTACTTGTACGAATCATGTAATGAAGAGTCATAAGTCATCTATCATTAGAAATGTTTGCTATTTTTATTGACTCTACATGTCCAAGACAGAATTGAAAGACATTAAAAGCTCTTAATTGATAAAAAATTCAAGTTTCATTTGACAGAAGCAATTTAAAGCTTTCAGAACTTCTAATAAAGAGAAAACCTTTCATTTCTTTCATCATTTTAAAGGCAATGTTAATGAAGTTTCTTTGTTTCTTATCATAATTTCTTGGTCGAATATGAAAATGAATTAAAAAAATATGTAAGTACAACATGCGCTCTCAAGGAACACCTTTTTATGTATTTTGACACTGTAACAATTAAGATAAGAGAAACATAAAGAGGGAGAGAAAAATTGTTTTAAGTGAAAAGTACCATAATCATAAATTAGCTAAGCACAACGAAAATGTTTTCTTTTTTTTCGGGAAATGGAAATGAAGCATTTTGTGCGTTTGACTTGCTCATTCAGCGCTACCCGCGACCTTATCTTATAATTTTCCAATTAACATAATTAAAAAAAGTGTTGATTTCAATTAAGCAACAGCTCCAGGGGGGTCAACACCGCCAGTTCACAGCTATGAAGCTGCTAATAAACGAGACTTTAATTTTTTCCACTTACCGGTGAAGTGACCATTACAAGGCGCATTGAGAACAATCAACGCAATGCTAATTCTTTAAAATTTAATTCAATCAACGCATTCATCAAAATTGAATATTTTTTTCCTCTTTTCCGACTCCCATCAAACCCAAATGAATTCAGAATTTGTAATTTTCAGAATGTTTAGTGGTCAAGTTGGAAATTAGAACGTTTAAGTTTCTCATTTTTTGTTTTATTTCTTGATCACCAACCACGGAAAGAAATAATCTCGAAGAAATAAAGGGAAAAATTATCATAAGTAATATTATTCAAGTGTTTAATTGCATTTTATATTTTATTTTATTCATTTTTGCGGGGCACCTCCACGACCTCATCGCACTCATTCAATCACTCGAGCGCGAATCGCCAAATTATTTTAATCAAATCCAAAAATTATTATGTTTGAGTGCTTCAAGTGAAATGCTTTCTTTCTTCTTTACCTTCTCATAAAGTCAAGTTTTATATTTTTGCGTCATATGCTCGAATCGACACAATGCGACCAAGCGCGTGAGATTTCGAATTAATGGAAAATTGTAATATTCATTCTAATGAATAATTTTGTAATCAGAAATAAGTTTATTCAATTTGATTGTTTGTTTTTTATGCCGTTTTGAGTGACTTAATTTTCATTTTTCAAGTGGACATATACCTATCAATTTTCCTAAGAAATTGAAAATAGGAAAAATAGGAACGGGAAAACGGATTTTAGGGGGGAAAATAGGAAAAATGGGAAAAATAGGAAAACATTAGAAAATTTATTTTTATGCTCCCAATAGCAAATTAATTTTTCAAAAAGTTTTTCTGATATGCGATCAATACCTCCGTTACTAATTATTGCTACATTTCTTTGAAAATACTTAATGAAATTTGAGATGATAAAAAATTAAATTTCGAGTAATTTTACATAAGCCCTTGGTAAATTATGATAAAACTCATATTCCCCTTGAACATTAATGAGAAAATATAATGTTTTGATTGCTTAGATAAGAAAAAAATAACAATTGGTTATTTCTTCTAATTTTCGAGAATAACTTCCAAACAAATGATGGCATCTGATGTGGAAAAGGAAATAGAATTAAGTCAAATTAATTAAAATAGTTTATAATAGACCTTTGGAATTCTTCTTTTCCACTTTATATTTACAGAAGCTTTTATTTCATTTGTTCTTTCCACACCGGTTAAAACAATTTATGACGGTCTATCCTAAAATTCAAAATATTTTAATGTTAAAGAACGAAAAACGGCTCAAAATCTTATGTTTTTCGTTGCAAATTTTTTCCTATTTTCCTATTTTTTCCTATGCCTAAAATAGGAAAATAGGAAATAGGAAAATGAGGCCCTTTAGTCCTTTAAAGGGGGGATTTTAAAGGGCTTGGTAAGGTCTAAGTGGACATTACGAGAAACAGACAGGCGAGTACTTTTATTCTGGTGTTCTTAGACAAACTTAAGGTAGATTGAATGATTTTTCATTTGTAAGTCATAAATTATGAATCAATAAAATATTTTGAATGTCTGAACGATAATTTAATTTTAAAGTGGAAAATAAAGGCGGGATTTAAGCGTTTACCATCATTTAAGTGTCTTAATTAGTTTTATCTATGATCTACGTCATTATCAATTCATAGTTTTATTTTCAAACAATGCTAAATTTACGAGTTTTCCCTGTCGAAAGAAATAAAGCGGCGAACAAGCCAAACTACAATTACCTTCATTGCGAGGTGTCGGAAAAGTTTTAATTAATCTCGTTCATGTTTGTTGGAAACTGAAACAATAACAAAAACAACAAAGAAAATGAGTACGAGAAATCACCTGTCCATTTCCACCTTGTCGATTTAATTAGACTTTAAAATAAATCATCAACTGATTAGCACAATACGAGCACCTTCGAATGTGCCGTTCTTTTTATGAGAGTTTAATGAGATACGATCTATTAAATGGAGGGCCGAGGTGGCTGTTATAAAAGTGTTTTCTGCTGATTACATAAATATTAATATCGAGGCTTACTCTTTCGGTTTAATTGAAACAATAAAAAATGTTTGGCTGAAAATAACTTAAATACATATTTATGAATCTTTGTTCGTCGCTGCACAACATTAAAAATCTTAAATCATTAACTATCATTCCGTTATTGTTTTCGTGATTTGATGCTAGAATTTCAACTCCATTTTCACGCTTTTACATTCCAAACATGCATTTGACTTCTTTCCTGACTCGCGGATATTAAAGAAGAAGGAAGTCAAAAAAATGAAAGGGTAAAATTTTTACCTCATGAATCGTGAAGTTAAATTTATTTGCGCTGTTAATTACGAAACATTTTTATTTGTCCAACCATGTGGTCGATTAGGAGAGAGATCGTAGGAGAGTGTGAGTTGAAAAAAAAACTTTGGTGCGGTGAATGTTTATGTTAATTTAATTAGTTTTGTTTTAATCATTAATTTATAGCACCAAAATGAACATAGAAAATTTTTCGAGCCGCTTTGTGGCGATATTTTTCTAGAAAAATGGAAGCGAATGTGCAAGGCACTCATTAAGTAAATCCCCCAAAAACTGAGACTCCAAACTGACCGAATTGTTCCATTAACGTTGAGTTAAACAAACAACTGAACAACTAACAATATTTCAAACTGAATTATAATTTTATTCGTGAGAATTTGGCATTAATTTGACAAAGTCATGAAAGGCGAGTCGCTAATGGAGTCGCCAGGATGAAGTGTTCGCAAATATAGAAGAATAAGAAACGATTTTGCCAAAGCAATTCTTCTACTCCATGGAAATCTTCTTTTATGTTTCATTTATTTAAGAGAATTTTCCTCAATGAAAATATCTGCTCAGCGATTGGTCAGTCGTTTGAATGGTCAATGTGACGACAATAAAAGAAAAACATTCTGTTTCCTTTATCTGCAATAATCGTTCAAAAGAAAAAAGAAAGATAAGTAAAGATACAAACAGCATACGAGGGTCAAATGGACGAGGGAAAAGAAAATTCATTTCCTTCATCTCGGGACTAAAACAAATAAAATGTTGAGAAAAAAAATAAGAGAAAACTTCTTTCTTTCATGTCCCCATTTGCGGAGATGAAAAACAAACAGCGTCGAGATGGAAAAATCTCATTTTTTTTCTTCTTTTTGCCGTTCGCCACAGCTCAGCAAAGAAATAAAATATCGATGGAAAAACCACTCCCCGAAAAAAGAAAGAAAAAAAAGAAGGAATTGAGTGCTTTTCCTTCCACTTGCGTCGTCAATATTTCTTTTCATCTCATCACATCTCTCCGGGGCTGGATCTTCATGCTTAAGTATCTCAAGTGGGAAAATCTGTTTTTCATATCAACATCATATTCGCTTCGTTTTATTGTTCTTTTTTCTCTTCTTTTGCAGCCTTGTGAAAATTGTTATTTCTTCTGCATCTGATGATGTCTTTCATGTGGGTCCTTGAAGTGTCACTCGAGATGGGAATGTTGGAAACAAATGTAGAAGAAAGAAATTTTCCTTAGATTGAAGACAATAAAAGCAGTCGGAGAACTATTAAAAGTAAACATTTTGGCACAAGAGCTATTCTTGAGATGGATATCAAACATCCATTTTGACTTTCTACGAGTACAAAATTGTCATCTTTCCATTTCATGGCGAACAAAGGCAATAAAATTGTTTTATTATCTTTTAACTATTTCATTTCAGCCATAATGAACGAAGCCTTAATAGAATGACAGGAAACTGTTCAGTTTAGATTCAATTGTGATAAAACTATGCTCTTGTTTCTCAACGACGAGTAGACGTGAAACATTGGAAAATTTATTGCAATTTTCACGCTCCATTTGTTTTTATTGTTGCAATATCTATCGCAAATATATTTATTTTTATCAGCGTATATGCTGCCACTCATTTAACTACACCACTAAGAATTTAATGTAAGAAGCTTCCACGTTTTTGCAATGACCCTTATCGCTGAATGTTTTATTGTTGTTTGTCTGTTTGAAGAGAAGATTGACTGTGTTTAATTATCGCGGATATGACGAGCACTTCTATACGGTCATGTATCACTTATCATAATGATATCATTCATAAATAAAACATTTTTTCTTCCTACTTTAACCATGAAGTTTCCTAGTATTAAAACAAATAAATTTAAGGAATTCGTCTCAAGTTCTGGTTGCTATCTGAACCATAAAAGTGAAATCATTAATTAACCTTCCAATGTTCAAATGATAACTTTAACGTCTTATAAGATTTTTCATGTTAATTATTAACATTGAATCATTTTTTTTTTCCTTCAACTTGTTCTAGAAATGTTTGACGTTTAATCCTTTTCCCAATTTAAAAATTTGAACAAAGGAAAATTTTTAATCGTTTTTACATCTGCAGAGTTAAATCTGGGAAATGGAAGGAAAAAATTGGATGGATTACAGACTAGCTCTGCTGGTGTATGACTTTCTTTTAATTCTTTTTTCTGGTTATAAAGATAAGAAGAAAAAAAGTTTTGCAAGAAAAAGAAACTATCGTTAAGATTAAACTGTTTTATGAGGCGAGTAAAGTCATTTTGACTACGGAGAACGAAGTGTAGAAACCTGGCGACTCCATTAAATAAATATTGCTACTGCAGTCAAGCACTTCCATTTATCTATTTATCTTTCGACTTATAGCGCTATTCAGAGACTTTAAGATCTTAAGGAATCGTAAGGGAAGAAAGAAAGAAAACAAGAACGAAAATCCGTCTTGTCGCGATTTAAATTCTCGAATATTTATTCAAATTGATGTAGAAAATCCTGTGACGATTTCTTAAAGGGTTGAAATGATGTAGAAAGATAAAAAAAGAAGAAACATTGAGATAGTAGCTTTTCAATCCTTTCTTGTGGATTCTGTGAAAAGAAATCAAAAAGATTTTAAATTTATTTACCTTCCTTTCGCGATTTTAGACGGTTGAAATGAAGGGAAAAAAAGTTGTAAAATAAATAAAATATGTTTGCAAAGAGCTTTATGGAAATCTGTCCCATCTTAAGACGACAATCGCATCATTTTATGCGCATTTAAAAGACAAGGACACAGCAGTGATGACGCTGGCAACCCCGACAAGAAAACTTTGGTTCAAGTCCCAAGAACTTATTTGCATAAGACATTCAACTGATGCTTGAATCAACTGGGTTAGAAAGCAGATTTGCCAAACGTCAGAATGGTCTTAAGGATGACAAAATGCGCTGAACAATGAAATGGAAATTAAAAATCACAGAAAACAAAACCAACGTTCCTAACTTTTCATCATGGATTTGTCAATTGTTTTTTCATCACTGATTTTTTCCCAACGCGATATCCCCGAAATTTGAATAAATTAGAATACAATTAAGAAGAGAAAGACAAGGAAAACTGTTTTGCCGTCACATCTTGTAGATTTAAAGACGAGGAAGGTTCTTGAATGATCTTCAATGAAAGATTCTGTGTTTGAGTAACATGTGTTCAATAATTCCAAAAGCTGAACCTAATCGAAAAATATTTTTAACAACTAAGAGTTCTTAAAGCTTTACTTTTACTTTGTAAATGCGATGAAATGGACTTTAATTTAAATATACAGAATTATACTAAATTATTACTCTTTTTTAGACACTTAGATAGATAGAATTTCGTACAACATTTCAAACAGCAATAACTTTCTTTAATGGACTCATATTTAAAATAAAATATTAAATTTATTTCCCAAACTGTATGCTGTGAAATAGGAATAGAGATTAAATAAATGAACACTTTTGCCAATATATTTTAAAATGACGTAAAGGAAAGAATTTATTGAAAGCCCATTGACCGCTCGTAAAATATTTCAATCGATTGCATAAAATTACATGATAGAACTTCTCGGATATCTTTTTTTGGTAATTTTATAAATTGCACTAACAAGCTTCATAACTTAAAAATTCGTAAATATGTTCAATTTCTAAGAGCTTAGAACGATTATCATTCCATAAATTTCAATTAGTTTCTAATTGAGCTTACTCATTCTACTGACTTTGACAAGGACTTTGAGTATGTTTCTCACGAGTTGTGGTTATTCTTGATAACGTTTTTTTCTCAGTTTTATAAAAAAGCTGAAATCACACGTTACCTGTATGTTGAATATATCATACCAATATTAAAGCTTTAGCTTCCCGTAAAGATATTTTTCATTCAACCAATACCAAAAATCAGCGTGATCCATAAAAACTTCGCTTATATTTTCAAAAGATGGCGCTGCTTGAAAGAAATTTTTATTTCCATGATTCAACGGCTGACTGAATTGTCGTAAATTATTTTTCAATTGGATATTTAATACATGAAATATGAAGTTTTTCGGAAAAGCAGTCTCTACAATAAAATGAATTTTTCTATTTGAGTATATTTATTCTTTTGCCATGAACTTTTTAACATCAGAAAACAGAACATGCAAGTGCTGAACATGAATATTTTAACACTTTATTAAATGAGAAGGTTTTAGTAAAAATTTAAAAAATAGGTATTAAAAAGGTAATATTAAGCTTTACATAAATTTTTGCAATAGAAATGTTTATTATTGATAGATCTAGAAATATAAAATTTCAAGAGAAGAAAATTAAAGAGATTCGTACAAATACAAGCGAATAAATATTTTCTTGTATAAATTTGAGAAGAAAATGTTCAGTTCATTTTGTGTTTACTCCTTGAACAGTTGGAAACATTTTATATTGATCTCTTTTCTAAATTGCTTAGTAGTCAATTTCATAAAATATGCCAGGTTACTATAAAAATCTTTTAGCTTATCTAAGGTGAGATAAAATGAAATTAGGAATCAAAAGGCTGCTGTTAATATGAAAAAATCAATTTTTAGCAACAATTCAATAGCAATAACAAACATTCCTGGTGACAACTGGCGAAGAGAACTCCCACGTTCAGAGTGGCTACAAATATCACCATCAGTAAATGTCGTTCATTTCACGAGATCGACAGAAGAAGAAAGAAGAATCATAAGACAAGCCATTTCAAAAAAATAAATATTGTGATTTAAATTCATGAATGAAACTTTTTTTAAGAATTGTATGACTATCTACAAAGATTTGTCTTTAAAAACGAATAAACTTATAAAACTATTTTTAGAATAAGAAAAATGTTTGAGTGTTTGACACAAAATTTATAGCAAGGCCGTTTTGTGAAATTATTGTGCAAGTCTTCTGGATTCCTTTAAAAAAGATTATTTATAAAATATTATCATCATATTATTTATCCAAATAAATTTCTCTGTTTATTTATGTTAAATTTCAAGTGAACAGTGGAATTAAGTTGTCTGCTAAATCAAGCAGATTAACGAAACGAATTGACGTAGATTTTCATTTCTGTTACGTATCGATAATTTAGTACTTCTATATGTCACCACAACCAGTCAGAAATACTATCAAAGGCGATTACTAAACTATTTCAATGGAATTTGAAAGGCATGTTTAATCGTTTGTTGAATGTTTTTAATTTAAATGTTATCTAAAAATCTAATAATGGGTTATGCTTGCTTCTTCATCGACATAAAATGATCGATTATGAAGGCTTGTAAAATCTCTAACAAGAATATTTTTCACAAGAAATAGATCGTTAACTTACAAAGCTGGAAGATATGAAAAAATACAATCCTAAAACGTTCACTCCTTTATTCTCGATGCAAAGTTGCTGGAAAAATTCTCCTAATGACTTTTTCATTAAAAGCATCTATCCGATGTTACCGATCATTGGTTTCGACTTAAGTTGAAAAAATCTACAACGCGATCATGTCGATAAAAGACATCTGTTAATCAGATAAATTCAAAGCACTAAAAACGTAACTTCTATGTTGTATTCGTTAAATAATTCATCACTTGAACCGGTGGGTGTAAAAGTTAATTTGATTAACAAAATAGGTACCTAAGCTTTAATTTAAAAATAACAACCTTTCTTCTTATCAACTTCTTGTCCACTTGATCTTAGAACATTTTTGTACCGGTATGAGGTACTAGATTACCCACACCGACAGCGGGTGGGTACGAGGATACACTCACACTGATAGTCAGTTCATATCGGATAGCCATCGGGATCGGACGCACCGTACACTGGTGTCAGCGAATAACGCCTTTACAACAATAAACTGAAGGATTTAAATCAAGAAAGCGAAAAAAAAGAAATAAAAGTGTTAAAGGAAAAAGGAAAACACAAATTTGGCTCATAAATATACGGAAAAAGTGAGTAAAACAATAAATCAAAGTGAGACGCCGAAAATTTCGAGAACAACCGAGCGTATTTCCTATAAAACTCATAGATTAGTAAAGTTTGTACGCGTTTTTGAACAGGAAAAGAGAAAAGACAGGTTGTAGGGAAAAGAAAGAAAGCGGTAGAGAGTAATGAATTAACATTTTCATCGCGTCATGTTCTGGTTTTCCGTTAAATTTCTTCTTGGAAAAAACAAGATGGTGGAACATGACGCTGTTGTTTTTTTTACAGAAAATCTAGACTTTCTTCTGTAAGTTATAAGTTTTCTTTGCCTTGTTCATGAAAAGTAAAGACAAGTTCCCACAAGTTAAATTAATTAATATTTCCTAGGTTAATCTTTTAAGTTTACAAATAATATGAGATGTCATGTCATATAGACGTATAGAAAAGAAAGGATAAGGAAAAGTTGCATAAGTTGGGAAATATTGAGTTTTTTTTTTCTGAAAGCGTCAATTTTTTTCTTCGGTTACAAGTCTTTTCTTGGAAAATAAAAGATGGCCGAACGCGCTGAAATGTTCACGAGAATATTATATGAAATTCAAACATTTTATTTTATAAGATGAGTTTTTGAAATCATTGACCACAAAGATAGAAATACTAAATTCTCTACTGATTTCTTTCACATAATCATGAAGTTTGATCATTGTTTAAAGTTGATCAGCAACAGTTTTCAGCGTTTTTATTGAATTATTGATGAAACAAGCTTCAATAATATTTTAGTTTACGTCGATTAGCATAATGATTAGGAACAGGTTCTCACATCTGTTTACGTTAACGATAAGTTAATTATTTAAATTATGCAACCAACGTTTGATGTTAATTTATTTAGTAAGATCACGTTTTTTTTTAAATCAAATTTCCTAATGATTAAAGTTTATTTCAACAAGACACCGCGAGCATAAAGATAGTTTTTCTTGTATAATGAAAATACATCACATTACTTTGATATTACATAAAATTCAAAATAAGTTTGACACGCTTCTGAACGTGAGCCCAGATTATATTTTTTTACCTTCCAGGATTTGAAATAATGGCAATGTCAGATGCCGGAAAAGAAATGTTGGCAAGTTCAGATGCCGTGAAAAGAAATGTTGGCAAGTTCAGATGCTTTTTTTTTTTTTTTTGATTCAACTTATTTATAGTGGTTTGAGCTTGTAGCCATTTCCCCACTTGTTACTAATAGTAACTATTTGTATATATTTATACTAAAGGGCCGAAGTATCGAAACTTCACTCTACCTCATGACCAAGTCGGGGTTCGAACCCGGGACGTATGAATTGTACGCCCGACTCCAAGCGACTTAAGCCAATGAGGCTATTTGACCCCTTTAGTTCAGATGCCGTGAAAAGAAAAGAAATGTTGGCAAGTTCAGATGCCGTGAAAAGAAAAGAGAAATGTTGGCAAGTTCAGATGCCGTGAAAAGAAAAGAAATGTTGGCAAGTTAAGATGCCGTGGAAAAGAAAAGAAATGTTGGCAAGCTCAGATGCCGTGAAAAGAAAAGAAAGGTTGGCAAGTTCAGATGCCGTATAGAACGAAATGGTGGCAAGCACGGATGCCGGGGAAAAAAAAAGAAATGTTGGCAAGCTCAGATGCCGTGGAAAGAAACGAAATGGTGGCAAGTCAGATGCCGTAAGAAATAAGTTAATTGGGGGCAAGCTCAGATGCCGTATTAAAATGAAGTGGTGGAAAGTCAGATGCCGTAAGAAAAGAAATAGCAACGTTGTCAGATACCGTGTATAAGGAAAAGAAAACAATAGAAATATTTGAAGTCAGAAGTAAAAGGAAAATGTTTAAGTCAAAAGTTAGAGTTTTAGGATTTCGCTTGGTTGATTGAAAAATTTGATATCATTTATTTATGCGAATGAGGTAAAAAGTAAATGATAATTAAGGTTTTGTTTTCTGTCCACAGACAGACGAGATGGAAGACTTCTCACGTCAAACGTTTTTCGCTCCATTTAATCCCGACATAAATGGAGGTAACGAAACTGCAAACTGGTATCGATGGAAGACGGCGGCTATCTGGTATTTGGCTGGAAAGATACTAAACAACAAAGAAAAGATTATCAGAATGATAAGCTTGGGAGGAGAAATCGTGCAACGGGCGTTGGAAGCTCATGCTCCGAAAAAGCTATACCAAGAGCTGATGGAGTTGGACGTGGATGATCAGGAAAAGGATTCTACCACAACAAGTGCACCAGGAAATAGTGCTGCAGATGAATCTGGACTTGTTAATCCCAGTACGACTCAGGCGGAGCCGCCCGTTGTGGAGAAAAAGAATTATTATAAAGAGGCTATGGCAGTTCTCGATAAAGCTTTCGCTGGAGCATCCAATCCAATTGCTCAATATCAAATTTTTGCAAAAACAAAGCAAGCAGATGGCGAATCAGTCAAAGCATTTGCTAATTTGTTAACGATGTTGGCTGAAAATTGCGATTTTACAGATGGAGAAAAAGAAAATATGATCAAAAGACACTTGTTGCTGAATACAAATTTGAGATCCCTCCAGAAAAAGGCTGTAACTCAGAAACTTCAAGAGAAATCGTTGAATGAAGTTTTGAAGGTAGCTTACGAAATAGAACAGTCACGAAAAGAAATCGATAAACCGTCGACAGCAAAAGTTTGTGCAATTAGCAACCGAGAACGCGATGACGAAGGGAAAAAAGAGTGCGGCAAATGTGGATATTATGATCACGGTTTTGGAGGCAACAACTGCCCTGCTAGAAACGTCAGATGCCGCAATTGTAACAAAATTGGCCATTACGAGAAGAAATGTAAAGCACAAAAAACTTACGGTCAAGCAACTTCGGGACGATTCAGTCAGAACTCTGGAAGACGCGGGAGTTACAACGACCGTCGTCTTAGCTCAGAAAACCGAGATAGAGTTTATAGACCACCAAAACAATATCAATACTACGATCGCGAAGGATCTGGTTCTCGAAGACAAGATTCCCGAAAGAGTGACTTGGACGATTTGGTAGCAAAAGCAGTTGAAAAAGCTTTAAAAGGAAAAGAAAGTTTTCGTAAATTTAAACAAAAGAACTGGTCTGACAATGAAATCGTGCAACGCAATCGTTCTCATGAAGGTACACTATAGAAGAAATGAAACATGTTATGTAGAAAAGAGAAGTGTAAAATCATTTGCAAACGACCATTGAAAATTCTCATGCCTGATTGTCTAATATAGAATGATTATAAAATAAAATAAAAAATTAATGAAATCAGAAATAAATTAAATATCGACACTATCAAAGATTGTTTAGAGGCTTCACTTACATATCTTACGATTAATTTTC